AACAAACTTGGCTTGTACAAAATTTCAAACCATTTCGAAAGATATAGGGTTTGCTAAGTATTACATCCAATTGGCTAAAGATTACCTGATTAATTTGAGAAGATAATTTAAGGCATTGTCTTGCATTGTTTTTTTAATCCTAATAGATACTAACACTGAATTTTATATTTTTCAAAGGTATAAAATTTTATGAAGGAAAAAATCTACCTTTGATTTTATAAGTTCTAGACTTCAAACATTACAATCCAAAAAGGAGAGGTATATATAGTTTAATTTTTAAATATAATATTTTATTTTAGCCATAAAACCAGTTTATGCTGCACTTGATTTGATCATTATACAGTTTCATGAAAGATTCAATTATGAATTCATTAAATATTTAAATCAAACATCATTTTTTACACCAAAGGGAATCGCGGAAAAGACATTCTTAAGGATGATATCAAGGGTGCTTGTGAATTTTAGAGTCAAGTTTTCGAAAAATTTGTCTAAGTTTCGAAATATTTATATTATGACTAAAACGAGGGATGTAATTATTACATATGACCTGAAAGCTAACGAATCTAAAGATTTGTCATATTCTGAGAATTATAAATCTATTTATTAAAATATTTATCTTAATTTAGTTTCTTCTTCATCTTCTTCTGATGATTCTGAGACTTATTATTCAGATTGAAATTCGTTTATTTTACCTTATCGTTTACTTAAAATTTTTTTTTGTTTTCCTTAATTTAATTCAAACCATCCTTACTCATTATGTACTGGTGTCAAAAAATAATTAACTGTTTTTTCGGAATGGAGAGGGCTGGGGGTATTTCTTTTCTTGGGGGTATTCTGCTTCTATCACTCAGAAAGTGTAAGGGCTACACTGAATAACTCGGTGAAAGACGGACAAAAAGCGCCAAAGGGAGACTGGTCATTAAACACCCCCCCCCCCCCCCCACACAATATTTTAAACATAAAAATAGAATAAACACTTTAAAAAAATGCCCCTGAAAATATTTTGACACTCCCCACAACGAAAGGGCTTGGATAGTGTTAAACAGGGATAGAAATTTCGAACGTACCTCATTTCGGGCGCATATTAGCCTAGCGCTTATTGGAGTAGGTTTGGCCATAATACATAGTGGGAGGCGTCAAGAATAATAAGAGTGCCTAAAAATAAAATTATTAGTTTTCGACACAACTTATAGGTTTCTTCCTTTATTTACTAAATCCATGTAAAAAGTTCATATCCAGGTTAGTAGTAGTGCAACGTATAAATTAATCAATAAGAGGTAAATTATCGCTATTTATTTTTTATAAAAAGGCAAAGGGAGATTACGAGTTAAATTAGAAAATTAGTTAGCGTAAAAAAAATTGCCAACTCAAAATTAAAAATAATAAAATTTAAAATTAATCCAAAAGTGATTTCCAGGTCTTACATAAAAAATCCCGTTCTACCTTTATTTTCAATATAATAACTATTCGCATCATATATAAAAGTCTGTAAATATGCATTTTCTACAACCAATCTGAAGGCTCACGATTAGGCGGGACCCACATGGTAACAAATTTCTCAATATGGTGGAGGATGTGTTAAGTATAAAAAAACCTATTTGATTAAAAAACAAGGGGAGAGTTTTATATTGAAATTGCATTATATTAATCACTAAGGAAATTGACTTTATAGTTTTAAAATAAAAAAGATATACTCAAAATTATTTAAATTATAAATTAAGGGCATCGCCATTAGCGGTATTACATTGTTTTTGAAGGAAACCAGGGATATAAATAGCTTATCACTCGATACTATTTATAACTTTATGAAAGATCAATTGATTCGAAAACCCTCTCCATGTTGAATACTTTGCCATCCAATAAATCATGTATAAATAATCAGGACTTGTGACAGATGCAAAAGTCCGTAAATCGAGCAAAACTGAGCATTGCACAAATATGTTAAACATATGGAAACTTTTATAATACATATAATCATTATGATTCAAATATATTGAAGTAAATAATTCTGGCGAATTTATTGTATTTTTTTTAACTAAAATAATGATATAAACAATTGATATTTAATTAACGAGTTTAGTATTTAAAACAATTTTGATATTATAGAGTGCATCTAAGGCATAATAAAGCAATTGAGTAACTATAGAATAACTACTTTTAGCAAATATTTTCCAGCAAACCGGTGGTTTTGTGGTAGCTCAACCGATAAATATGAAAACTGATTTATAATTACATAATTATGTTTCAAATTTCAATGTTTATACTAATTAAATTCTTTAAATTTAAATATATAATGTTGAAATAAATTTATATTTTAATGTTATTAAAAAAACTAGATATTGGAAGAAAGAAAAAAATATATCAATATAATTATTAAGCTCTTCTCATATGAAACCTAAAGGACTTGAATCTTTGTTATTTAGGTTACTAAAATAAAAAATTTTAAAATTAAAACTAGATTTTATTATATTTTGTAACTTTTAAATTTGAAGGAAATTTATGACCGATGCAAAATTAACTAATATAATAAATTAAATATGGTATAAATTTATTGTAATTGATTATTATAATACAATATAAGTATAACTAATAGAATATATTTATTTATTATTAAAATTAGCCTTAAATAATAAAATATCATTTAAACATCCATGTATTTCATTAAGCACATGTTTAGCTTTACTAAACAAGCGCTCTTGTGGAGAGCTAGTGTGTTATATTCAATAAATATTTTCTTAAATTAACATAAGCATTAAAAATATTCATTGAATCATCATTTGAATAAAAAAATTATTAATGGAACGCATTTGTGAAAAATTTTTCCAATATTTGAACTATCTGCTTGTGGTTGATCCTACATATTTTCTAAATGGGCAATTAACCTTTCTTTTACCAACAGATTTTGTGGCAGATTAATATTAAGCAAATTTAGGTTAAATTTAGGGCGAATTATTGCTGCCAATTTAATACTATCATCATACAATGAAGGAAATCTATATCGTAATTAAGAAATGATAATTTATTTATTATTAAATAAGTGTTCATTCATATAAAATCAGGTATCTGCAAAACATAGCCCTTATTAACATATCAATAAATATTTTATTAATTTTTTTTTATATTAAAATTTTTATTAGTCAAATTGAACATTAAAAGTAAAACATATATACGTAATTTAAAAATATATATTAAAAATATTATGTAAACTATTTGTAAAATAAAATCTATATAAAAACTGTATAATAAAAAAAATATTAGTATAATAAATTGTATGTTGGGTGGGAGGAGGTCATAAAAGGGAGCCGTGGATGGCAATGCAGTTAGATCTACATATATTAATAGATATGCGCTGTCTGAGATAGAAGCCTTCCTGTGGGTCACTAGTGATGGCGCGATTTTTTTTACCAAGGGATTTGAAGAAGGTTAGGGCATGATTGCCAAAAAACCGGTTGTGTCGGATACTATGGGTATGAGATTGCAATTTATTAGGGAAGGGTATTTATTAATTTTAGAGTTTTCCGCTCGCACGAATGAGTTATTACTAAACGAGGGCGGTCGATGCAAATATAATCCCATGCTAATGGAGTTCCATTACTCCAAGATATTAAGGTCAGCCCATCTGGCCGTATATTATTCTCGGTTATATTATTTTCGGTTGAGAGGCCATAATTCTTATTATATACATATTGTTATGCTCTTAACAAATAAATAATAAAAATTGTATTTTTAAAAGAATTAATTACTTCCAAATGCCTTTTGAGCTTTGAACTACTAATCTTTGAAGAAGATATTTTGTTCTTACATAAACAGCATTTTGCACTGATAATTGTAGTTACTTCCACCCGTTTCACATAAAGCAAAATACTTACGTAAATTATGAAATGGTAAAAGATTCTCATTCTCACTTATATCTGCTCTCACATCATTAGTAGATGTATTATCTTCTAAATCTATAATGGAAGACATTATTAAAACCTAGAATTTATTTATATTATATATAATACAATTAAATAAATAAAACTTGTAGTCTCTAAATCTCGTTCTAGATAAAATTTAGGAAAGTTGAAATATAAAATATGTTGGAATGGAAGTTGATAAAATATGATGTAGATAAATATTTTTTATATTTTAATTTAATTTTCAAAATTTTTATTGCTAATAAACTTGAATAAAAATTGCTGAAATTGCTCAACTGCATATTATAAGCAAAGAGCTTAAACTTATTTTAGAATATATGACTATATAATTAATGTAAATATATTAATAATTTAGAAAATAAAAATAATGCTTTTGATAAAATAAAATGTTTGATTAATAAAATTGTATCAGTGGCAAATTAAATATAAAATAACAATTAATCAATGATAAATAATTATTATAAATATAACCATAGTATTTATTAAAATATTTACTTATAATTTAAATATTTGGTAGTGACAAATTATCATCGTGGTAATCACCGTGGTGTTAATGACGTTTCCAGCTGATTTCAATTGATACATGCTTAAAAATGCATTTTAATGAATGATTGTCAGTTTAGGTATTATTATATGTCATTGACCATAAAAGACTAAATCACGAGGACTTATGCTACATGGGGTGGGCTTATGTCACAAGATCCTCATTAAAATTGGAGAAGGATAGATAGTTATGATGACACTATAATTGAATAAAATTGCAAGGGATTAGGGGTAGTTTTGATTTCCTATTTTTGCTAATTTTGATTTGATTGGGGTGTATGGGGGTGGGATGTAGAATTTCCTATTAGAACCTCAATATATATAGATACTATTTGAAATATAAGTGAGCTCGCTTAAGATCAGAAGGAGAATAAGGGGAAACAAGTCTTCCTTTGATTAATCATCTCCTTATACATCTTAGATATCTTCTTATTTTTTAATGATAAATGGCATTTTTATCTATAAATATTACACACTGGTCATAATTTAACACACTTGCTCTTAATATTTAACAAAACCAATGACATATATGCCAATGAACAAAACAGATGAATAATCAATCACGTTCAACGCTATAAATCATTACCCAAATTATACCAGGAATTCAATTTTGAACTTCTGCATACGTTGTAAAGGTAAGTTGTTTTTATGAATTATGTAGGTTAGTTTGATAATGGATTTAGAATGAGCGCAAAATTAAATATTGAATATGAACCTCAATATCGAATGAATATTTTTATTAACTAAAATTTTATTTGAATTATTTCACTCTCATAATTATTTTAAAACTTTTATTTTAAGTTTTTTTAAATTTAATTTGGAATGTTTTTTATATTAAACAACTTTCCAATATTTAAAATGTTATTTTTTAGAGGTTATGAAATATTTATACACTATAATAAGTTTTAATACAGTTCACCATTAATTTTCTTGGCAGATAATTTTTTTTTGAACTGATAAGATTTAAATATTTTAGAAAAAATTATTTAACAACTTACTATACTTATTTACACACAATTTACTCAAATTTATTTTTCAGCTAAATCAAAGTAGAAATTATTAAATAAAATATATTTTTGATTTTTTTTTTGATAAATTATTTTTCAAAAAGAATAATTAGAAATAAAAATAGGGTAGTATAAATATATTTTTACCAAATTATTTGAATATTCAGTTGGGCAGATCATCCAAAAGAAGAATCTAAATACAGATACAGATTCTTTATAAAAAAATAAATCTTGATACAGATACTAGAATCTTTTTCAAAATATCAAAAAGATAAAAGATACACATCTCTTGCTAAATTAGAGTATCTTAAATACAAGATACTTTTATATTATCATTACCAATTAAATTAGAATAGTTTATAAAATACAGTTTTTATTATTTATTTGTGAAGAATAACAGTATATAATAATAATTAATAAAATATTTAATGATGAGTTTATAATAATCAAGTATTTTAATATTAATATTAGCCCATTCTTAGCATAGATAGGGAAGGAAGACTATATTTTTAATGAGAGTTGAAATATTAATTTGCAAAAGAGTATTTAAAATAGATTCAATATTAGATAATCAAATTTTTCTAATAATTTATTATTGGACCTTTGCCATTTTGGCGTACTTAACATTGTGCCTTAACTAAATGGCCTTTCATTTGGAACTGATGAAGGTATTGCAGTATTTTAAAAACATTTTCTTAATGGAAGGATAATAATTAAGCATTTATAATGTATTTCAACTTTCTTTTATATAATTTAAAATCTCGAGTTCAATGTTATTTGTATTATTGAACTCAGCAACATTTGTTTCACTAAAAGAAAAATAATCATCATTTTCTTTATTAGATGATAAATCTATTGATTTTATAGTCTGAGCTTGATTATATACTAGGGCTGTGCCGATCCGATATTTTGACTGATTTTTAATAACCCGCGTTTGAACCAAATGTAATTAAGAAATCAATATTTTTTATGCAAAAAATTGAATTATGAATTTAATTTAATTTTTTTATTTCTACAATTAAGACTATAATAAATAAATATATATTAATAATATATCTTATGTTGGAATTATAAAATTGTAATATTTAATATATAAAATTATAATATATTAGATTAAATATGAGAGCCTCTAGATTTTCTAGGAATAAGTCTACGATATGCACCATCTATATCTCCTGCCATACTGAAGGCAGACTCAGATGATTCCGCAGATAACGCATTTTGCAAAATTATCTTTGTCTTTTGTAAAATATTTCCATAATTCAGATACCATATTTAAAAAAATTCTTTTATTTAAAGTATAAATAAATAATTGGCGTTATTTAAGATTTAAAATAAATAAAACTTTGAATGTTCTTTCTATTTTTATAAAAAAAACTTTTAAAATACTATAAATCTATTTTAAAAAAGAAATAAAATTTAAAAAAATTATTTAGAAAATATTTTCTATAGCCATTCGCTTAAATGTAACAGCCTCATTTTTATATAAGTGCACCAAGTGCAAAAGGCCAGTAAGTCAAACTGGTCGTCATTGCCTCCAATGCATCTTTAGCAGTGGACGCGCAATCCGGCATAACAGATGTAATGCTCTCATAAAACGAGTTTTACAGTCCGCAGGCTTTCCTGCCACTTTAGAACCCTCAGGTCTCTTTACGGATGGAAGACGACCCGATGGAATTACACAAATTCCTTGGGAAAATGGCCGATTTCTAGCGTGGGATTTCACTTGTGTTGACCCCCTCTCACCCTCCAATATCAATAAGGACATTTTAAAATACATCGAAGATTTTGAAAACATATAAATATGTGGATATTCCAGATGAATATAAATTCGTACCAGTTGTCACGACAACCTTAACATCCCTTGGAAGTCAGGCTCTTAGCCTAATTAAAAAGATTGGCAGAACCTTAAGAACAAAATCAGGAGACCCAAAAGAAGGCGTCTACTTACGTCAACGCATAGTAATTCAGATTATAAAATCTAATTTCACATGCTTCATAGGTTCATTCCCAGAGGAGCTCGATTAATCTAGATTTTCTTCTTCTTCCCTAAATTATTTAAAATCCCCCCCCCTTCTTCCTCATATAATCATTTGCACTAATTATATTTCCATTATATCTATTATTATACTTTGTATTATGAAGTCGTTGTTTGTTAAATGTGTAGAATTGTTAAATTATATATTTTTTTAAATATTCCGTTATGTACAACAAAAATTACTTATATTATATTGTAATTATATATATATATTTTTTAAATATAGTATATTTTTTTTTAATATATGTATATTTATGCGAAATTATAAAGATTTATTATATGTAAAATAAATATACGTAACATAAATTAAAATAACAAAAAAAAGAAAAATAACAAGATCGGATCGGTTTTTTACAGGTATCGGCTCGATCCGATATTTTCAGAAAACGTTTAATATCGGCACAGCCATATTATTTACTCTTGTACTACATTTGGGGTTTGTTTTAATAATATATTAAAACAAAGTATTTTTTTTATCATTCGACTAAATCCTTAAGTTCTTAAATGCCACAAAGCCTCATTATACCCTTAATATTTTCTCAAAATCTTTTTCCCATACCATCATGAGCAGCTTTTAATAAAGGTAGACAATAACCTATGTTCCTTTTAACCACATATAAATATACTTTAATATGTTTAGCAAAATTTGTATTGAACCCTTTATCATTTTTTATACAGGTTTTACAGTCAGCCTGTACATTGTCTTTTTTAACTTTTATTTAAAAAAAATTTCCATCTAAAGTTTTAAGATTGGGATTTGATTCAGGTAAACTTATTTTCATAATATAAATTTCACTACCTTCTTCTTCACTACCACATTAATCATCCTTCAAATTAAAAATATTCATAAAATTGGTAATGATATTTTATCGAGTTACATATATATGTTAGCGGCAATGTGAAATATTCGGCAATGTGTTATTTTTTCAACTTTAAATCATTTTTTGAGCGCGTTTTTTAAACTTAAAAATCTGATTTTACCGGAAATGTATTCCATCATGTTTGGGATACCTACCCTATGAATTTCAAACAATATTTTCATGAACCTTTAATCTTAATTTAATTTATATTAGATTTTCCATATATTTTTTATATAAATTCTAAATGGCTCAAAGGTTATCAGCAAAATTGTCTACAATTCATAGGGTAGGTATTCCGAACATGATAGAATACATTTCCGGTAAAATCAGATTTTTAAGTTTAAAAAACACGCTCAAAAAATGATTTAAAGTTGAAAAAATAACACTTGCCGAATATTTCACATTGCCACTAACATATATATATATAAAATATAATATAATCTATACTTATTTCTTTTTGATGTTGTTATATTTTATCTATCTATCTCAATGTGAGTTGTAAATTTTCCAACCAATTTTTGTTGGAAAATATATTTAAAATATGGCGGAAAACAAACAAGGAAATTAATAAAAGATTCGCGAAGAAAATAAAATATATACTGTGATATGTAAAATTTTAAACATGAATATTAAAAAGAATCTGTATCTGTATCTCTTGTCAAGAAAATGAAAAAGTTACTTTGATATAAGTATTCTCGGTACTGCCCAACTCTGTAAATATTGATCCTAAATTTTGTAGTGATTTAGTTTTTATATTATTTTTGGCTTTATCAGTTTAAGAATCTATTATGGGTTCACATTATATCTGAATATATTTTTTTTAAGACATAACGTGTAAATTAACTAGGTCAAGTCAAGTGGCCAAACTTATTTAGAGATTTAATCTAAAAATTCACTCTAATTGACTTTATAATAAAATTTATTACTCAAATTTAATTAATAGAGGTAAAATACATAATAAATTAGATTACATTAGAATTTTCAATTCTTTATGTATATATTATATTTAGTGTTGTGCCGATATTGGATTGGAAACAATATTTAGCATTTTTTAAAAAAACACTTGATCTCTATTATAAATTAATAAAAGGAACTAAAATTTAAAAAAATGGAGTATTTAAGAATTTGATATTTTTTGTTATATTATCTACAACAAGAAAATGATTATAATAAGTCATATTAATTTAGTGTTTCTAAATGGCTTGATTTCACCAATTTTTAAAAATGGCTAATTAAAAAAGTAATTTATTCAAGCTTTAAATTTTTTCTTAGAGTTGATAGAAGGGTTTGGACATCTTTTGGCAAAATTTAGAGGTTTATATAATATACATTTAGCCATTTTTAGAAATGGGCTAAATTGAGCCATTTAACAACCCTATTGGCAGAGTCTTGTTCTGATACACATTCAATATTATCATCCTTAATATTTTTTGATCAATTTTACTGTTGTCGAGATCTTCAATCGATTTCTGTTTTAGTAAGAATATTAACCCAAATCAACCAATTTCTTTTTAAAGAAGCAGAATTATTAATTGTTATTAAAATGTCACATCTCTTAATGGGCATGGTGAGAAAAGCCCATTCCACTAACTTGAGGCACTAATCTAATTGTTTTACTGCTTTCCACATAATTTGCTACTAAATGCCACTTTTACTTCTAAAGAGCACTTAAAATATTTTGATCATCACCACATTGTAAAATGCCTAATTCTTGTATTATATCACATGCTTCATTAAATTCACTATACTAGAGATGCTCCCCTTGATATTGGGGCCCCAATAAATAAGCAGTATTGTGATCACATGTATTAATATTTTTTTTCTTTTTTTTTAAACATATTTTTAATGGGTTTTTTTAGAATTTTTGACCAGGTCAAATACTCCTCTGGTCAATTGGTCGAATTTGATCTGTTTGCTTTATAAATATCCTTCAATATTTTAGGAATAATATACCTTTTTTAAAATTTATCCAAATATAAAACTATATTATATTTAATGAAATGAATTTATTTTTTATGGCAGTTTTTCAGTTTTTTCTCAAAAACCATCAGCGGATGGGTTGTAAAAATTTGAAACAATGAAACAATGGGTTGGAGGTTTTTTTTTACAAAAACCATGGTTGGGTTTGTGTGTAAACCCATCTATCAGAATTCACAGTTAGCGTGAATGCGCAGCGAAGTGGACAAAATGACGGAGAATACAAAAATACAGCATATACTACGCTGCCAATTTGCGTTAACTGTGAATACAGGCTACTACATATCGCCAGCCTCAATTACTAATTTTTATATAAGTTCAGTTTTATTTCTTTCTTTTTTTTAATTGACTTCAACTTTTCGTATTAATAATTTATCTATGCTAATTTTTAAAAAGCTATGAATATTTTTTTACAAAATAAATAATCACAACATTCTTTAGAAAACAATGAGTACTCTGAACCCATGCTTCTTCATCACGATAATGGTACTCACGGCCTTACGATTGGCCGCGGCTCCACCTCCTCCACAAAGACCTATTAAAAATACGGTTGAACAAGCCGAGGCGGAACCTTACCCTGATTCCGATGATTTTGATTTGGTGAATCTATTCAACTTATTTCAGTTTAATTATTTTGGGAATTATATCCAAACGAGGAAAACTAAAAAAAAGTTGATGAGGATAGGTGAGATATTAAAAAATAGGATTCTTAATCCTGGCACCTTAAAAATTTCGCAAATCATTGCAAGGCCACATCTGGTTGTACAAATTGTATTTCTTAAGATATTATAATTATTCAGTATTTTATTTAATCAAGTTCGACCAATTATAAAAAAGAAAAAGATTTAATTGTTAGTGCTTGCAAACATTTTATAATAATAAAAAATTCGTGTTCAACGTCCATATACAAAAAAAAAGAAACGCGTTCTCATTTAATATAAATCTTTGTTAGCCGTTGGAACCATTATATATATATAGTAAATGATTATATTGCTAATTAAAAACGGTTAAAATTTAATTTTAAATATTAATATTTTTTCATTGTTATTTCGGATGAATTTATTCATTTTTATTTTACAAAAAAAATGGGATTAACAGGGCACTCGGCATTACAATAAATATCTTATGGACGTGGTAAGCGTTTTAGACGGCGACGAACATGGCAAAAAATTGCTTCAGGAAATGAGTCAAATCGATATAGCAGTTTTTTAAATTTAAATATATTCTGTTATTTGGCCATTATTATCTTTAATATCTTCTTCTTTTTTTTAAAATGTATATCATAAATTCTTTTTATTATTTTATACATTCTTTTCTTTATTTCCTACCCGCCTTTCTTTCATCTTGTTCCACATATGTTTATTTTTTATTTATTTTTTACATCTTTCCCTATTTAAAAATTAAATAAACTTACCTTACAGTTGGGAAATTTTACGAAAGATTTCAAGCTTAAATCCAAAGAGGCTTACGAACAACTCAATCAATTGAAATCGGACGAGCTCGAGAGATTGAGACATTTGATGAAAACTCAACAAGGTATTATATTCATTCAATTTTTCATTTCAAGTTTATCTAAGAATTATTTTAAGAAAAAAATATTTTATTTTATCGGCTGGAATCTTAAAAATGCAATACGAGAATCTTTGGGAAATTTTTCGAATATACAACGAAAGAAAAAATAGTTTTGTGATTATTAACATTTATCTGGAACAATGACTTTTTTGAATTCATCTATCCTATCACGCTCGATCTTTAATGAAAGTAAATAGAAGCAAAACAGTTCAATAGCATATTTTGAATCAAGTAACAATTTAATATCAATCTGATTCAAGGCGCAGTCCTACTCATGAAGTTTGTTATACTTTTGAAAGATTTATAACAAAAATGGAAAATTTCTAAAGTTGATATCAAGATTCAAGATAGAACGAAAAGTAGAAACATGAAAACAATAAAATAAAAATAATATATTTAAAAAAAAATTATTATAAAAAAATGACTTTTTATCGTATTTTAAAATATGATTTGATGTCTCTGGCTGTAGCTTTGATACTTTTATGTAGTGGTAGCATAAAAGGTAATTAAATATATTTGTGGCACCTATGGAATATGACCCATATAAGATGGATTTGGTTACGATATTGAAAACGATTACGATAAAGCTAAGGTTGAGCGATTAGTAAGATTAATACCAGGGATTCAAACCGAACCCTTAAAGCAGCATCAACAGTTATGATTAACCGAACTTCCCGGTTATATTTTTACTAAAGATGATTAATAATCAGTTTTGACTGATTAATAGTAGTAATTATTTTTAGATATCTTTGTATGCTATTTGACTATACCCTAATTAGCATTTAGGAGTGTTCTCAGTCATAAAATGTAGTTTTCCTACTTATAGGATATAATTTGATAGAAGATAATCTTGAAAACATTTTAATCTTATATGGCTCGATATTTTTTAAATAGTGATAAATTTTTAAAAAATGTTAACATAATTCGAATATGTTTATATGCGGAAAGGTTTAAGCCGGTTTTTATAGGTTTAAACCGATCCGATATTATTAACGTACTGAACTTGAACCGTTATTTTATCTGAACCGAACGGATGTTCATCACGGTAGTCTACTAATTACCCTTTTACAATTGGAAATTGAAAAGGACTCATGTCTATCCCATTGGGAAACGTCCCGTTATTCAATTTTTTGCATATAATTTATAATATATTTTGCGGGAAAATTTTATTAAAAAATTAAATATGTATACAATATTATTTATTCGTAGATTTTTAGGATTTTTCGCGCATTTTTTTAAAATGGAAGGAAAAATTTCTGAGATAATTTTATAAAAATATAAAATAAATGATCTTATAAATTTAAAAAAGGAAAACAAATTTTCGTCTAGATATCAATTTAAATATATTATTTTCCATAGGGAAGGAGGAGAGGAGGAAGTTTCAACCTCAAACGTGCCCACCTCCTCTTGTCACAATTATAAATATTTTTAGTTAAGTTGCGGGACTTAGTTTACAGGGAGACATTCCCTTCTGTTCGTTTGAGATTGAGTGAGCATCATTGAAATTTACTTTATGCTTAATAATAATCAAAACTGTTTTAACCAGAATATTTATTAAACCACAAACAAATTTTCTAGACTTTTATTAAATTTATAGAATAATAGATTATTAAGAATTAATTATAAATAAAAAAATGAAACATAAATATATATTGTAAACATAAAATTGTGTTCCTTTTATAGGAAAAACAAAAGGCGCAGTAATAATTAAAATTAATGTGACGCAAAGTGAGGAAATGAACGTTTTTGAAAATAAGAATTGTGTTTTATCGGATATAATCGCTTTCAAAACTAACACATATTTCGATTTTTCGAGGATAATTATACTCCGAGATTCCAAATATTCTCGTGGTTATAGAGACATATAAATTATTACAAAAAACATTGATAAGATTTAGAAAAATGCCTCAAACTAACAAGCTAAAATAAAAGACAAAAATCGAAAATAATTTACATATAAAATGATGGACATAAAAAAACTGGATATATATAAAACAACCATAAGGAATGGGGGGAAAGCATGTTATTATTAAAAAATTATATATATTTTTATACAAAGCATAACAATTAGGATGAGTTTTTATAACGCTTATATGTATATTATATCATAAATTAATCTAAATTTGTAATAATTTTCTAATTTATGCAAGCTAGCCATTTTTAGACAGAATCGCTATCTTGTATAACATTATAGAAAAGGGGGCGGAAGGGGGGGGGGGGACATAATAATTTTTAAAATTTGCTCTTGATAACATTTCATTTAACTAGCGACATTGCTAAATAATTTGTTGAATAGGGATTGCCATATTAAAAACTTCCTGGTATGGTAAATTTTCGTTGTTTGAATTTAGGCATTCCGAACGATCTAACAGATCATATCGATACCAATAAACGACATTTCGACAACGCCGACCTGATACTTCTGCTTCAAAAGGTATGTTTTGATAAGGAGAAAAGTGAAGGGGCGTATAAGAATGGTAAAAAAGGAAATTAAGACAGAAAGAATGAACTAATGAATAAAAAAAGAAAAAAAAGAGAGAAATTCAAAGTAAGAATTGATTTGTGGAATGAATGTATAATAATTCTGATTTAAACAATATATAGACCATTAAAGACATAGACGAGAAACGCAAGGAGGCCTTTAAAAACTATGAGATGGAAAAGGCATACAACAAGACCAAAATGTTGGAGAAAATGTCGCCCGAGCAGAAGATCGAATTCCAGAAAGCCGAAAAAGACCACGAAAATAAGAGGCAGCTTGATGAGAAGAAAAACCCCACTCATGAACCCGTAATATATAAAAAAAAAATTAAAATTGTATAAATTACCTTTTAATAATATTTTTTTGATGTTTTGGTGCTCATTATATCTCATATTTAGGCCGTGACAATTCTTTCATCATTTATTTAACCAATATAAATTCTTTTGGATACTAATTTTATTATCTTAATTATTATTATTTTAAAAGAAAGAAATATAATATATTGTTTATTCTCCATTCTATGTCGCTTATCAAATTTTAAACAAATATTAAATCATATGTTAATTGTTGAAGACTAACACTGAACTAATTATTTGAGGACTACATATTATTTTATTTACCTTTTATTTTCTAAACAACTTCACAATAAAATATATATATAATTTTCATTTTCAAAACAAAAGATTTTATAACTGTCAAAAAAACGCGAAAAAATAAATCTGAATATTTTAAATATTTTTTTTAAAACGCTAAAAATGATGTCGTTTTCTTCTCTTTCATATAAAAGTAAAATATATCCTTGAAAAAATTGTAAATAAAATTCAATTACCCAATTAAAACATAAAAATAATCAACAAAATTAAATAATATAATATTGCATTATTCATAGATGATTTAAAAGTACGATTATATAATTGTAAACCTGTTATACAAACGTATATTAGTTAAACTATTACACAGGGCATCAAAACTAAACCTGCACTGTGCTAGATGCATACGCACCGGGGGGGGGGCAGGAGTACAAATCCTCCCAAAGCCAAAAAATCCAGATGCCGGTTAAAATATTTTCTAAAATATTACTAATTACAATATCTTATTGCTTATGTATTCCAATTAACATTTATTTATCGCATTCATAGCAGAAATAAATGCGCTACTAATTTATTCTATAATTAATATCAATTTCATATTTTCCTTGATGTATTTACCATTTTTAAATTTCTCTAATAATTTGAAACTTTTTAATCAAATCTAAAGTAAAATGTATCAAAAAAATGATATCGATTTGATTGTTGAGACTATCAGAATAGCTGAAAGCATTATATTAGACCAAAAGGAAATTAGGGCAGACGAATTTCATAAAATATGTCATTGTTAAGTCAAAGACAGCTCATGAATTTAATATTATTCTACCTCGACTCGCGGAAAGGAAGCCTATCGTTCCAATAGTAATATAAAGTCAATCGAAGAATACCATAGAATAACTATCTTTAGCCCCCTCCTGGATACTTTTATAACTATGAAAGGTTTTTAATTAATCAGGTAGCATTTACAAATTTACAAATATTATTACCGTAGTATACTTCTGAATCCTTTCAAGTTTTGTTAGAGAAAAAACATATTTAAGACTATTTTCCTGATGTATAAAAATTATTACATATTTTTCTACCAATAAAAGAACACTTCCTTTCTTAACAAGATTAAAAACATACTTGAAAAGTAGTGTTAAATGACTCGATTTGAGCCGATTTTTTAAAACAGAAAAATATTGCCTAACCCTGAGAATTCGTTAATTGATGTTCAAACTAGAGGTCTGCAATGGGAGAGTTTTAGTCAAAAAGCCTCCCACTCATTGTTTTGAAATTTTAAACCGCTCGCCCACTTATAATTTTTTTTTAATTTACCCTTCCGCCCATTTATCTATATATTTTGTTTAACCCACCCGCTCGCCTAATGTTTAAAAATTATTTTATTGGCTGGTTTGGCTCTTTATTTATTTATTTTAATGTATTTTTAATATTTTATATATAATATGCATTATTATAAAATAAAACTATTATTTTTAATAAATTGAAGCCTGTTCTGTTCAATTTGCCTGAAAATATTAAAGATTCACCCACCCACGCCCGCTAATTACTTTAAAAAAATTTTACCAGCCTGCCACCCGCCCAATGTTGTACGACGGGCTAGCTAAAAACCCGTCCATTGCAGACTTCTTGTCCAAACTTTTATGCTATCTATAAACAAAATCTCCAAGTTTGCATAATATTTTTCTAGATAATGTATTGAGTTATCCGCTTTAAAAATTGGTTCAAATTGCTTTTAACAACATTACTAAGAAATACTACCTCTAAAAATAGATTGGATAAGTGTTAGCCCTTTTAATATACAAATCACTGATGAAATCAATGAAAAATTAGCTCGATCCCCAAAATATTCAATTTCACAATATAAATTTATAATATTTTTAATGATTATATTTAATGGTAAACGACTCGATTTGAGACGATTTTTAAAAACAGCTTACTCAATATTTTATCCAGAAAAATATTACTTAAGCTAGAAGATTTTTTCTCCTAAATAACACAAACGCTTGAATATCCATTAGTCAAATCTCGAGGTTTTGGCAATTTTTTTCTGACTAAAATATTGAACTAACCGTTTTTAAAAATTGGCACAAATCGAACTATAACAACACTAATTTTTAGATATCCCTTAATTTCTTCATGATATTTTAGAAATTTATATATGCAATATAATTCTTAAGATTTTTTTTGTGCATTCATATATATTTCCAATATTTTTTTTTAATATATAATTTAAATTTATATATCATATTTTATATGCATAAAAAATTTATCCTCTTTTACAATTTATTTTTCGAGATATTTATTTTATAATGATTCATACCTATTATATGCATTTATTTTTTAATTAATTTATATTTGAATTTGGTCAATATTTTATAGTCACTTAGTGTTGTTAAATAGCTCGATTTAAGCCTATTTTTAAAAACTTAACTCAAGATTTTAGCCAAACCTTTGTACCATCTATGAGTAAAATCTTCTGACTTGCCTTATATTTTTCTGGATAGAATATTTAGTTCGTTGTTTTTTAAAATCGGCTCAAATCGAGTAATTCAACATCACTAGTCACTACTCATAATAAAATTATGAAACTTAAGTGACTCCTAGAATAATTTTTAGAGATAAATTTAATTATCCCCCCCCCCCTCCCCAATGGCAAATACCTGCGTACACGCCTGCTGTTCTATCATTTTTTTAAGGGACCCGAACCGACCTTATTTTTTTTAAAGAGCGGATTGACTTGAGGTCGGAGTAATTTGATCGTTTAGAAAAAATTACACTCAAATAAATGGGCCGATATTTCACCTATTATAAAATATCAGTTATCGGCCAATATTATAAAATTTGCCGATCCGATATAAAATGGCGTCTTTAACAAAAATAAAATGTTATAAATTTTTAAAAAAAAGTTATATCTAAAATCATTTATTTTTATAAATAAAATCCAAATCCATATTTTTTTAATAATAATAATTAATTAATAAACATCTGCCATATTGTTATTTTTTGCGCATTCTGTTTATAAAAGTGTGCGATAATCTCTTCAGAATCTATTTTTAGTGAAGCTGGTAATATTGACAGTTACCATCGCCGCAGACTGATTTCTGATAAATTGGAAATTTTGATATTTCTAAAAAGAAATCTTCGATATTTTAATGTTAAATATTATTTTAAATATTTATTAAAATTTCATAATATATTATTACTTATTATGTATACAGATTAATGTTGTTACTTATTATATAAAAGTGATTTATAATAAAAATATTTAATATACTTTTAGGCAATATAATTGAATATAAACTATAACAGATCATTATAATATATTTAAATGACATAAGTTATGGTATAATTAAATTATAGATGTTATACTAATAAAAAGTATATTACAAATTAAAACCATCGGTATCTTCACAGAATACAAAATTAGATATGATATCAAATCGGTTATCGGCCGATATCAATTTAATATCTGAAATATCGGATCGGATCGGCCTTCAAAAAGTGGTATCGGTACACCCCTACTATATTTCATTTCATATGGTTTAAAATTCGATAAGACGTATTTTTATTTTATCAACTAAATAAGAGGGTGTTTTAAATTTTAAAAATTTAACTTATATAGGATCATTCACTGAGTCCTTCGGTGAACTTTTATTTGTGTATAAAATCGTGCCATTGAAATATAACGGAAGTACCTTAATTAGTAAATATACGTAGTCACTAGTCAGTATTCATTTTATAACTGAGTCATTTTTTATTTTAGTCATAATATCTAATCACTCATAACTTGAATACAGATTTGGGGGGTCTGGAACATTTGGGACGGCCATAGATTGTAAAGGCAAAAATATTTATGATTTGTTTTGTTTTTTATATAATGTGGCCAATTATTATTTATCGAATATAAAAAATATCTTCATTTAAAAATAAAATAAAATAAAGGGCAGCAAAGAACAATTGGTAGAAGTGGCTGAAGAAAAAGATCATTTGGAAAATTTCGATCCCAAAACTTTCTTTCACTTGCACGGTTAGTAAATCTTATTTTTTAAAAAAAAGCAAATAAATAAAAAGCTTATTTTTTTAGAAAGTAAAATTTTGAGAATAATTTTTTTTGAATTGTGTTGAAATTGATTTAAAATATCCAATTAACTTAAGATATTTTGATAATATTGATTTAAAATATCCAATTAACTTAAGATATTTTGATAAAATAAATTGATAATTGATTATCGAAAAAGTAGAACAACTTATCAAAATTTCAAATCATATCATCCTAACTTTGACTTTAGCACCCGCAAGTGCAGAAGTTGGGTGTGGGGGTTTATATTAAAAAGAAGCATATTGTAGAGAGAGGATAGATCAAAATTTATATCTATCAATTATTAAATCTAAAAAAAAATTAAAATCTACAATAACTTTTATAATTAGGCATATTACTCAAAAGCAAGGATTGATCCCGCTCATTTATAACTCATATATTTTATAAGGTTTGGCTAATAAAAAAATCAATTGCTTTCCTAGTTGTAAGCTTGACGCGCTTCGTCACTGGCAAAATACAACGATTGTATTGTGATCTGGGCTGAGAAAAATAAATAAAATAACAAATAGGAAGCAATGATAATTATATGGTTTTGTTATATCATATATTTTCTTATACAGTGAAGCTCCATATAGTGACCATTATTATTGTTAAATGGCTCGATTTAAGCCGTTTATTTAAAACGGCTAACTCAATTAGTCAGAAAATTATTGCCTAAGCTTCGAGATTTCGCTAATGGATGTTTAAAATTCTGTGCTATGAGCAATATCTTCAGGCTTGCGTTATATTTTTCTGGATAAAATGTTGAGTTAGCCGCTTTTAAAAATCCTCAAATCGAGCCGTTTAACAACACTAGTGACCATTAAAGATCGGTTCACTTGACTGGCCATTTTATACAGATGGTCTAATTAAATAAATGAAATTAATCATAATTAGAAAAAAATATTTTTATATTCAAATTTTTTGAAGTAAATATCAAATATTTGTTTAGTGCGTCTTTTTACTCTAAATAGCGTTATTTTCCGAAACATTTTTATGAATATATATCCTTTTTTATAAGTGGGTCGATTTTACCTTCGAAATTACTATCAGAACTCAAGGTGACGCTTACAAAAATATTTTCTTGGCTGTCCAAAAATATTTATTACCAAATTTTTGAAATTTTATCGCAAATAGAAGAAAGCCTATTTTAATATAAAATTAAAAACTAATTTTAAAGATTTCAGAAATTTAACTTACGTTCATTAAAATTGTAAAACTTCTGAAAGTTTTAAAACTTTTCAAATTTTTTATTAAAAATTTTGGATATAACCTAATGATATTTCCAATATATTATTTAAAGCACCTTTTAATCTTGACTCCTCACATCTGCAAATTTTTATCCATATTTATTAAATGATTCGTATGATTGGAAATTTTATAGTGGTAAGATTTATAATATATTATCACAAAAATATCTTCATCAGATTCCAATTAAAATTTAAATTATTCTTGCTTAAAACACCAACACACCCTGAACTTATCCAGAAAAATTTTTTTTCATGTACTAGTGAAGCTGAAACATTTAATTAAGATTGAGCTATTACCAAATTTTACTAAATTATTTTTGTAAAATAATTTGAAATATTTTTTTATTTTTTGATCAAGTGGTTGTATAATTGATGTTATATTTGGCTGTAAGTATTTAATAGTAATATTTAAAAAAAAAATTTGTGATAGGATAGACATTTGGATATTGTAGAAATTATTTTAATATTATATGTTTAAAAAAATTTGTTTTACTTCTGTCCCTTGAGATGAGATCAATGTTATCTTTTCTCTTTATATTGATTACTTCTCTATTTGTTAATAAAATTCATTGCAATGTATATGTTACGTTAGATCGAATAAAATTCATTTGAACATATGAATTTTTAAGTTTCCATAAATCCATTATTTTTAATACTTATAAATTTAAATTCCAATTCACCGCAAAAGTCTAGTCGATATAGGCGTCACTAGCCTTTACAATCCTAGGGGGCTTAACTAAAAAAATTTGAGGATCCAATATACCTTTATATGAATTATTGCTACCAATAGCATCCTTATCAGATTCCATGTCTATATCTAATTTTATCTTTAATTATATTAAAAAATTATTACTATCATAGTGTCTCAAGATTCAATCTCACATATAGCAACTATTATTTAACAAATAATTAAATATAAAATTTACCTATTTTTTTTTTTTAAACTTTTGTACTTTTATTATTTATATCTCTCAGAACTACAATATCTTTCAATTATCTAATAAAGTATAGTTTGGAATTTTAAAAAAACTAACTGTATTTCATATGTACTTTTAAACTCCTACTCTTTCATTGCCTCCTCTTCTTTTGGCTAAATATAATCAACATCAATATTGCTTCCATTTCCATTATAGCATTCATCATAAAATCAATATCTATTCTTACTTAATTATCTAAATAAAAGTTGTTTTAGTTAAATATTATTAGAGTTTTAACAAAGAATTTTCAAATACTGGATTGGATCTTAGAAATTTTCTTAGGAAGAAGCATAGTGAATTAAATTTAAAAATGAGTGATATGAATGATTAGTGATTTTGAACTCGGCTAACACAAATCACAGTATTAAATTGGATTTATTTTATTTTCAATTAATAAATGATTATATTAATTTAATTAGGATTGTAAAATAATTTAAATAATATTAAATCAATTAAGTTTCAACTGTTAAGGCTTGATTGATAAAGACATGAGTGATATTGATATTCCATTTTTAACACCGAATTATCGCAATTGTTGACATATTGAAAATACTATATGTACTAATCTATTAAAAATAAAAAACCTAAGCCGGTTTAAAAATTATATTTAGTTTAAGAAATATTTGGCAGAGCTTGAAAATGGGGGGTAGGGTGGATAATTAAATACGGGCACAGCCTAAAAAATGCTGGCATCTCAATTCTCTCATACATAGGTTTTGATAACGCTTCACAACGGATAAATATTAAAAGATTATAAAATTGTTTTTTTTTATAAATATGATTTGTTCAGATGATAAAAAAATTGGCAAAAAATATTAGATAATATCAATATTTCACATTAAGCATATAATATGTTGAATTTTACTCACTTTGTTTACTGCCGATTATGATGGTTTAAAGGAAAACATACCCACAGAAATCTAGAGAAATCAACTCTTGATAAATGAATATTCTTATGCGAACAAAACTGGAGAGAATTGTAATATATCAATACCCTGCAATTTAAAAATAATATTTGGAATGTTCGATTTACAATATATCGTCCCTTGATTATTGGAGTTCTCCAATCAATATTTTTTTTAAAGAAAATGCGCTAATTTATAAATAAATAGATACTAATCATTATTTCTATTTAAGGTAAATTTTAGAGAAAAATGTTTTGATTGAATTATGTCTAATTTTTTTTGCTTTATCTTCATATTTTTATCTTTACCCTGTTGCTTGCTTCTAAGAATTATTTTTCCATATTTTATAATAGATTTGGACGGAAACGGATTATGGGACGAAGATGAAATAGGAGTTGTTATACAAAACGAGGTTCATATTGATTATTTGAAAAAAAGAAAAAATAATGACACCATAGTTTAAGAAAGAAAATGCACGAAAGGAAATATGAAAAGGGAGAATAACTTTTAAATAAAAAAAGAAAAAAAATGTTAAGTTGGTAACATGCCTATTCAAAAACGAATAAAATACCATATTCAATTTATATAAACAAATCGAATAATTTACTTTTATTATTCGGACGAAATATATAAAATATGCTTCTCTTATTCAGTTGGTATAATTACGAATGGTAAATTCGTTACGGCCTAGCCTAGTTAGTAGCTCTCGGGCAATAATTAAAAAATTAAAATACTAGTAAATGTAAGGGGGGGGGGGGAGGCTGGAAAATAATATGTAAAAAAATATATATCTTATGAATGGCTAACTCGATTTAAACTTCGAGGTTAAAACCTATATTTTTTGGCTAAACCTCGTCTATGCTCCCTTGGAGTCAGCTCGAGTTAGGTGAATTATAACACTAAGAAATCGATTTTAGAACTGCTTACGGTTATAGCTTTTTTAGATTCGCGAAGGAGAAAAATAATAATATTTTAGATTTTAAAGAAAGTCAAACGTCTGTTGTCTTGATGGATCAGACACTTCGTTCTCTTAAATGTGTCCCATAAGTAAGGGTTGGCTTTAAGAGACATCTCCACCTATAAATAAAATAGGAGGTGGGCGGGCTTTTTACTCATTATAATCATTTTTAAAAATTTTATACACTTCAAATACCTTGATTCCTGAAAGTTATTTATTTAAAAATAATTTCGAATTTTTATGTATTATTACCAGGTGGATAAAAGATTTCCTCCTAACGACCCTACCGTGGACCCGGTAGAAAAGGAAGAGTTTAGGGAGAACGTTAAGGACGATATCTTGAATGAGGTGCGAAAAATGATTTTGTTAAATATTATTAATATATTGAGGGGTAGAGCCTTTCAAATTCAATTTTTTATTTATTTTTATACCTTAGTTTTATATTATTTATTAACCAGAGCATGACCCAAATTTGTAACTGGAAAAAATACAAATTAAACTCATATAAAGTCAAATTAACACTTTTGTTGATATTAAAGTGACCAGGTTATAAATGTTTAAATTTCGGAATTAGCACATGTTTAAAAGAAATTTGTTAATACATAACCATCTTAGAATGTTAATAACACTTAAAAATATTATTTATACAAAAATATTTTAAGGAAGGGCAATAGCGGCAAATAAAATCAGCTTATCTTTTAGATCGGTTTTTGCCGATTTGATTTTGTACAAATTTTAAATCGTCCGATTCTAACGCCTCCTTTAAAATAATTTTTTTTATAACTAGTTATGATGTTATATCGATATTCCAAGAGTTATGCATAAAAAAATTAGATGCCAATCTGGTTGCCAATTCTGAGATATACATATTTTTAATCATGTCATTTAATATTGTCAAAAATATCGATGCGGCCCTAGTCACCGAGAATATTCTCGTTATCGTTTTATATTGAAAGAAAAAATTTTCGGCTAAACCCTAGATTTATTTATTTATTATCAGGGTTGACTTGCAGGTAGTGTTTACAGTGGTCCGATCGGACTGATGGTCCAGTTCAGTCTCATCTGACTATTGGGTCCGACGGGACGGTCCGGCCTGACAACACGATACAATGGTCTAATGGTCTAGTTCGGTCCGACCAAAGACCGATTAAAAAAGATGAAAGTTTACTATGAATTGCGTTTTAGTTAATGTACATGAACACTTAAAACATGATTATTTAATGCCTAACACTTTATAATCTCATTCATCGTTTACTTTTTATATCCTTCCGTTTCATTCATTTGTCTAATGATTTAATTTAGTAGGTAGTAGTATTATATTTTTATTTCTAGAAATTGAAATCATAGAGATGATAATATTATTGAACCACCACCCTCGGTGAAGGAACAACTATTGATTTAGAAAATAGTATTGGTAGTGCAAATGAAAAAAATCGATCAAATTTATATTTGTAAGATGTTAAAGAATTATATAAATTTTTGAGAAAGGATAATTCTGGGAAAACATGTAAAATATGTCTCCAGATATTTTCCAATTCTTCAAGCACAAGTACATTATACATATTCATTAAATTGAGAGCTCAAAATTTTAAATAGATGAATAAAATCATCATCAAATAAACCAATTTATATTTTTGATTAGGGCTGAACCTATATTAAAAACCCAAGATTAATGAAGTATTGTATTGGTATTGTGGATGGATAAAAAATGAAATTATATTTTGATTTTTTAGAAGATAATTAGAATATTAGATTAGTAAATTATATATTTAATTATTAATCTCATTATCTCTCTCTGAACAATAAGTTTTAATTTTATATAATAGTGTTTCATTTCAATTTAATCATAATTTAAATTTTATTATATGATATATAATTGCTTTTCTCATCGCCAATTCTGTGATTAGGGGGTATCAGTCATTGAGAATATGAAGCTGAGGTAATTGGATTTTATTATATTGAGAGCTAATCTTTGGCGTAGGTAGTAACCCTCGTTGGGATCTTCGGTCCTAGTAGAGATCCGTTTCCCCAGTTCTTTAAAGAAGGCAAGGGCGTGAGAGCCGAACGATGTTAGAGTCCTGGCGATTAGTGGTAGGAATGTGTAATTGGCCGGAAGCGATGGCGAATATTTAGCGAGTTTATTTATCTCGGCGTCTACTAGAGCATCTCTATTTATATTGGAAGGGGCAAGGGGATCGATGCATGAGAAATCCCAGGTTAGGAATTCCCCCTCTTCCAAGGGATCATGGTAGAGCCATCGGGACGCTTACCGTCAGAATTGTAGAGTCCAGTAGGTTCGAGGGTTGATGGGATACCGGCAGATTTTAGGGCCCTGGCACTAGTATCATTGCATTTTGAATGTCTAATGAATCTGCCTCTACATCGCTTGCAGTGTAAAGAGTGACGGCCTTTGGAGTTGACCGGCGTTTGACAAAGGATGCAGTGATAGGGTATTACCATATCGCAATTAAGTCTTAGACCGATGGCGTGACGTAGCTCATCATTGCTTAGGAGCTGGTCAAGGTTTCGCGATGGAAAAGCTTCGAGAAATTCATACCCGCTGTCTGCGGAAATGGAGAAGAGTAGAGAATGGTCCTCGGGTTGGCTCCTCGATTTAAGGTATGCAACGGAGTTGCCAACTAGAGGCTTATCCCAGTCCTTCTGCAGTGTCGATGAGGGAGGATCGACTAATGAAAGAGATTTCCATAGATCAATTGCTTGGGGAAGTAAAGGGTCAGGATGTTTTGTGAGTGTGTGTATGATGGGCTCGCAGGACAGGCGAGAGGATATGAACGCACTAACAGAGAGTAGGGAAGGCGATCGTATGCCAATGCCGCCGGATTTGGTTGGCAAGGTAGCTTGTAGCCAAGATAGGTCTCCGAATTTGAGATTGAGTATATCCTCAGTGAGGTGTTTAATCTCTAGCTCGTGTGCCGCGAGGTTGACGTCGTTATAACCACTGCCAACACCACAACCGGACATAAAAATGATTTTATCATCCAAAATATTCAGTCCTCTTTCATGATTTTGCATCAATGAATTCTATACAATTCCAATATATCAAAATTTAATTGTAGATTAATGATACAAGAAATTTAAGTAAATATTTTCTCCTTTAATATTTCCTTTACTTTTAGATTACCAATCATCCTCAATTATTATACATCAATTAATAACCAACAAGTTTTTTTATATTATTCCCAACATAACACTCTACATTATCAATTCTATCATTCTTACCAATCTTTACAATTTACCCTTATTTATACCAAAAACTGTTGACTAATATAAAATTGTCATCCAAACATTTTATTTAAATGTACAAAACACAATCAATATTCACACTTGAAAAGGATAATACATTTAATCTCTTATCTAATTATACTATTGATTCAAATCCTTTAAAGCAAGCTAATATTGCTATAAAAGCAGAAAGGGAAACTGAATATTTTACAAAAATGACTGATAGTTAATTACATTGTACTAGAAGAATATGGACTCTACAGCTTACTATTGCAAAACCCCTCCATGAACTAAATATTACAAGCTATTTTAATTCATGAGCTTACCAGACCTCAGCACAGCTTCTACCAAATCTAACTGCCCTCTATGTAATAAACTTGTTAAAGTAACCAAATTGGGGCTATTGCCATCTCACCGAAACCAGAAGATAAAATGTCCTCAATCTGGGCTTCCCATCTTATCACCAGCTATCCCTCGAACCCTAAATGCCTTTTCTGCCCTTGCCCTCGCACAACCTATAGTTACCATTCCCACGTTGACTGATGTGCCTACTAGCCCAATAGTCCCTACCTCAACCGCCGAAAATGCTCTCACTATCAATCCAACCGACTCCACAGATGTAGAAATATTTTTAGTCACACCAAAACCATTTGTGATATCACGTATACCTAAGGGAGCAAGACTTCAAGTTGCCAAACACCTCTCAAAGAACTTGACTTCCTTGATAAATAATTATTCTTCCATAAAACACTGGCTAGACACCCTGTCATTTGCCTTTACAACCTTGCAAGTTCCTGATCCTGCCAGCAAAAAATCTCTGACACAGCAAATCAAGGATGCTACTATCTACCCCTTACCCATCAATCACTTTTCCACATCTTTTAAAGGTGATGACACTAATAAAAATAAAAATCACAAAAATGACCTACTCACCAAGGCCAAGCTTATATCTAAAAAGCTGGATAAACTGAATGTTAAATCCGCCATACGACTGGCAACATCTGACAATAAGCTAGCTCCCTACGATCAAACAACTTATCAAGCTCTTCTCCTAAAACACCACCCACACGATCTTAAGAACGAAATACCGTCTTACCCCGAAGCTCCTCTAATTGCAACCACTTTTACCTCAAGCGAGGTTAGAAAGGCTATTCTCTCCTTCAAACGCGATTCTTCACCGGGGGTTGATGGGTTTCGCCCAATATTCCTACAGGATTTAACCGCATACATCACACAACAATGCGACGTTTTGAAAAAAATTACTCAGCTCATCAACCGTATGCTAGCTGGAGGCTTACCACCCGCCATTATTCCACTCCTTTATGGAGCTAAACTCATCGCCCTCCATAAACCTAATAAAGATATTCGCCCTATCGCTATTGGAACCACTTGGCGCCGATTAACCGCAAAGCTAGTAGTGAGCAGAATATTGTTCACAGTATCTAATCACCTGTGCCCTAATCAATTAGGAGTCAACGTAAAAGGGGGATGCGAGGTATCCCTACACATGACCAGAATGTATCTACAAACAGACCCCAGCAACGATATCCTAATTAAAATAGATTTTTCAAACGCTTTTAACTCTCTAAAACGTACAGCGTTTCTTAATCCCATCCTTACCCTTTACCCAGAATACTCGCAATTCATCTTCGATTGTTATGCTAGTCCATCGCATCTTCAATTTGGAGATAGATTGATTCCTTCTAGTAGTGGAATACAACAAGGTGACCCACTAGGCTCCTTCTTATTCTGTCTGGGCATTAATAGCCTAATACAAAGCATAAATGACCAATGTAAACTAAACCTTCATAACTGGTATATCGACGATGGTATACTAGGCGGCTCACCCAGCGAAGTTATGAAGGCGGTCGAAATAATAAAATTCAGCGAGAGCAGTTTGGGACTGCGAATCAATCAAGACAAGAGCGAATATTGTCCTCTTGGAATCATCGACCTTAACTATGATCCTATGTTCAATCATACACCATTGAACTTCTTAACACATCTCGGATCTCCAGTGGGTAAAGACGAGTCCTTTGTCAAGTTCTTCGCCGACACTCTACTAGAAATATCCCTTATGCGCGGTACACTATCTTTCCTCCCAGCCCACCAAGCGTTCTTTCTATTAAAGAACTACCTCCTAATCCCAAAAATTCTATATACACTCCGATCGTCACGTATCTTCCAATTAGAATATTTATATATAAATCAGTTTTATTTTATAAACAAATTTCTATCACATTATATCTATCAAAAACAAAAACTAATTAAATATGCAAATCAAATTGATTTAAATTATATTCAATAAATTTGTATTGGCTTAATATTCTTTTGAAATATTAGGCAGTTGCATTGTATAATATAATAAAAATGATTTGATGATATAATTAAAATATTGGTAATTATACACAATTATTTTTAATAAATTTAATGCAGAATAAAACTTTTATAGCTTAACAAAAATATATTTATTAGAAGGGACCGAACTGGGCCGACGGTCTCACGGTCTGGTCTCACTTGATTAACGGTTCATTGGTTCGGTCTTATTTTAGAAAAAAGAGCTGGACGGGACCGGACCATTGCAAACACTCTGCAGGGTTCTATTGCTGGATGTTTAAGAGGGAAAGGGCTATGGTAGAAGGAATGAATGATAAATTAGAAAGGAAATTGGATATATTGGGGAGTATTCGGTTGAGAATTCTTTTTTTTATAAGTATAATTCATATAATTAATGAAGAGAGGGATGGGTCGATAAATGTAGGTAGGAATTAATGTATTTAAACGGACCGGTTCAAGTCTGACCTGAGTCCGCCCTCCCAAAATCGAACTTGAACAAATCGGATCTATTTTTAAAATATAGATTTTTAAAGAAGACTGGCAGAGTTTAATTCTATTTTTTATTCAAGTATAAACAATTTTTGGCATATTATACTATATTATTTTTTCGTGATTACAAATTACCTTTATATTTACCATCATTCTCCAAAATATTATTAGAATTAATTATTTTTCAAAATCAAACTCCTTTTAACAATAGCTTTATTTATTTTACATTTAAATGTTCATTGATATCAGTGACGAAGCGTCCATAGAAGCAAGGGAAACATTGCTTCCCTTGAAATTTTTCTTACAAAATTCTTAAAAATAAACTTAATATAATCTTTATACTATGCTAAATAAACTAAACTGATCGTTAAAAAAATTAATATAATTTTTATAACGTTAAAAAGATTAATATAATTTTTATAACGTTAAAAAGATTAATATAATTTTTATAACGTTAAAAAGATTATAATTTTTATAACGTTAAAAAGATTAATATAATTTTTATAACGTTAAAAAGATTCATATTATTTTTATAACGTTAAAAAGATTAATATTATTTTTATAACGTTAAAAAGATTAATATTATTTTTACTATATTAAGAAATACTATTATTTTTACTACATTAAAAAATTTACTATTATTTTTACTACGTTAAAAAAATATACAAGAGGGAAGCAAATTTAATATTGCTTCTTTTTTTAATAAATAAAGAGAAAATCATGCCATGGTATTGTGTAATTTTACCATTAAAAAATAAGCTTGGGAAGCAAATAAAAAATGCTTATTTTTTTAAATAAATAAAAGAGAAAGAAATTTTTTTATATAATATTTTTTTCCTTACTTTTTTTAAATAAAAAATTTTTTCGTTTTTTAAAATCCTTAATTAATGTTTAATAATTGTAATTTTATTATTGATAACATTATCATTAAGCTCAAGAAATTTTGATGCGAAAAAATTGATTATTAAAAAGGAAGACTAAAACCAATTTTACAAAACTTAAAAAAGTAATCAAAACTTGCATCCGTAATTTTTCTATCTATAAATTTGAAAAATATGAATGGCTCACTGGATGTGAATTTTCTAATTCTCTATATTGTTGGTCATGCCTATAATTCCCAAAGGAAAAATATGTTTGGAATGATAAAGGATTTTCAGATATGAGTAATTTTTCAAAGGCAGTTAAACGACATGAAGAATCAACCGCTCATTTGCAGGATTCAATTATAAGCATTTGGGCAAAATCGTATTGAAAATATGATAGATTCGATGCGCAAAATATCAATTGAACAGCATAATTCGAAAGTCAAATCAAATAGAGAAATATTGAAAATATTGATCAACTCTATATGTTTTCTTGGAATTCAGGAGCTCGCATTCCGTGGTGATGATGAATCTTCTAATTCAGTAAATAGAGGAAATTATATTGAATTAATTTATATGCTGGCGGGAGAAAATTTACTATTGAAATATCATTTAGAAAATAGTATAGTTTTTTATTGGGCTATCAAGCGATATTCAAAATGATTTAATAAATTCAATTTCATTTGTCTTACACCAAAAATTTTTAAATGAATTAGAAGAAACGGAATTTATATCAATAATATTAGATGAAACAACAGATATCAATAATAAATCTCAACTGGCTGTAGTTTTTCGATATGTTTTAAATAACGAAACATTTATGAGACAAAATATTTATTAAATTTGACACTTATTCTCAATTTTTCGACTTACACAAGCTAGAAACTGAATTAAAGGTAGTGTTTCGGGACGATGAATTTAGAAAGAAAAAGAATGTTAATGAAATACTTGAATTTTTAATATGCACCGATTTGATGAAAAGTTTTAAAGAGTTTTTTAAATTATGCAAATTCATCTTAACGTTGGCTTCAACAATAGCAAGTGCAGAACGGAGTTTTTCATCTTTAAAAAGAATCAATCAATTGCAGAAAACAGGATGAGCCAAAATCGATTATCGAATCTATCTTTGATTTCGATTGAAAAAAATTATTAAAAAATTTAAAATCTAGCGATAACTTTTATAATGCAGTACTTGATCATTTTACTCAAAAACAAAGACGAATACCACTAATTTATAAATCTTAATGTTTTTATGGTTTGAGTTTGACTAAAATATAAAAATAAAATTTATTTTTGATTGCTTCCCTAGTAGTAAACTTGACGCTTCGTCACTGATTGATATTATTATTAGAATATTTATTTAACTATCACACCTGACATAATAAACTTTGTTTTTGGCAAATTCTATTCCACTTGCAAATTCACGCCAACTATGAGTTCAGAATAATGTGTATTTGTATTTTTTTATGAGAAGGGCCTTAATATTTAATATATTGAAGCATTTTTAACCTATTAAAGTTCCTTGCGCAAACATTTTTGTTAGTTTTCTAAAAAAAATATTTTAAAAAATCGGATGGACCGAGATAGATCTTACCTAAGTTTTGTTGATTTTTGGGACTGGCAGGGCATATTTGGCTGGAAAAAGTTTGGGCAGAAATCGGATTCGGGCCTAGAAAAAAATCCGATATTATTTTCAGATCAGGCCTGATCTACAAAAACTTCTAATGAATGGTAAGGAACGGGTGTTAAAAGAGAATATTTGATTCAGAAAAAAAATTATAAAGGGAGAAAGGTGGGAGTTTGTATAGGATTTTAAATATTAAATATTGGTTAGAGGAGATGAGAATGGATGGGAGGAGGAAGGAATGAATGAAAACATAAAAGTATCGGTAGATGCCACTTGAACAAATATTCAGGAATTTGATAGAGCTGGTAAAATTTTAAAGGGTTAACCGGAAGAGTCCACCTGCCTTAAAGATTATTATGGTTTAGGTAGTAATTTTATTTTATCCTAAGAATCAACCTTAAAAATTAAATAGAAAATTTGTAAATTAATAACACTTTTAAATCTTTTATGCAAAAATCAGAAGGAAACTGTTTCGTTATAATTCATTTGCAGATATAGCTTTAATCATCCTTTTATAGTAATTTATAAAGTAAAATAAAAATAAGGGATGTGGAAATGGAAAGAAAAAGAAACAAATTTGTTGGATAATTTGCCTATAATGGATGCCATTAATTTATACTATTAAATAAAATTGTTTACATAAAATTTAGGTGGATACCAATAAGGATTTATTTATATCCCTTAATGAATTTTTGAAGGATTACAACGAACCAGAAACACACGACGCTAATAAACCGGTTAGAAACAATATGATTTTATGAGTATACATTTAAAATATAACAATTTCCCCATTATCAGAGTTATTAAGTATTCCTATACATTTTCCTCGTATTGAATGGTAACGCCGATATGATAAATTAACACATTCTAAATATATAATTTATCAGTTAATTTATCAATAATAAATTAAATATTAAATTTAACAATGTTAGATTATTTTAATTTAATTTATATTGTTATGCATAAATAGAAGTAAATTTTATTACGTGCATCTGAAGTAATCTTATATAAACAAAATATAAAACAGAATTAAACAGGGCAGAAGAGAATTTATCTTTATTTTTAAAAATATGAAAATTAATTTTTATAAAAGTTTATTATACCAAAAATGATTTCAGGAATAAAAAGATAGAATGATAATTATAATTATATCATGCAAAATTTAGTAAATTTCTATAGCATAGATAGAAAAATTAAATAGGATTTAAAAAATTTTGCCGCACTAATATCGTTTTAAAAATCTACGAGTCTCTGCGGCTCAACCCAATCAGTCTTCGCGCACGTTTAGTATCGAATACATCTTAGGAAATGCATTTATACCAGTATTAGCTGACCTTTTTGAATATTATATCGGTTTCGAAATAATATATTATTAACAAGTTTGTCTATTATCGACTGCTATGTTTTTATTATAATTCATCTTTTATGGGTTAACTTCAACTTCTAATGGTAAAAGCTTGATTTCCGTCTTGGTCCTAGTGTTCTTCAGCACCATCTAAATTGTTATATATCTGAATGCACCCTTAATATTCTTTAGTGGGTTATGATTTTTGTATATTTTTTATATTGCTATTTGATGGTATCGTCACCTTAGTTAGTGTATCGTATGGACTTCTTTTGAAAATAATTTGACAGAAGAGAATCAAAATATTTTAATTATTTTTATGTGGAATGATTATTTAAAATAAGGTTAGTGTTTATAAATTTTTTTTAGTAATAAATCTAAAAAAGAATGTTCCTTTTTATACATAATTTGAATAGGTATGTGAAGTGATTCGCACTGGGCACCGGTTTTTAATTAACCTATATATTCGTTATGGTTCAAATCCCTGCACATAACTCAAAAAATGATCCCCCCTCATCTTTTACTGGCAAGGATGCCTTCATCGTCATTAACAAGGATTGGGTTGCTATACGGTAGCATCATCAATCTTCTCTAAAAAAATTTGCTTCTTATATAAATATTTTTCAAACTAAGATATTGAATTAATCTTAACAAATTTTAATGTAATATTATTATTAGGAAGAACATACAACTCTTTACTCCCCCGAGGAGTACCAGGATATGGTCGAAGAAAGGGAGAGGCTTTTCGATCGCCATCTCACAACTATGAATATCAATCAATTACGTCAGGTTTGCTTACTATTTTTTAAAGAATACCATTATCCCCAGCATTTTTTTCAATATTTTTTTTTTCGTTTCCTATTATTTTTTTAAAAACTATCTTTCATTATTTATTCATTTCTATATTATTTTTTTCCCATTCACTTCTCATTGGGATAATTATTTTCACGAATTTAGTTTTTAAACATGTCTAATTCTGCATTTAATAATGGAAATAAGTTATAAAATAAATTGCCGATGCTATAGAGGCTGCGATGCCCGCGTCTGAAATTTTTTCCATTTTGGCCTGGCAAAAAAAATAATTTTAAAAAACTGGGCTGGGCAACCTTAATAAAAAATTGGAAACGGACCGGACGAAAGCTAAATTCCAACAGGGTCAGGCCTAAAAATTTTGCCGTTTGCAGACCTGTACTACTATGCTTAATAATTTTTAAAAATATTATACAAATACGTCATTATGAATCTTCTTTATATGGATTCTTATTTAATTTTGAACAATTATCAAAGCCCTATAGGCCCATAAAAAATAAATTTTAATTTATCCATTTAATGATCATATTTTAAATTTCTCTTTGAATTTATTATAAAAAAAACAGCTTGTTTAAAATAATAAAATTTGAAATGGGCCGGGCCGAAAAATGATTTAAATTTAAATTCAGTTAGGGCCAGGATTAAAATCTATCTAACAACACTCAGCCGCCTATTAAAATAAAAAAATTTAAATCCGAGCCAGGTTTAATACATTGACTATATATTTGATAATTATCATGATTTTTTATATTCGATTTTCAGAACGATAATTCTACAATCAACCATCATGAACAACAGCAATTGGAAAACAATAGAGTATAATATATCGTGATAACTCTATAATAATACGTTTTAATTTTGTAAAAAAAAAAATCGAGATTTGCCAATAATAATAAATAAATATTATATTTTCTTAATTTTTAGCATATATTTTGTTCACTTTTTTGGATCTTAACCTAACTTATTTTTTTTAACTCCTCAAAAAATATGTCTATATTGAAAATCCGTTCAAGTATTCCATGCACATGTCTTTCTGTCTTCCTATAAATATATAATTATTTAGCCAAATAGATTACAATTTAAAAAGACATTCAAAATTTAATAATGATATTTGACTATAAATCGAAATATTTAATCAATTTTTATTTTTAGACATGTTATTGTATGATAAATACTTTGTCACAATAATTGTTCATAGATGCGGACTTATTTATAAATGTGTAATAGATATTACGTATTTATTTTAAATAAAATCTTTTTTTCATTTTACGTATCTATATTGTTATAATACTGTTCAAGGTTATTAATAATGTACTCTTTATAAGGTTACTAATACATTATTCAATTTACGATTTGCAATTAAATTTATGACAGTTTTATTATTTATTTACTATTCAACTATGCCATTTTTTGGTATATAATTTATTTTGATTACTTTTAAAAATAAGTATGCTTCTTATATCCTTCTTTTAAAACAATCTATCACCTTTTAAAAAAATAATTTTATGCTCAATTTTTTACTATGTTTTAGGAAAACATTTGTATTCAATGGTTTTTTTTACTAGCATCAAATTTCAGATATTGTTATATTATATTATCAGGGTTTAACAAAAATCTTCAAATTTTTTTTCGCCCAAGATTGAGCACAAAATTTTGGAAAAAAAAAATTGACGATTTTTTCGTAAAAAAATTTTGAGCATGCTCTCAAAGTTTGAACAAAATAAAAAATGTAAAATCTATGATTTTCACTTTGATGCTTTATTTTAAAAAAAAAATTTCTTTAAAACTTTAAAGAGATCATTGAAGATTTTTTTATAAAAAACATTTTTATTTTGCTCCAAGCTCAAAAATTTTTTTACGAAATATTTTTGATCTTCAAAAGAGCAAAATCTTATAAGATTTTAACAATTGTTAAGCCCTGCTTATAATATCTCTTATTCCTAATCTTATCAATATTACATTATGCCCATCATGCTATGCTGTAAACCCGATAATATTCTAATTGAATTATTTTATCCTATGTATTTTTAAGCAATCATCTATCAAATCAGCTGGTAATAATTAATTTTTCAAAAAGTCTAACTAAGCTATTCCTCATCATATATCGTAGACAATTTACATATATATCCGAATTTGATTCAACTTATTAATTGTGACTCCAATCTATATATAAAAATGTTTGCATTTCTATCATTTTAGTCACGATATCCTATATAGACTCAAGTAGCGATGCTAAATTTTTAAACTTGATGGCTCTCACTTAAAAAAAAATGAATTATCTTATTTATTTTCATTAAAGCTTCGAAAGTTTGTGAATTTAATAAAATATTAAAATTTTTAAATTATTATTTTAAATAATTGCTATTAAATTAGCAATGAAATGAATAATATTTAATAAAATTTATACTATATAGTTAACTATTGCAAATATTTTATAAAGAAATTAAATAAAGTTTTTCACACCCCTTGCACAAGCAGCGTCTACATGAGCGGGAGGGGTAGGAACAGTTTGCATCCTATTTTTTTGAGGGGGTAGCCTGATTTAATGGGGGTAGGATAATTTCTTTGGGGGGTTGTCTATTAAATTTTGAGATGAATTAGGACAAAATTTATTGCTGTAAATACTTTTTTTATAGAATTATTATAATACAATTCATCGACCAAATCTATATATTGCAAACAATCATACACATTGTTTTCCAAATAAACTATCCTTTTAAATGTAATTTAAAGGGTTTCGATATTTTAGCAAGCTCATAATGCCATAATAATTAATTCATTGTAAATAATGGAGGTTTTAATTGAATTTATTATCTAAAAAATAATTATTTATATACACAAAATATCAATAGTTGGTAGTAGAGGTAGATTATTTTAAGTTATCCTTTATAAATTCTTAAAGAATATCAATAAATTAAATAGGTAAAAATAATAATAATAGGCAAAGGTTTTTGAAGGGGGTTTGCATCCAGTGAAAATCCTGTCATGCAGACGCTGTGCACAATAAATATTGTATCAGTAAATACAGTGTAAAATATATCTATGACTAGATACATCTGTAAAAATGTAACAGTATCTAGATACGTTTTAGACGACAGAACGCTATCTTGATCCATTTGAAATGTATTTTTAACAAATCTGATTAATATATATTTTAAATGGGCTTTATTATATTTTTTAAAAATTTGTCGTTGAGTAGCATATTGCTACAAGTTGACTTAGTGTTGTTTAATATTAACCAAAATAATGCATATTATAAGTGAACGAATTTATATAAATAAAACTATGGGAGATTGTTAAAATGAATACCACAACGAATATCTAACTTATAAAGATGTATAATTAAAAATAAGATAGCTACTCGCTATCCTTAAAGCTAAAAGTAAACTTAACTTAATTTTAACGGCTAATTATAAGTTACTATAATTTTTTATGATGAAATCTTTAAGAGATGAAAATACTTTTGAATACCCGCATTATAACAGAATATATTTTTAAATAAACATATCGCCTAATAAACTTAATTAAGTAAAATTTCCCTATTCATTTAGATTACATTCAAGTTTATTTTAAATTGCTTATAGTTTTATGTATAACGGATTAGGAAGAAGTGTGAGATATCTAGGTCTTTTTTTGATTAGGGAAATGAATTAATATAAAAATTTCTATTATTATTGATAATATTTATATTATGCTAAAGATAATCAAAAATTAATCTTTGAGAAGCTAGGTCGAAAGCTTTTAAGTAACACTGATCTCTTCAATTTGGCGTGTGATTTTCTTATGGCTATTTATTAACCTAAGTAATTTACGCAGTTCATCAATCTAATATTTTTAAATAAAACATCTGTTTTTTTATATCAAATTCACATTTTCTATAAATATGACTTTAAAAGTAAATTAGCTTAAGATTTATATAATATTTAATATTCTATCATTAGTATATGACAGGATTTGATAATGAATTCGCATCTGAAGCTGAGGGTTATGAAGGTGCACTACCAATTGGACAAGTAAAAAAAATGATTTAAAAATGAGTTAGGGTATTTTTAAATAGAATAATCCGCAAAAAGTTAAATTCGGACTGTATGCAGAACAATTATCGGGGACTGCTTTTACCATTTACCCTAGAGCTGCTAATAAGAGAAGGTTATTCCTATTACAAATAATTGCTATTGACATGCATTATAATTTAATTTGATAATACTTTTTAAAATTAAGATTTTTATTTAAAATGTACCTTTTGCTATTGTCATTTTGTTTTTTAAAATTGATATTTATTTTTACAGTCCTGGAACCCTAAAAATTAAACCATGCTTGTGAGGTGGGGAGGGGGGGGGGGGTAAATGTAGGAATGTCAGAAAATTCTCAAGGGGAAGGGATTACCCTCCCTCTTAATCCTTAGGGGGAAAATTTTAATATTTATAATGTTAAATATTTTAATTTATATAATTTGGATATTCTGCTACATTTGCAAGTAATCTACATAGTGATCATATTATATGCTACAATCAGGTGCATAGCCATCAGGGGGGAGCTAATCTCTTTCTCACAGCCAAAATATACAGACTGTTAAAATATTAAACAATAACTTTTTGTCATTAAATTACTGATTTTATAAAGTTATGATGCCTGAGCCTATTATGAGTGCCCCTGGTGAAATGGCAAAATGGCTTGAGAAAACCTTTCTTCAGAAAAAACACCTTATAGAATTTAATTTTTATTTTTTAAACAAAAAATTTAATTTATGCAATCTTTTTCAAAAAAGTATATTGGTTTAGTTGACATCTATTTATTCCCACTTATTTAATTGATCAATTTAGCCGATTTAATAAGATTTGAGATCTTGGCAATTAGAGCTTCTAGGCTTTAACTCTCAAGAACATAAATTTATTAAAGAATATAAAATATTAATATGATCATTATTTTTTGAAATGAATAAATTTCAGGTTATAGAGCCTTTGGCAAAAACATTGAAGGTCCATGAAGGTAGAGGTTTTTTTAATTCCAACTTTTTCTAAACTCATTTCAAAAGCAAATGAGTTTGCAGATTTAGAGTTTTGCCAATCTTATATGTGGCATTGGTAAATAGTTTATAACTTTCGATTTTCACCAGTTTGTAATGATAATATCCTTGCTGATATTATCCATTCTACCTTCAAATTGATTGGGAATGGATAAGCAGGTATAAAAATAGAGAACTAATAAAATAAATTACAAATTACGCAAAAATTCCTATAATTACACCAAAATTACCCTCCAAGGATCTAGAAAAATTTTTTGGGATTTAATTAAAGCGATTATCAGATGATAAATAAATATTTTTGTTAATTTATAACTTAGTCCTCTTCCCTCTAGTACTCCTACTGAACACTTGTTTGGTATGCTTGATAGGTTTTAGAGGAGTGGCTGATTGCTGGATTCAAATTTAAAAAATTTATTGCAGTTAAAAGCAAATAAGTGATTATAATTTTTTTTGATGCATCATTTTATTTGATTTAAGATATATATATATACGATTTGGTTTTATAAACTCTATATTATAAAAATTAAAATCAAAGAAGCGGTGGCGCCACTTTTAAGATCTCAGTAGTGGTAGCAGTAGCTAGCTCTTTTTAAAAAGGAGCGTTATTTTTCCTATTCTACATTATGGGCCTCCTCCATATTTCAAAAATAATTCTTGGCGTATCTTAGGTCATTCCTCAGTTTCCATATGTATTTTTTATACATATTTAATTTTTTTTAATGTATTAAATGTATAAAATAAACAAAATGTACAAAACAAAAATACAATATGGGAAAATGTTTATTAAATTCATTATATTTATAATCCATTATTTAAAAATTTTTTTAATAAATGGGCTTCTTTATCAAATTAATTATTTATATTAATTTTTTTAAAGAACATATTTTCACAGGCGCGTACGCAGGAATTTGGTCTGGGGGGGGGGGGATAATAGAAATATTATTGTTAATTAAAAATACTAAACATAAATTTATTAGGCCTAATAACTTTTCTAATACAATTTTAAACTAATGTGAATTAAAAAAATTACATATATAAACCGTCTTTGAAAAACTATAAAATAAATGTGAATTATAAAATAGTGAATATAACCCACGATATGAATCACTTAAATGACCCAAAATTGAAATTTGAATTTTTTGAGCTTTTAAAATATATAAAGTATAAAAAAATTTAAATGTTGGAAATATAAATTAATACACAAAAAGTTTCTTAGGAATAATTGTATTTTGTATGTTTTGAGCTAATTTTTCAATTATCTATCCTTGCTTGGCGTTAAATGTCTATGAATATTCAAAAGATCCAAATCATTCAATCTACTTTCAGATGTTGTATTTCATAGGTATGTTTTTCACAGACTTGCATGCCTGGCCCCCGAGCCGGACCTTATTTTAATTTTTTTAAATATACCCGGGCCGTGCCCGTAATTTTTTTGAAAAAATATCCAGGCCGAGCTGTATATTTTAAAACCAAATATTTGAAATCGCCATTATTAGCTATAAAAATCAAAAATATATATAATTTATTTTAAAAAAACCCGGGCCGCAAAAAATTTTAAAAAAAAATCCGGGCCGTGTCCTGCAAATGGTAACTCTGCAAGGCTCTGTTATTCTTCTTAAAAAGAGAATGTTCTCTCATTAGTTTACTAAAGAGCTGCTAATTTATATATAACCATTTTAATACATTGGGAGTATAATCTAAAATGTGTTTGAAAGAGCTGCTAATTTATATATAACCATTTTAATACATTGGGAGTATAATCTAAAATGTGTTTGAAATAATGCAAAGCATCCATAGCATTTTTTGGGCTGTATCAACCATGGTTAATCTTTTAATATCATAAGATATTTTAACATCTTCATGATAAAAATCTAACGAATATTTATTTTTTTATCACCATATGAAAAAGGTTGGGAGAGGGGACACTTGTTTAATAATACTCTTCTACTGATCCTATATTAACATTTTGACGATGAGCTTGCTTGCTGGAAGTCGAGGGGGACAAATATTAAACACGTATAGCTCTTATGACTCAACAATAACATATAAGATAAGAAATTCTTCATCAACATTAGCTCTAATATTCTTGAGTTCTATAAAATCCTCTCCGCTTTTCTCATCTTCTTAATCAAGTCAATGTCATGTTTTTGAAAAGTATTACATAAAAAAGTTGTATAATTAAATAAAAAAATTTGGAATAAGTATTGAATCCAATATTTTTCTTGCTTCTGAGGAAATATTTCTTTCAAGACATTGTGATATTTCAGTATAAAGCATTAATAATCGGCTCTTCTAACCCCAAAAAGCTATTACTGCTTGATGGCGGAGACTCGATCTCGTTGGACAAGCTTACAATTTCTTTCTCCCTGTTGGACAAGGAGTTTCAGAGATAATTATTTATATGACTAGAAATTTAGATAAATATTACGCAACTAAAATTTGTAAATAATAGGTAAATTACGCCAAGGAAAACTTGAAATCGAAATTAATTGATAAAATAACTTATTAGATGAATGTGATAAATAAATGTAATTAAATATATATATATGAGATAGGAATAAATATTAAAAATATAAATTAATATTAACAATAATATTTTTGAAAAATATAATCCGGCATCTGCATTTTTTGGCTTGGGGGGGGGGGGGGGGGGTTTGCTTCCCCCTCCCCCCCGCTGCGTACGCCTATGTATTTTCATATTTACATTTCTTTAATTTTTTTAAATATTATATCAGTTCTATATTTGAAATTTTTTTAAAATTAAGACGCGATTTTATGGGATCGGGAAATTTTATAATTATAGCCAATAACCGATATGTAAAAAAAATAAAAATTGGCTTAATCCGTCCTATAAAAAAATATTGGTTCATCCCTATAACCAAATTTTTTTAAGAAAATATATAAAAATAAAACGGTTTTTTTGATTGGAACTTTTCCTTTTTTGGTTGGGAATCTCTATATCAACAATGTTTTAAGAGAAAGAATTTTAGTTGGCATAAAAATCAATTATTTAAATCAATATTTTTAATAAAATTTTATTTAAAAATTTTGATCAAATACTTAATATAAAAAAAGACAAAGACTTAGGTTATTTTAGAATTAAATAGTGCTGTAAACATTTTTAAAAAAATCGAACGCGTTCGCGTTCAACGTTCATTAACAAAAATCGAACGCGTTCACGTTCAAATTCAAAAAAAGGAACGTATTCAAGTTCATGAACGCGTTCATGCGTTCAAAATTTTATGATAAATTTTTTTTTAAATTTAATTTAATATAAATAAATGCCTTATATTTTTCAACACAATATATTAGCCATGATAAAAAAATAATAGTTTTATTTTGATAATATAATTATAAATACAATATAATAGAGCGATAAAAAAATAAATTTATAAAAATTTTTTCTTAATTACTAATATTAAAATGCCTTATTATAATTAACTATATATATATATATTATGTAATTATTTTTACTTAGAACAATTAAAATAAATTATTAACTGGCTATATAGTTATACATATTATATAATATAAAATAATTAATGTTACAATCAGATGTCTTTTTAAATTGGAGCTTGAAGATGTTGACACTGATATAATACTTTTTGGACACATTTTACATTTGGTAACTATTGAATTACCTTTTGATTTTAAAACAGTGAAATATTTTTGATATTTGGGCCATGGTAATTCTAATTCATCTAATATTGAATTTTGATTTTCAGAATCTGATGATGAAATATTTATATCCATGCAAATGCTAATCTATTAAATTAAAATATAAAATATTCAAATTAATAAACTTTAATCTTATCTTCTCTAGCAGTAGCACGTTATGGTACGTTAATTGCAATATGAACGAGGAAAAAGTAAAAACAGCTGATTAAAAAATATAAGACTTTTTTGTTAAAAAATTGGATTAAATATTAATTTTTCAAATAAATAAAAATATAAGACTTTTTTGTTAAAAAATGCGGATTAATATTAATTTTTCAAATAAATAAAAATAAAAAGTGTTTTTAAAATTGAACGAACGTAAAATTGAACGCGTTCATCAAAGAAAAGGAACGCGTTCACGTTCAAAGTTCGTCAAAAAAAAGGAACGCCGTTCATCACCTTTTTTCAAAAAAACGAACTTCGTTCATACAACACTAGAATAAAATAATTTTTATATAAAAATACTAAATTATACTAGTAATCATAACTTATTAGATAAAAAAAATGTATTTAATTGTTTAAATTTTTGATTGACTTAATTGTTAAATTCTAATCTCAATGTAGGACAAATTATTTAATAAACCCTCTATCTAAAAAAAGGGTTATCTACTGTTTGGGTCCAGACAGTCCAGAAAAATGAAGACTCTGAGATTTAGTAAAAATAACGGAAACATCAGTTTTTTTAGCATTTACCATAAAAATAATTTTATCATTACAATTAGAATAATTCAATACAATTTAGAAATAATATTCAATTTGTTTTTTTTAAATTTTATTAGAGAATTATCATATTTCCCAAAATCTAGATGTTAAAATTAAATCGATTTTTATGCCTAACTTTGACACTGCGTTGCAACTTTTCATCTATTAGACATTAGTGTTTGAATTTAATTGCCTAAAAGAAAAATAATAACCAATTTTCTCATTGCTTATTAACAGAGATTGGAACCGGAACTTTAAACCCTTAAAACCGGTTCAAGGCTAAGAACCAAGATCTTTTTAAAATTTTTAGGAACCAGAACCATTTTTTTAATATTCAAAAACCTGTTATTTCTCTACCTCTCTCCCTTATTTTGTTCTTACATTTCACACTTTATTTCCTTTTTTTTCTCTATCGTCAACTTGATTTTTTTAAATCTATTTTAATTAATTAAATATTTTTTTATTTTCTTAATAATCAGTTGGTTATACCGCATTAAACCATCTGTTGTGCACGAGCCTTTTACTCCTTTGGAAATGCCGGATTTGTGCTTGAATTGGAACGATAATACAAAAACACCTCCCAATCAAGTTATAATCTTACAAATTTTGTCCTTATATTTTAAAAATTTATGTTTCAAAAAATTATTTATAATTTTGACGGTAAAATCTTTGCTATTCATGATTCTTGAATTCCATAAAAAATGGAAATGGTGATACAATGCTACATACCATAATATAGTTGTTTTACCGGTTTCAAATTTAGAAATGTGCTATGAATCATGAATAAAATATTTGTAGTCAAAATTTTTAATTTGCAGGGCTATAAAATGAAATTCTTCTACCTACCTAATTTTTTAAAAATAATATTTAATTTTGGTGTCAACCATATCAATAAAAGCAGTAGTGTCATTAGGGAGAAACATCAACTTCACGATATTTTATAATTTAGTATAACTTTTTTCAACACGTCTAAATAAAAATAACTGACTTTTTACCACCCCTATATGACAAAATAAAAAATAATATCAGACATCCTCACGGGTAATTATTTTAATTTCGGTTCGGACTTTTATTTTTAGGACCCGACCCGAGTTTTTAAATTTAGTCATTCGAAATAATTAATATTTTGATCCATTATGGAAATCGCAATTTTTGCCGAGTTAATAAATTCATTTTGCATATGATTGCCAAGATGATGATCGTGGATTTCATCATTAAGGATTCGGGAAGATGAAGATGAAGATGTTATACTGACATATCAAACTTGGATTATAATGAAATAGTGCCCCAAAAATTATCGTTTATTGATTCCAAAACCACCCGCCAATGCTTCTTTTAATTATCTATGAGTCGTTCAAATTCCTTATTGATTATTTGATTTTAATTTAATCGATTCTTAAATATAACCCAATCGCTAACACTAATACCCTGCTTTTATTAAAATTTATTGTTTATAACAGGTTTAAAAAGTGTTCCCATTCATTAAATCTTTCATTAATAGAATGGCTTTATTTACAAGAATGAAAATAATAATTAAAATAGTTCATAAAAATTAGCCAGCCCTAGCGGTGGTCCCGGCTATTATTACCTAAGCACGGTCCTATTCCCAAATCGTTTTAAACGTAAAATACTGGTTTCAAGACTGTTTTTGTTAAAAAGTATTATTTTGGAAGATAAGTTATTTAATTATCAAATTTATAAAAAATTTGATATTTCCTTGCATAATAACATATTCCATTTTTTCTTCTGTTTTTTTATTCTATCCTTTTTAATTTTATTATTTAATATAATATTTATTTAATTTTCTATTAATTTCTTGTTAAAAAATAGTTAAGATGGGAACCCTTCGATTTACCTGCAAACGATAAAAAGGTAGATTTTATACAAGGACTTAGAACTCTTTGCGGGTGCGGTGATCCATGTATGAGAAATGGAATCAACATTTACATATATTCGGCCAACCAATCGATGATTAATAAGTTTTTTTTAAATATTTTAATTTATAGACATACAGATTATTTGAATCTTCTGGTAATCAAAGATCCTTTCATAATTAAAACTATTTATGCGTGGAAAATTCTGCTAGGCTGGGATAAGTTTAGTTAAAGAAAAAAGAAAGGAAGGAAGAAATAAAGTTTAAAAAAGAGTATATAGTATTTATGTATATATTGACATTTCTTTTTTTACAGAGCCTTTTACAATTCAGACGGCGACTTTTTGATAGGTTTAATTATTAATTATTATTTACTATTTATTTATTATTTAACTCATAAAAAATATATGGTGCCCGTTATATCACTGAATATAAAAAAATTTAGACAACAGGGAGAATACATCCAGGTTTTCCATCTTTCTTTATAGGTGGATAGGAGTACTTACAGGGTATTTTCGTCTATACCACACCCATATTTTGTTTTGTTCGTAGGGTTTTTGTCACCAATTTCTTTAGATGACTTCGCATAACTGTTATCAGATTCAATCCATCCCAGACAATGGAATCTATTAACTTTTATTAGCCCCCAGGAGACGTTGTCACTCTCGCCATTTTAGGCATTGGGAAAGGGAAACTATATTATATCAAAGCATTTTAATTGCAAAAGCATTGTATAAAGTCAAAAGTCTAACCAAGGCTGGAAGCAGTCCTGTCCAGGTAACGTCAGTTGAACGCATCTCAACCAATTTATAGCATCCTTTGAACACGTCCCTTCTGACGAAATAATCTTTTTTTATACTGAAAATTTAAAAAAAATAGTTAAAATTTTCATAAAATTAAATAAAATGACCTTGTGAGGTATCTTAAATAAATTCATTCTTATTTAAGTGGACCCTTGCATAAAATAAATGATCACATGTTAATTTATTGACCAAATAACCATTCAAGATTGCAAGTTTTGGCAAAATTGGCAGTTTAAACTTTCGCAGGAAACTACTTGGTTTGCTTGCAAAGGGAACTTTTTCACATCTGGTGATAAGCTAGAACCAGAAAGATAGTTCAACTCCAAGTTATCATCATCTTGAATTTTTGGGGTTAGAAGTGAAAATAACTTTGCACTAGAATATATGAATAGTAAATTTTGAAAAGATAATTTTTTATTTGTTTATTGGGGTGGATATATGGGATGGGAATGGAAGAGGACGCGTCTCATCAGGTATAACATCTTTGAGACGCATTCCCTCCTAAAAATTATAGACAAGGTGGACTTTTGACTTTTATGAAAATGAATGATAGTTTTTTTTTTTAAATTGCTCATTTAAAATTACAAAAATTGTATTATAATATTCTTGTATTTTTTTTAAATATTTCAAATAAAATATTTTCCACTTAGTACCTCAAATCGGAACGCTGAAAATTACAACGGAATTCGGCAAGATGGTGATCTCACCAGGCCAGATTTGTGTCGTTCAGGTTTTTGAATATAATTGAAAAATTAAATTAAATGGTGGTATAATAAAATTTATATTTTTGCATTTGAGATTTTAATTTTTAATTGCACGATTTCTTAAAGAAAAACGCCCGATTTGATCCGGAAAAACAAAAATAAAGAAAAATATTGGGTTGAGTAAAAAATATATAATTGTTTCAGATAACATTGGAAAATTTATAAGGCTGTATTCTGGTTCGACTTATTTGATACTTAGTGCTGTTTAGGCTAGGCTAAACAGCTTTTGAACTAGGGCACCCTATTCTGTTTGTTTTTTTAAGTGTTTCATCGTTATTTTTTAGTTTTGTTTTTTCGTTTTTATTTTTTATATGGGGGAGGGGTGATTTAGTCGAAGCTAAACAGCTGGCTGTTTATTAATAGTCTAACCAGGATACGGTTTAAGTGCTATAAGAAAATAAGAATTAGAGTTTTTTCTCGTAAATAATATTTATATATACATTAGGAATATTTTAATTTACCGAGATTGACTCATTCTAAATAAGATATTTAAAATCAAATTCCGGCCTAATCGAGATAGCGAGAATGCATAGGTCAGACTCCGGCAGCAGATTTGTGCAAGGATATAGATAATACCTGAGGGGGGAGGGAAAGAAAATAAATAAAGGTTGTAAGTTATAACAAATGTGATAAAGGTATAAAATGAAATCCCACCATTATATATTTTTTTCTCTTTAATTAACCCATGATAGGTTTTTTGTGGTATATCTACATCTCTCGATTTTGATATTACAAATATATTTTTAAATATTTTATACTCCATTTTTTCAATTTTTGCAAAGCCTATTTTTTAATTTTTTTAAAATTCGTACCGGGTCGAACCTAATATTTTTTAAATTCGGGTCGGCTTTATTTGATATATTTTAAATTTTTTGCAAGAAACAAGGCGCCAATCAGTTGAAAAATTTCGTGGTGTTTTTTCACGGTTATTATATTTATTCGTAACTATTTTTTACCAAAATAGCAAGGTATGAGATTCAGTATCGATATAACCGAATCTTCGAGGGGTTATATCCTAGAAACTTTCAATCGTCATTTTGAACTGCCTTACTTAGGACCTATCGGTAATTATTTGATACCATTTTTTTTTTAAATATCTGATAAAAAAAACGCAACAATACGAATTTTGGATAGTGACACGAGCAAACTTAAAATTAAAATGATTTTATTTTTTTGTTGGTGTCGTTAGTTCTTATTAGACATGCTGAATACCACTTTTCATTAGCCTATTTCATTCGAAATTTTTGGCGGTCCGGACCAAAAATCGATTTCAAAAACAGGACCGAAACCCGTTTTTATTGATATTCTCGGTCTTTTTGATTGTTACTTTCACTGAATATGAATATAAATTTATAGATTATCATTTTTTTTATCGTAAGCGAATTTAATAATATATTATCTATCGTTTTGTTTATATGATTATTATGCAAAAAATATATTATTGTTTATAAATAATAATTATAAATTATTATTTATTTTTTTAAAAAAATAGAAAGTTTTTTTTATATAAAAAATTTATTATATAATTTTCAATTTCGAAGAAGAAAAAATAAAATTTAAGAAGAACTTTTTTTAGTGTCGTATTCATTAATAAGAAAATTAAAAAGAAAATTCAGAGAGTTGATATATATTATATATATATTATTATAAGATTTAGTGTTGATACCTATATAGATTAAGATTTAGCATATTGAAATAAAGCACAGATCGAGTGTGAGAAATAAAATATTTATTGTAAGAACTAAAACAATTTTGAAAAGGTGCCAATGGTCAGGCTAATCCTAGGGATTTTGAAACGCCTGTCGCTGCTTTCGCTCACGTAATCGAAGAGGCGGATTATGCTATTGTTAACAAATTTCAAAACTCATTCTACGTTTGTAAACAAGTTTGATAATATTTATATAATAACATATGTAATAGATCACAATTAACCAAATAAAGTCAAAATTTTCATAATACTTGAAATCGCAAAGCAAAAAGTTTATTTATTGCCATACTACAATTAAGCAATTTGTATCTCGAATTTTATTTTAGATTTTAGATTTGTTAAAAGTATTAAAGAAAGAGGAGAGAAGTTCCTATGGGTATCTAAAGGAACTAAAATATATATTAAATATCGTGTCTACGATACACTCTCACACACTCCTTTAGATATATAGCAAAATAGTGAACGGTATGAACATTTAGATAGAATTGAGTGGAATGAGATATATTGAAAATATGCAGCTAAAAAATCATTGATCTTTTTTATTATTTTCTCTTCTAAGAACCATTCTCCTTTCAATGTGGTGGCTTGGCACGGGAACTATGTTCCTTATAGATACGATCTTTCCAAGTTTTGTCCAGTTAATGCGGTATCTTTTGACCACTCGGTAATTTAAAAAAATTATATACCTTTTGATTCAAATAGTGACTTTTTCGAAGGTCACTTTATTATTCATTCGTATTTTCATATCACTACGATTTATTAGTTCATTTATTCATAGTTTTGAGCCAAAATAATATTATTTAAGCCTGAAGATTTAGCTCATAAGTAGCAGAAAGGTTTGGACCTCCATTTGCCAGATCTCGAAGCATATTTAATTTTTGGCTAAAATCTTAATCATTGACCCAAATGGCCGTTTAACAACATTATTTATTCGCATAAAGGACCCAAGTATATTCACCGTTTTAACCTGCCCTTCTAATCAGACCGGCGTTGCTATAGCTGATTTTGTTATCTTTCCTCCCCGATGGATAGTAACCGAACATACCTTTAGACCTCCTTATTTTCACAGTTATTTATCTATAAATATATTATTAGCTTAATTATATTTTTGTTTTATTCTCCAAACAAAATAAATGTTCTATCTTCCCTATCGCAGGTTAGGTAAATTTATATATTTGTCGCTTTATTTGCATATATTTTAATTTGTCCACATTCTTAGTTTCATTATAATAGATTTCTATTTTTTCGACAAGGTTAAGTCGGTAACTATAATTAAAGTTATCTTACCTTCATCCTTATTTAATTTTTTAAAAGAAAACCCATAAATTTCCAAATTTATTTGAGTTTGTTTAAAGTATAAGCCATCAAATTAAAATTAAAATATCATTTACTAAATTATTAATAATAAAGTAAGGAAACTCTAATTTTTTATTTATAGGAGAAAAGTGTTTAAAAAATTCAATCCTTTATAAATAGTATTTTTAAACAAAATAGTTACGAGATATATTCACGTCACTAACTAACTAATAATTATAAACAAAAATTGTCAGCGATATATATATTTAAAAAAACAAAGATCATACTACGGGAATTTAATTAAATTTTAACCAATTAACCAAAATGCTTGCGCTTTTAATAAATTGTGACATCCAGGATTTTCTTAAAGTAGGGATTTTGAATGAATTCATAAATTTTATTGAAGGACTTAAGGATCTTTTTTAAAGCCTTTAAAAGAATTTTTAGGTTTTACACTTTTTATTTTTTAAATTTTGAAAATTTCAATTTTTGATTATTTAAAAATAAAATATTATTTACAAATTGTATTCATATAACGAACGTATCCATTTTTTAAAAATAATTTCAAGAGAACGTTAATAAATTTTGTATTTTAAATAGGAGATTACACTTAATAATGAAAACGTAGGATTATTCTAAATTAGAAAAAAAATTTAGTGAAATTGATTTTTTGCAAAAATGTGGATATAGAACATTATAATGCTAAGCCGATGATATATAGGAACAGGAAATAATATACATAATATTATAGCATCGTTTTAGATATTATGCGATCAACTTTCGTTTATTAGATGTAATCGTATAATTCTTTTTCCTTATCTATTATCATAAAATAAAATAAATGACAGGAAATTGCATGTCCGAGTTTATGGGTCTTATAAGTGGGAATTACGAAGCGAAGCAGGCGGGCTCCTTCAAACCTGGCGGCGCTTCGCTTCACAGCTGCATGACGCCACACGGACCAGATCTGGATTGTTTTATTAAATCTTCCGATGGCCCACTGCCGCCTTTAAAAATGGCCACTGATTCTATTGTAATTATTATTTTTGTCATTTTTTTTTAGGAAAGGAACACAACTTGTTAGGTATTATTACCTATCTCTATCTTTTGTTATAGTGACCGTTTTATTTCGGCTCCTTGAGATGGTATATTAAGATCAATCTAATAACTCCTGTCTATTTGACCATCTTTTGAGTAGTGACCATCTTTTAAATATATATATAAAAAAGATATCTAGTAAAATAGAACCATTTGATAATATTCTCAAAAAACATTTATTCTCAATATTTTATATTTTAACCATTTTTCACCTATGAATGCATTATTACAAAGAATAATAAAACTGAATATTATAAATTAAATTTAGAATAAAATAAAAAATTAATTTAATAGTATAAGAAATGCCGCAGAAAGTTTCATATCAGGAAAACATTTGTAAATAATTTTTTTTTTTAAATGGAAAGATAATGAGAATGAAAACATTATCATAAAACGTAATAAAACTGATATATTAATGCTACCTTGTTGTGGTTTAAAAAAAGAAGAATTAAATTGAAATTTATGGAAAACTTTATAATTATTTCAAAAAATGAATATAATACATATTTAAATTATCAATATATTTCAGTTCAAATGTTAAATAAGAAATATAAAAAAATTTTCATTAATTAACATTCTTTATTTTGGCATCGTCTATAAAGTGATTAACTGATGAATCGCTCTAGAGTACTATACGGAGGTTCTACTGTAAATATAAACACTATGAACGATATAATTATGATATATTTTATTATAATCTAATAAGGCTATGAGCATATCAGAGCGTTTTAGCATTTAAGCGTTTGTACTCATCATAAAAAACATTAAACCTAAGTATATAGTTATAAATTACACAGGATAATTTTAAATATAATATATACACTAGAGATCTGCAAATCATGTTTAAAAAATAATTTCGGTTTGGGCTGGGTCTGGCCTAATATTTTTAAAAAAATGCCGGGCCGCGTTGAATTTAAATTTTTAAATAGGATATCATTACAGTTTGTCAAATAAATTTATTTTTTATAAAATTGTTGCAAGGAACAAGGCGCTAATATTTTTTTATTTCTAGAATATTTTTTACAATAAAAAAATGATTTAAATAAATTGGCGGACAAATAATTTTTATTTCGGGTCTCGTGGCAAATAAAAAAATTCGGTCGAGAGACCCGGCATGACAAATTATTTTTTAAATAAAATTAGGCTTGATGCAGATCACTAATATTCACCTTATTTCGTAATTGATATAATTAGTAAGTAGACAATAAAAAAAAATTAATATGTAAACAAACGCTTGAAATATCCAAAATTTTGGAAACCATATTTTGCAACGTCCTTTAAGTTGTTTTATATTTCATTATGCGTTCGACCGCTCTGGGATGTTTTCGTCTAGATATTTGCTAAAATGTTTAATTTGTTGAAAAGGCTTTCATGTTTGAAACGTGCCTGAGTCTTAAAGTGAGTAAATGGGGGCTTGAAACTTGTAACAAATTGGACCCTTTCTATTACAAATGCTGGAAGGATCTGCCTGACTTATTCAAAGATCTTGGAAAGATTTAGGAATACTTCTTTTTTTATTGAATAGAATTATTGATTACAAAATTATAATCATTATTTAAAATTTATTTTTTAAAATGTGGCAACAACCAACCCTATGTGCAATTATATATAATATATACAATTGGATAATTTTTTTGGTTCAACCATAAAAGTGTATAATGACCATTTGACTTCCATTTATTTTACTTTAATTTTTAAAATTGTAAATTATCTTAAAGTTTTATCATACTTATCCATGTATCAAGAAAACAATTCGCAATAATATTCTTAAATTACACAAAGATAAATTATAATTTTATTAAATATTATATATTTTTTTATAAAGAAAAGAAGCTTTAATCATATTTTTTTTATCCCTTTTATAATTTAAGTTATAGATCATATTCTTATTTTCTCTTTATTCAATCGGTTAAATATAATTTAACCAATATTGTTATTTTTGTCAAAAAAATACCTTTTTTAATTTAAATATACAATCGAATTTCTTAAACGAAGAACAACTTCATTTATCTAGAAAATAAATGGCTCGAATGTGAAAACACCTCTTTTGCCTTAATCTAAATCACTCCGTAGGATATCATTTTGATCAATATATAAATTTTTTTTGATATCAATGGCATTTTGATTAAGGTAAACGTTCTTCGAACAAAAGAAAGGATAAAATCTATCAACAGGCCTAAATTTATAAATGATAGTGACATCATATCTATACTATAACATAATACATATGATATGGAATAGTAATGAATACGTTTGACTTATTTATATGTAAAGGGTTAGTATTTTTTCGGGATGGATAGATTATGTATAAAAAATATTCTCTAGATCTCTTAGATTTGTTCCACACTAGTTCTTCCTATTTTGTATAACTTATTTTTAGCCACATAATTTCCCTTTACAATATCTATGGACTACACTGGGCTTATTTAGTATTAAAAGATGACACCTTCCTTGGAAAATAATACTATGTGACTAAAAACATTCGAATTTAAATTTTTTTTATCTAAAATGATTCCAGAATACTAAAATAAGTTAATAAAACAAGCTGATATATTTTACAAAAATTGTATTCATAATACATTTTGGTTTTCTTTAAACAGTATTTTTGGTAAATTTATAAAACTTATTATGTGAAAATGTTAATAAAATAAAAGTTAAAATTCATTAAAGTTCTTGGTCTAGTCCAGAATTATCCACCTATTCACTATAATATTCGGTAATTATTTGCATTTAATGAATTTAGGTTTAGTTACGACCTGAAATTTTTAAAGAAATTATAACAAGACGGGCAATTTATGTATAAAAATTTTAGGCCGGGCCGAACAATATATAAATATAGGCAGAGCTCGCAAAATTTTATTAAACCAGCCCGGGAATTATAATTTTGTTATATTTTATTGAATTTCAAACTAATATTTTGATTGATACTACTTTGTATTTTAAGAGCTGTCTAACTACGCTACAACTTTTTTCCCCAAAAAATCAGGGAATGGCGTTATCGGGAAAGGTAACTTAAATTTAACTTTTTGCATTCGTTGCTTTGTATTTATTATTATTATATTATAGTCATTTTTATTTCATTATTGTTTAATGTTTAGTTTTAATTTTTTTTAACAGTATAATGGTTATATTAAGGACTATATTAATATATTAGTAAACGATTACGCAAAAAAAAAATATAATAACAAAAGGACAATATTGAGGCATAAATCATAAAATAATGTAAAATACAAAATAAATAAAAGCGAAATCAGCAAAATTATTTAAAATCTCCTTCACATAATCATCAGGAGAGATCGAATTAATAAAACACACATAATTAGCCTTAAGAATGGCTATTTCGATCCTCTGCCTTAAGTAAAAACCTTATCGAGGCTCCTCAGAAATCTTTCTGATTAGGCGGCCAACGTCTTTAAAAATGTTTTTAGCCAAATCACCATATGTAGTTAAGGTGGAGCAAATGATGGGTATGAATATGTAATTTGAGGAATCAGCGTTGTATTTGCCGATCTTAAAATTTTGTACTCTGTTCAGAGCGTCCTTGTTAAAATTAGAGGGGGAGTTGGTGTCCAGACAAGAGAAATCCCATATTAGAAACTTTCCTTGAAACAATGGGATACGTGACCCCATCAGAACGCCTACTATCGGAAATAAGTCAGAAGGCTCCATTGAGGTAGGAAAACCAGGTGACCTAAGTGCAAGAGATATGATTTGATTGCATTTCAAGTGTCGAGTTTGCCGACCGGGATTACGATTGCAATGTAAAGGATGCAGCGCCATATTGTTATCATCCGTATGACATTTGCTGCATTTATATGGTAATGAAAGGGAATGTTGAGCCTGATACATAGAGCATAGCTGAGCTCATTGTTGTCCAATTCGAGTAAGAGGTTGGTAGATGGAATAACATCTAAAAATTCATATCCCCGATCTTTGATAAGTTCAATAAATGTGGATCTAGCCAATGGTGAGAGACTCGAAATAAGGTAATCAACGGAGTTTTTCACAAGTAGTAAATCCCAATCCTTCTGCTTTACAGAGATTGGGTTGAGATTGCGAAGGATTTTGCCCATTCTCTCTTAGATATATTCAAAAAAGGATCGTGAACCGACAGATGTTGGTCAATTAATATATGTGCCTGAAGGTGGCTAGCAAGAATGCACATATTGAGATCGACAATGGGGATCTTATACCAAGGCCGCCATGTTTGGAAGGAAGTGTGGCTTGATGCCAAGCTATGTCTGTAAATTTGATATTTAAGCAGTCTCTAAGGATGACTATTATTCTGGTTTCGAATCTCACTAAATGCTCCCTAATACGCGTATCTTCATTATTCTTTTAACGGTTATTTTTATTGGTCTATTTGGATGTCTTCAATTATATTAGAGAGTAATTCTAGTGAGGATGTTAACAGGATTAACTTCATCATCTTAAAGGCTAAATGAAGAAAAAAACAATACTTAGTTACTTTTTTAGGGGGAGGGGGGGGGGATATTGATAAAAATAAGACGTTTTATGAGAAAATAGTGGGGAAACTCATTCCCAAGATATATCTTCACAAAATTTAAGGTCTTTATGATTAAGAGTTATTCTCGCTAACTTAGTTATTCGATCAATCGCTTTACCAAGGTCTCCCTTACATATGAATAGCACCTAAATTTATATGCCAACTCTATTCTAGGAATATTAAATTTTATAAATTATTTATTTTAAAATAGATTAATTAAAATAGTCGTAAAAATTGTCATTTGCATATAAATGACACATAAAGAAAACTTTTATTATAATGGTAAACCGATTTATATTCTTATTGGTTGTATTTCAATTTATGATGCCATTATTAGGCAATGTCTCATATAATGAAATCAAGATAATTTTTAAATGATTTTTTTAAAATCTTGGAAGATGAGTTAATCTTAATACTTAGTTAAAATATTTTAATGGAATTATAATCAAGATAAAAAAAAAGAAGTAAGCAATCAAAATAATATTTATATCACAAGATGGCGTAATGTATTTATAAAAATTCTTTTCCTTCAATAATTTATTTTGTTTTAATGGTAATATTGTAGTTAAAAGGCAACCTTTATGGTATTTATAATCTATAAAAATTGATTGAAACGAATTATGGTTTAAATTGGTAGATTTCGAATATATTATTTATATAAATAAATTGAAATTGGTTAAATTTAAAATTATCATCTGTTTCCATCAGTTTATTAAAATGTTATCTATTCTATTCTAGGAATTAATAACTATACATATTTACTATTTTAAAAAAGAAATATGAAATACAAAATTATGTTAAAAATAGATGGGGGAGGGGGGGGGGGGTCATAATTATGAAAAACATAATAATTATATTAAAATATTCCGACTTGTATTTTTTGCCCTAAGAAAAGGAATTCTTTAATATCCAATGTTTGGATTCATATTTTATTGACCAAAGTTTTAAAAAAAGGAGGGTGTTAGGTGAAACAGGTCCACTGGTGGATGTGGTGATTGGAGTAGAAATAAAGGCATCCAATATTTGTGTTTATTAAATTATTTCTGTTTCGGATTGAATGTGTTACTATTGATATTTGCGCGGAAAGTGGTCACACAAGTACAGCCCCAGATGAAAGATTTACCCCTAGCCCATGGAATAGTGAGATCAGGTCTAAGGCCTTCATTCTAAAGGTTACTTTCGGATTCGAGTTTTTTTTTAGGAATAGGCTTAGTAGTTTATTTATTGACGAATGGCGCTATTGATGGTCCTGGCTTTTAATACAATTAAACCCATATCTGCCCTTAGCATTAACTGGTAAGTTTCAATTCAGGAAACCATGAGGTTGGAATATGACGCAGCTCAGTTTATGCCCTAGGATAACTTAGTTGTTTATTAGTTAAAGATTCCCAAAATCTTTAGTCAAGGGTTCCGACTACTCATGGACTCTATTTTATCACTATTTTGAATGAATGTCTTCAAGGGAGAAGTGGGATTTCGAAAAGATATTTTTATGAATTATTTTATCGGGGAAGCTGTATTTATGACATTTCTCTGTTACAGTGCTAGGGCTAGATTCAGTATGCTATCATTGGTGGATATTAAGTTGTTTAATTGTCGAGAAGAAAGTAAAGATGTGGGCAATGTATAAAAGGTTGCTCAAGCAGGAAGTTTAGCTAATATCTAATTAAATGAGCTATCAGGATTAAAAAATTCCCAAAAAGGTTTTAAATGAGAACTCTAAACGTTCGATAGTAAAAAAAAAGAAGATTCAAGAAAAAGATGTAATATTTAAGAATAGAGGCTCTGGTGATGGGAGAATGCTTATAATTGCATTCAAGCGGAATATGTTGTAAAATATTTTGACTAGAGATAAAACTAAGAAAAAATGATATTTTTTCTAATAATTCTGGCTTACTTGCTATTAATATTTTAATTTAACAGATCTCAGTAGAATTCTTTCTTTCCTTTTCAAAATAATAAATGATTATTATCATTTATCTCTCTAAATTTGCTAAATGTGATAATATTTAATAAGAAACATTCTATATAGGGATTTTTTTATTACCACAAGTTGTCCGGCCGAATTTTTTTCTCCAGGCTCGGCCCGATATCGTTTTTAAATAATTTGCCCGGCTTATATATATATTTTTTAATTTGCTCCACCTGTAAAAATTTTACAAAAAGTCAGACTGGCCTGGCCCATTATAGTTTTTAGTATGAATTTTTTGAACATAACATTTATAATATCTACATATAATTTTTTCCCAATGTCAATTAAGGCCCTCATATCTCTCCTTAATGGCTATCTATATGTACAACAATCGTCTTATAAATGTGTCTGATATCTGTATTGTGCATTTTCAATTGGATCATATAAATAACTTGTTTATTTTTTGTGAATTTACTATATTCTTTATAGATTTACTATTCTATACTAGGCCTATTCGAACACGAATAGATTAGTGCATTATTCGTTTTTAATTCTCTTAAACGAATTAAACTATTTACTATTCGTATTCGTACGAATAATAAAATTTACTATTTGTATTTGATTTTAATTATTCGATTTTTGTAAAATATTAGAAAATAATTCACGCGAAAATATATTGACAGATTTTTTTTATTGCATGCACATCTAATTTTAAAAATAAAAAATTATTAAAATAATCTGATGATAATTAACATTCTGGCAGTGTAAATAGAAGGAGGGGCAATCGCCCCTGGCAGCCGAAACTAGACAATTTTAGAGACCGCCTAATTTTATAATTGCTGACAAATTATTTTTAGTCTCTCGTAAAATAAGAATTTTTTGTATATACTGCATTAGTGATCTGCATAGTCTAATTCAAGCCCGGCCCAAAATTTTTTTTTAAAAGTTTTGCCGGCCCGGCTTGAACCCTAAATTTTTTTTATATTTTTATTTTACATAAAAAATTCAACATAAAATTACTAAATTTAGATATATTTAAAAAATTTCCAAGACCCAACCCGACGTGGTCCGAATTTTATTAAAAAATATTAGGCCTGAGCCAGCCTGAACCCGATTTTTTAAAAAGGGTTCGGGCCGGGCCTACTTTTGCAGATCTCTATACTACATACAAGACATTATTCTTTTATTGTAAAAAACCCCAGTATGAATTTCGGAAAAATGTTTGGCATGTCTAGCTATATGTATTATAACGAAAAATTTGATTTATATTTTAGTAAAAAAAAAACTTCATTTATTTTTTAGTTAAGAAATTTGATTTTTTTTCATTGAAAATTTTTTTTTTCTATTTATAAATAATCTTTAAAAACAATTTAATTAAATTTTATATTGGCAAAGGAACAAGATTATCGGTAAGTTAAAAGTATAAATAAATTTATTTATAAAAAAAATTAACTGACCTATTTTGATAAATATTTGGTCTATTTTCTAGTAAAGATCATGTTTTTGTAGCTGTAATAGTTATAAGGCACCTTTTGGATATTCTGATGAGTTTATTTGAAAATAAAAAAATTTGCACTATAGTCTTCGTTTAATACATAAAAGTACTTTAATTTTGATTGAGTTATTATTTTAAACGATATATATTCGATTATTAGGTATTTAGTTTTATATATATTACATAATATGCTAGTTCCAGACCCTTTTATAAATGCTGTGCAGAAGCCATTTCATTGGCCAAAGGATTAAAATAATTTCCATTTTTGGTAACTCATGTCATCTGGTTTGATATATTAACCCAGGCAATTTAATAATGCGCAAGATTTTTTAGATCGCTTTAAAGTAAATGGCTTTCAGAATTCCCTTACGCAGGAATTGAAAATGAAATAAGGAGAGCATTGCCTTCCTTCAGTAACATTAATTTGTAGATTGAAAGTTAGAGAACAATTTTATTATGGAGGAGATGACACACCTAATGATCCTCTAAAAAATATAAGATTGAATTTTTCAGTGCATTACTAGATCAAGCGAGAAATTCGATGTAGGAACGTTTCCAGCAGTTTTCAATGTATTACTAGATTTTCGTTGGAGGAATGTTTCTAGCATAAACTCTGTAAAGATCATATATGATCGATATTCAATATTCTAAAATAGATAGATGCGCCTGAAAACTATCTAAAAAAACTTGTCAATTAAAAATTTAATAGATCAGGATACGATAGAATGTGATATTAATCTGCAAAATCTATTATTTAAATTAAAAACTTCATTAGAAATTTTACGCAATATTAATTGGTTAAATAAAACTTTATCAAATCTATCCATTGAATTAAGGAGTATTTTAATCATTCCAATTACCGTGGCATGTAGTCTCAAAGCTCAAATTAATTAAAATTTATCAACGATTTATGTATGACACAGGACCGACTTATTAATCCCACTTGAATTTTAGTAGAAAATGATATAGCCTCATCATTAGATTATACGAAATAATATCCTCTTTTGCAAAGAGAGGAGAATAAATAAAATCAAAATATTTTAGTCTATGATTATATTTATTTTTATAATGTACTTTACTCATTTGTGATTAAATTTAATAAGTATATATGCTTTTAGTTATCATTGCGAGAAGTACCAAATAAGCTTAGGTGAATCGTGTTTTTTAAGGGGCCGTCAAATTATTTTTTGACCTAGATCGCCAAAATTCTCGGCACAGCGCTGGATATTATATTATTGATGAAATTAAAATACATAATAATTTAATTTATAATGACCAAATTTTAAAGGCAAAGATTTTCTCGTTATAAAACATTAAATCATTTCAGTAAATTAGTTCCAATTTAAAAAGTCCTTCCAAAAAATATCACCTGTCTAATTGATTGGTTATCAATAGAAATGACAAATAATTAAGTTTTATTTAAAAACATATTAAATATTAGTCTGAATAATTCAATTCGACGAATGAAATTAATTTATTGAATAATTTGTGGAATATTCGAATTATTCATTTTATTCGAATCAAATAATTCTTTATTCGCATTTGAACAAAACGAATATCGATTAGAATTTTTCAAAATGAATCGAATTTTTTATTCCAGCACTAATTTATTATTAAAATAGTTTTTAAAAGATTGATTCACTGCTACGGATAATTAGGATCCAACCCAAACATTCTTTAGGAAATTCGCCTAAAAATTTTATTCCTCAAATTCTTTGACTGATCATTTTTAAAAACTATGATAAATTCCACAGATCATATTGATTAAAATAAGCTATTTTTATTTCTATATTTATAATTCAAATGATATAAATATTCATTGTAATATGATTATAAATTCTCTACGATAAAAATAGAAACAATATAATTTTATTGTATAATAATAAATAAGTAAATAATTTATATATTAAAAAACTAGTATTATAATAAAATATAATAATGAATTTTTAAATATGTTTATTATGATATTATGGCAAAATAATTTATAAAAGACCAGTAAATTATTGAATCAAGAAAAAATGAATCGGGGAAGATCAACATACGAGTATTAAATTAAAGATAACATTTCTTTAAAATAACTTAAATAAAATTTCCGTGATCGTGTCTTCTTTTAAATAGAATTGTATAAATTTCAAAAATATAATCATAATTTACACATATCAATAATTAACACAGTTAAGAGAATGATTATGACATTGTTAATCGTCGTATGGTGTCTTTATTTGTAGAGCACAATTTTGCATTTTTGGATCTTGGTTTTATTGATGATATCATTGGTGGTAATTTCCGATTTCGAAATATCTGATTTATGAACATTAAGAGAAAAATGATTGTCAATTTTACGAAAATATAAAGTTAACAATATCATAAATTGTGTTCGTTCTTTTATAACAAATTCTATACTAAACTTAATTATTATATAAATGTTTCTAAGCGCTGTAACCATCCTTATAGTGCTCTGGATTATCTCACGCCTTATTATTTGGTAAAAAATTATAGATAATATAAGCCTAGTGAATGCGATACTTACCAGAAATGGGATTTATGGTCATGCTGGATTTATTTTCAGATGACGTTTTAAAATAGTTTGTAACCCTTTTGACGGCAATATCGTCTGATTTACAGTAAGAGATGGCCGAAGAATTTCTATATAGTTTGGTTTTAGGATAGATGGTGGAGTACTTAGGTGATAGATATAAAGTTTTGTTATCGAAGCTGGTGTCCGCTATTCTAATTTGAGTCATCTGATTGATAATATTTTTAGGGGAAATTAAAATATATCAATTAAAATTATTATATAAGATTCAATAAATTTGTTTTAAAGGTTTTATTAAATAATCGAAAGATTTTTGTGTATTCAAACAAATTATAGAAGATGGTAAGTAAAAAGGTGGTTTAATAAAAATACTTTATTTTAAATTAAAAAAAACAATTTATTTTTTCATAATTTTAATATGTCTGTTTAGATCAAAAAATTTCAAGTATATATAATTTTATAATTACTAATATAAATATATACAAAAAAATTTATATCTTTTCAAAAGATTTAACATTCTTTAAGAATACTAAAAAAAATTAAATAAAAAATATAGAAATTGAGTAACCTTTCAATATAAAACATAAATTAAATAAAAAAAGATATAATTTGATTAATTTAATCTTTAACACAACTCATGATATAAAAAGTTGAACTTTTTTAAAAAAACTTCTTTTGATTATTGTTAATACACTTTCTACAAATAAAAAATATTAGAGAGAAAATTCAATTAGTCAAAATAACATTTCTACCTTACACTCTTCATTGATAGGGTTTGAATTATGAGAAGTCATCCCGAGATAAAGATGCCGATTATTTGTAGGAGTTGGAGGTGTTTTGGCAGGTTGCCTCCATTTCACCCGATCATGGTCGGACCGAAAGTGAGTATAACCTCTTGTCACGTGATGCGTATCCGGTATCTCGTTTAATAGTCTGCTTTTGGGTATATTGTTTAATCGTTTGTATTCAGTAACATTTTGTCGAGTAGCTTCTGAAGACGTCGGACGATTATCACTAATACTATATTTGTATTCACTATCAGGTGAAGGATGGAATAAAGTAGAATCAGAATCGGGCGTTTCTAATCCTTGTTGGCGAGATGACTGGGAAGAATCGTCTAGTTGGTTTATCGATATAGACGTAGACGAAAACGAATCCGCACGTTTGCATTCGTTATCGTCGTTTTCGTAATCATCATTCCCTCTAGCATACGATTGTGGGAAAGGAGAGTACTGGGAAGTAGAACGATAATTAATAGAAGGAGAAGCGGAATGTGATTCAGGTTTTTCGAATAAAGCTCGAGCTTTGCAGAATTTAGCGTTGCTATCATTAGAAACTCGATTTTCTTGAAGATGATAATTTTCATTACCTGATTGATAGAATGTAGAAATATTATTGCAAGTAATATTAAGGCCGGGCGAGTAAGAATTTCTTCTCATTCTGGAACGGCTGTTCGTGTTAAAAATTTTCCCGCCTTTCTTCAATTCCCCGCTACTGAATATGACGTTCAGGGTGTCCTTCTTCTTAATTTTTATCAGTTCCTCAATTTCTGAATTCGATTCGTCTGCTTCTGTAATTTGTTCGGAGATATCATCTGTTTCGTGAGTAACGGAAGTTATTGCGGCTAAAATCGTCTGTAATGGTAGTGCAGTAGGTAAAAAAGCTTTTTTAGGTACTTCGGTTATATCTGAAATATAAAAGGTAATTTACAATATGCGCCTATGCAGATAAAACGCCTTACTTGTCAGAAAATTTAAAAATAAATATTTTCATTATAAGAAATTTAAGTATTATATTTAAATTATTTATCATTTAATCTATATTAGGATTAGCCAATATAATCGAAGATTATTATGTGACCATTTTGAAATTTCAATAAATATAAACAACGTTAAAAATTATTTAAATCTAAAAAAAACTTTTATCCCCTTGAATCTTGGTCGACATAATAGTCTTAGCATCTTTAACGTAATTCTCGCAAAGCGGTTCATCCTTTAATAGATCATTTTCTATCTTATCGACACCCGTGGATGTAAAATAAAAATAATTTCGGATAACCGGGAAACGGGTACTGCGGACATGGCTCATTCCTTCTGAATCACCTGACAAGTCGGGAGTGAGTTTGTTATGAACTTCTTATTATATAGCATAAAAGAAAAAAAATGCCTTAAATCTCATGACGTAATTCAGATACCTGCATAAATCAAAATTTCAGGTCCATCCCAGCCAGGATTTTTATTTTTAATAATTTTCCGCCGACTCGACCAAAAATTCTAAAAAATATGTTATTTTGAATGAATGTATTTTGAAAATTCTTTTAGAGGTAGCAGTAGAATATTAAACGCCCCATTGTAAGATTTCCCAACTAATTCCAGCTTGGATTTTTAAAATCATACTATTTTCCAGCCCCGGGCCTGCAGGTCTCTGCTATAATCATTGAATTCTCTTTTTCTTGTGGGCTTTATATGAATCAACAATGATGGGAGAAATAATGTTGAAAAGATAAAATAATTTCATTCTTTTTTTTAATAACCTTTTTTATCGAGATCATCTAACAAATCTTCTGTATTTCCCTGCTTGACTCTTAGGATGGGTAAGTTTTTGTCTTCATTTTCACCTAATTTATCGTCTGCCTTAGGTGTACGCAAAATTTTCCCAGCCTTTTGAGAGAAACCCTGGTGATCAAAATACTCGGAAGGCAAAGAGGGTAAGAGTGAAATATCATCACATTCATCCGTAAGTATTTTGGTATGTTCCTTGATTTTTTTCATAAGTGGTTGTAAAATATTGTATTTAAGATTTCTAAAAATTTTACAGATGTTTTACTTATACAAAAATAAAACAATATTTATTCTTTGATCTAATCTTATTATATTTAAGGGGTAAAAATAACCTTAAGGTATCGATTCTTCCCTAAAATTCCTTTTAGCCAAATTCTCTCATATAACGGCATCTTCGGTTTAATACTACCCCCCCCTTTAAATGTCAATTCTATTTTTATATGCCCTAACTTATTTACAGACGTAGTAAAATTTATCGAAGCTAATCTGATTATATATTATTACATCTGCTTCGGTATTTGGGGGAGAAGTATTGTTAAAGGCTTCTTCTAAGCTTTCGACATTTTCATCTGCTATTACAAAAAGCCTTGTCGTTATGCTTTCTCGAATCATTTTCACCGAAGAATTTAAATTCAGATCTATGTCTGTGTCAAATGCAATATTGCCACGATTATCGATTAATTTTGGGGCTAGTGCACTTTCGGCTGTTTTCGTATCAATATCATTGTTATTGTCAAGTTTTGGACAAAAGATTAGGCTAACACTTTCGGATAAATTAGATTTCTTGCCTAAATATAAAATGTATATTTATAAAATGGTTGGTAATATGTATATATTAAGTATGTATTTATTATATAATTACTCTTTTGGAAATCAGCATTTAATAAAATTATAGATTGAAAATAATATTAAAAAATTAATAATCTATTTAAAACTGTTAATGCAAATAACCTCGAGGATCAAGCGCTAATTTAAAGAAAGTCACGTGGCACCCCAAACGATTCTTGGCCATACAAATATATTCACCAACAAATGTGCTTAGATAATCGGTTACAAAAAAAGTGTTCTTGGGTGGAAAAATCTGTAGATCTGCAGTCATATTTATTGTATTCAAAATTTTATCGTTTGGTTGAAGTAGCGTGTTAAAATGCTGAGGAAAAATGTCTATGATAAAGATATAAATTAAGTAATAAACTATAAGCATTCGGTATATTATATATACATGTAGTTAGGCCAACATATGGGCGTACCCGGGATTTTTCTTTAGAGGGGAAGAACTAGGTATAACTTAAAAGGCTTTGCTTTGTTAGTAAAAGGCAGCGAGAAAATACGAAAATAATTAAGGGCAAGCAAGCATATATCTATCTGCACAAATCAACTTAAATATTGTATGCGAATATTTTCTTACACAATCTTTTGCACAAATGAGTTGTTAACGAACTTTAGGTAAACTAAAAATAATTAAAAAATAGACTACTGTGGCCAGAAAAATCTTATGTAAAAAAAATTAATAAAAATAAAGGGAAAATATGACTCAAAAAGAATACAAAAATGTGTATAAGTAAAAAAAATTGGATCCCTCTAACTTTGGTCTCATGGGGCCCCCAGTCCTCCCCTATTATAATATTATTTTCATTTTAGAGAGCTTGGAGAATGTTTTAAAATTAGAGGAAACAAATCATAGATAATTATCATAATCCTAGCCTAGAGAGGGTAGACATAAAAATTCTTCAGGGTAAGTGTATGAGTTTTCGTGAATAAAAATTATCGCTTTATAGACCTACTTCCCATCCCAAAAAATGAATGAAATAAGTTTAAGTTAATAATTTTTTAATAAGGACTATAATTGAAATTTTCCTTTAAAAACAATTTTAAGAAACCAAAATAACTTTTGGAAAAAAAAAACACAACCACCAAAAACTTGCAAAAAGTTGGTCTAAATCCCTCCAATATATATATAGAAGGAAAGGCAATCCAAAAGTTCACCCTGCCCTTAAGAAAGTTCTGGCTAGCCTAGAATACCACGACGTCGATAAGGAGCACATAAAGGTACAAAACAAAACTCTAAAAACTTTAGAGAGCTATCTAAAAAAGGATTTCCTTCTTTTCGCAAAACAAGTAAAAGGTTTAGCGATGCCACTGTTGCGATAATGTACCAAAAACTACAAAATGAGACTGATTTTTGACTGGATGTCCAAATTTAAAAAACTATTCATAACAAAAATAAATATATAGATTATAAAAATTAAAAGATAAATTGAGAGAATCAAATATTTCTAACATCTTTAATATCAATATTTATTTTTTTATTGAATTTAAATAAAATAACCTATAGCGAGGAAAGAAATATAAAGAAGTAAATGTAATAAATTAAGAACTATTCAAACCTAAAATGAATTTGAGAAATCTGGGATTATCGTTAAACACATGATGATCGACTCGAAAGCCATTCTTGAACCAAAAAAGTTCGGGTATCGGATAAAATTCGCGCATGGATAATCGCGCACTATTAGTAATTTCAAATACTTTGTCAGGGTCTTGCGATTGCGTGTTATTTATAAATTGAGGAGCTTTGTCAATAGATGATGGTTGACCTTAAAATAAATTATTATACTATATATATATATATATATTAAAGATATGGGCCGGACCAGATAGTCTAAAAAAAATAAATTTGGGTCGAGCCGGTCAAAATATTTATATATATATTTGATGAATTCTAATCTTTCATACAAGTGGCAATTCATAAAGTATAGTGTTTTTAATTTAAACCCCCCTCCCAGTTTTATAAATAGTTGTTTATTTTGGCGTTCATTAGCATAGCATGTAATTCGGTTTAGACCTTGTTTTTAAGAAAAAATTAAAACGTGGCCGAGAAGGGAGGGGCAAGAAATAAATTCCCATTGGGTCGGGCCGGGCCCAAATATTTTGCCATTTGCAAATCTCTAGTATATATTATATGAGGTATCTCGTCTGATTTATATTTGTGGCCATCATATTGGGAAAAGTAATGCCAATAACTCATAGGGAGGATTGTACTTTTATTATATTTTACTTTTTATTTAAAATCTATTATATAATTACTACGAATAAGGGATAAGCATAATTATATTTGTAAATTATATTTTATAGTGAGAAAGAAAAATATAATATTCCAAAAAAAAAATGTTATTATAAAATGTTAATTGGTTGATTTTTTGGCGGGCATAAATCCATTTTAAAAAAATTATGTAATATTCATTTCTTAACTACATTCTTAGTTTAGTTTCTAAAGTATATTAATTGTCTCTTTTAGTCAAAATAACGCGACATTAGTATATAATATACATATACATATTAAAAAAATTTAAAAAATTAACCTTTTCTCCCCATAATTTCAAAATGAGCTTAACGATCGTTTAAACGTACTTCTCGATATTTAATATTATTTTTGATATTATAATACCTTTAACAGAAATTCTAAAAACCGAAGATAAACAAGCAACGCTAGCACCAATTCCGTTCCTGATTTCGAATCTATAGCTACCGGAATCATTTATATCAGAATCAAACAGCAAACACGTGACTAAAATAGAATTCGAAGCAGTCGAATTCGTGTTTAAAATTTCATTTGTTTGATTCGATAAACTTTTCTTTTTATGCGATAAGGTGCTTGATGTTTTGAATTCTGAATTTGATATCAAATCGTTCGTTGAAGGATTTGGTGTGATATTTGGTGAAAATGTGAATTTAAGTCTCAAGAAATCGTCTGTTATTGTGAAGCATTTTGTATCGGTTTCAAATTTTTGTAAGTATATATCGTCTAGGAACAATAAATTTATTTTAATATGTGGAATATTATAAATATATATATATAATTTTTGGTAAAGGCTAACTAACTTTAAAAAATCTTCCATCAGATGAATATTTAGAAATTGCTGCAATTAATCAAAATAATTTTAAAAACAAAACAAATTAAAAATTTGAAAATCGAAATATTTATTTATAATATATTTTTTCTCTCCGCGATAATAATATTGGCAATATATTTCTTTTTGGGAGGGAAGAATTAAATTATTTATTTCTGTATGTGATGTGATATTATTTTTTTAAAATATATGTGATAGCGACAATTTGTGAGAGGTGGGGAAGAGTTACAATCGCCAGAATTCTAACATAAATCCTATCTTGAATAATACTAATATAATATCTAACTGACCATTGTTGTAGGAGTCCAGGGTAAACGTTAATTTGACGACGTTTCCTTCCTCCGTTTCATAACATTCGTTCGGTTGACTAATAATACTGGGAGGATTGGGGAGAATGTAATACTTTGAAGTTATGTTGGATGCTGCGATATAAAAAATTGTAAAAGAATGAAGCACGTGATTTAGATTAAAATATTATAAACCAATAGTGCTAATATTGATAATTCAGCTTGTATATAATTAACTTATAGATTGAATGGATAACTACGTCAATCAATTTCCATTCTTTCTTCCTTCACTAACCGTTGACTCCATTTTTTTGTTTCCAAAAACCAATGTCTTCTAAGACGGTAAAGGTACGTACGAATCAACTACATCATTGAAATATCAGGAAGGTACCCTCTTAGACAATATATATACTCAGTATCCATGTTATAAGTAAATTATTTAATATTTTAGACATCAGGAGGGTTACATCGTCATTGACGTAGTAGGGAGGGGGGAGGGTCTGGAAGGCTCTGTCCCCAACTAATAAAATCCAATAATAATTTTTCAACTTCTTTTATGTAGTCATCTTTACTACGGCAAAGATTTCCCAAAATTTCTATACACTGTATGACAACTATTTCCAAAATTTATTCTCTTCCTATAAACTAAATTCCTATAGTTTATAAAATCTTTATTTTATAAAAAAATTATCTTAAACTGCAATCATGAAGCATGAAGCAAAAAATAAGGGGGGGGGAGCTTAAATTCTTAATTTTTTTTCAAAATAACTCATTTCAAAAATCAATTTTTTCCTCCTTCGATATAATTGTTTGTTTATTCATTCGTAGTAATCGCAAAAATACTTGTATTATTTTATAAAAATAAGAGAGCAGCAATTTATATAACTTTTGAAAGGGGGAAAAGAAGGTTTTGGCCTCATTTAAACTTTTATTTTATGTTAAGCACATTTTTTTTCCTTATTTCGTGTGTAGTTAAAAACTACAAAAAAAAATTTCAACGAATTACCTTTTTGAAAAAAATAATAATGATTAAAATTCATTAAAATAAATTTCTCCCATCTCCTTTTCAATTAATCTTTTGTGTATAAAAAAATTGTAACGTTTTCGTGTATTAAAAAAAAGAAAATATTATTCTTTATTTAACTTAACACTTTTAAAAAGATTACATACATACATTCATTCATACAAGAAATGAATGAATGACATGAAGGATAAATGAATGATTAAAAAAAATTGTGTATAATATACTGCGAATGTTGTAATACTTACTATTCGATATTTTTTTTTAAAGAATTTTATATATCTTTTTAATCGTCTTAAACTTGTAACCTAAATTATTTTTCTTCTTAAATTAGTTCCTCCTCGCTTTATTATCGCACTTAATTCCCGTTTGCATTATCTGGTTTATTTTTTTAATAAAAAATTTTATCTTTTCAAACGATTCGGAAAAATTTTGTTAATATTTTTTGTAAGTTAGTTGGATTATAGTATCCTAAATCTATTATGTCACTCACTCTCCACCTTTTTTTGTATTCTTTACAAATTTTATAAAGTTAAAGGTAATTTTCGGGTCAAAAAAATAGATTAGGTAGAGAAGATTATTATATAACCTTATTTACTAAATTTCCTCCTAAATGGAGATAAAATATTATAGACGATCAATTATTATATATTAGAACCATGTAGGGCACCCCCTTCCCCAAGTCAAGGATGACGAGACCTTTTAATGACTAAAATATGATGGTAATGTATTTTGACTAAGACCGGTGAAATATCAATGAATCAATCTCATAACCCCGCCCCCGCGGTTAGGTTTTTATTTTGTCATTCATTCCTTTTTTTCTTTACTATTGTTGCAACTATTCTAAATTCCCATATAAAAATGTATATAATTTATTTTTTTAAACAAACAAGTTAAAATTTATTTAAATTTTAAAAAGGGGAAAACAAATGTTGTATTTTATTATAATATAAGTTACTTTTTTGAAATATAGTAAAAAAAAATATATCTCAAATTTTTAACATTTTTATTACTAAATTATAAAATAAATAGTTTAACTTTCTCTTAAAAGTCAATTCAAATTCTTAAATATATATTTTAAAAAAATATATTGAAATTAATTAAAATTTATTTACTGGAATTAATTAAATGTGTTGATATGGAGTGTTGAACCGGTATATTTACATTTTGTAGCGTGGCATCGGAATGAGCTAAAATGACGGATATGGGTGGATCTGGAATGCGAAATAACTTCAATAACTCGTCTATTTCACTTAATTAAGGGTTGTAAAATAAAATTATTTTTTTAAAATTTAAATTACTTTTTATATAATGAATATAATTTATAAATTAATCATTCTTGTTATAAGGAAGATGGCTGCAGTTAAAAATTTAATTCGCAGAGATATCTTGCCCTACTGGTCTAAACTTATAGTGCTTACAAATTGAACAGAAGCTTGTAGCATTGATTTTTAAAAAAAGTTTCATTTTTTAAATTTAAATGGTATTTTTTTAAATGCGAAAAACTTAAAATTTTCGTTTTTTAATGCAGAATAATCCCTTTCTATTTGCATGTTGTCATTTAACATAAACGAAAACTTCAATTTGTAAGAACATTATTATTTTATTCCGGTTTTCTATCAGTTTCATATGGACAAGGAAACGCTTACTTTCACATCCTTTAAACTTATAAAACTTTTATAAAAATTATAAAAGGGATGGTAGTGAACCCCGAACTTTGCGCTTATTTTACTTTGCCAAATGGCTCGCCATCAGAAACAAACCTAATAAATTTGAATCATTTAAAATTCTAATAGTGGTAAGGAATAATAAATTAATGTGATATTGTGGTCATTGCTTTATATTTAACAAATCCATCTAAATTTAGTTTTTGTTATATAAATGAACATAAGAAAAATATTGTTAAATCTTCGGTTAAATAAGTAACATATACGCATTTTACTGATTAATTTTGAAAACTTTTTTCGTAATAAAATAATATTTTTTTATTTTTCAATCTTCTTAACTTTATCCCAAAAATCGAAGAATTTTCCGAGAGGAATTTTAAAAAAACTCCCGGAGCAAAGATAGGATCTACAATTTAAATATTTAACATATCTTTTATGCAATAATGATGCCGTTTTCCCCCAATTATTGAGCATTTTAATAAAATGGAAAATATTGTTTTTTATTCAAACTTATTGCTTCGAGAAGAGCTCTGCATGACCGTCAAGTCTGACAGATTCTCGATCGAATTCGCACCTTGATTTTTAATTTATTTCGAATAGGATCAGACTAGGATCCTCGATAAATATTTAAATTATTTTGTTATCATACTGTCCTTTTTGTTAGATTCTTTTCAAACATTTTTAAAATAAATTATTTTCCCTTAGCGCTTAGAATTTTTGATGAAATAACGTATTTTATTTTCGCCAATCCAATAAAAACATTTTGATTGAACTATGTTGTTAAATGGCTCGATATGAGTCGATTTTTAAAAATGACCAACACAAAATTTAATTTAGCACTTGAAGAGCTCATAGGAGGCACTAAGGCTTGGACATCGATTAACATCTAGAGGCCAAGGCAATATTATTTCGGCTGAAAAATTTAGTTACCCGTTTTAACCACACTAAATCGTACTTTTCTAAAATAAAATCTTGGACTAGATTCTTTAAAAAAAGTACACTGATAGATCGAATAGTCATTTTAAATTTTTTTCCTCGAATCGGGTCAGAACTAAAATAAATTAGGCCCAATGCAGGTAGCCTTGGGTGAAAAACTGACTTGGTTTATATGATTAGGTCTAATAATGATTTAGTAAAAAAAATCGCTGTCAACTTTAATTTTCGGTCTCTCTACGATAAAAGTCAATAATTGTTAAATTTTCTGTTGAAAATAATTTAATTAACAATATCGAAATATCAATTTGTTAATATCCTCGTTTAAATCAAACGGAAAAAAAGATACTGATCCCCACTATCGAAGGCCTACTCCAATAAATGTCATATTGTGTGTTGTTTTTAAAAGGTATATTTAATTTTATAAAATATATATGAACTTGTCGTTGGCCATGTATTTTAATGACTTTAAATAAATAAATACAGTGGCAACAAAAGGATTTATTTTGTTTTTATAAAGAACATCGCAATTATTTGATTTTTGAAAATATATAGCCATTTTAATTTCTACCATTATTTTATATAAGTATAGAATATTTATAAAGATTCATTTATAATGGAGAAATTTACTAAGATATAAACGACAAATTAATTTAATCAAGGTAAGATATATGATATGTAATGAAAATATATATAATATTCTATATTTGATTTAACATTTTTTTCATTGTGGACACAAGGATAATTTATAATGAAGTGAAACCACTTTATTGGAGTATATTATAATATTTATAAATTTTAAACCCTTAATAACAAAGAAAATTTTATTCATTGGACTGTGTCCAAAACACTAAATTAAATTCACAAACTTTTGAGACATTAATGAAAATAAAAAAATAAGCTATTTCAAATGTAAAAATAAAAATATGACAAAATATAATTTCATTTTTATAAATTTCAAATATTTAACATACGATTTTATAAAAATTTTAAAATTTGCCAAAGTTTTGAAACTTTCCGAATATTTTTAAAATCGTTTAGGACATGGCCTTATGACGCCAAATCAACCTAAATTTTACAAGAAAAAAACCATTTTTAAAATAATTTCTAAATTTTTCTACAAAATAAAATTTGTTCACAATATTTACCGCAATGTATGTAAAGTAGTTGTATACGGTAAAATGGTAGTATTTTATTTATAAATATTAAATATTGCAAAAAAAAAATTTTTTATCGGACATAATTTTCTTAAATTTATCGTATAAAAATATAATTTATGAAGCAAATAAAAACATTTTTTATTCATATTCATATCGAACGTGAAAATTGAGGTCAATCAAACAAACAATAATGTAAAAGATTATAGAACATTTTTTTTTATTAAGTTATTAAAGTTAAATATTATAATATAAAAAAAAATTAAGATTATATTTTTAAAAAAATATATACTGAGCTTTCAGAAAATGCAATAGTCCAACAAAACTATGCGTGTTGAGCCTATATTCAATAAATCTTTGGATCATTTCAATGCATTTGGGGTTATTTTAAAGATCGGGAAAATTTGAGGATTTTAATTGATAAGATTATGTTTTTTAAAATACTTTTTTGAATTTCTAGAAAAAAAAATTACCTTTATCGGGGATAATTATTGAAAAACTCAGCCGTATGCTGATCTTATAATTCAGTTTCATTTAAATACTTGATTCGAATTATATGATATTTTTAAAAAATCCTCTTTTGTCAAAGAATACCCAAAGCTCGATTTAAACAAAAATCATATGAATCCAACCTTCGAGGGTCTTTTTATTTTTTGGGACGGAAAGTTTTCTAATTTAACATAAATTTTAAAACCGGATGTCTTTTAACGCCAATTTTATGACCGGGCTAACCAAATTTCAGGACCAGACGCGTGTTAAATCACATTTTAATTTCCCCTTTAAATAATAAACTAATGTATAATACATGATATGAACATTAATTTGAATATTAACAAATAAAATATATGATATATAAAAGAAATGAAATGGGATATTATTATGTATTAGAAAAATAAATCGTTGGTTCTCAATCAATTGTGATCTCGCAATTTAAGCATTCTTTCTCAAAAAATCTAGAGTCATCTAAAATTTTAATTTTAAGAGATATTCTGGCCTCCTGCTTTTGAGAAAATTCTTTCGCATGACAACTATGTGACTTGTATAGATAAATTACCGCCATTTCGGCGAAAAGGGGAAAGCAAACTTCCTGCCTTTGAGAAAACTATTAACATAACACCGACATGCCTTGTATGGGTTAGTCATTTTGACGAAAAGGGGAAAGCCGAATTCATTGGTTTTCCGATATCGTTATTAATTGGATATAAATAATCGGACAAATAAGTTTGTAGCTCGTCGTCTTCATAAGACTTTAGCCAAACACTATACCCGGATAGGATCTAAATTTTCTATGCAGGTCTCTGATTAAAAAGCAAATAACCAGAACTCCACCTGTGGGTAGAATTTTTGATATTTTGGGAAAGAAATTATATATTAATAAATACAAAATCAATATTATATATAGGATAAAGAAGAGGGAATCGAGCCTATTTAAAAGGAAATAATTAAATATTTTTATACCCGTATTTACATTAAAAGTTAGAGTTCGTTTCACATAATAAAGACCTATTTTGCACACCTATTTAATTATATTTTAAGACAGGTAAGCAATTTGTTAATTTTACCATTTGAATTTTTTTTCAAAAAAAGGTAATAAAACTTTATGACTTCCGTTTTATCATTTACCTTTTATATAAACTTCGATTTCTTTATATATTAATTTAATGAGTTGTAAGGTTATTATTGTTAGGTAAGATGAAAAAGAAAGTTATTAAATATAAATTTTACCAGCTAGGCGGTGGGATGAGGGGGGGGGGCTAATAGTGCAGTGGGTATAAACTAAGCGTTTCAAACTTAAAATGTATTATAAATGGTAATGTGGCAATTCGGTTAAATTATCGTTTGGTGTTAGAACAAAATAGGAATAATTCTAAATGAAATAAAAAGGCAGACAGATAATATAATTCCTAAAAACCATTTCTTTTTTATAATTTAGTTTAAATTTTGAATCATTAATACAAGATTCTTAAATAAAAAGGCAACCTTAATTTAAAAGGATGCGTTACGTTTTAGTACGGCAAAACGCAAGCACCCAATTTGTACTCACTATATTGATTTATTTTGTTTAATTTTTCTTATTTGTCATTAACTTGCTAATTACTTCAGATATGTCTTAGCACAGGCGCGTAACCAATGGGGGAGAAAGGGGGAAATTTCCCCCTTCCATCGCAAATTTGACTATTTTCATAAATATCATTTTAAGCTAATAAAAATTTTACCCCCCACCCCCCAGATCCCCCTCCCACTAATCAAAATTTTACAAATATTTGAATATCAATTTTCCAACATATTATTCAAAAATATTAATAAAATGTAAAAATATTTAGTCAAAGAGATTGAAATCAAACGATAATTTATAAATATGGCTGAGCATGAAAAAAAGTAATGTGTCGTTAGCAGCGATATCATTATTGAATTCAATTGATCAATCAGAGTTTATCATTGCTGCTAGTTGCATCAATAAATTATTTTTAGCTCACTACTTTGTAGAAATTTACAAAAACCAAATTTAGATTTGGTTCAAGTTATTGATTTGGCGGAAAATATACATGAACAGGTAGATACAATAAGAATGAATGTAGATAAATATTTTTATAATATTTATCTAGACGTTGAATCGAAGGCTAAATTTTATGATATAATACTAATTAAACCTCGTCTAGCACCTAGGCCATTATTGAGATGAAAATAAATATTGGCTCAACTGAAGAATATTATAAAATATCCATTTTCATCCCATTCTTAGATACTTTTTTATAGCAAATAAAAGTACGGGTTTTAGATAAAAAACAAGTCTTTAGCAATCTTCAAGTTTTATTACCCAAAGATCCTTCTTCATTTTCTAATGCCACTATTGGTAAAATTAAATATTTAGAAAATTTTTATTATAAATTTAATCAGTAAATTCGAATTGTGGTATAAATATTTATAGGTTTAGCTATTTTACCTGAGCATGCTATTGATGCGCTCAATCGGTGTAAAGAAACCTTGGCACAATTTCCTAATATTTCGAAGTTGTTTTATATTCTTGCATGTTTGCCTATTACAACATGTACGAATGAAAGGACTTTTTCCAACTTGAGAAGGTTGAAAACATATTTACGAAGTACTGAATCTTGGCTAAATGGGTTAGCTCTGTTAAATATACACAGAGATTTGGTTCCAAAGACAAACTAAATAATTAAAAATCTTGTATTTGATAAGAAGTTAAAAAAAACTTGTTAATTTAATTATTTTCTAGTCAATATTTTAAACTACTATTAGTATTTTCAATAAAAAAAATTATATTCTACTTATATTGTATGAGAATTTAAGCTGAGGCTAGTTTTTAAAGCAAATTTTATAAAAAAAATGACATTACACTTTATTTCAACTTTACATATAAATAAACCTTTACATTTAAAAAAACTTTATTAAATATAATATACCTAACTTGAAATAATAAAAAAGAGGCTTGTAATATCCTATCCATAAGCACGAATTAGTAAATAATAGTTAAAAATAGAAATATAATTATTATTAAATTATTCATAATTTAATAGAATAGCTAAATAAGACCCGGCCATAAGGCCGGGGAAAAGCTGGCCGAAGGCCAGGTAAAAGGGGTTTGGGGGCGAAGCCACCCCCCCCAAATTTTCCCCCCTTAAAAGAAAATCCTGGATACGCCACTGTCTTAGCAGATGAAAATTATTCTTTAATAAGTTCTAAATAAAATATTAACTGATATACCTGCATTTTATATCATTATGAATGAATTCAAAAATAATTGTGTAAATTATATTTACACAATTATTTTTTTCTATGGAACTTTTTCTAAGATAACTTTTTGCTTAAATAATAAATTGAAATACCAGTCCGATACGAAAATAAATTAGGTTTCATTTATAGCAAACGCGTTATGTTCAACGGTGCCTTATTTACAAAATCAAGGCAATAGGAGCGTTATGATGATAACGCTATGATAAAATTTGAAAAATATATGTTGCAATGTATATTTTAAAAATTATTAAAGCTATGAAGAATCAGCTGTGATTTCGATAGCGTTAAATAATGTAACGCTTACACATTACGCATTTACTATAAATGAAGCCTTCTTAGTTATGTAGACCTAAAGAAAGTTTACCTTAAATCATTTGATATTTAAATTTAGGATATAAGGGATCATAAAAATAAAATATTTTAAAAAATTACTTTAATGCCTTAGCCAATTTAGGAATATCTTTAAGGAATATTTCTGGGTGTGAGGTATATCTTGTCTTTTTAGTCGCAGCGCTTTTAACAACAGAATCTTGAAAACCAAACGATTCCGATTTTAAATTTTTTTGAGGATAATTATCATCGTTTGCTTTCATTTTGATGTGTTTTTCATAGTTAATTTTTTTTTCATTTATATTTGTGGTTATAGGTTTGCAATCCATTTTATTTATTTCATATGTACCCTCATTACCGTTTATATCTTTTTTGTCGGAGTAGCATCCATTCGTCTCACTTGATTCGAAATGTCCTTTAGTGATGAATTCACCATTTCGAACATTAACGACGGAATTTTCAATGGCAGGAAGTTTGATATTAGCACTCTTAATCGCCGCCATATTGTTTAATTATTTGTACATCACGTTTTAAAAACTAAAAATGTACGAGTTGATATGACAAAAAAATCTTAACTATAGACGAGGAGTTGCGAATTAGATGAATTAAAGGATTCATTTCTATTGATAATTAGATTAAATATTTTAAAAAAAAGAAATTTAATACTTCAAATGATAAAATAAATATCTTAAAAAAACACGATATTTTTTAGATATATATTATCACAATGGATACATAAAAGATTTACACAATTTAACATTATTTCTCAAATGGACAGGTAAGGTTACAAAGTTTCCAATTCTAATTTTTCAATTAAGTCAATTCAACAGTTCTAATAAATACATATTAATCTATTACATTATTTTATATTATAACTTATTCCAATAAAATTAATTTTTTAATAAAACTAAAAATCGAGCCAAAAAAAGAAAAAAAAATTGTCATTTGAAAAGCAAAAAAAGAGTTAATCTTATTTTTTTTGGTCCTAGTCTAGTTGGGAACATTCACACCATCTAAATATTGTGTAGTTTGATTATTATAAGATTCTATTCTCATCTCACTCTACTACGATCAATATTTATTTTATAGGCGAGAGCTTTTTAAAAAATACATCATGTTATCTTATTAAAATCATAGGATATAGAAAATATATTTTATTAAATGATAGCATTCAAAATTAATATTGGACCCCAGTTAAACTTTTTTGGACCTTAAGTCAAGTTTTATAATAAATAATAGTTTATTTTTTAGCTAGCTGAAAGAAGACTAAACTTATTTTTTAAACTATTACCTCAGTTTTGGATTGTTTTTTTTGAAAATATAGCTCAACTTTAAAGATCTTAATATAAAATTAACTTGATAATTTTGAATATTTAGGAATAATAATAATTTTAAATTATACAAATAATTCGATCAAACAATATATAAAATATTATTCAACAATATATTTTCCTTAATCGTATTCGATTCGAAACGAATAATTTTATTAGTATTCTAGGTATAGTAAGTACGGTATAGTAAAAAAAAATTATCTGTAAAAGGTTATTATCATATTTCGTTTCATTATCTTTGCTGTGTGTATGGAATATTATCGATTAATCCTTTTCTTTATATATTATATAAATTATAAATACATTCGTATTTTTTTTTGCAAGGTAATAAGATAAACGCCCCAAAATTTTTGTTAAATATGCAATTTAACAAACGTATTATGCACGATGCACATCGACAAAATCAAGATTTTAGCCAAATTATTATTTATGTCCCTAGATTTCGCCAATAGATGTCCATATGCGTGGCATAGTGGCAGTTTGATCAAATTCTCCAAAAATATAGTATATAATGGAGAAAAAAAATGCAATGTCCTCATTTTATTAGACAGTTTTTAATCTCAAATATGAATTTAAATGATTTTCAAATGAATAAAAAAATAATCCAATCTTAGATAATTAGTCGGATTCCGAATAAAGAATTTTTTTTAGTCATTAAATATTCTTATTTTTATTAATTATTTACTATAAGTCGTACATCGTTCCAATTGTGATAAAATCAGAATAAATTAATTGTTTTTTTTGAATATCAAGTTTCGGGATCAAATTATATTCAAATAACTTTGAAGAAAAAAAAAGAAGGTTACCAAATTATTTTTTAAAAAAAAGAGTTTCTTAAATTTTAGTATTAAACTTGAAGAGTTAAAAACCTATGAACCTCAAAAATGTAAATGATATAAGGAGTTTAACAAGATAACTATTCTGATCGATAAAAAAAAATAACATATTTTATGATAAATAATACTTTTATAAATAAAAATAATTCATCAATCGATCTCATCTGGCATTACAAAACTAAAAGACCAAAAAATTTATTTTAATTTGATATTATTCAGATAGAGTAAAATAAGTACAGGGAGGGGGATGCATTCTCTGAATCTATAAATTTTGGATAAATGAAATTCCAATAGTCTATAATAATCATATAAAATTAAGATACCATTCCTATTTGCGATGATGATAGTAGAATTTGGTTATACCTTCTTTGTAAATTGATAACTTAATCCAATAAATCCTTTTCATTTATCTTTCCATTGTTGTTTTCATGGCAAAATGAGAAAACAATCCATGAATATGATTGTAAAATGAATATTTGCAAATGGTTTATTATATATTTGATATAAATTTTGATCAATGATTATCTTTAGAATTTTTTTTACATAACATTGTAAATCCTTAAAGCAGAGTAAAAAATAAAGTTAGATGATTTAAAAAAAATGGAATGATACTTTATTAGTGTAAATTCCAAATAGGAATAAAACGAGTAAGAAAGAACAAATATTTATAAACTATTTTAGATCGGTCTTCTTGTTTTATTATTATCTTTTTTTTGTAGATAAATATTTGGAATAAGATAAAAGTAAGCAGGATTTTTATTAATAAATAATAGTAAATAATTTTACCTTTATTTTTCCTTTGTAGAGATAAAAAAAAAATCTTACAAATTACTCTTAAGATAAAATAAATAAGGAAGATAATAAAAAATTAATTTTTTTAAACATAATTTTTTTTAAAAAGCCGCTACCTTTTAAAAATTCATTAAAAAATGAAGAAGAAAAAAAAATTGCTACATATAATTTTAAAAAAATATATTTTACATTCAATTTGGTAGGACGTATTACTAATGTGTAAATTGTTAAAGTAAAGAGGTGATAAGATGAGTTTATTTTTTTTTTTAAAAAAAATATATAAATTAAATTGTAAATAAACTTAATTAAATTTTTTTTTATCAATTATCATGATAAAAAAATGTTTATAACAATTTTTATACTTGATTGACAAGATAATACAATGAAATACAATTTTAATAAACTCATTTCTACCTAAAAAAAATTTATCATTGTTTTGTTATCCCCTAAACATCTATACCTTTTATGAGCAAAATCTACAAGCTTGTCTAATATTCTTGGTTAAAATATCGGGTTAACCGTTTTTATAAATTGAGCTGTTCAACAACACCAATACAAGATTTCTAGGACCAAAAATTCTAAGTGGAAAGTTAAATTGGTTTCAGTGTCGTAAGAGTTTCGCGAATTCAGTGCAATAGAATATTTTAAAACTTAATACATTTTTATCGCGCATTTTTCAAATTTCAAAGGTCTGATTTTGTTAGTTTCGAATGATTCAAATTCATCCAAATATGAATAGTAATTGTTGGAATATGAATAAGGAATTTTGATTTAATTTCGTACCTTATTGCGCATGTTCAGTTTTCTATCATCGATTATAATCTGTTTAAAATTAGATGGCACAAAAAAAAAATTTTTATGTTAACTTTTCACATGAATTATATAATATTTTTTAAAAAAATAATTTATCGAATCAAAATACAAATGGTAAATTTTATTATTTGTTTTTTAAAAAGCCTACCATCACGTATGCATATAAACAAGATTGGGTTAATTTTCAAAAAATGTATTCTTATTATACTTTAAAAAATTGAATTTGAATATAAATATGTTTTATAAAAAATGTATTTTAAATATAAAAACTGTGATATCTAGTGCTGTAAAGTTAAGTCGTTACTAAGGTTACCTTCTTCTAGAGGTAAGGAGTTCCTTTTTTTTGAATAACATATATGAAAAAAACTTATTTTATTGTATTATAAAATTATTTTTATTAATTTCTTAAATTTTGTAAACACAAAGTAACGGTAACGCTTTCCTATTTTATAGAAGTAACGAGAATCTCGTATCTCTTTTGAAGTAGCATTTATAGCAATAAGATACCTAAAAAATATTTTAGAAAAAATTAAACTCGAAATAGATTTTATACCAATATAACTATGGCTGTCTCAAATTTTACAAAAAAAAACATACTTTAAATATGAAATTACAATTAATCCCCAATTAAAATTAAAATATATATAAAATTATACAATAACTTTAAACGATATAAAATTATCTATCATATAGTTATAACAATTAATTTTTAAAATAAAGTTAGGATTCTAACATTCAGATTATTAAGATTCTAATTTATATAAATTATTATTAATAAATAAATGAGCCTGGTGATAAATTGAGAATTAAATTATATTTCATACAAATTTATTATGCCAGATCTCCCTTATCCTATATAATAACCTAGCTAAAAAAATAAATGAAGGCATACATGCATAGCAGAAAAATTAATATATTTATTATAATTATGAGTGATAATTATTTTATATTTGAAATGGAGTATAAGGAGGATGAAAACGCGCAATTTTATAATTATAATTCTTTATTCTAATGCCGAATCAGAAGGCATTTTTACTTAATGAACAACGTCATGGAGAAAAAATCATTTAAACAGAATTTGAATATGAATTGCCTAGCGTTTGCGATCAAATTCCAAAGAAAACCAACTGAAATAAAATAGACACCTCGGATAAATATATAGAAATTTCTATCTAATATTATAATTTTCATTTGCAACATTATGATTATTACAAAAATAAAGATTGCTAAATTTGTAATAATGATTAAAAAATTAAATAAAGATCGAGAAACTTGTAATAATATGGGGTTTTATCATGTAAAATGTATTTTGATGTAATTATTTTCGAATTTTATAGGTATGTTTATGCACGTATCGACTCATGGAAATTGACAGATGACGGGCTAATCAGTGGAAACTTATTTGTCGCCTTTGTTAAGGTATTACGGATAAATAGTGTATATTGTTGTGCGGGGTAGATTTACCTTTAGAGTATTTGCAGTGTAGAGATGTCCATTTGACGCTACAAACGTATGAATTAGATATTTACAAAATTAGGTCGGACCGGGTTGACAAATAATTTTTAGTTCAAGTCGGTCTTTTTGAAACAAATAATAAAAAAAATCGTTCGGGATAGGGCTAAATTTTTTTAAAAAAATTTAGTGCCAAGCTAGACTTACAAAATTAGACCCAACCAAGGTAGTAGATCATTAGGATGAATAGAACATGAAAAAGGGATTACTATAAAAAAATTTTTTGAAATATTATAGTAATCAGGGGATCTTCTGAGATTAAGTAAAAGCATTAATTTTAGATTGAAATCACACGAAGCCATTTATAATCATTCTAATATTTTATGAAATGTAGGCTGCATATTGATGAATATTGCTCATTCGAAAGGAAATATTTTATAAAGTGAGTGCAACAGAAAATCCTAGTCTGTGAAGAATTGATAGATGAGGCAAGTTGGAAAAGTAATTAATGTCCCAGTTCAAGTTATAACGTGAAAGTATAAGTGAAATAAAGGGAAAAGGTAATATCCGTGAACTAACACCAATACCTGCGAAAAAAAAGTATGAAGACCTGTAAGGGGAAAAAAGGTTTTAAGTTAACGCTGGGGGGGGGGGATGTTTTCATTAGAAGGAAATTTTCCTTTTGCTTATAATATTTCTTAGAGTAAATTATTGTAATAAATTTAATTAATTTTAATGGCATAATATACAATTTAAGTATAATTACAAAAAAAATTAATATGCATTTTAAAAAGTATTTTTTATTCTTAATGTTACTTATATTATTAATGTGTGTTAATTGAAAATAGAGTCTGTCAAATTCATTAATGAATTCTTTTTTTATAATACCAAAAATTATAGAAATAAACTCATTTTAATGTAATTGCAGAATATAAAATTGTTTTAAAAGGGGTCATAATCGTCATTGGCATCATCACCATAGAAATTATGAGGGACCAGCTGAAAAGTGTCAGATTTTTATTTTTTGAGAAACACGTTAATACTGATTTTAAAAATCATTCCAGAATACATTTCGGAGATTCTATATATAACCTTCCGGATTCTCATAAACATTCAGGATATTGGGAAGTTTCAAATATGATAATAAAAAAATGGAAACTGAAAATTTTTAATCTTAGACGAACTGGAATGGAATGGTTACCAAAAGTTTTAATTAAAGGTGATAAAAAGGAATAAAATTTGTAGTGAGTCCCTGCAACAACAGTTATTTGTTGTAACTATAGCTAATAGTGGGTTACTTTGAAAAAAAAGTTATGAGTTAGCTATTTTTCAAATAATATAATAAATATTAACTATAAATATGGAAATTAATTTATAAATAGATTCTAAAAAAAAGAAAATATAATCCTAGATATGCCCCTGTTTGTATGGCACAACAGTTTATCCAAAATTTATAAATGGGATATTCCAATTATATTACAAAGAGATAGTTATATTTTATCAATTTTTTCAAAATAAACATGAAAGAAACCAAAAATATTTATAAACATATTAAAATGTCCATACCCAAATTCGTTTTTATCAGTCCAGATATTGATTTAAATATTAAAATTTTTGAAAATTTAAAAAGTGTAAAAATAAATATATAAGAATAATTTATTAGATATATCTCTGAGATATAAATTCTATTTTTCCTTATTGAAAATAGGCAAATATTTGAAAATGCTCTCCCCTTTCATGTAATGCAGAAAAATGTGGACATGAAATTAGCACCAATGATTACATATAAAATTAGTAAATTTTAATTTACTAAATAACATAAAAAGGTGAAACTATTGAAGATTGTAACTTTTAGTGAACTATCTTTTTTTACAAGATAATGTTTAACGCTACTGGAACTTATAATTGGTAGATGGGGAAGGGATGCATTGCTTAGAATTTCAAGCTTTTTTGTCAATAAATAAGTCCAAAAAAATTATGGGTGGATGGGGGTAAGTTAATAGCAATATATCCTTGAGCAGAGGCCATATTTGAGTGTTGGTTATATAAATATATAACATTTATTTCAGTGTGGCATCACGATTTAGACAACAGATGTCCAGATCCCTCTAAAATCTATAAAAAAATTTGACCAAAATCTTGAGTTAGCCATTTTCAAAGATCAATTAAATTGGGTCATTTAACAATATTAATTCATATAATGTATTGATTGTATTATATCAACCTGTGAGGAATTTTATTTTTTTAACAAATTGAGGTTATAAATTCTGAAAGACAAGGTTTGTCTATTTCAGAAAGGCTAAAGGTAGAATAGAACTAATTTTAAAAAAACTTGATATTTTTATTAATTTTATGGAAAAATTTTTTTTAATCATTTCTTTTAATGAATGATATAATATTAAAAATGTTTGAAGATTATAATATTCAAGGAAGCATGATATAATATTTTTAAATAATATTCAATGATTAATAGGCTAGATTATTACTTAAAATTTTATAAATAAAATTAATTTATTATTTTTAATTTTAAATAAAAATCTTGCATAAAAAAAAAAATCTGATATTAATTATAATTAAAAAATTAAAAGTTTATACATGTGAAATTAAAGAGTTTCATTTAAATATTATAAAGGAAAAATTTCAAAACAATTACAAATCCTATTCCACATGTTAAAAAAAATTACAAATGAGATGAAGACAAATCAAAACCATAATAAATAACAATTTTATCATAACTACATTACAATAAAAAATAGGATGCTATTATAATGCCTGTATAATTTTTTAAAAATCAAATATTATTGTAAGATAAAATATTTGTCTAATAAAAACATACATAATATAGATTAATTATACTTGAATCAAAGTAATTTGAGTAATAATATTTTAAAAAAATTGTAAAATAAAATAAAATAAAAAAATTTAAATAAAAATTATGAGTGAATGATTTATAGGCCTTTACATATGATTATCAGGTGGTATTATAAAAATTAAATTAGTAGAATCAATTTAGTTTGGTTGTAAATGCAAAAGAGCGTAACCAGTTTAACAAATGGCTCACTTTAATAAATGGCTTATTATTATCACTGAACCCTATTGTTACTACTGAAACAAATTTCTATATTATTTTTACTTTCTTTTTCCTTTCTTTTATTTTATTGATTTCAGCCAAGAATAATTTCCAAAAAATTTGAAAAAGAAAAAACAAAAAAACATATTATTTACAATAAAAATTATATTTATATATTAAAATTAAGCGATATCATTTTCCATAATAAATAATAAATTAAAATAAATATTCCGATAAACAAAATAACACACTATTTTTCCTTTATAATAAATTAAATGAAAATAAATATTCCGATAAATAAAATAACAAACTTTTTCCTTTTATAATAAATTAACAGAGAAGAAAAAATATAAAGAGAAAGCAATTAACATATAAACCAACCGATTTATTTCCAATTTTAATCCCCCATTTCTCCGACACGCCCCCACTGCTTAATCCCAAACGGAATGACGCTGTTAGTTTCCCCTCGGATCTTCCTCGTCCGGACACCGCTCTCCAGCATCTTCTTCCGGCTCTCCTCCCTCCTCCTCCAACCACCTTCCCACCTCCGTTTCACTGATCATAATATCCAGCCACTCCTCTAATTCGCCCGAAAATTCACCTCCCACTCTCAACGCCACTTCCAACTCCCGCAACGCCTCCATGTCCCTAACTTGTTGCTGATTCCCGCTAATTATTGCCTCCTCACTCGGATCTCTGTCGCCCTCATCCTCAGGTAACAGTGGTCCCTCCGGCGACGCTCGTATCTCACTTAACCAAGGTATTCCCGGGGACGAAGGCACTTCTGGTACCGTTGGTATCTCACGCAACGTGGGCATCCCAGGCGACGATGACCTCCCTGGTAACGTTGGCGCTCTATCTATCTCCCCCCTCCTGCTACCCACTATCTCCGCTACTAGCCGCTCCGGCCGATCCGTTCCCCCTATCCTAAGAATTACCCCCACCTGAAGAAGTCGATGTGGATCCGTTCCCATGGCTGTGTAGCTTTTGGCCATACACTTTTCTTGTCTCTACGAGGCATCGGAGCCCACAAATTACACATCTCACAGCCTTTGGTTATATCCTCGATTACTTTATTCATTCCAGGCCACCATACATACTCCCGGCCCCACTGTTTCATTTTTTCAACGCCTTGGTGTCCGGCATGAATTATCTTCAATACCGCATCCCTCAATTTGAATGGTACTATACCCCGATTTCCCCGGACCACGCATTCATCTACTATCGCTAATTCCTTTTCTATGTATTTATAGGGTCTATCTCCGTCTCGCCAAGATTTGAGCCCCTTTATGCATGCCTTGATTCTGGTCAATTCACGGTCTTTCAAGGTGGCCCCTTTCAACTCCTCCCACGTTACCGGCCCTCCTTTGGCTATTTTGACCATTGTTCTAATTAATCCTTGCTCCTTCGATTCCTCTCTCTCTTTCGACTCTTCTTCATCTCCTTCTTCGCCTGCCCCACATCTCGACAGAATATCGGGTAAGTAATTTTCTCTCCCCCGCCGATACTTCAATTGTACGTCAAAGCTTCCTACCAGCAAAAGCCATCGTTGGAGTCTTGGCGACAACATGAGCTCCTTGTTGTCCTTCCTAAACAGATGCACCAAGGGTTTGTGGTCGGTATAAAAGACAAATCTACGTCCAATCAGATACTCCCTACATTTGATCAATCCGAAAATTACCGCCAACGCCTCTTTCTCGATCACTGAATACCTCGTTTCCGCAGCCCTAAATATCCTCGAGAAGAATAAAACCGGTCTTTCTATTTCATCCACCCAATGCAATAACACACCACCTACCCCCTTGATCGACGCGTCTACAGTAAGTCTCACCTCCAGGTCATTGTTGAAGCACATGAGAATGGGTTCCCTTCCAATTCTAGATTTCAATTCCTCAAATGCAATATCTTGCTTCTCTTTCCAGTCAAATTTTTCTCCCTTTTTTAACAAAGTATACAATGGCGCAGCGATTTGAGCGAATCCCTCGACAAACCGGTGATAGTAATTTACCATTCCCAAAAAAGCCTGGACTTCTAATTTATTACTAGGCCTCAACATACTCACAATTCCGGTCATATTTTTGTCCAATGGTCGCACCTCCCTTCCCGTAATTTTATGCCCCAAATATACGACCTCCTTCACCCCTAACACACTTTTTTCGGCACTTGCTCGCAAACCCTTTTCTTGAATCCTCCTGTACACCTCTTCCAATCTCTGTTCGTGTTGCTCAGGAGTTCTACCCATCACCAGTACATCATCCATGTAATAGAATACCCCTTCCATTCCTTGAAAAACGGCCGCCATAGTGCGCTGAAAGATAGGAGCTGATACACTCAATCCAAACGGCAATCTACAAATGCAAATAACCCCTTTGGGGTCGTAATGGTCAATAATTTCCTTACCTCAGGCCTCATCCGTAACTGTAAGTATGCATTGGAAAAATCCACTTTCGAAAAATATATACTCCCCTTTAAATTGGCCAATATTTCTTCAATTCTGGGTAACGGATACTTGACCTCTACTACCCAGGGATTTAGCGTCACTCGGAAGTCTGCACATAATCGGAGTCGGCCATTAGCCTTCTTCACCGGCACCAACGGAGTCGCCCATTCGCTATATTCCACCGCACATACGATGCCCTTTTGTACCCATTGCTCCAATTCCACTTCAACTTCCTTTCTCCACTCAAACGGTACCCGCCGCAACGCGCAAAATTTTGGTACACATCCCTCCTTTAACTTGATATCCACTTCATAATCCCTTAGACAGCCCAACTCTTCATCAAAAATTTCTTGATACATCTCCACCAATCTCCGTACTCCGTCTTGCACCCGGATCAATTCATCTTCTAATTCCTCACTGCTAAACTTTCGATCATTCTTCTGATTCTCCCTTTCCATCACCTCCTGCGACTCGATTTCCTCGTCTCTTGTTTTCCCATATATTATTGCTCGATCGACAGTATCCTGAATATCGGTCCACTCCCATTTCTTCTCTTCTTCCCTCTCACGACCATTATAAATCGACCTTCCTAATTTTTCCCTATAGCCCATCTCCGCTTCCCTATGACTCTCCTCCTCCATTTTTTTCCTATGATTATCCGCACCTATTTCCCCCTTAAAATGACAATTATTTTCCCCATATTTCCCCCTTATAATTATCATTATTCTCCCCCATATCCCCCTTAGAATTATAATTACTCACCCCTATGTTCCCCTTGGAATTATAATTATGCGCCCCTATTTCCCCCTTAGAATTATACTTATTCGCCCCTATTTCCTCCTTAAAATTACAATTATTCTCCCCTATTTCCCCCTGGGAATTATAATTATTCACCCCTATTTCCCCCTTAGAATTATCGTTATTCGCCCCTATTCCTCTCATATAATTATTTCTTCCTCCTCTTCCTCTCCCATTTTCCCCAAAATCCCTACTCACATTATCTCTCCTTACCTCCTCCTCTCGGACTCCAGCAGCCCTGCTTCGAATGTCTCTCCTCATCTCCCCTCCTTGCTCCTCAACTCCAACTCTTTCCCGATTAAAAATACTCTCTATTCCCGGCAATATTCCCAAATTTTCATCGACCTCCCTCTCATAATATATATCCTCACTAGTCATGGGCACAAATATTCCCCACCATGAAAATACTCCCCAAAAACTATACCATGGACCAATTCGCGTGATCCAGTCCCATCCCAGCACCGCTTTTACCCTCCTATTAATGATCCATAAATCTAATATCTCCCCCCTTCCCTCATCACCTCTATTTCAACTCTTCCCATTACTGCCACTTGTGACCCATCGAACTGCCGTATTCTCAAACCCTCATTTGTTATCATTTCATCTGGCCTAATACTCCTATACCTGGCGTAACTCATCACTGAAATAGCTGCCCCCGTATAAGCATAGGTACTATACTCCCATTGAAATCTATCATGACCCTTGGACACGGATCATGTATTATCTCCTCTTGCATCATATTTACCTCCCCTAATACATTTATTTTTCTCCTCGAACACACCTTCCCTGCCCCTAACACTCGACCCGCCTTGACCTGAATCGTTATTTCTTTACTATCATATAGTCAGCAATTACCACAATCTCTCGCTACATGTCCCTGTTCTTGACATTTAAAACATTCCGCTGTGTGCTCTCCAACGCCTTGTAGCTTAGATACCCCCAACCCCTCCACTCTGGCTCTTTCAATAGTTCGCACAGTTGAAGTACTTTGTCCCGTTCCCCTTTGTGGAAATCCCCCTCGGGTATTATAACTTCCCGTATTACATTCTTCCTTATTATGACCAAAACTTCCACAGCTGGCACATCGCAATTTCTCTTGCTTACCCGGACAATAAGGGGCTATATGACCAAATTTCCCGCATTCGAAACATTTCGCTTCCCGACAATCCCGGACCATATGTCCTTGTCTTCCGCAATTATAACAATTCATTCTCCCCTAACTCTGGAATCAAAATTGGGTCTCATTTCTCCTCTTCTCCTCTGAGAGCTTTCCCTAGGTCTGCTATATGTTCCTAATCTCTGATCAGAATATGAATCCCTCCTCTCAAGCCTACAGGTCAATTTATCTACATCGCTATCTGCCCACCCATTAATTAACTCTTGTACCGGCAACCACGTTTTGAATATTGATTTCATATTATACAAATCAGTTATTACATTATTCTTTTTCAAAAAACTATTAGATAAGGAATGTAATTTTAAAAATATATTGTCTCCATTAGCTATATTTTAAAATTATTTATAGAAATAGTAACTAATATTAACCTTTTAGTTTTTGTAATTTATTTTTTGTATGTTATATTAATTTGGTTACCAAAGCCAAATCATTACCAACTGCCTGCATTTCAATACAAGCCTCATGTGTACATTTCAATATTTCTTTCAAAATAAAAAGACTTAATATAAAATTTTCATCTTTAATTCTTGATAATAACCCATCGGCAGTGGAAGAGGTGCTTGGGTCATTAGAATCTTTTAATTCAACTAATGATGCTAAAATATGTTCATAAACATCTAAAAAGATTTCTACAGATTTGTAGGATGATGACCAATTTCTGAAAATATATAAGTTTCAAGTTTCATTAAAAATATTTTATTTACCTTGTTGTGTTTTTAATTCTTTTAAGAGATTTCTTGGACTTTCTCATTTGATATTTAATAAACACACCTTGACGTCTAACTCCATTCATAAAATTATATAACTCATCTAATATTCCCATTACCTTTTTCATTTCAATTTTGCATCACAAACATGAGCAACTACTAAATTTAGCCGATGTGCATGGCACCAAATATAGATGGCTTTTGGAGCCTCTTTCAATATTAAAGCCTGCATTCCTTTGTATACTCCTCTCATATTCCCTGCACCATCCATACTTTGTCCAACCAAATAATTAAGAGGAAGACCAAGATCATTAAACTTAGAAAAAACATGATTCTTTATATTTTCCCCAGTGGTTTCTGATGTTGTAAAAACATGTATGATCCTTTCTACAGGATGTGGATGCAGATCATCTTCTATATACCGTACAAGCAAAGCTATGCATTCTTTTTTAGACACATCATATGTTCCATCTAATATGATGCAAATAGGCACGATTCTCTTTAATTGTTTGAATAATGCTTTTTGTTATTTTTATCTTAATAATTTCAGTTATTTTTTTCACGTGGCCATATGACAGTAAATTTATATAAGATCTCGAAATTTTATCTGATTTTTTTCTCCGCAATTTTTCGTTGTTATCCATGTATGCACGTAAAGTTGGAACCGTTTTTGCCATTAATTTTATGAGACACATAAAATTACCTTCATTCGAATTAGAACCCCAAAAGGCTATATTACATTTTATAAGGTACATAATGGCATTGATAATATTATGAACTATATTACGATTTTCCATGATTATATCAAGCTTATTTGATAGCAAATGATCTTGAATGCGTTTATTTGCAAGCCAAGTCATGTTTGCATATTCACAATCTTTATGAAGAGAAGATGCTTCGTGTCTCTCTAAGTCACGCTTTATGTTTTTCCAATTATTTACCCCATGTTGAGTCCAAAAAGTATTGGACTTAGGGCCACCAAACATAATATAATATAGACAAAAGACTTTGTCTAAAGTAGTGCTATAAGATAGCCAATTTCTGGGTGAGGGAACCATCTATATTAACCTTTCTATAATAGGTTACATTCATGCTCCTGTTTAAAAAGTAAAAAAAAATATATTGGTATAGAAATAATGGATGGGTAAAAATTAATGAAAATAAATATTATTTAAAACCTCTTGTTAGTAACAGGATATTGAAATTTATTTGTACATGGTTGACAAGGGCCTACAGCAATTATGAAATTTATCAAAATATTTGTTCCTAAATAATATAAAGTGAAAAGGGTCATTTGGTTCCTTTTTTTTGTATAGCTGAATAAGACTTGGACTTTGAATATCCTCATAATTTATTCCCTTCAAAAGTCATTATATAAATTTTATTTAAATATAATGCCTCATGCAAAGTAAGTGCCTCACTAGAACCGGGGATTGGATGAGGAGATAAACAATTTGTGAATCTTCAATATTGGAGATTTGCTATAAATAAAGAGTATAATTTGTTTACTTATGAAAATCTATTTTTAATATAATTTCAGCCAAATGGTCATTTTATTCTTAGCTACATTATAATTAAGTTAATCAATAAATGTTGGAAATATTTAAATGTCCTAATTTATTTTCTTCAAAAGTTATCATATAATTCGTATTTAAATTAAATACCTCATCATGCAAAGTAAGCGCCTCACTGGAACTGGGGATTGGATGAGAAGATAATACAATTTGTGAATCTTCAATATTGGAGATTTGCTACAAAGAGTATAATTTGTTTACTATGAAAAACTATATTTTTAATAAAATTTTAGTCAAATGGTCATTTTATTCTTAACTACATTATAATTAAGTTTTTAATAAAGGTTGGAAATATTTAATTAACCTCATAATCATAATTTATTTCTTTCAAAAGTTATCATATAATTCGTATTTAAATTAAATACCTCATCATACAAAGTAAACACCTCACTGGAACTGGGGATTGGATGAGGAGATAATACAATTTGTGAATCTTCAATAACTGAGATTTTCTATAAATAAAGAGGAGTTTAATTTCTTTCCTTATGATAACTATATTTTTAATAAATTTTTAGGCAAATGATAATTTTTTTTAACTACATTATAATTAAGTTTTTAATAAATGTTTTAATTCTACATGAATACATGATTGAGAAAACAGGTATTAAAAATATTATGAAGTCCAACATAAAGTTATCAGGTTACAATGGAAAGATGATACAAGTAATAGGTAAAGCACAAGTGAATGTAGAATACAAAGGGAATTCACATATTTTGAACGCAATAATCATAAACATCAATATGACTTTGTTAGATCATGTAAAAACATTTTTAAAATATACTTGAAAGATTCATAGGCATCGCATGATAGATGCAGATTAATATAAAACTGCCATGAAGAAATCATAAAACAATATTATAATGACTATAAAAATAAAAACAATATTAAGTATAAATAAAATTGTGAAATTCATGATGAAAGTATATTATCTAAAGAAATTCTAATAGCTAAATAAAACAATGATAATAAACATACCTAATATAACACATAATGTAAATAAAGGGGATGAAACTCACACAGATAACATTTTGAAAATAGTTGATTCCAAATCATATTTTATAAGATTTATATTTAAAAAAAGTAAAAGAATTTGAAGTCTTAATTCAATTAAAGATGAAAAGATTTAAATTTAAAAATTCCTAGAAATTAACATTACCTTATTTTACTACATACTACATTATATTAACTCAATAAGTTTTTTTAATACTTTGGTTTTAAATTATTATTATTAACTTATTAAACATATTGTTAAATTGAACTTTATAAAGTATATATAGATATAAAAATAGTGTGATAAACAGTTAAAAACATTAAATAATATATATAATTTATTTTCTCTATACCCTGACTACTTTAATATTAATATTATTCTGGTAAAATTTTAAATCAGTTTCTATTAATTCACAAATTTATAGTTACAATAATAAATAAAAATATTACTTTTTGGAAGTAAGATGTTATTGTCTTTTTTTGCAACTGGGTTTCAACTCCATTTGTGATATTATATGGAATATCACAATTTAAAGATACCCAATTATTATTATCTCTTTTGATGGCTACCTTTGTAAATTTCATATCAGCTGGCTTGACATGAGGATGTTTATGTTTATAATGTTCATGTATCTTGTCACTTCTTATTTTAGAAGTTTTGCAATTTTTAATATTGCACTTAACTTTAAATATGGTTTTGTTACTTGGCATCTAGAAAGAAATAATTATTATAATATAATTTTTTACATATTATGTTTTTTATTATTCTTTGCTTGCTGATATATGTTTTTATGCACGACTCAAAAAATTACCTAAAATTTATCCTGCTAAAATTATATATTTATTAAAAAACATAATATAAATATATTAACCTCTAAGAAAAGTACCAAATAGGAAATGTGTAAATATTAACTTGATAAAATGCTAAATGAAAATCGTTGACAAAGAAAATTTATATTATTTATTAATTGACAAATATCTTTACTTTAATTGACATTTTTCAGAAAATCAAACGATAACCATCATAATCGTATCAATTAATGGATTAAAAAAAGATTATAATTCAAATCAAAAATTACCCACCAAAAATCAATACCTACCCCCAAAAAAATAATGCCTTCCCCCAAAAAATTAATATCAACCCCTTAAAATCGATACCTACCCCCAAAAATGCTAATATATTTTGGAGGCATTTGTCTCCTACCCCCCCCCCCGGCCATGTAGACGCTGCCTACAATATTATATTGAATCTCCCAACATTTCATAAATTTAAAAGTTTTCATCTTATCTTATAAAAAGTTAACTAAGACTTTTAATATAAAAATTTTCACTACTTGCAAAGTTAAAAGATAGAATATTATTAATACGGTAAATAATCCAAAGATGCACATATATATCCAATCTTCTCCTATTTATTTCTTCTAACGCTCTCGGGATTTTTTTTTTACAAGTCAACCCTGGTTTTCCTTCTTTTAAAATCTTTTACCCTGTACTGGTTTTCCTTTTTTTTTTAAACCTTTACCCCGCACTGGTTTTCCCTTTTTTTTTTCTAACCCTTTACCCCGCACTGGTATTCCCTTTTTTTTTCTTACCCTTTAACCCCACACTGGTTTTCCCTTTTTTTTTACAACCTTTTACCCTGCACTGGTTTTCCCTTTTTTTCTTACCCTTTACCCCGCACTGGTTTTCCCTTTTTTTTTACCCTTTTACCCCGCACTGGTATTCCCTTTTTTTTCCTAACCCTTTACCCCGCACTGGTATTCCCTTTTTTTTTAACCCTTTTACCCCGCACTGGTATTCCCTTTTTTTTTACAACCTTTTACCCCGCACTGGTTTTCCCTTTTTTTTCTTACCCTTTTACCCCGCACTGGTTTTCCCTTTTTTTTCTAACCCTTTACCCCGCACTGGTATTCCCTTTTTTTTTTAACCTTTTACCCCGCACTGGTTTTCCCTTTTTTTTATCTTACCCTTTTACCCCGCACTGGTATTCCCTTTTTTTTTTTTAAAACCCTTTTTCCCAAACAAAGTCGGGGTCACCACTTCAAATGGCTCACTTTAATAAATGGCTTATTATTATCACTGAACCCTATTGTTACTACTGAAACAAATTTCTATATTATTTTTACTTTCTTTTTCCTTTCTTTTATTTTATTGATTTCAGCCAAGAATAATTTCCAAAAAATTTGAAAAAGAAAAAACAAAAAAACATATTATTTACAATAAAAATTATATTTATATATTAAAATTACGCGATATCATTTTCCATAATAAATAATAAATTAAAATAAATATTCCGATAAACAAAATAACACACTATTTTTCCTTTATAATAAATTAAATGAAAATAAATATTCCGATAAATAAAATAACAAAATTTTTCCTTTTATAAATTAACAGAGAAGAAAAAATATAAAGAGAAAGCAATTAACGTATAAACCAACCGATTTATTTCCAATTTTAATCCCCCATTTCTCCGACAACCAGGTAATAGAAGACTTCCTTTCATAATAAATTTAAATTTTTTGATTTTGCATAACTGACAAGAGAGCAAAATAGAATACACTTTTTTAATTTTTGATAAAACTTTACCATATCTTACTTCTTTGAAGCTTTCCGTATTGATAATATGTTTTTGTCTTTTTAAAATTACCTCATCAGTCCCAAACTTATATTTTTAAACTAACAACTACTTTTGATTCATCAAAATTTTCCTTTTGAAAACCGGGCTCCAGCCAACCACGGGAAAAGGTCGAGCTAGGGCAATTCTAGCTTATATACTTATGTGGGTTGCCTTCAATACCCCCTATAGGGGGGGGGGCTTTATCCATCGTTTTGAAAGCCTTTAACTAGCGCTATTAGTGGGGGGTTTTCAGTGGCTCAAGCCCCTTGAATAGTTTTAAAAAAATTATTTAGAAAATCAAAAATTAAATTTTAGAATTTTTTTTCAAGACCGATGAAAATATAAAAAACTAATGAAGCCATTGGTATATGTATCAATATATTATCACTTATTTTGTAAGTCATATTCTTTTCCTTTTCTCTCTTATCCTTTCCTTTTTTCTTCCACTTTTCTCCTTTCCTTTTCTTCTTTGCCATAATTTTTTTTTCCTCCTTCTTCTTTCCATTCCATTTTCCTAAATTTATATCTTTTTCCTTTTTATTTACCTTTCCATTTCTTTATTTTCCTACATTTTTCCCTTTACCTTTCCATTTCCCTGCCCCTTTTCCTTCTTTCACTTTTCTTTCCTTTTACTCCTTTTAATCTCTTTATTCTTTTTTTTCATCCTTTCAATTTTTATTCCCTCCATTTCCTCCTTTCCCTTTAACTTTTTTTTGCATTTTCCTCTTTCTCCTCTTTTTCTTTCCCTATTATTCTTTTCCTTTCCGTAATCTTCCCTTTTCTTCTCTTATCCCATTTTCCCATCTTGTGCAATCTTTTGCCTCCATTACTTTTATCTTTTTCTCTTTGCTTTTATGAGGGTTGCTTTCATTCCCAAAATTCCAGATAATCTGGCTTGCCATTTTTTTTTATTTTATGCAGCGGCAATTTTTCTTTAGATCTATCTTTGTCTACTATTAATAAAGATCAGGAACAAACATTGAATAAAGTTGGCATATACTTTATTCTACCTGTTTCTCGTATAAACACTAAAGATTATGACTAATGATAAAATAAGGACTACAAAAAATGTTGTGTATCTCCTATAACAAGCTATCCTTTCATAACATAAAACAAACCATAATTCTTTAATAATAAGAATATAATGCCTCAAATTTATTCATTCAAAAACACCAACAACAATCTCTATACATTAACAAAAAAATTACAAATCATAAATCATAATTATCTAATTCTTCATTTCCCTAAGGTCCATGATTAATCAAGCTATGCTAATGACAATTGGTCTCTTAAACAATATTCATGGTCTACTTATTATTTTGCAATATGCTAGTAATACTTATAATTTTTTATTTCTCATTTTTTCTCCTTTATATCAGCCAAAAAATTGGCAACTGAAAATACACTCAATTATATGATGATACATATATTTACTTCTCTTCCAATATTTTTTAATTTACCACCTCCTCAGCTTCATCTATATTATATTTTTTCCTAATTTTAATTGATTGTTCACGAATTGGGATTTATCTCCATTTTCTACTAATGATTATTTATGATATATTTTTGTTATTCGTGGCCATTTTTGAATTCAGGCCCATTTGAGGAAAAGATAATTAGAATGTCGAATTAACAAAATATAAAAATGAAAGAAATTTTCCATAGCTAGGTTATTAAGAAAAAGTTTAAATGCGAATTTTTAATATAAGAAATATTAAAAAATATATAATTTAAATTGTAAGCTAGTTCATACCAGAGTAAAATAAAATAAAATGTTATATGTATAATATTAAGTTAAGCCGTTAAAAATAAATTTAAATTATTTTAAAAATATAAGGTAAGGTAGAATATAAATTAAAGAGTTCAGCACTTTTTAAAGTAGTAATTTATTTTACTCAATCACAAGCTGCGTCTTCGTGACAGAATATTCACTGGAAGCAAACCATTTTTAAAAAAATATGCCTACCCCTCTAAAAAAATTTAATTGTAATACTAATCCCTTCATATATTTAAAAAGAATAACATGAATTATCAACACTCTACTACAAACTCAAAGAGAGCGTGAAAGGATTATATTTTAGAATATGAATTAACTAAATTCTCTTTTATTGAAGAATGATTACAGTGCATTGCCTGGAATCTGAGTTTGATGATTGAAAATCTTACCCATTTAAATTACATTTGATAGTAGAAATTATCCATAAATAATTTTTCTTTGAAAAATAATGACTATTATTGTATGCAATATATAGATTTAGTCAATGTATAGCAATATATGTATATTATAATTATTCTAACCTACACTTCCTCCCCCCGCTTTTCTAGACGCTGATGATAGGCATAGCCAGAGTTTTACTAAAGAGTGAGAGAGGGGGGACTACTATATGGGGTCTTTCTCCATGTCTGGAGGTTGTTAGATCTACCTTTTATAGGCCTTTGGCTATGTTATATTCCTTAAAAAATAATTTTTATTTAATTTATATTTATAAAAATGCCTTTCTTTTAAAAATTTTGTTTTAGTCGTTATTTTAAAAAGTTATTAACTTTTACTAGATATTCTTTCAAATCCTCCTTTATAATGATATATTGTATCCATTATTAGGTCAGAGGGAGTTGGGTGTAGGTGGGAGAGGAGGGGGAGGTATTTATTATCATAAATATTTTAACGAGAACAGACAAATTTCTGAGGGAGTGCGGGTGTTTCTTATTCCTTCCCACCCCCAATGGCTACATCTAAATACTCATGCAAAAAAAATATATAAACCTGAGATTCCTACCAAAATATATACATAAAAGTTTAATTCAGGGAAAGTTGATATTTTATTCAGTATAGCAAGATTTATATTATCAAGCTAAAATATAATGTAATGCTGAATAATATAAAAATTATAGAATATATGTTCAAATTTTGGATTACACATGTCATTATATTGTAGCTATAAGAAAATATTGCATTTTAAAAAACATTTAATCTTTATTTCATAAATATAATTGAAAAAAAGGAAGATTAAACTTACATACTGATGTTATGCGGTATAAAAATATAGTAAAGATTTATAGTATATTTAACGAAAGTAGAATCAATATTTACATATATTTATTTCTATAATTCATTCACAATAAGTATCAGTTTTCATTGACATTTTATTCAGTATAATTTAACCATAAGGTGCAACTTAATTACAAATGGCGATATATAATTACACCTTAATAGATGGGTGTGTACATAATACATTAGGAAGTTAAACAAAACCTATTATATTAATAGTAAATATATATATAATAATATCTAACTGGCAAATATAATATATAATATGATAAAATTTTACAATAGATTACTTCTTTACTACAGTATATTTATTCTATATTTAATAAACTTTCATAAGGTTGAATTAAGGATATCTTTTCTAAATAAAATAATAATAATTATAGTTAGATGCACCTTGGTATAAGATTAAGATTCTGTTGTAGCCTGTAATTAATATAGATGTGTAAATTATTTTATAAAATAAAAATTATAAATTAATAATATATACCCCATTTCCATATTTGATTTTCATAATTTGGTTTTTGCTTGGCAAAAGGAAAAAATTATAATAGGAAAATTCCTCACGGAAGATAACCATTATATAAAATAAGCTATTGAATTTCAAAATTATACTATTTAAATAAAAATATTAAGTTTGTTTAAATGGGATTGAATCATTTAAATTTGAGTATTAATTTATTTAAAAAAAACAATGTGCTAATCATAGTTACCAGTTAGTGTTGTTAAAAAGCTAGATTTGGGTCGATTTTTCAAAACGGGGACCTGATTAAGATTTTAATTAAAATAATATTATGTAAGCATCAAGATTTGAAAAATGGATGTCCAAGCATTTCTGCTAGCTATGAGCAAAATCTTTAGGCTTACAAAATGTTATTTTGGTTATAAACAAAATCGGGTCTTTTTTTTAAATGGAGCAAATCGAGCTTTTTAACTATACTACTTGCCAAACCTCCTGATATTATCGTAAACCACTCGATTTTATAATCCCAAATACCCGAAAATACTCCATCTAGTAAACTTTTTTCTCCTCATTTTTTACTTTTTATACCGATTCGCATATTTTTGAATTTACATATTAAAAGGTATATTATTTAATTTATTCTCCATATTTTTAGAAATAAAAAATGAAACAAAAAGTTAAGAAATATCAAATTAATTTTTTCGATTACCAAAACTCTCCAATATATATTGATAATATTTATTATCTTTTAATTTTTTAAAAAATTATTATGAGAAATCTTATAATAATTACTTCTACTTCTCTGATTCTTTTATGATACTATTATTCTGTGAATGTAAAGTTAGTATTTTATATAATTTTTTAAATTAAATCCATAAAAAATAATATTTTTTGAATTTTAAGGTAATTCAATATTTTTTAATTATTAATTAAAATTTTTACTGTAAATTTTGATTACCTTTCATCAAATTTGTTAGTTTATTTATTTACTAATTTTAAATTTAATTTTATTTGTTAAGAATATATATAAATTAGGGAGATATAAATAAAAGTGTAACATTAATTATAAATATCTAAATATCTAAATATCTGGTATATTCACTTAATTATGTTTAAAAAAGGCAAATTGAAAACAAAATTTAATATCAGCCACTACGAGTCCTTAATGGCAAAAAAAAACATTATTAGGCCTAGTTATTAATTGAGGTACGATTTTAAATAACATGATTATATATTTCAGTCCATCAATTCAAATGCATTGGAGATGTTTTAATAATGCAAAAATTACTTACAATTTTGAAATCCCAACTTATTAATAAATTTTATGACTAAGTTGGTTGTAAAACAAATTCTTATAAAATGTGAATAAATCGCATCATTTCAATTCAAAATGGAAATACAAATATTTCGTATTTTTTTTTATAAAAAAATAAATTTTTAAATAATAATTATGAAAATTTAAATTTTATGATAGTTTATAATAAATACAAATTCAAGGAAGTTGAATACGAATAACCAATTTTATATAAAATATATCAAATTAAATTAATTGTTTCAGGAATTTTTTGCAATTATAATAATATATCATAGCTCACACACAAAAAAAATTGGTAATTTTTTTCCCAAAGAAAATTGCCTCAAATTTAGAAAAAATATGTAATATAATTTTCTTATTACCACATTCAAATATTAATTCAGAACATATATTTAGACTAATAAAAAACTTCCTGAAAAAAATATAATCGATTATCTATTAGAGGCGTATATAATTTTAAATATACTGGCAAAAATTTCAGCAAATATGTAACAAAAAATAGAAATTTATTTATAATTATAATCAACTAAAAAATATATATCGATAAAAACATGTCCGATTTTTATAAATTTTGGTTGTATAATATTTCATATCAAATAATTTTTTGAATTTAATCTGGAAAAACCCTGATGCTAATCCATTTTTAATATACTAATTTTGACGGGAGTGCTATGGCACCCAAGCCAATAGGAAACGATGTCACGCCCTTTGACTTTTCAGTTCACCTTTGCCAATGTCTTATTGTAGATATTGCCTCTTTTCTACAACAGTCTCAGATCCACTTTTAATATAATCGGGATTTTTTGAGGAGTTATTTAAAAGAAATATGATTATTCTTCGATCAAATGCTCGTTTTTGGTTATGAAATCGATTTTTATTAAAATGTGATATAAATTCTTAAAAATAACTATAATTATGTATTTCCTTTATTATACATTTAAATTGTTTAAAAATGAATTGTAATTATGAAAAATAAAGAGTTATTTTATTCAGAAAATTTACTGAAGGATTATCAACTTTTAGATAAACTTAGTAACTATAGTAAGTTAATATATACCTGTAATATTTAGACGATTTATTTGTTTGCACAATTTATATATTTTAGACTATAATATGTTAAATATCATTTTTATTTTATCATAGCATCAATAAAATATGAAGAAGTTAGCCATATTCTTAAAGAAAGGATTATTATACATGCTGGTAACTTTAAATATTTTATACTTAATTTAGTTATTAATAAATTATATTTGATGAGCTAACTGTTTGAAGCTATAACACTGAAATAGACTTAATTTATTTTTATTTATAATGAAAACATAGTGTTCTACTTAAATTTTTTATTTAGAAATTTTCATCAGATGAGATATTTCTAAATTCTTTACATATTTTTTTTACATACAAATTTTAAAAATATTTTTTTGATATTAAATATTATTTTTTTTTTATTTTATACTTAAAATTCATATAAAATTGATATTGATATTTTAAATCAGTACAATTTAACTATAATATTTTTGGAAGCTATATTTAAAAAAAATAATGCAAGATCTTATTATTATTTATCAAATATAAATCTCATCACTTATTGGTAATTTTTCAGATTTGCCCAGGTATATCAAATTTAATCAATAAAAGAAAAGTTAAATATTAATTTGTATCATACTTTTAGGCAGGGATCCAAACTAACAAATATTGTTTCAGGTTTAGGCTTAGATAAAAAATAACGCTTTCAGTTTGTTTTATAAAATATAATAATACTGGTGTAGTTTAAATGTTTTAAAACTACTTTTTCACATTCATACAAATTATATAAATATAAGAATATTATTAATTTTATTGCTATTCTCTGAAAATAAGTTTCTTCTCTGACAAATTATATCTATAAGGAGAAAGAATAAATTTATTACTGAGAACCAGTGGCGTAGCTACGGGGGTGGTTTTTGGGTTTGGACCCCTCCCAGAGCAAATTTTTTTTTAGATTATACGTTCAAAAGACTTAAAAGTGACTTTGTATCAAATAAATACCATTAATATTTATATTTTTCTGGTTTTGATGTTTGTGAAAGGATATTATATTACTATTGAATTTATTCTGGGTAGTATTATTATAGTCATTGAGAATAATCTACTAAATTATAATAACATTATTCATGAATTTAAAAATATTTATATATATTGTCGAAGATGTGGTTATGATTTTTAAAATAAACCCGGCCGAAGGCTGGGCAAAAGGGCCAACCCAGGATTTTATATGTATGGACCCCCTCTAAGGAAAATTCCTAGCTACGCCACTGCTGAGAACACTTCTATAAGCTATCTTGGATAGCTGGCACACCAAATAACATACACCAAAATATCTAAAAATGATTACTGATTTAACAGTCAAAACTAATTATTAATCATCTTTAATAGAGTTAAAATATCAAAAGGTTATAACCAGTTTACAAACATTTAGAGGTTCAGGTTGAACCCCTGCTTGTGGGTCATTCATTCCATGTTAAATGATCAGATCAAATATACAAAATTTTTGGAAACCCCTTCCGATTTTTACTAAATTTAGTATACAAACTAAGTGTAAAGTAAACTTTATTTTGACAAAATTTCAGCCTCCTAGTTATTATATTTTAGGAGATATTAAGGGCTGTGTTAAATAACACACACATGTAATTAATAAATTTAGTATTAAAATGAAGCTTATACTTAATATTTATAGAGGATGTATTAAAAAAAATATTTTTAAAGCATTTTGGCCATTTTATGCCCATAACTAGTGTTGTTAAATGGCTTAATTTGGCCAAATTTAAATTTAGATTTACTCCAAAATGTTATTTCGAGATTTTATTAATAGATGTTCCACTATTTATTTTTTTTTATGAAAAGTTAACTGATAAAATTTATAATATAAGATTTCTTTTTTATATCCAAAGGAAATCAATTATGTAAAGGTCAAATTGAACGTTAAAAGTAGCTATCATATGAAGATGTTAATAATGAAAATACATTTACAACATATTAGCTATTTAAGTAAATTCCATCTTAAATTTGACAAAAAATAAGGCGTTTTTAGGTCGACCCTATTAATTCCGATATAGTTTAAGACTATATGGATGGGGATCCAATAGAAACGATATTAGCTTTTCTATTATCTGGAATAATAGTTAATATGCAAAAATAGATAATTTTATTTTTTGGATATTTTAAATAATTAGTTTGAAAAATTATCAATTTGAATATTAAAATTGAATATTTATAACCTGAGTTTGGAACCTGAACTAGAAATTGGTTCCGATTTTAAATATGCAAAAATTATGGTGGTTCCGGTTTTTTAAAATTTTGAAAAAAATGAATCTTGATTCTGGCTCTTAAATTTGACGCTGTTCTGAAGCTTCTCGTAGTGTTGTTAAGAATTTTTAAATATAGCACCATCTATTTAGACATAATTTTTGTTAATTTTACTAGATATTTGCCATGCAAATTATTGAAGGAAACATTAGGTATTTAATTAATAAATATTAAAATTTTTAAATGGAAAACTTGGAAATTTGTCATGCCCGGCCCGATCTCCAACAAAAAAAATTTTATTTTCCCGTGAAGCCCGATCCGAAATAAAAATTATGTTTGCCCAGCCCGGTCCGAATTTATATAGAAAAATTTATTATTTTTTTTGGTTATAAAAAAATATTCTATGAATAAAAAAATATTAGCGCCAAGAATTTTAAAATGTATCAATTCATTTGATAAAAGTAATGATATCATATTTAAAAATTTAAGCCCGATCTGGCCCCGCCCGAATTTTTGAAAAATATAGGCTCGATCCAGCTCGAACCGAAATTATTTTTTAAAAATAGACCCCGGCCGGGCCTTGTGCAGATCTCTAATAAGACCATATATAACAAAAATTTTGCTTAAATTTTTTATCCATGATATATCTAACCGATACAGCTTGTTAGAAGCCTTTTACACTGCATGTCAAACTGATATCTGTCACCTGTCCCGATTTTTAAGGATAGCATTGTGGCAAAATTTTAATAGGAATAAATTTAAAAAAATACGTATAAAGCAAATGGGGCTGTTTAAAAATAAATAATTTTTATTTTATTTTGTAAATTCTTTCCGAATGCTCTAATTGTAGCAGAAGAAATATTTTCATTTTAATATATTCGAATGGCCAATTTACAATCTAATGGATTTTTTAAAAAAAACCCATCTCTATTTTTTTAATACTTATCTAAATAAAACAATCCTAAAATAATTATATTAAGGTAAGAAAGATTATTCAGGATGTCCTGTAGTACAAATCAGCTTTCCTCCTCACGCTTCGCCATCGGATCCTACCCAGCCATCCACAACAATGATGCCATCTACCTTATCTGCCATGGATGATATTTCTCCCGAGGTCGAAAAAGATACGAAGCAACCTCAAAATATTCTCAAGGCCCTTAAATATTTTTCTTCCATTTTGCCGTGAGTTAAAAAAAAAATTATGTCGAAAGCATAGTTATGAATCACAATAGACTTTCTAGCCTCTTCCCCATATTCTCTGCAATAAATTCCTTATCACATTTAACTCGAATATTATCTTTCATTAATTGTTTAAATAACATTTTCCTCATTTAAATTATATAGCATTGCTAGGGAAGGATTTCCAATCTAATAACTTTTCTCAAGCTATACCCTCTCCCCCCCCCCCCAATCAAAAAAAAATTGTATTTTATTTTTAATCGATCTGATATAGATTGATTTTTCTTTGTCTCCCTGAATCTATATCATAAAAAAAAATATTTTCTAACCAAATTGTAAACTATGGGCAAAATAAGAAACACCTTTAAATTTTCCGCTTCTCATGGCCAAGGCGATATTTAGTGCAATATCTATCATAAATATATGGGTATTTATTTTTTTTTTAAAAAAATTCCTCAAAGTTAATATTCACATTGAAAGTATGGGCAATGCTTATGAATTATTGTTTTTGTTAAATCCTTTCCTTGTTACAAAAACAAAAAATAATCCCGTTTTTAGCTAGCTGCTTTTTCTTTTAAAATATTACAATTACAAAAAAATTATATTTTAAGTTCCTTTTATTCATTTTTTTTAAAATAGGAAATTATTTATTAAATAAAAATGTAACCAAAAACAGTAATAATATCGGATCGAATAATTTTCAGAAATATCGGCTCGATCTGATTTTTTTTACAAAAACGGTAAACATTGGCTGGCCCCATCCGATATTTAATATAAGCACTATCATAGATATTTACATTATATGGTGGGGAAATGTCTATATCATAATACAATATTTATTGTGTATTTTTATGTCTTATGATATTTATTTGAAATATTGTTGTCTTATAAATTATGATGTTTATTTGAAATATTGTTAAACAGGCCGGAGACGCAAAAACTAGGCTTTACGATAGTTATAGACGGAAGGCGTTCGAAATGGGAAACTCTAAAGCCTGTATTGCATATTTTGGAGGTATTTCCTATAAAATTATTTCTAATATGAATTAAATATTATTTCTATGCCTGAACCTTGAATAATTTTTCTTAAAGGAAAAAAGGATAAATAAATGTTAAGGAAATCGAATGAATTAATTGGTATCATCTGCCCATTTTATGTTTAGCGTATCCCATAAGTATATAGTATTTTATTTTGGTGGTCAAAATATATATTTGAGAAAAAACATTTTATTTTTTATTTGAATAGTTTTTACTATTTTCTTCATATCTTCCCTTGTTTTGAATATCACAATTATAAAAAAATTTAAAAATATTTTGAATTTGAGATTTTTCCCATATACGATTTTATAAAAATTCATGCCGCGGGCCTGCCTAAAATATTTTGCCTCCGGGTCGCGGGACTGCTGGGGCTGAAAAACCCTCTGGCGGGTCCCTAATTATAATATACTTTATTGTATTTTAAAGGATAAAATCAAGGGAGAAATTAAAAAAATATTGAAAATTATAAATAAAATATTTTTTTTATAAATTATACTTTTTGGAATACAATGGTAAATTCCCATTATTCTTCGGGAAATTATAGGGACATGAAAGGATGGGAAGAAAAAAATACTATCGGGAAAAGTTTAATTGAAATTGTCCAAATAATATTCCCATAAAATCGAACTAACATATTTTTTTAAATTTTCTCTAATCCAATCTTAAGTTAAGAATTTATAGCAATTTTATCGATTTTGGACTCAATTTTTTTTTTGTAAAACAGTAATAAAAGTTAAATGGAATCGTTTTAAATATTTGCAAAGTACACCATAGAAGGCTTCTTCTTTTAAGGTTGCTTCAAGGGAGTTCTCCTATATTTGAAATTTGGTTAATGATCTCCATTTTAATATATTCCAAAGGCGGAACCGAGTTCATAGCCGATTCCAAAAACCTCGTAACCAAGGTTTACCTGAAAACTATAATGTCAGCCTAGAGGGCTTAATCAATTAACTCATACCTCAATCCTTAGCTGATTTTTAATTACCCATGCCTGTAGTTCGAGTCGATTTTAGTGATTACCCAACTATATGTCTTATAGAATTTGTGGGTGATATATAAGTGTCTAATGTTTACTCCAGAAACCTGCAGAAGTATCATTTGCACGGCCCGGCTCCGATATTTAAAAAAAAAGCCCGGCCCGAGTTTTATATTTTCAGGCCCGGCCGGGATTTTTTTTAAGGAAAATTTACTCGGATTTTTTAAAAATATATTATATTAATTTTTAAATAATAGCGATTTAAAATATTTAGTCTTATAATTTTTTAGGCCCGGCCCGGATAATTAAAAAAAATTAAAATACGACCTGGCCCGTGTACCAGAGGGTCGGGCATGCAGGTCTCGGGTTTATTCCTAACTACCCCAGATATGTATAAAATATTAACCAAACATTTTTGGATGATGGCTAATAGAATAATTCTACCATTCAGTAACCTTGCTAAGCCAAAACTAGGGAAGAATATAAATATCTTCCTTTTTTTTAAATAAAATTTATATTAAATAATCTACGATTATCTCGAGTACTATTTCTTTTTTTCTACATTTTTGAAAACTATTACTCTATGTTTTTATAATGTACTATACATGAATTGAAATTAATTATTGATTTTGACCATTTTTTGCAGGAATCGTTTAGTGAGAATATAAATTGCGTTCATATAATTAAACCGGAAAAATTTTGGCAAAAACAAAAAACCAGTCTCGGAGCTACTAAATACCGATTTGAAGTAATTATATAACTTATCTCCCAGTGTAGAAGGGTAAGGAAAGGGGATTAAAGAGGGGGAAAAGATAGAAGGAAGGTGCGGTAGGGAGAAAGGAAGGGATGAGAAACAGAACAAAGGTAATAGACTAAAATTTGTTAGGGATTCTCGAAATTTTTTTTCATAGCTAAAGTAGTCAATTTTAAAAGAAAATTCTCCTTTTTTTACTTGGTAAAACCAGACATCTATGGTCTCGTTAGAAACTCTGGGCAAGACTTGCTTAGACCCACGCCACCTTGTCTCCCCGCATGCTACCGACAGCTCGATTTCCACCAATCATGGCACTGTAAATAACTGTAATCAACTGGGAATCCCATTTTCATTTTTGTTTGACCACTCCGATTGGTCGGACACTCGCTCACGTGTAGCCTCTTTTTTACAATCTTTTAGCTGTTTTATTCGAGAGGAGACGTGCGTTCTGAAGAAGCAGCTGATCGCTAATTATATCGAAAAAAGTTTTTTCGAGCTAAACGATCTTAAAGATTATAGTAAATTTCCTTTTTTTTAAATTAGATTAATTTAAAAACGTTCTCTTGAGATGATTAACTAACCCTTTTTGTTAGGAATGAAGCTGAAATGACCTCGACATTTTACTTAGTTTTATAAATCTATGTCTAATCGGGGTTAGATAAGAGAATGCTTCTCTATTTACCAAGTCTTAGCTAACTTAGTAACTATCGTCTTTGTCTGGCTAATTAGTCTCACCCACAACATTCTTTCCCTGAATAAAATTTTTAGATTTATAAGTAATAGAAAAAAGAGATAAGAAAAAAATTATCTAAAATTTCATGTGAAATGAAAATTAAACTTTTAGGTTCACTATATTATATCACTTTTTTTCCTTCCAGTGAATCTGAATATTATTTTTAAGTAACACTGGCAATAGAAATATAAGTTATACTCAGTAGTTTGTTAAAATTTCTTTAAGCACATTTAATTAATACACCCCTTTTTCCTTATGATCTTTCCTCGTTTTGACATATAATGCAATTTAATGGTATATTTTAAAATCTGTCTGTTTTAATAGAGAATGGGTGGATGACCGAAGTTAAAAATGGTTTGGAGGAATGTTCGGCCCGCAATAATGTGATCAACCAACTTCCTTTCCCGACTTTACAAATCGAAGGCCAAAAATTATCAAACAAGTTTGTTCTAAACATGCCGAATGAATATATTTTTTGTCACTATTGATGGTTAGCACTTTTAACACGTAATTGCACTTTATCTACATAAAAATTCCTCTGTCAATGTGGCTCTTTCATTTCATCTTTTTCTTTCACCATTTATAATTTACAACTTTCTCTCAAATTTATATAATATGCGATGAATTACATCTAGACTTATAGTTATACATAGAATAATCATGGCAAATAATATCAATTGGGGTCTGAGCTTTCCCACCCATAATATTAAAATGAATATCTAATCATTATCTAATTTTAATTTATATATTTATTGGAGTTGATACGAGTTGACTCTTGTTCAAAAAATTGACATGTAGATCTTGGGTCAGGTGAAAATAACGACCCAAACCCTGGGTCGGGTTAAAAAAAGCGACGCATGTTTTGGGTTGGGTTGAAAAATTAACCACAACTTTAGGTCGAAGTTCTAAAAAAACACAAATTTTGAATCGGAGTCGAAAAAGGGACCCAGATTTTGCGTCGAGGTCGTTTTTCCAAAGTTTGAGTCGAGGTCGTATTTTTTGGCTTCGACCTGGGTCGGGATTGAAGAAAATGACCCGAATTTTGAATTGGGTCGCGACTCATGGCGTTTTAATAACACTACTAAAAATGCACATCTACTTCTAAAATAAATTCCTTTTTTTATATTAACATTTGTTAAAGGGTTAATTTGGACCAAGTAATTTTTTTTAAAGTAACCAAAAGGTAGTGACGTTGCTATTTTTGCAGAGTAACTATGCATTAGTACCTTTTCCCTTTAAAATTTAAATTTAAGTTAACAAAATATAACACGACATCGCTGTTTTACTATACGATGAATACAAAAAAATTCAATTTATTTTGTATTTATATTTATCGCGTCGTAAAACATAGCGATATCGCGGTACATTTGATAAACTGCAAATGCACACAGCAAAAAAAATCATTACTTTTTATAGTAACCTTTACCGCACTAATTATAACTGATCCAAATTTGATTGGATCATATTTATATAGGTCCTTGCAGGGATTTTAAAGTAAATAATTTCTTCAAATCTTTAAAGGTCTAGGAGTACTGAGAGTTAGGCCTAAAACAAATTATTTGTTATTCTAAATTCAATTCCATTCGATTAGTATTTTACGAAACGAATAACACAATTATTCGATTCGAAATTTTGAATATGAATAATAGGAAAAATATTCATCGAATATTAAACTTTATTCGAAATTATTTATTTATAAATATTCGTTATTTTACGTAAATATTTTATTTTTGGTTAATATTCGTAATCGTAAGTAAATAATAAAAAAGAAGTCATTAAATTTTCTTAGTGGATATCATACGTTTTACTTTATTATATTTCCTATTTTATATATATCAGAGACCTGCAGGCCCTGCCCTAAGCCCTGCCTGGGTTCCAGGGCCGGGCCGTATTTAAAATTTTTAAAATATACCCGAGCCGGGCCGGGCCTGAAATTTTTTTTTTAAAAAACCCGGGCTGGGCCTGAAATTTTTTTTAAAAAAAATACCCGGGCCAAAAAAATTATACAACATGAATTATTATATTCGTCAATTAGATATGGTTATAATGATTATATATAGTTATGATTAATATATGTTTGGTAAATGTTAACACTAGCTAACACTCATAGTATCTATTACATAATAAAATTATAGTTTTCCTGCCATGGAATAAATACGTAAAGGATTAAATACATTATTATATATAAATTAAAATATCATTTTATTTTTTTTATAAATACATTGTATATTTATTCTTAAAATATTATTTACACAAATTTTTTATGTATCAATTTGTAATATACAAAATATCTGTTTAGAATAAAAAAAAATAAAATATGTTATAGTGTTGTTAAACGGCTTGTTTTGAGCCGATTTTTAAAAACAGCTAACTCAGTTTTTTATCCAGAAAAATATTATGCAAGCCTGAAAATTTTGCTCATAGAAGGAGCAAAGGTCTATACATATAGTATCGAAATTTCGAGGCTTAGTCAATATTTTTCTGGCGAAAATATTGAGTTAGCCGTTTTTAAAAATTGGCTCAAAACGAGCCGCTTAAGAACATTAGCTAATATACTTGCTTATTAAATGATAATACTCGTCGAAAAATATGATAAAATACGAAATAATCAATTTTTTGTATATACCAGGTCGAATATACTTTTAAAAAATTCTGAGCAGGCCTAAAATTTTTTTTAAATATCCGGGCCGGGCCTTAAATTTTTAAACACGGGCCGGGCCGAAATTTTTTTAATCTGGGCCGGGCCGTACTAATGGTACCTCTGCAGGTCTCTGAATATATATATATATAAATCAAATCATAAGTTATATTTTCTGATAAGAAGTTTAATGGAAAGGGAAACGCCCCAACAAAGTAAACTAATAAATAATTATTTTATTTTGATGTTTACATCTAAAATTCCAGCTAAATAAAGAATTCCCAATAATGCTTTGAATTCTGTTATATCAACTTCTTTAGTAGAACTTTCATATTGGTCAGTATAGTTTTTACTTATAATTTTAATTTTTTAATTGGTATGATAAATAACCTCTTCAATCATTTTTGGTGTTATGAACAAGTCAAAACATTTTTCTGGAGTGTCTGCTTCCTCCCCATTGAAAACTAAATTTTGTTGACGAGTTCTTATGATTAGGAAAATCCTTTTTCCATTTAGTAACCTTTTCCCGTGTTGTCGAAAATGGTAACTGATACATTGTCCATTCAGGGATCTTCGGCTTCATGTTAGCTGTTATTCTCAATAGGGACAAATATGATATTGAAGAATAGAATGTCTTTGAAGTGTCAAAATCGGATCTAGCACAATTATATTTTTTCTGTTATATCTTTTGATGTTATAAAATGGGATAATTGTACATTTTTAGAAAATTTGAATGTTCGATTAAAGAAATAATTTTTTTTATAAGCAAATCTAATTCTAAAAATCGGGTGTTTTTGGCCAATTTGTTTGGATAACGTTATATAAAATCATTGGGTTTTAATTCGTTTATTTTCTCTAAATTTAGATATGCTAATGACAATTAGTTTAGAGAATCCTTAAAAGTATCATTTTAAAACATTCACAACTGTTTATAATTTTTTTTGCAAAAAAATAATTAACTTTTTATAAGCTTTAGAAAAATTATTGAATCTAATACGAATGATAGTATTATTTGATTCGATTCGTTTTTTTTGTAAGCATACTGAGAGTTTGAGTTACAAAAGTTTCTTTTAATACAATCGTTCATCAGATTATCGAAACACGGAGATACTCCTGAAACGAAATACGGCCACGAATTGATTGCCCAATGCTTAGAGATTTTGGAGATTCGAAAAACGGAGATCGCAGACATATACAGAAGGTCAAAACATCGAATGGATGTTTTGTCGAAATTTGCAAACCTCAAGAAGGAGATCGAGCACGTAATTGAAATTGAAGAAAAGGAAGAAAGAAAAATTTTAAATGAAGGAAGGAAAAGAAAGAATAATATAAAGGAATAAATTAAACAAAGAAAGATAGGAAAGAAAGTAAATCAAAAGAAAAAATACATAAATATAACATACTTTTAACCTTCCCCCAAACCATGTATTTTATGTGTTATTATGTCTACCATAGATTGAAAACTGGATACAGAAAACCCGCGAAAACTTTTGTCAAATCAAGATGGAGATTGGCGTTTGTAGCCAGACTGCTAGCCAACTTCTCAATAGATTCAGACTCTTCCATTCCAATTGCTTGGTAAATTTTTACTTTATTTCCTATAGAGTGCTCAATTTATATTAGTTTTTCTCCTACTTTTTTTTCAAAATAATAATGATTAATATATATATATTGCTACTAGCTTCCATATATATAGGCATTTTAGATCTCTGCTACATTTAAACAAAAAAATTATTACAAATGTAAGAATTCACCCCTTAACATGGACAAGATATATTCAGAGGCCGATGTTATTCAAAATCTCAACACCTCCAAAAACGATAACCAAAATTTCGAATCATCCTCTGATTTCCATAATGGCCGCCATCACATGACTACCGCTTCCTCAGCTGATATAGATGCTGGCATATTCCCTCCTTACCTTCTAGATTACGTGGTGCGTAATTTGGAGAGTTCTTGGAAAGGTTTCACCTCCGCTTTGCACAAGCATTCTCAGATATTGGAGCTCAGTTGCGCTTTCCATTTGAAATATGAAGAGGTAATAAATAAGAAAATGAAAAAGATGTAAAAAATTATACAAAAATAAAATTGAAAGGTATTTTATTACAAATGAACTTAAAGAACTTCTTCTCCTATTATAGACTAATGGAAATTATAAATTTATATCAGATTTCAGAATTTTATTGTCAAAATTAAAGTTTGAGTTTTATTAAAGGAACGATATTTAAAACTAAAAAAAACGGATGGCTTACTAATATGGGATTTGGGTAATCTTTTCCGCTTGCCGGGCCTTTGCAGATTTCTTATTTACAATTTCTTAACTTTATAAAACAAAGTCGCACTTGCTATGAGTATAAAATATATTAAATTTTTTTAGCACGGTTTGAAGCTACCTTCTTTATACCAGTACGAAACCATCATGTTTACGCAAGAGGAAAGTGAACCACTGGAAGATGGCGTCTTACCGAATTCGGTCATCGCCCACCCATCACAGCAAATTTTGACATTCGACTCTGACCCTAATTGTATAAGGGACATTATGGTGCGGTTGCAAGAATCTGTCGATTGCATCACGGCCATATATTTGGATGTTATTTTTTTTCTAAAAATTTATTTTTAATTTTTATTTTGTTTAAAAGAAAGAGAAGTTAATGATTTTACACACACCAAGAAAGAAATAATTAAATTCTCGTGGAAAATTATTTCATCTAATTATTATTCACTTCTGCATTTTTTTCAAATCTAAAACGCTATATATATTTTATAGATAAACAAATGCGGCAAGGCGGCACTTTCTTTAATGTCATCCTCCTCTTCCAACAATCATTCAAAAAGTAAAATTTCCGAATTATTTGAGTGTTTTATTGCATCTTAGCTGTTTTAAGTTGATTCTTAAAATATATGACATTGGGGGAAAGGAGATTACAATTTTATTAACAATCATAATCTTACTATATAACGGATGTTAAAAATGGCCGAAAATTGACCAATAATTATTATTTATATCTTTCAATTTACGTATAATTAAGTTGGTCCAAAACTTCAATGATCCTCGTCTTTATGTATTTTTTTAATAAAATTTCGTTTGTTATCTTATACTTTAAATTTTTACTATTTTGAATACTTCACTTTTTTTAATATAATTATTCATTAGTTGCACCAGATTATTCTGAAGCACGGGTTCACGTAATTGCACTTCTCACCGAGACTAGTCGACGACAAAACACTGAAATAAAAATGGCACTCGTCGAGGATACCAATGAGATCGAACATAGCCATGTGGGCAGGATGAGGCTCCGCCTCCAGACTCTAATGAGCCATGCGCTCTTCAAACAGGACGTGCGACACGTAATTCATTTTTTAAAAAATTATTTTTTTTTCCTTCTTGCTCATTCATTATTAATAAAGATCTTTCATTTGATAACGTCATCAGCACGTAATTAGGAGTTTTCATTGTAGAAGGACAACCTATAGTTTTGTCCCTGTTAACCATTTATTTATATCTGCTATTGAATATATTCATTCACATTCATTTCTAACGAACCTCTCTTTTATTTAGGTATTCGAATGGATCAAAAATCACGGCAATGTATTTTTGGAGAAGAAAACGGGAACCGGGCGGTCGTTGGCCCGGGCCAAAGCCTTGCTCAAAAATCACGCTTTATTTGAGCAGATTGCGAAGGTAAATTATTATATTGTAAGAAAAATAAAAGAAACAATTTTCTATGTAAATTAAAAAAAAAATAATTCATTAAGAATATCTTATAAAGTTAGATAAATTAGAAATATTTTTTTATGTATTAAGATGTGCTTAATTATTGCCTACAATGGAATCGAAGTTTTTGATGTTGGTAGGGAATATAAAATTCGGATAATGGGGGAAATTGCAAATATTAATAATAAGGAATGAAAATAACTTTCACTCAATAGTTCTTAAAATTGAATAGTTATAAATGTAAGAACTAATTTTATCAATATTTGATATGAACCTATGGTTATAAATAAAAAATATAAGGATGATAGAATAATAAAAAATAATTGTTCAATGTATTCACGCATCTCATATTAACAACTCTCTGCAGAACACCTACACCAATTCCCGAAAATTACTTATAGCAAGCGGAAAGCTTTTGATTTCTTGTGATAACAACCCTCTTTACGATTCCAACCATTTTAATAGGGGCGATAACAATGCGCGTATTAATTCAGGCGGTAATAGTGTTAGCAGCATCGATCACATTGAAAATGAAGCTATTCTAGGCATAGCCGAGGAGCTAAAGATGGCCGTAACCCTGTTTTATACTTCGGTGCAAACTTTATTCCCTAATTATAAATTCTTATGTTTCTGAATTTATTTTTAATTAAAAAATTTTTGTCACCTCCAAATTATCTAAATTTATCACTTGAGCGCGAATGAACATTCTCGCAATTTTGAATTTAACTTTAGAATTTTCGCACCTCGAGCTTATCGAGTGTTCACCTGATTATAAATTAATCGCCCATAAATGGTAGTTACTATCTTAAATTTTTTTTTTAATAGCCTCAAATGGAATGATATTATTAGTATTTAAAAAATTCGTTTAAAGGGATAAAATAATTAATTAAAAACTTGCACTCCCTGTTGTAATAAAAAAAATGAATATAGAATACTGGAATGGCAAATGATATATTAAATGAATAGTCATTTAAATTATTATATAAAATTAATAAAGATAATTTATTTTTAAAAAAAATAGGTCAAAGAACGCAGACAAATTTTGGAAATATCAGTCGATTTTTATTCCAGGATAGACGAAGTTGATAAAATAAAGCGCATATCCTTCATTCTTATAAAAATTAAAATCTGAGATTCTAAAATTTTTATGTTTAACCGATACAAGTATCCATTACCCAAGATAAAATTGAATCCACATAAAAAAAAAATTTAAATGGTCTAAATTACATGGAATAAGAAAAAATAATTGATTTACAAATATGTTAAGATGAAAGAAAGATAAGCTTTACTACTTTTTTTTACTTTTAGAAATTCTGTTATGGAATTTAATGTTAAACGGCTCGATTTGAACCGATTTTTAAAAACGACTATCTCAATATTTTTTCCAGAAAAATATTACGCAAGTCTGAAGATTTTGGATATAGATGGCACAAAGGTTTGGGAATCTATTTGCGAAATCCCTAGGCTTATGCAATATTTTTCCGGTTGAAATATTGAGTTAGTCGTTTTTAAAAATCGGCTCAAATCAAGCCATTTAACAACAGTAATGGAATACTTTATTAATGAAGAATAAACATTATAATAAATTATATTACTACTACAAAGTTTCATTAATTATTAAAAAGCATTATTATGGCTTAAATTAATGACTAAAAAAATTTTTTGTGAAAGTGAAGTCTAAGAAAAAGTTTTATAATTATTTATTTTTAAAATATACTCAAGGGGGGGTTAAGGGGTTATATTTTATTAAAAAACTATTTTACATCCATATTTCAAAAAAAGTTAATAAAAATCCTTTTTTTTAAAATATTGGAAATTTGTAAATTTTGATCGTATAAAGAATAATTTTCGATGGTCCTTACCTCGTAGTTCAAGCGAATTTTTTTTAGATTTAATTGTAAATTAACTTTGGAACTGATAAGTTAAGACTCTATCTCGACCTGACTCGATAGTTTAGCACCTGCTATATTTAGCATAAGCTCTAGTAATTTTGTTAAAATTTATCTATCTCAAGTCGACTCAAGAATGCCTTATTGCCAATTTTAAGGTATGAACCTTAATATTTTATACCAAAGTTTACTAAATTCAAAAGAGATCATTGTAAAACACGATAATTTGACATATATGCTTCGCATTTATACAGCACTGTATTATTAGTAAAAACTAGCTTATTTTTAACGCTTTTAATTAATGAACGAATCAGTGAGTTAATAATTTTTATATAAATTTATCTTAATGAACGAGTTCATTCTTTTATTTTACTCATTATTTCTGGCTCAGGTAACAACGTGTTTCAAGGAAATCATAGCTTTTTTCCAGAATTTTAGTTTTGCAAAGTGCCTTGACACTGTAGAACCCACTCTCATCGATCACTCAAAAAGGTTCGGATCCTTGTTGGATACTTCTCGGGCTGTATCTGGCATGGCCGAGGAACTCTTAATCTACATGGAGTAATGTTTTTTTTATTTAAAAAATTCAACTTATTCATTGTCTAAATTTTGGGGGAGAGGAGGGTCTCAATACTCAGCATTTATCTAACAAGGGAAACACAATGAATAGAATATTCATCGTTTTAAAATGAGATGAGAAATATGATTAAATGAATGAGGGACTTGAGATAAAGGTGAGAGAAAAAATGCATTGAAAAAACGAAAAAAGAGAGAGATAACAAAAATATTATTTAGAAGAAACTATAATCTTTTTGGAAATATTTTTATTTCAATTTTTTAAAAAAATCCACATAAAAACGTTTTAAAGCTCTTTAAATAATATATTAAAAAAGTAAAACTTTAAGATTTTTTTAAAAAAGATAAAATAATTAAAATGTAATAATTTCTTAGTTCATGCCAGGCATTAAATCATAAATAGAGACTTGATTCAATTTGATAACAATTGAAATTAGTTGTTTTAGATAAAAATATATTTTATTAAATAAATTCCTAAAGCGGATGAAAAAATTAATAAATTCTTCCCTTCACTCAGCATCTCTGCATAAGCGAGAGGGGGTAGGAGTTTTGCCTCCAAATTTTGAGAAGATGGTGGGGGTAGGAATCTAAGGGGGACAGACTAAATTTAGGGGGAAAGGTTGTCAATTAAATTTTTAGATAAAATAGGGCAGAATATATTTCTGTAAAATTTTATTTAATAATTTTATTATTGACCTATTTTTATATACATATAAGGCTGATCATCTACGAAATTGGTATAATGCATGTAATTATAGTCATTATATTTCAAATAAAACTTATTTTAAAATAATCTGCTGTCTTTTTAAATGTAATTTAAAAGGGTTATACATTTTATCAAAGCTGCAGGAATTTTAAGGATCTAGTTAGATAAAAATCAAAGATATTTATTTAAGTGGTAATAAAATAATGATCTTTATCACAATTTATCAGTATATATAATTCGGTAAAAGTTAATTGTATACAAAAAACATTTAAAAATTATTTCAACAATAAAATAAATTATATTAATCAATTTAGTATATATTATTATTTAACAATAGGAAAGTTAATATATAAATTTTCCATTATGTTAACTTATAACCGCAAAACTATGTACAAAAAGATAAATATATAATATTATTTCATGCATCGAATAAATAATTATGTATTCATTTTAAATTAGAGGGTGTTAATTTAATTCATGTTCTAAAAATAACTCATTTATACATATTTTTGATAGTTGGTATTAGATTATTGATTTATATTTAAAATATGTGAAGGGTATAACATTATAATTAAAAGATATAATTAATGAAGTGCGGTGAAATTTTTTTATGTAAGTAAGTATAGGTTTTTAAGCAGTGTTTGACTCCAGTGAGTATCCTAAGTAGAGGCTGCCTTCACCTTCTATTTCTTTTGCAAATTTTCATCCTTATTCTACTTATTAAAACTTTTCCTCAATATGCAAATATTCATTTTCCTCATTCAAGGAACGTGCAACTTACTCCATGTCATTCCTTGAGTGTTTCTCATTGAAGATAATTATATTAATACTCTTGTCATGCTCTATCATATCCTTCGCTTCCCTCAATTGCTTTTTGAAAGCTAACAATTATCCCAATTTTAAATCATATTCTATAACAAAGATCAACACTAAGAATAATTTTAAAGTCATTTTATTACTATTATAACTCCATTATTCATAACTTCTAAAACCATAAATTAATTTTTAAATATTATTCACAGTAAAAAAATTTTTGTTATTTAAAAAATTAAAAATTAACTTTATATTTATTTAAAATATCACTATGGATTTAAAAAAAATTAATTCATATCATGCTTTCTTTATCATTCTCCATGAAATAGAAACTACATAATAACTCATCACGAATTGCAAAATTTACTATATACCCCCCATAAATTTAAAATACAAAACAAAATACACCTAAACCTAATTCCATCCATATTAAAACACGGTTGCACCCTTATTTAACAAGTAGAAATAACAACATAATCTTTTATTACCATTATCACCGGAAAATTTCTTCTAGCAGAAAATATATTTGTTATTAATAATGCCTAGACTCAACCTCATTAGAAAAATGAGCCTTTAATGCGCTCTTCAGAAAATAAAATCAGGGAAAGTGGGAAGAGGAAGGGAGTAGCTAGTTTTCTAATCTTATACCATTCTTCCTTTTTTTAAATTTCAAGAAAACGCGGTTTGAACGAGCAAAACGATCACTCGTGTTCCTTCCAGTCCGTGAATAATCTGGCCCAAAATTTAGCCTCTCTCAGAACCTTTTCATCTGAGCAATGGAACAAACACAGATATAAGCTCGAAATAACGCTCAAGTTCCAAAAGTTCGAAAGGGACGTTTTCGATGTAAATTTTACATTTATTATTTCTTTCGATATTTTAGACAAAAACAAATTAGTTAAATAGAAAAATATTATTTATATAAAGATTATGATAAATTTTTTAAATATAATAATTCATTTTTCTTCTGTGTATGTAGAGATTTTTAATAGCACAATACCTTAAAGCTGCAATATATTAATTACACACAATTTTTTTTCAAAAAAACATAAAATAAAATAGGTTTGCCACCAATTGGAATATTTGGACGAAAAGATTCGGGGATTTTGTGTAGAATCAGCTGGCTATTCTATACCGCCCGCGACGTTAGCCAGAAATGAGTTTGATCAAGTAGCCAAAATGGCAGCATATTTCGGTGGTCACGTGATTGGACTGGCTAACAAAGGAAAAGAGTTGTGCAGGGTAAAGAAACCTATATTTTATAAGAGGAAAAGATCCAAAAAATTGAAAGATATTTTATAAATTATGGAAAAGTAAGAAAAATGAGTTAAAAGAAGGGAAACAGAGTAATAATAATTAAAAAGGAATTATAAAAATAAATTTTAAAATACCGGAGAAGAAAGGATTAGAAAAAATGAGATAAATAAGACAACAATTCAAATAAAAGGAATCAGGTCATTTAACTTTGTAGTATAGTAGGGCAATGGCTAAATATTGGCTAATTCTGTTCAATCTACAGGCGCGTGCCGTTAACATAAAGACATTTTAATTTATATTGGTTTCCTTCAAATTTGAGCTGCTATATTTTTGGTAAAAACCTCGAGGCCAACGTGATAGTTTTCAGCTAAAAACTCGGTTTAGCCAATTTTTTAGCCGGCTAAAAATTGACTTAATCGGTTAAAATAATTACTCAATTATACATGGCAAAAAGTATCAAAGAAAATAAGAAATAGAAACAAATAGACGAGATAAATAAATTTCACTATCGCTTGTAGACTTTGGACACACCCATTGTGGTGTACTCTGTTGAAAATGATCGCCAGTTGCTGGCCCATGTCGACGCGCTTGTCAAGTATCTGGACGAGAGGAACTACGCCCTCAAGCGAGCTGTGGACGACCAAAGGCGGAGGTTGGAGCGAATTTGCTATCTGGAGTCATTAGCTGAAGAGTGCTCCTTGGTTAGTTGTGAAAATAATAATACTTTTTGAGATTTTGTTTTCTGTTTTATTTTGGGAAAGTTATATCGCCAAAATGAGTTTTACTTGTAGAGTATAAAATGTAACAACAAATTTTTTAAGATGTTTTACAAAATTTATATATTACGAGTTTCAAGTAATTATTTAAAGCTTCATATGATTTATGATTATTTTCAATATGTTACTTTGCTTCTTATTTTCATTTGTTGATGCTTTTCAAGTTAAATCAATAATCTTTTCTCTCTTAATTTCATCTTTATCTTCCCAATTTTTTTTCTTCCATTTTTTCTTGAGAAAAATATGAATTATTCTTTAAAAAAACCTATTTTTATAGTCCGTAAAGTCGATCCGCTCCACTAACTCAATTCTTAACTCTAGTTTAGTGATACCCACCTCTTTCAGCGACGCGGAACAAGTAGAAAGGAGTTACGAGCCATATAAAAAGGCAATCGAGGTATTTACTTTATATTATTATTTGATCATAAAACCTGGAAGCCCTGGAAAAGGGTATTAAGTATTAAATAAAACAAAAAGATGAATCATATCAATTTTTTTAATATTATATATATTTTTTATTCAGTAATTCATCTTATTAACAATATAATATGGAATTCTGAATTCGATTTAAATAAATTAAAATAAAATTTAAGCTTGATAATTAAAATTTTCTGCTTAAAAAATATATTCTATATATTTATCGTCTCCTTTGATAAACAATTTTTTTTAAATATACATTTATGGTATGTTTAATTTATTATCGAAGGTAGAAATATTAAATATTTCGGGGTTGTAAAAAGAATTAAGGGTATGCCAAACATTCTTAATCAATTCTTATATTACTCTTCCCCGCATAAGTGAGTATCTTACAACTAATGGTACCCTTTTACTAGCTACTATCATTTAGAGGTTTTAAAAGGTGTCATGATTTAAGCACCTTCTAATATGGCATATGTTATCAATTGGAAATTTTATTTTGTTTTATTCAGAAAATTCAGGAACGAGTTTTCCAAGTGCAATCAAAACTAGACGGGTTCATAGATTCCCTACAAACATTTCTGCCAGTGTCTCCCCTTCAAGCTGTAGTAGCATATAGCGTAATTTTTTTTTCAACATTTTACTTTTTATATATAAAGATTTAATAATAATTATGATTTTAGAAGAGCTGCAAGATAGGAAGGGAAAAATATAAATAAAATAAGGGAATAGGAATGTATTATCATTTTTAAAGGCTTACCCAGAAAGAGATAAGAAAAATAAGAAATAAAAGAAAGAATTTAATAAATTAGAGATAAAGAAAAATGACAACTATATTTCATTTTTTCTCCCAAAGTCTAACTCAGTGATGAACGGTAATCAAAGAGCTTCCACGGCTTCTTCCTCCTCCGAGGGCTGCAATAGCAACGTGCTTAACGGTGGTGCATCAACTAATATAGACAGATCAATAGATTTTAAAAATAACCTAGCAATAAATGATGATGAAAATCAAGTGAATGAATTCGAATCTGCTACCCCAGAAACACCTCGCGACGATACGCGGCAAAAGAAAATTCAGATAGGTTTGAATAAAATTTATTTTCTATCGGCATATGATTAGAAAAAATACCGATAAGAGAAATATTTAAGAAAAATGAATTTTCGATTTAATATAATAATAAAAAGTTAAATTCCCATTTCCTTCAAGTTATATAATAAACAATTTATGATTGTTACATAGACGAAATAACCCAGCTGATTTATCCCATTAGGAATCTTTTAGCGTAAAAGTTAATATTTGAAATGCCTAATTTGTATTGTCAAAGGTTTTTTTTAACTGTTTACAATTCGCAAAAAAAAAATAAATGAAAAAATATAGACTCGCCTAACACGAATTTCGATGCTCAAAATCCCGAAGAAGTATTCAAAATGGCAATCGCTAGGAACTGCGAGGCCTTGAACCGTAAGTTGGGCTCGGAATGGCATTCATTTGTCTCACGGGTAACGGATAGACATCGATTAGTGGAAGCGGGCGTGAGGTTTTACAAAAATGCTCATCAATTGGGCCGGGCTTTTGATGCGCTAACTAGGGATTATAGCATAGCTTTCGAAGGTTAGCAATATTTTTTCTTTTTATCTTTTCTTTTTTGTTTTAAATTAAAAAAATATTTTCAATCATATTTCATAATCGTAAAAACGGTGGTTTGCTAGTCAGCAAATTAGTGGTGTTAACTAAATTCCGCCCAATAATTAATTAATAAATTGTGTTTAATGTGTAATTTCCATTTTCACGCCCAAGGATGCGCAGTATCTGTTTTTTTTCAAACCCAGGCCTGGCCTAAAATGATTGTTGATACTAAAATTAATTTTGATGCAATTAATAACTATTTTTTCTAGTTTAATATCAATTTAATCTTCTATTGCATTTCGTAAACTACAGCTTAGATTTAAAAACTATAAATTTGTGGATAAAGTAACTTAAGCCATATTTCGAAATAGACATAAAGCACAACACGATATATTAATATAAATGTGAAGCAGATTATCAATGATCAACATTTACACATCACTATTTTGAGGTTGCCTATCTATTTTTTATTTCTATTAATCATTGCGACAAAATAAAGAAAAATTAATTATTAATAATTTATAAAATTATTTTAATAGTTTAATATAAAGATTAGGAATATACAAATTTTGCCATTATGCATGCAATACAAGGTTTTAAATTATCAAATGTAAAAATTTTATATTATTTTTTTAAAATTATAACGATAAATATTAAATATTGATAACATAAAACAAATTATTTTTAGTCAAATTTAATATTACCTATCAAGAGTTTATTCATAAATTCCACTGGAAAACAAAATAAAATGAATGCATGTCCAATAATAAATTTTCCTCCAATCATTTTTTTTGGTAGAAATTTGATTTAAATAAAAATTTAATCAATAGTTTTTTAATTTTTATTAAAATAAAATCATAATATTTGGTCAAATAGACGTCGTATTAAATTGTTTTTATTTACCAAATATTTATATGGATTTGTGATTTTTTAGATAACTATTTTTTAAGGTAATTAAAAATTTGGGTTTTAACCATTTTTAAAAGTATATAACTAACTGAGTTCTTTTAAACGTAAATTTATGGTATTCTGATACGATAACGAAAGATATTATAAAATACTTTGGCTTTGGAGCCTAAAAATTCTTAATGCCAGCACCGGGGTTTTAAACATTAAAACCATAGCTCTACCCAACCTAAATTTATATTTATTATTAGACTCAATCCCGCCCCAAATTTTTATTTTGGAAGGGATGGGGGGGGGGGCATGCCAAGATCAATTTATAAAAAATGTAAATTAAAGTTTATTTAAAAAAATCGCTCTATTCAGATTTGCTTTATTTTATCTTCCTTTTTATTAATTCCAGGCCCACTACAAGCTTATTATGATTGGTGCCCTCACTTGAAAAATAAGACCATTGAAGCAGACGATTTTATTGTAAAAGCAGACAATATGACATTAACGGCAGACAATAAAAACAAAAATCATCTTGTATCGTCTACAGCGATAAATTATATACAATGCAAGATGGAATCGTCTGCTAGTTCAGCTGATAATTTGAGGCTCGCTATCAAGAGGCACCACGAACAGAAGGAAGCCTTTCTCAAAGTTATACGGCGATATATGAAAAAAATGAAATGGGAAGATATTAAATAGAAAGAATAAGTAGTAATTAAAAGGAAGGGTACAACAAACTGAGGAAAATTTGAATTTAATTATTTTCATTGATCATATAAGAAATTCGTAGGAAGGAAGGAAGGAAATATAAAATTTATATATAAAAAAAATATGCATTAGAATTGTACGATAGCGAGAGAAATAACGGAATTATTTACGAGAAATCTGTTAAGAAACATTCAAGCCGCTCATAATGCAAATGACCCAGGTCTAGCCGTGGACACTGACCTAACTACCCACCTCAACAACGTCAATAGTTAGTAGATTTTGTTATAAGATTTATATGCTTAATCATTTTTCAAGAATAATTCGAATATAATATATTTGCGTTTATTTTTAAAATAATAACGAAATTATGCTCAAAAAAATAGATGTTTATAGTGCGTAAAATAAATATTTTAATTAAAAAATACCATAATTATAATTGAATTAATCATGATATAATTACATGCAATAAAACAGGTTTGTCATTTATTTTTTTTTACAATTTTACGTTTTAGATGGGAGAAAAACGTTTTAAAATAGCTCTTTAAATAATATGTTAAAATTTTTTTTATTTTAAACGATATTTCCTATTATGTTATAAACAAATCAACTGTTCATAGATATGGAATACGGGGAAGTTTTCAGAATATGTAATTGATATCTGTATCATTTATAATTAAGAATAGATATTCCTAGTAGGTTTGTTAAAAAAACCGATTTGGGTCGGTTTTTAAAAACGACCCGATTAAGATTTTTGCTAAAAAAAAGATTATGTAAGCCTCGAGATTTTGCAAATAGAGGTCCAAACCTTTCTGCCATCTATGAGTAAAAGGCTTACATAACATTATTTTGGCGAAAATCTTAATCAGATCGTTTTTATAAATCGGGCTTTTTAACAATCCTAGTTGCTTGTATGTAGCAAATGTCGATACATTTTGGCCTATAAATTAATCTAATATTAAAATGACCCATTAGAACAAAGAATGTTTCGCCAAAATCTGATAATAGTAAAATAATTTTATTTCATTTTTTTTGAAAGTATATGCAGGATTTTATTTTTAAAGTAGTTTAATTTCCTGATAAAATTTATATGTTATATTTTAGTTGTAAATGAATAACTTTTGAAATTTGAAAAGTTTTATTTGAAGCTTATAGGAAAACTCATGATATTTTATGTTGTTGCTGTTTAGAAATTTTGGAACAACTCAACGATAAGGAATCTCAAGTTTTGGAGATGTGGACACTTAAGAAGAAACATATGGACATGTGTCAACAGTATTCCCTTTTCGAGCAGAGCGCTTTTCAGGTTAGTTCCTAAAATTTAAATATTGTTATTTTTGTTTCGTTAAACTTTAATATTCTTTTTTTCACACCACAATTTTTGAAATTATCAATGAATTAGTTGAGATTTAATATAAACGAATAAGGGAAAAGGTGGGTCAAGGATAAAATATAGTTTTATATAATAAATAATGGATGAAACAAATTAAATCATTATGAAGGATTTATTCAATTTCTAAGTAACCAAGAAAAAAAATAAACGCCTCCTTCCACTTAACTCAAATTTTTAAATTATTTTAAGGTCATGCTCTGGATCGAAAATCAAAACAACGAATTGTTTGATCTTCCCGAACTGGTAACACCTAATTATCTCGACCAACAAACACTTTTAAAAGAATATACCCTGCTTAAGAAGAGGGCCAAAGAAACTAAAGAAAAGGTATAAAACCTGTTATAAAATATCATCAACGATTCACAATTCATTTGTAATTTAATCTTAATTTTTAAAAACTCGGTTCTTCTCAAAAAATAAATAACGAAAGAATTTAAAATAAATGTTGAAAGAAATTATTAATAAAAAAGGCCTCTTTTTACATATTCTATTTAGTATTTTAGTATCAATAGTGAAGGTCAACTAAGACCAGATAAGACCGCTTAACCGATTTTTTAAAGTGGTCGACCACATTCAAGTCCAATTTAGAAACCAAATGGAATATAGTATTTAATTGATCTAGACCCAATAGATTGGACCAATATCGCCGACAAAATAACTAGATTTTCATTTGGATTTTGAACTCCATCTGAATTAAAGGTCTGCAAGTGACAAAATTTTCAAGCTCGCCCTTCTTTCAATTTTTAGTAAGGTTGCCAGGTCCGAATTAATTTTTATAATCCTGAAATATATGATATGGAAAATTAACCAATCATGATGAGGATGTAGGGTTCATGATTTTCTATAGTATTCGTGTTATAAATAATTTTTAATTATTTATAAAATAACATATATATATATTATATATTTAAAAACCATATAAAAATATTTTTTAAAAAAAGCATATTAAGAATTAGTGATCTGCATCGGGCCTAATTTCAAGTCCGGCCCGGCCCGAAATTTTTTTTAAAATGGTTTTGCCGGCCCGAACCCGAAATTTTTTTGAAAAAGTTTTGCCGGCCCAGCCCGAACCCGAAAATTTTTTAAAAAAATTAACCGGCCCGGCCCGAATCCGAAAATTTTTTAAAAAAATTAACCGGCCTGGCCCGAATTTATTTAAATATAGAAATTAATTTTTATAATTACTCAAAATAAAAGACATATGTTATATGGCGTTTAGTTTCAATAAATAAAATCAAAAATTTTTATTTTACATAAAAAATTCAATATAAAATTGATAAATTTATATATATTTAAAAAAATTCCCAAGGTCCGACACGACCCGGCCAAATTTTTTTAAAAAAATATTAGGCCCGGCCCTGCCCTAACCCGATTATTTTAAATATAATTAGGCCCGAACCCGGCCCGGACCTAAATTTGCAGATCTCTATTAAGAATAGTCATACACTGGTGACGGCCATGAATCTTTAATATAAAATTGTAACGTAAAATTTTTAAGTTATTTTTTGTTTGATCAAAAGGGCCCTCGAGATTGTTGTTTTAGAGCTCTTTTGCCTGATTAGTTTTTAGGGATCTAGTCTCTTTCCCAAATGAGCAGTTTCACGCAGGGTATATTGTCTGCTAGATGTGAATATTTTTAGAATTTCCCCTTTTCCTCTATATCTAATGAATAGTAATTATTTTTAGATGGAGAGAAAATACTATACATGTAAAATCCCAATACATATGTTTCCCCATATTCCAGGGGGTTAACCTTCTCGTAGCCCGAGATGTGTTAAATAATGAATTTTGGATTATTTTATTAATTCTTCTTGTCTTATTTGTATCTGTTACGAGACAATGAAGTGGATGATTAGCTTTAGGATCAACCATTACTTCGCATCTTTTACAGTTGTAAGGTAGAGATATGTCTATGCCTAGTCTGATACCCTTACATTCCTTATTTGTCAAAAGTGATTAACATTCTTAAATAAGCTATTCTTGGCCAGATTTATCTGTTATCAAAGAACGAAGGTTATTACACGGCTGTGTGTCATTTCTTGAAAATAGATAATCGACTGAGCGTGACTGACCCAGCATCCCAATCCTTTTGTAAATTAGACAGTGGATAAATTGCGCCAAAGTATGTGTGACCAGCTAGAAAGCATTTAACACGATATCCTCACAAGGTTTAAATTTAAGAATGAAATTTTTGAGGAAACAAAAAAAAAACTATTGAAAGGGGTCATGCTGATCGTAAGCCAAATCCTACGGATTTTGTTGGAAGGGTAGTTTGTACCCAGCGATTTTGGTCAAATTTTAGGATGACTATGTTCTCAAGTATCGATTAAATTTCTTCTTCATATGAGAATGTAGGTTTCACTATTTTCTTATAGCTAATATTTTTTCTATTAAGCACTGTGAGCATTTCTACTTTTTGCACCCCATCCACCACCCTACCCAGCCCGTTATTTTTTTTGCCGGCCAGACAAAAATTTTCAGATGTTATCCAGCCCGGTTCATTGGCTGAGTGGCTTACGCTCGGTTGACTTTCACTAAACACTATATATTAATAATTTTCTTCGGTCAAAAATATATAACCAACGATAGTTATGGCGCTTTATCAGTACATAAATAGACTATGTAGGAAATGGAAGAATACACGAATTCTTAATAAAATAAATCTAAACCATATGAATATTTTACTTCTTTAATTTGAACATCGAATATGATAGGTTTGTTCTTTTGTAAGTTTTTGAGCCATAAGCTACTATATTTTACGTAAACCAGGTAAGGGTTAAGACTAGTCTACATGAGATAACTATGGTTAATTTGATTTATAATTAAATATTTTTTAATCACAAGTTGAACCTTCTTAAGCGTTGCGGCGAATGCTTACTGACATCCAATCCAACCATATCGAATAATTCAAATCTATTTGAAGTGCCCATTAATAACCCCTCTTTAGATATCACGCACACTACTACCATCCCTAGTACAAACACTCATAAACATCTGATAGACGGTTGTACGGAGAGAGTGAAGAATCAATTCTCTTCGTATTCCCAAAGAGTTGACGGGAGATTAGGTAAACTAAAAATACGTATTATGGAGACGAGGAAGCGAGAAGCGGAAAAGCAGAGTGCCGCGGAATCCATGATCAAGTCAACAAGTTTGTATCTCGTTTGATAAAACAATTTTTTCGAAAATGAGGTCATTTATAACATGCCTAATTTTCGACGTATGCAGTTGGTGTAAAGTTTTATAGTTTATAAATTATACCTAAAGCGATTGCATTAACTGATCGTTATATTAGTTAATGGAAACTAAAAAGTTGAGGAAATGATGAAATATTTGATCTTTTTATAAATTTAAATATGTCATGAATTTTTATCTTTAGTTAATTACTCAAGTAACTTCAAATTTATTTTCTATATATCTTGTTACACTTTCTGTATATGTGTTAGCAGACGATTCTCGACCTTTGCCATCTTTGCCGCCATTTTCCCTGGAAGAAACCGACGACAATATAGTAGAAGATTTGCGACAGGAAGATCAGATGATTATAGTTATGCGTTCACCCGTCGGAAGGGGTCATAAAATGGCCGCTATAAGCGAAGGCCAAGATGGCGATGGATCGGAAGTTACCAAAATATCAAGTATAGCTTCTTCCAGCAATTCTTCTTTATCATCTGCTTCCTTTAAAGTGACGGGGGGAAGTGGGATAATCAGCGCTCAGCAACAGCAGACGACCAATATAAATACATCGGAAGGTGGGAGTAGTACTGATAATCCGGAGAAACGCAAATCGGCCAGAAAAAAGGAGTTTATATTCATATATAAAAAATTTGTTTTTAAACCTCTATATATTTACTTGATTACTTGCCATAAAATTGATACATTAGGTGAATGAATGTAAAACTTTACTCGCGCGTGCTTTCATTTCTCATCCCCTTTTTCTATAATCTTCATTTTCCTTTTTATAATTTTCCTCATTATTTAATTTGATGCTCATATTTTATCTTGTCTTGAAACCGCCTTTTTTAAAAAATTTTATAGTTATTATTCAGCCAAGTTATTACTTATTATATAACTATAAACCCTAAGAAATATTAAAATTTTATTGGATTTTCTAATTTTTGTGAAAGATTAGTTAATATAAAATTTAAGATTAGTTATCTCAAAATTCAAAATATGGATATTATATCAGTCTAAAATATAAATGACTTAAAAATAACAAATACTAGTTACATCATGTCTGAGTTACTGCAAACGGAAGAAACATATGTCCGTGATTTGGAAGCATGCATTCAGCATTATTTGAAAACGCCATTTTACTCTTATCATCGGGAAGTAGGCGATATCGATAAGAAGCCATCTATCATTTCCAATACCAAAGTTAAAGCAGATCATAAAGTTTTACCAATAATTTCCGGTATAATTATAAATTTCTATATGCTGAATTTTTTTTTTACAATTTTTTTATTAAAATTATCGCAATTTTTTATAATAATTCTGGTGGCTTCGCTAAACAAGTCGACAATCTTAAACCGCTTATTACCTGTTTGAAGAACAAAATAACGCCACCTACTACAATTTCCACTACAGCTCTCGTTTCTGCTTTCGCTTCTGTCGTGTTCTGCAACCTCGAAGCCATATTGAAATTCCACCGTGACACCTTCCTGGCTGAACTAGCCAGGTATAGATATCTGCCTGAGGATGTCGGTCATTGTTTTGTCAAGTGGTCCCACACTTTTTACGAGTTGTATGTTAGGTATCATCTATTTTGCATAATATATTCTTGTTTTTTATTGTCAAAGAATAAAGCAAAATATAATACAAGACTTATTTAAATCACCTACCACCCACCGGGAGCAGTCATTTTTTTGGGAATATAAATTTTAATTATTCCTTTTCTCTCATTTCTATTTTATTTCTTTTCGACTATATTAAATGCATTTTTTCAACTTCGTTAAAGGTATTGCACGAATAAACCGGATAGTAACACACTCCTATCGAAACCAGGGATCGAAGACAGTTTTTTCCGGGACATTCAAATCCGATCTGGACTAGCCCTTTCTCTTTCGGCCTACCTTATAAAGCCGGTTCAACGGATCACCAAATATCAACTCCTCATGAAGGAATTGCTTTCTTGTATAGATTCACCTGATAGTTCAGATCAAACCAACGAAATTAAAGTATAGGCTATAAAATATGGTTAATGATAGATACTGACAAAACAACATATAAATTTATAATTAACAACCTAATTTGTTAAAAACAACGATCAAAATTTATTAAAATAAAATTAGACCCACTTATATTTTAATATATATTAACGGAATCACATGGTCGAGTCTGATCAACTATATATCATCCCAAGGACGGAACCGCCAAGTTGGTTTCAGAAAAAAACATGATCCTTGCTGGATTCGAACCCAGACTCGTCGGATTGGCATAAAAAATAAACAAAATATCAATTAAACCATAAAATATATTAAGTTTGGGGTTTATGATTTGTTCTTGAATGACCAAAATGAATTATAACAATTAAAAAAGTATTATCATTAAATAGGGACACATAGATATCGATACTCTTTTATTTTGACCAATACCAGTGGCCGATACCCAAAAATGATAATTAACCTTTATAAATTAATTTTTTTTTAGTCTACGTTAAGTTACTAATGTATAAAATAAATCATATACAAATATTTAACCCGATTAGAAGAAAGAAGGTGCTGTTATTTTTTTTACTATTAATTTCCTTTTATAAATTAATTATAGATGATAATTATGAAGTTTACCTTTGCTTTTTTCCAAAAAATATACTAAATTATTTTTTTTTGGTACCGGTCAAAAAGTTATCATTGCATCTCTGCTATATAGTTATTTAACATAACATAATCAATAATATATACATGGAAAGTAAGAGTAAACATCTTTGATAAAGTTTAGCATAATATAATAATATACAATCGAATGACATCTATTCATGAATTAGGAAATATTTTATCCTTGGTATATTGTTAACATTGGTTTTGTAATTTACATTGCATAATATATATTTTTTTAAACAAAGGTCTTCTACAAATTATATTTATTAAGGACTATAAATATATGTGTATGTATGCAATAGGATGGTTTAGACGTGATGTCGAATGTACCCAAAAGGGCCAATGACGCCATGCATCTATCTCTTCTACAGAACTTTTCGGACGACCTTTCTCCCCCTTTGAAAGATAACGATATTTCGTACTCCCAAAATAGTAGTGAAACATCCATAATCAACTCCGATAAAAACTCAGACGACGTATTCAGGAAAAGGGAGTTAAATAGTGACGATTCGAAAAGGAACAATTTAGAGGTTCGATTTGGTCAGCTCTGCTTGCAGGATGGGGGCTTTCGGGTTTGGGATTATTGGACGGGCAAATCGGGCCATTCTTTCATTCGCTCGCACGGAAAAGGCAAAAGTGGGGGAGGTAAATTTAAAAATAAAATAAATAATGTTTTTATGGATCCATAATCTTTCTAACGTTACAGTTTTTAACGTTTTACATTAAATACCTGCAAAATAGAAATTTTCTGCCCGAGTTTACTTGCGGTCCTGCACCAATTTTTTGATTTAGGTTCGCTCTCGTCTCAAATTTTAGATAAAAGCCTGCAGGGAAGAAAAGCTCGAAAAATATACTTTATTAAAATGTTTCATGATTTAGAATTTTTCTTATTTTTTTAAATTTATTTTATTATTGTGATATGCAATCAGGCAAAAAATGAAATATAAACTTGCCACGGGCCGGGTTTATAGCTTATTGATGATGTTACCTCTGGCCCTATAGGACGCTAATATTTTTGGTTGCATAACGCTAAAAAATTTTTATTGATTTTTAAGAAGTATAAAATAAAAAATAAAATATATTAGTAATACATGATAATTTTCGTAGAAAAATAGCGGTAAGGTTTTTAAGATTTTTCATCTCTTATATATAGAATATTATTCCAATTTCCCTTTAAAGCACATCCTTCATAACATTGAGTAAAATAATGCGAATTAGTTAGAAAATGACTTTGATTAAGTTAAAAGTAAAATGCTATGAATTTAAAAAAAATTATGTAACAAATTAAAGGAGGGGGCAAAAAGGAGAGGCAAATTTTCGCTTTCGAGACTTGCGTCTTGGTTTGCAAAAAACTCGTTATCCCGAATAGCAACACCGTCAATATAGTCAATAGTAGCAACGCATCCACTGAAAATGGGGCATCCGATATAGATGAGGGTAATGTGCTGGCTTTGTTCGGTCTCGGACATGGAGGGACCAGACCTGCCTACTTGTTTAAACACAAGATTATGGTATCACATTTTTAATATTTTTTAATATTATTTTAAGAGGACACAATAAAAAAATATCTTATACATCCATCATCATCTATTCTTTTAAAATATACGTTTAATTCATGCACATAAAATATATCATTATTTTTATATTGCCAATATTAGTAACATAATCGTGAACATGCGTCATTTCATTTTTTTTTATCGTACGGTATATTTTGAAGATGTCCGAAGTTGGTATAACTGAACACATAGAAGGGGATGAGTGCAAATTTTCTCTTTGGCAGTTTTCTGCCTCCGTCAACTCGCATTCCAACAATCGGCGTTTCATCTTCAAGGCGTCTTGTTTGGAAACTAAACAAACATGGATCAAAAAATTGAGGGAACTCATAAACGCTTTCAATTTCTTCCGATTGACCAGTATTCACTTATCATTTTCTTATATCCTATAACTAATTATTTTTTTATATTCATTTTTTTATGATCTTTATTTCTTTACTTATATCTTACTTTTCTTTTTTTGTGTATTACTCGTTTATATTCTACTACTTATTACCTTATCTACTCTTTATTTCCCTCATTTCCTTCATTCTACCTATCCGTTAAATATTAATATTCCTCTTCTTTTCAGGATATCCTTCCATCATTTCTTCCTCCCCTGGAACGGTCAACTTAACCAATACTCCATCTGGCAAAACGGCTTCTATTTCTTCCGGCTATTATTCGTCTTGTTCTTCCACGAGCCTTGCAACCAGAGTCACCTCAGATGCCTTATCAATTTCTTCCGCCGATAATTCCCTTTCCAAAATTCGGAGTGATATTTTGATTAAGTGAGTTGTATTTTATGATTTTTAAACTTCGATCATTCCTCTCAATCTTCGTTCCACCTTTTAATTTTTAGAAAATTAGAGGTAAACATTTTACAACCATTCTGTTATATCCATATCCTCGATCTTTCATGATTTTCAAGATAAAACTATGTTAAACGGCATTATAACTTTTTTACTCCCCCAGAACTATAAAAAAGGGTCCGGGTTTGAATATTTTTAAAAAGTGGTTCTGGTTCTCAGATTTAACGCGACTCTAACACAAAATTTTGGACAAAATGTATAAATTAGATGCACTTTTGTTATAATTTTTTTAAAAAAGGTCTAGTTTCTTGAAAATCAAAAAAGAGGCTTTGATTTCGATATTTCCCTGTTCTACACTAAGATTGTTCCATCTTGGGATTTATCCAATTTTTAAAAACAATTGCTTTGGCATAATATAACGACTAAAGTATTAAAGAAATATAATTGTAAAATAAAGGTGATAAGGAGTACATAAATATAGCTGTTAAAATATTTTAAAAAAACATTTCTGAAGCGATATTTTTTTTATTACATAATTAGTGGTATAAGCGAAGAAATTACTCTCACTCCTATAAAACCATTTGTGGGAAATATAACGTGCCGTGTTTCCACAATTCTTAACTCCATTCCATCTAACTTTGCTAACGGGGAAGAAGATCGTATTCATGGAAAAGTATAATTTATTGATTAAATTGTAAAAATGATTAAACTTATGAGTCCTTAAATAACTTCATAAATATGGCTATATTTATCTGAGATAAAATATTGAATCAATAATTTCTGGTACCTTTGTTTGTTTTCTATGACTTGAAAATATTACAAACCTCTGATATGAAAGCATGGATAAGGAGAAAGTAGAGAGTTTTACTAAAAGCAAATTGATTCTTACTAATATAATAAATTTTCTAATAATAATTTATTTAGCAACAAACAAATTCGAACGACATTTTCATTCCTTGTCAATTAAAACCCATACATTTTCAAAACGATTCCCAAAATAATTTGAACCAGTCAGACCTTGATGCCACTGAAGTTATAACTCAAGATGAACTTCCCAAATTTCACCCAAGCGATCCCGGCCTTCATAGATCATTTAAAGTGGAAGAAACGGATGATTATACCAAGAATGCAGTCGTTTTTACACACAAAACAAACGATAATTTGAGGCCATATGACGAATTACTTACTAAAAAAGCTTGTCAATCCCCGAAATCTCAACTAACTTCCATGAAAAAAATAGCTGACGATAATGACGAAGAAGCTTACGAAGATGTAACGGAAATCGTTCCAACTCTACCGGAAGTCCTATCGAATATATCGTCTACTTTGACCTTGCCCCCGCCTTCTACTTATCATCTCCCTTTCTTTTATTACGATGACCACCACGAGGAAGGTAATCTTATTATAATAATGAATTCTTTGAAATTTAAAATTTCTCATATTGTCATTTCAAGCTGATTATTTTTGTATTACAGGTTTTATGTTATTCATTATAGAACCAATTGAATTAAATATTTTTTGAAACTAAGAGAATAGTTGAAAATGATCATAACGGGTTTTGTATCAATTTTAAATTCAAATTTTTTTTGAAAAAAGAACATAAAATATACGGTTCTAATAATGAGGACAAATCTAACTCATATGCCGATATTCAGAAAACAGAAAGCAAACTGGAAATTACCGACGAGGAAAATTTAGATCAGGTGATAACCGCCGCTCTGAGCGAATTTTCCTTCCCGCCATTCTCATCTTCCCGTTGAATTACTACTAATCACAAATCGATTAAATACTTTTAAAAATTTATTATAGGTGCAATTTTTCATAGAATTTTGTTTTATTTATTGAAACAATATTTTTTTTAAAAACAAGTGATAAATATTTTTAAATAAAAGCTGTAACTTTATGAAAATCAGCCACAAAAATTTAAAACTAGTGTACATAGCTTCTCTTCTCTATTTCATTATGTATTTGCAGAAATTAGCACTCCAAATTATAGCAATCTGGCATTTAACCGAATATTGCATATTTTATAAAATAATTGAGACAAACTTATAAAAAGTTATTTCGAGACCTCTAATTTAGAATAAACTTTTATTATAATTTTTTAAATATTAAAATATAATAAAAATTTAAATTATGCCATGCCATCACAAAGCAATCTTAACTAATTAAAATTTAGTTGCCGCAAATCACAATCAAAAAATTTTTTTTACAGTATAAACCCGCATATAATATCTCACGGAACCAGGAATTTTAAAATACCTTAAATTACTAGATTTCCGAGACCAAAAATTAAAGCGCTATATAATCGGGTTTATACTGAATTGTGTTGTTGTTATATAAATATATATAATCTTATTCATTCTGTGCAACGATGCATTTAATTACTCCATGTCTATAAATAAAAATTTTATACAAATCCTTTTTTCTTTTTGATACAAAGTTTATATTTATTAAATTATCATTTTTTTCTATTTTATCTTCATGAAAATCAAAATTAATTAGCGATAAAATCTGTCTACTTCGAATTCCACATAATCTATAAGTGAATTTCCATAAAAAATTAGAATCACTGCTTTAAAAATTTTCTGCTTTTTTGTTAAATTTGAACATACAACTAGATACTTGTCCTTATTATTGCCTAAATTTGACAGATTTTATCATATAAACTAAGTATCTCGTCATTTAATAAAAAAATTTCTAAAATTTTTATGTACAAAAAATTATTTAATATATTTAATATTTTTATTTTAGATCAACATTTTATATATATATATATATATTATAAATAACGATAAACGTCACATTTTTTATTGTTAATAAATTATATTTTAAATAAACAATAATTTTATATAAAATTTATTAATATTTAACGAAATAACTGCATGGAGTTATAAACCGAAACTAGTTCAGCGGATCAAATTCATGTTTGATTTATTCATAAGATCCATTCATTTTATAATTATAGTTATCATTTTTACCAAATCTACAGCTCAAGTTTATACTTTATCTATATTCAAATACAAATGAGACTTTGAGATAATAGTAGGGGAGACCGAAACCTACAAGCAACTCAGCTTCCGGTTAAAAAATTTTTAATCGGATCTCTAGGGTCAAAAGATACCAAAAAAATAGGATTTAAACAAGTTATGTTGGTTGGCCGAGCTATTATTCCGCTAAGCGAGTACGACTTTTGCTACGATTCGAATCACTTTTTTTTCTAAATAAAGGATAAATTAAAGTTTTTTTGGGATTAAGACAGACAATTAGTATTAAATTTAACTTTATAACAAAAATTAAAATGCTTTTTATTTAAATTAAAATATTTTTTAAAGGCTAAAAGGAAGGTGTTAGTGCCTAAAAATCAATAGGTATGACTGAGATAGGGTTTTAAAATAAATTCAAATGGGCTCAGGCCAAAAAATGAATTTGCAGAGCTCTACCTCGGGTATAGTAAACATGTTTTTTTAATGCCCCCATATTATGAAATTTAAAATAATATTTAACATTAATATATCGAAGATTTCTATTTAAAAATTTTCAATTTATCAGAGATCAGCCTGTGGCGATGGTAACTGTCAATATCACCAACTTCACTAAAAACAGATTCTAAAAAACAGAATGCGCAAAAAAAATAGCAATATGGCAGAATGTTTATTAACTAATTATTATTATTTAAAAAATATACATAAAAATAGATTCCGATTTTATCTATAAAAATAAAATATTTTAGATATAACTTTTTTTTAAAAAATTTTGTAATATTGGCCGATAACCGATATTTTAAATTGGGTGAAATATCGACCCTATCCGATCCGATAAAAAATATCGGTACATCCTTATCATTTACTAATCTTAAATCTTATTATACATTCTAATTATCAGAGTTGTTGAAGTAGCGCGCTAACTTTTGGTAGCTATAGCTAATAGCGGCTATTTTTTTTGTAATGATTTAATTTTTAGCGGGCTACTTTTTTTGAAAGTAGCTAAGTAGCCGCTACTCAGCTATTTTTAAAAAATATAATGAAGGTAAGTATAAACATGAAAATTTAAATATAATATCATAATTAAAAATGTTTGAAAAATATATGATAATACTATTAAAAAAAAGAACGGAGATGGTGTGACGCAGGGAAATTATAATTTTTATGATTTATTATTTAATTTTGAAATTGAAATATATTTTCAATTTGTAATTTATTTTCATTTGTATTATAAATCTAAATCACGTGTTAATAATATAAAATGTCATCGTCTATGGATATCCAAATCGTTGAAAGTGTTTCAGACAATGATATTAATGAAATGGAAGATACCAGGGAAGAAAATGTTATTAATAGCTATAATACAAATTTCCCATTCTCTAGATTTGAAATTTTTTTTAAATAAATATATAATCCAAAACTGGCTTCAAATTTATTCGTTTAAAATGAAAAAAAAATATTTCCTCAAATCAATCCAGTAGCTATAACCTCAAGAAACACCTAAAGGTAAATTGTCATTTTTACATTCTAATAATATTTATTTTATAAGACTGTTCATGAGTTTTAAGGAAATGGAGAAACATCTAAATAATTTTGGTATAAGCGACTCTACATCCAAAAAGACTAATTCAATTCAAACTAAATTAATTAATAATGCAAATGACAATATTTCTCAGAAATTGGCTGATAAAGTTATTGTTGATTTTATAATTTATACAGTTCAGCCAATGTCCTTAGTTGATAATCTATCATTTACCATGATAATTAAAACTCTATCCCCTGGTACAACAATTTTATGCCGCCAGACACTAAGGAATAAAATAGCAGATAAATTAATAATGATGAAAGATGCTCTAATAGTAGAGTTATCAGAGATATCATATATGTACCACGGGAGATAGTTGAACACATAACAGAAGGTAAAAACTTATTTATAAATTGATCTGATTAAATAATTTTGAGCTTATTTGGGAATCACAGGCCATTGGCTAGACCCTATAAGACTCTAAAAAGAAGATATATAACATTAGCCCTCAAAATGATAATAGGATCTAGGATGCCAGACATACGATGTACTTGCAAATAAAATTATTGATAATCTATCTTATATTAAAAATATGTATATAAGATTAAATACGCCCTACTCTCAAGTGCTAGTGTCGAGAGATTATTTAGTAAGGCAAAACTTATACTTTCTGATCGTCGCTCTAGACTTGGGGATGATAATATTTATTTTATTATTAATATGGTACAAATTACCCTAAATATTTATTTTTATTACATAAATTTTTTTATAATCAAAACTAACTATGTTTTAATATTTATAAATGTTGATTTTTATATATTTACTATACAATAACATTAAAAATAAAAAATTTGTTTGTAAATTTTTTTTATAAAAAGTAGCGAAAGCTACTTTTAAAAAATAGTAGCTAATAGCGAGCTACTTTTTTTGACAAATAGATAGAGGTAGCGCACTACTTTTAAAAGTAGCGTTTAACAACTCTGCTAATTATAAATAAAAGATTTGTCTATTATTTTATTCTACATTAATCCCATTTTCTAATATTTTGATAAGATTAGGTTTATGTAGGAATATAAAATCTAAAATTAAAGACAAAGGTAACGTTCATAGTAGATAAGATATAATTGTGTTTAGTTATTTAAAGGTGATAATTAGGAATTTTATATTTAGAAGTTACTGGTAAACTAAAAACCATTGGAATTTTGAAACTAATAAAGACTATGATATTTTAGATTTTAGAATTATTATTAATTGATCACTAGAAAGAATTATGACAAAGAAAAAGAAACATAAATTGCGAAAGTTAATATTAAACTAATAATTTGCTAAGATATAATAATTAAAAAATTTGGTGAATAAGATTAGAATATAACTTTATTGTTAGGAAATAGTTGATTAAATTCTTATTGAAGATTTACGTTTAACTTTTATTTTAAGGGATGCGAGAGATAAAACAGCCTCAAGGATTAATGTGAATGTAGTTTAGGTTGTAGATTAACCAAAAATCTTCATAAAGAGAAACGGCTTTCGTCATTAGAAAATTTATGCCGCAATCGAGCTCAATTAGAGATCGGATTTTTATTTTTTTGAATCATAAATAAGATGGGAGATCAATTATGCAACATTATTCTAATAATAACAGAAAGAAAAACATGCTTTAGAAATATACATATCAGTTTTCAACAATGGTTGTGCGAAAAATTATAATGATTAAAGTTCATAAGTTCTTCAAAGACGTGGGGTGAAAACCATAGTGATTAGAGTTAAAGGGTTGTTCATAAACGTTAGTATGAAAACTTTTATGATTAGATGTCATAGATTTCTCAACAACGTATGTATGAAAAGAGATTTATATATTTCAGCAGTTTTTTTTTAAAGACTTGAGTGTCAAAGAGTACATGAGGAAATAATTTTTTTAAAAGATAGATTTTGATATATATTTTAGAATAGGATTTTTAGATATAAATTTAGTATAGACATAGCTGAAAAGAAGATGAGGATCAATAGCTAAAAGATGAGTACAAGTAAATTTTTCAATGAAAATATGGGTCTATCCTTCATTAAGGGGAGAGTGGTGATAGAATTTGATATATTTTTATAATTTATTATATATATTTTTGTTACGTATTATAAATGTAAGATTTAGTATAATTTACGCCATTTATTAAAGGCAGAATTAGTTTAGAGGAGATAAATGTAGACATTAGGATGAAGTTGGTATATTTATATATTTTATTAGTATAATTGTATTAGGTAGTTTATATTGGAGAATAAATATAAAAAGTGATAAAATATTTCAGAAGTTATTTAAATAGATTATTTTAGAAGATTAGATGTGATTACCCGATATCTCAGCAAGGGCAAACTGTCGTAGAAGACCCGGAAGTCTAAAAGATAGATACGATTACAAGAATTAGAGGCAACAACCAATTAATTACAAGAAAATGATAGGAAACTTACAAGAGAATGATAGGAAACAAGCTACGATAAATTGTAAAAAAGATTAAGACAGACTAGCAATAAACAAGAGAGGAAAAGAAACTGGATGTCATCGATAAACAGCAAAGATTAAGAAGAATAAGTCGAGATCGAAAGAAGATAGATCATTCGCAGAAGGTTGGGTCTAATTTAAGTAGGGAGGTGTTGTAAATGTTAGATTTAATTTGCATAAAGAATTCTTTTGGATTTTGTTGTGCTTTATATTTAATTTGCATAAAGAATTCTTTTGGATTTATTATTATAACCGTGATAAAAATATTATATTTGAATAGTTATGAATATTAGTTTTAAGAAGATTGAAAAGAGTATAAAAAGGCCAATTTTTACCATACAAAAAGATCTTTGATAATTATTAACTTTTTGTATTTTATTTTATTTTTATTAATCTTTTTTATTATTTTTACCTTTATAATTTTGTTAATTTGATAATGTTATAATTTTGAATAAAGGATTAATTGATTTCATGATTTCGTGATTCCTAATTATTATTAATTTCTTTTTTATATATATATTTCTTTTTATATTTAGGTTTTGATTCACAATGACAAATCTCCTCACCTCATTGTGACAATGACTTGTTGCAGTTGGCTGCAAGCTTGAATTGAAATTGTAATAGAAGTTGATTATATTATTATCGATGTTCACTAACACTCGCGATTAGAATTATTATTATTATTGGAATCTAAATAAGAAAGAAATAAATATATATAAATTATGATAACCCAATATATAATATAATCAAGAATAAAAAACTTTTACTACTATATTTTATTCGATCAGGAATCTAAATTATATTTTAAAAAATTAATAATCATTTATCTATCGAATCTGACTTTTAACGCGATATATATATCATAATTGTTTTACAATTAATTTGAATATATGAAAATTTATAAAATAATATTATGTTAAATTTAAGATCATTTACATAACAAAATTACCCAAAAAATATTATCTTCGTCTACAATTTATTTATGAATAATAACTTCCAAAATTAACATTCTAATTTGCATATACAACATAACTATTTAAATATTTGCTTAAATTGGGGTACTTTTGATCTGAGTCTGTTGACCTAGCCATTTTTCTCTTCCAGACTGTTAAATTCACATATATAATTATGCAAAAATTATTAATATAACACATTTACTTATAAAAACTTGAAAGAAAATGTTGAGAAAAAAATTATTATTTTTTAAGAACTTGCGGTAATTTAACTTAAATTAAAACTTCTAATGATACTTTTTTAAATTAGCGACAATTTTAATTTTAAACTTCTAATAATTCTTTTCCTAATAAAAACTATATTTTTAATTTTTTCTAAATGTCAAATAATATCGCTAGTATTTTGAATCTATCTTCAATTTCAGGCTTGAAAAATCAATATCGATCTATGTACTCCAAACCAAATACAAAATCCAAATAATCAAGGCAATTATTTGTTTTTTGCTCAATTTCACTAATTATGATTTCACAGCCTTCTACTCACATATGATACGATATATCGAAGAGGGAATCCTATCTATTCTTTTAAACGACTAATGTAATAGATAATTACACTAGATTATTATATAATCTAGATATATTTTTTCGTTTTATTATGAGCAATACAATAAATATAAATTGATCTTTTATATAAATAAAATAAATATACATTAAATAAAGATTTCACAAGTCATTTTCGAAACTACAATATAAGAAAGGTAAATTTAATAGAAAATAAATAAACAATGGAAAAATATGTTAAAAAATTATCATAATTTGACTTTAAGTTTTACTCAAAAAGAAATTGTGTATTTTTTAACTCATTCAAAAAATCTTCCAGTTTATAGATAAAAATTAATTTTATAAAAAAACCTCGTTCATAAAAAACAAATTTTTTTTATAAAAAGATTATCTTAAATTTTTTTATAGAAAGAAAATTATTTTAAATTTTTCAATAAATTGCAAATGTGTTATTTTAATTATTTTTTAAACAAAATATTTTTACCTGGATGAGTTTTTATTTAATTGTCATTAAATCGACTATAATCTTAAAAATGAAATAAATCGAATATATTTTATGGCCCAAACATATAAAGCAAAAAAAAATTATATTCAGTATTTTTGTTTATTTTTATATTTAAAATTTTTTTAAAAAATGAAATATATTAAAAATAAATGTTAAGAAAAATTTGGAATTTCCTTTTAGCCCTGAGTTCGAAAATATTTAAATTCAAGACTAATAGTTCATTCCTGATCCCATAAAAATTCTAATTTAACTTTTATTTAGAAAACAAAGTGATTTTTCATATCGTTGTTAAAGTCGTATAGCTGGAAATAATCGTCAGGCTAACCAACATAATAACTTATTTTAATCCTATTTTTTTGGTATTTCTAAGTCCTAGGTGGACCCGATTAAAATTTTTTTAACCCTACCCAGAAAACGTCATTGCGGTTTGCTGTTTCTATACTTTTGGTAAATAATTTTTATTTGAAGTATTTGGAATAACATTATTCATCTGAACCCTTGGGTCTGCTGTGCTCGGAGTTTGAGCTCAGAGCTGGTTTGGTCGATTTTTAAACCCAACCCCCGGGTCTGAGTTTTACACAAGCAACCAATTAACAACACTAGCTCAGGGTATTTGGTATAAATAAGCTTAAAATTTTAGAAATATAACAAAAAATAAAACCTAATTTTTCCAAGGGTCATAATTTTTGCTCTTTTAAGACAAAAATTTTATAAAATTAATACACCAAACATTAATAAATAATGCATATATATTATTGTATTTTTAAATCAATGATTTAACCCTAGTAATGGCTTAGAAAATCGGAAATTTGGCGTGCAGACTAAAAAGAGAGCAATTACCCAACTAACACTTGAGTCTTAATTTTAACATATTTCTCTGCTACACTATCAGGCCAAAGTTAAGGTCTATTATTAACATTAAAATTTAGTTGAAATTTAATTATGTTCGTGCATTATAAGTTTATTAACATCACGTTATAACCTATTAGTATTTACATTTTTTAGAATCTCAAATAACTCCTCATTTTACTTATTTTTTAAAAAAGCCATCTTTGTATGCCAAACAAGCTAAATAATTTTATCAGACTACTAAAATTTTAAATAGTATTCAAAATGTATTTATAGCAAGTAAACTGCTTTTTTAAAAATTAAATTAATTTTCACACCAATAAGAATAATCCTCCTAATAAATGTAATTGATATGAATTTTATTATTTATAATATATATATTTTTAAATAATACATAAATCATAATATAATTTTCAAAATGGTGTATATTTTTCGTAGATATATATATAAATTATTTATTACTGTGATACCCTTCGAAAAAAAATTTATTAGCGATATTTAAAAAAATATAAATTTAATTGATGAAAGTTTAGGAATAAATGGCTTCAGATTATGTTAAAAAATTTACTTTCGCTCTTTGCGAGTGAAATGTTTAACGACTCAATCGAAATATATTATTTTATTGAGACTATATTTTCAAATTGAAGTTGGATAAAAAAAATAATATATACAAAAATTTCCGAACGGAAAAAATTATTCTCATTTTTTGCAGTTAGTAGAGTAACGGCATTGTTTTGATATCTAATATCAGAAATTTAATATTTTAATTTAATATTTCAAGTTCTATTTATGGTTCCTAAAAAGTGATATGATCAGCTTATAAAATTAGTTTGCTGACCACCAGAGTACGTGGCAACCAGCAATGAAAATAATTTTTTCTTTTCAAATAATTGTAAAAGTGGCTGTAAATATTTAAATTACAAAATAATTAATTTTTTCATTAAAAATTTTACATTTATAATAATTGTGAATAATAAATTTTTTTTATAAATTATAGGGTAAAAAAACGTTATAAATAGTAGCAAATTTTTTTTGAAATAAAATAAAAATAATTTGACCCCCTTAAATACCTTGAGATCAAACATTTCTAAACATACTCGATATTTAAAAAAAAATTGTGGTAAAACTTCATAAGATACTATTAAAATAATGACTAAAATTTGGTAAAATAATCAAATATGTTAAAAGATAAGAGTTAGCTTTTAAAAATGAGTCTTTGTATTATTTGTCGACATGACTTCTTGATTTTGATCAAGTTCAATTCATTTCCATAAGATTTTTTTTTAAATATAAGGCTTTCTTTACAGGCGATATTATAATATATATTTGCTTTGCATTTTTTTTGATGCATCCCATATTTATTATCTACTTTGCTCGTAGAGTTCATCAACTTCCGGCGGGTAAAGCAGTACATACTTTTCGTCACGAGATGTGTCACTATTGTCTGCCTTCCCGGACGTGAGATGAATGACTTTTAGCTGATCTCCGTGAGTACTACCTTTTTTTTGTCCGTTTAAAAAAACAGCGCCACTCCCATTTTGCGAGTGGGTGCCGTTAGACGTGATACCATTTTGATACTGACGTATGATCGTAGGCTTTCCTTTTAAACCTTCGGTTTTCGTAGCGGCAAGATCGTTTTTCTGCAACTTATATCCGGTATTGTAATATTTGACGTCGTATTGGTTTTTCCGGCCTGAGAATCGTCTGCTAGCAAAGTAAAGGATCGGTAAAATGACGGCAAGGATAAAGAACGGAACACCAAGACCCCATGCTAGAACATTTCTCCCCTTTCCTTTTTTTTATTTAATTTAATTAATTACATGTTTGAAATTTAGTAATATTAAAAAAATAGTCATAAAAATTGATGGGTTATGGCTTGAGCCAGTTTATTTATTTTGGGTGGTAACATTTTTTACACAGCTGAAGAGGTTTAAAAAATCTGAGTTACAATAAAGTACTTTAACACCTAATTCATATTCTAAGCCAATTATTCACGAGTCCTATTTAAAAAATTAAACTTACTGGAAATTGTATTATGTAAATTTGTAATATTAATAATTAATATTATACAGCCGTTCTTTTTGAAATAAAGGAATTTTTTATTTTGGTTATATTATTTTAATTACAAATATTAAACCTTCCTGGTTGTTTTTCTGTGGAATTCCTCTGCTTGTATAGGGCGATGAATTGTTAGTGGTTCCGTTTATGCCTAAGTTGAGTAGAGGGTAATAGGTTTCATCTTTGGGTTCCTTAGAAGCTGTTGAGGATGGGATTAGACAAAGGAAATAAATAAAAATTTAAATTATAACGTTTAAACTTAATTTATAATACAAATAGGTAAATTAATCTTCCATTTCTTTCTTAAAATCTCAATTGTGACCGTTTTCATTTTATTAAAAAATAATATTTATCAGAGGACCTGCAGGCTCGGAATTCACCCAGCCCTATAATATTAAAATGATTTAACTTTTTAAAACATTATGAAATAATCAGTTGGCAAATGATATAATTAATCATTTTATCATTTCTGTTCGCTTTAAAACAATTACAAAGTGCATCCAAAATTATTTAAAGTAACAAAAATCTGGGTCGGATCTTAAAATGATCGAAATTGAAAACTCCGGACCGGATTAAAAATTCAGTACTAGGCCCTAAATTATAAATACCCAGACTTGGTTAAAAAATACTCGGGTGGGGAGGGAAACTTTTTCAAAAAATCTGGGCTATGGCTGAAATTAGATTTTTTTAAATCTGAGCCTGAACTAAAATTTTGACTTCTGTAGGTCTCTGGAATTTGTTAGAAATAAGGAAAGAATACCAGAAGTGGCAAATTGAGGAAAAAATGGAAGCATTAGTGTTAGATAGAAAACGAAGGGAGGGGCGTTGAAAAATAGACAGGATTGGCAATACGGATATGGCGATGATTAGATTAAGAACTAGAGATGATATTAACGATACTAGACAACAGTGCATGAAGAATAATTAGGAAGATAGAGAAAATTTTTAGGACCATTCTTAGCTGAATAAGTGCCTAATCTAAATAATAATGTAAAACCTAATTGAAAATTTAAAAATCTTGATAAATGTTTTTTAAAAATAATTTTAAGGCAAAGATTGTATGATTGATATTATACAGTTATCTAAGATATACATAAATATTTTATCCAAGGATCATAAATAACATTTAAAAATTGGACTAACAACTATGGGGAATATTATGATAGTAGGGATAAATGAAAACATTTAAAATTAGGTTTTAATAATACATTTATTTTAGCATATGGAAGTGTCAATTTTAATTTGATATTAGAAATTGTCATATTTAAAGCTTCTACAGTCACAAAATGCTATTATCCTAACCAGAGATTGAAACTTGCACTAAAAGGTTCCGGTTCCAGCTTAAATTTGACGCGGTCCCGAGGGTTCCACCCTCTAGCCAAACTCTGATCCTAACTAATTTATTTTATTTAAACAATTTTATAATTTAAAAAACGACAAATCATCTGTAAAACAAAATTTTTATTTTAATGGATATTTATGTAGCTTTTTAAATCCTCCATTTTTTCTAATGTGATATATATAAGGTTTAATTAACATAATGATTTTAATATTACTGATTTCTTTCCTAATGATTGTCATGTGAGGCCATGCCACTACTTCGCCAGATTGCGTCTTTTCGCCAACATCATCATGTATACTCATGATTTTAAGTTTTGTATCACATGAACGCTCATCCTCGTCCACCATATTGTTCGGACATTCAATGAAATCATTGCACAAGAGTTTATAGGGCACGCAATAAAGGGGTGAATGAATGAAAGAAGAAGTAACGTTAGCATTTGCTAAGGTTTTTAGATCGCGTTGAGGAATGGTATCATTCTTGAAAGAAGAGCATTCGAAACTCCATTTGCCGCATGTTTCTATCCCATTTTTTTTTTAAAAAAAATATAATCAACTTATATTTTCTTATTATCTTTTCATTATTTAAAAAAATTATATTTTCCTCTATTTTTAAAAAAATTTCTATAATAAATATACTCTGGTTAATCATTTCACCGCTCTTGTTATCTCCTTCGTACTTCAGAAACGGACTCCACCTAATTTTAAATGGTAAGGTTAAGGTTTTTTTATTATCACCGATGTCATCTTCATCGTCGGTTTCAAGTAGGGTAATCAATCTAATTTTATGTTTATTAAAAAATTATATACATAAATATTCAAGGACGAAAAGACGATTTCCACCGATATCTCGTTCTAAAAACAACAACGTAATATGGCCTAATAAAAACGTAAATGGACTTTATTTTACGAAAGTCCGATATACTATATTAATAATTGATTACTTGTCAACTTTTTATCATTTACAAGCTATTTTTAGGGGAAATATATGTATATAAGAATATTTCATATTATATAGGGTTGGGTTATAGTAATTTGAGGTATGGCCAGTTTATTGTCTAACATTATTCTTTTTCATCTCAAACTTAGGTACCGGCACGAGCTAATACTTTCACCAGGAATTGGTCTTTTTGACGTAAACAAGGTTCGAACCCGCTCTCCGTGGGGAATTCCGATCACGAAACATGACTCCCAAATTTGTGGGATCGTTTTAAAGAACGAAAAGGGGATTCCTTTTTTAGATTCCAGGTTATAGAACATATTGCTTTCCTAGTTTATTTGTTTAATACTTCCCACCTTTCGTTCTTCCTTATAATGTGCACAAATTGAACGTTTCAAACTCAGATAATTCATTTCAAAGGGCATCGTGCATATTCGTAAAATTACCGTCTGGCGTTAGCAACCATTTTAAAAGAGTTTGATTTTTCAATACTTTTCTTAAAATGGAATATTTAAAAATTAATGAAATAAAAAAGCTAAGATAATATAATGACAAATCTTTTAACTGAGTTAAAATTTTGAATCTACGATATTAATAAAAAAGAAAACCTGATATGTTTTTTATTTAAAAAGTACGGCAAAACGCAAAGGCTCAATTTGTCCGCATAAGGTCTCATTTGTAGTAAACGCGTCATTTTCAAGCATTGCGTTATTACAAAATATAGCCAATAAATAGGTATAAATTTATAAACATAAAGCGTTAATATGATAACGGTATCATAAAATTTGAAAAACACATGTTGCGATGCGTTGATAAAAAAATATGCAGCAAATTATAAAAATAATAGCGAATTCGATAAAAAGGTATATGATTTTTCTTAAATATTATATAAAATAATTATCTTCATTTTAACTTTACCTTTTAAATTAATTTTTAAAATTGAATCAGCTGTGATAACGCTGTGTTAAATAACGCAACGCTTGAAGATGACGCATTTACTATAAATGCAAGCGTCACTCTCTTTTTTTAAATTTTCTTATTATACCAAATGCAAAAAATAGAATGTTTAAATTTAAAACCAAATTAAACCAAATGGGCCCATTACAAATGATTATCATTATAATTAAGTTTGTAAAAAAATCTGTTAGGATTAATCTATCTTTTATATTTTAAGAAAGAAAAAAAATTGGATAAATTAACCGAATTAATTTGTTTTTTTATTAAAACAAAATATTTCCCACATTATACCATATTTGTATATCTCAAAGATCTCGATTTATAAATGTGTTATGATTCATTTTTCAAATTTGTAATAAATTAACATTTTATAAAAGCATTAAAATATATTTAGTGTTATCCGAAGGTGGTAACAGAGAAAAGATAAGATCAAGACAATATATTAAATAGCATACTATTTGGTATTATCAATTTGGATAAGTATCGAAGTGCGAGGCGAAAAATGAGCTTTTCCCTAAAGACGTGAGCCAATTATTTTGGCTTAAAATTTGGGTAAAGCGACGTAAAGCAACAAATTTTACATAGTTTATTATTTTCAAATTAGCGAAAAAACATTTCCTATATACAAAATTGGTAGGTCTCGATGAAATTAAGAGATTGAAAAATATTCTTTAAACAAAATGCGACTTCATTCAAGGACATTCATTGCATCTTAGTTATCTCATATGATGAATAATATAATATCCTAAATCATTCGATCATCAGTTAAATAAATTTTTTGATTTTTTTTTTACTTTTCCCTAACATGTATCAAAGCTAGAAAGGAAAAAGATTGAAAGAATGTAAGAAAAATAATAATAGTTATGATTGGAACAAGCCAGTAATTATAGAAAATGGCGGATATGCATAGTATAATTGAAAGTTGAATGATAGGGTAGTACATATTTTTGCACATGAGTCTCTAAAGATTTATAATAGGCGCGAAATTGAAAGGTTTCTAAAAAGTTTGAAAAAAATCCCTTATAAGGAAAATTAGTCAGCTAAACAGTTGATATAGAGTATGAGTAGGCATATATTTTTTATACCGTATTTAATCGGAACCTATTCGTTTTTTTTAAATATCGGAGATCGTTCGATATTATTAAATTTCCCAATCCTATAAAATGGCCTCTTAATTTTTCACCATTGATATTTAATTAAGTATAAATTAAGAATTCTTATATAATTGAAGTAAATTTTCTTTTTTTAAACTACTAAATTATTTGAAATAAAAATAAAAATTAAATAAATATTTTAAAAAAATTCTAAGAATTTACAATTTATCACGAATCATAGGCGTAACCAAAGGATGGGAGATTTCCCACCTCATTGGAAATTTGCGTGTTCTCGTAAATATCATTTTAAGAAAATTTTCAGCCTACACACCAAAAATGATTGTTATAAAAATATAGTAAAGTCAAATGTCTACAATAAGTAGACCTAAAGACTTCATATAAACTTTATGGCGGAAAATAGTGGTTTCCACCCTAGGAAAATTCTGGATATGCCTATGCCATGAACAGACTATGATTTTACTTTTTACACGATAGAAAGACTTTTGGAACAAAAAAAAATACAACAATTTTACTATATAATAAATAAATGATTTATAATTATATTATATTTTTACAATGATAAATGTAACATGCTTAAACCTATATTGATAAGTTTATTAAAATTTAAAAGTAGTATATTTTAAATGACTTATTAAAAATCATATATGATGGTATACTATAAAACCAATCGGTCTCTAAAAAGGGGTATCGAACGGTACAAATGGGATAAAATAAAAACAATAGCATACAATACTTGATAGTCAAGATATTAGTTTCCGATTCCAGAAGCAGGGATGTTCCTTTGATATTCCGAGCCGCGGACATCAAAGGGAAGGGGGATATAGAAGAGCCACTCACACCATTTATAACAAGTAATTTAGCGTCGTCATAATTGGCGTCATTTATGTTTAAAAGCGCACTTTTTTCTTGGTTATGTATTGAATGTATAAATAAATATAAGCAAGACCCAAAAATTTCAACCTAATCCATTTGGCTCAAAGGACATTATTTGAGTTTAAAAATTTCACTTTAAATTATAAAGCTATATTTAAAAAAATAGTTATTTGAATTTAATTTTTTTTCATCCCTATATTTGACCGTATTTCTTTTTTTAAATATATTAGTAATTTCAGATGTTTTATTGATTTAATATTACCATTAGTAAAATTAAGCAAGATCCTCCAATCCTGAATAGATGACCCCCCATACCTTTCGAGGAATGACGTAGAGTTTGGTAGAGATATAGTCCATACGCAAATCAATCCAGCTGGTATGGGCGAAGGATAATTAGGTGATTTTATAAAGCCTCCTATAGCTACAGACAAATCGTCTCCATCTAAGGGTACTCGTCCTCCACATTCTATTTTTTTATATTTAAAAAGAAATTATAAGTACATTTTTTATTTATTTGTCGCAGTATCTGAAAAGAATACTAAAAGAGTCACACTAATACAATCGAAGAGCATATAATTCAGGCATTTATGGATGAATTTATAAATTTCATCAAAACAAAACTTTTCTTATATTATATAAATAACAAAACTATTGGTATTGTGCCGCGAAAAAAATGCTTATTTATTTTTCTTAATTTCTTCCATTTTTTCTCCTTTCTTTATTCTGTTTTGATTCCCCCTTTTCCAACTATTAATAGTGCATCCAAAGTCAAAATTATATTTAAAAAAAAAATTATATTCAAATTTACGAAATCGAGTTTGGACGCATAACGTATAAATGAGATTTGGACGCATAACGTATAAATGAGAGAATCATTTATTTTCTTAAAAATTTTTTTGACTTTGGACGCACCCTAAGTCAAGAAGACAAACCTTCCATATCGACGAGGAACTCATACATAACCGCGAAAGATATTCCAAACTGTGGACGAGGCACCGATAACTCGACACTCAACCCTTTTGAAATTTTACTACTTCCGGTACGAGTTGCAGACGATATATACCAATGGGTCCCATGAGCGGCGCCATCTTTAGTCCCACATACGCAACCCATATTACTCAAAACGCTAGGACGGCCTTCTTTTTCTCCCAAGTCAGAAGAGGAATACATATCGGAGACTAGGATCCTGTTGACGGAAGGTAAGGAATATTTTTTGGTGTAAAAAGGGAGCATGCTACAAGTAGATATATTAAAAGCGTCTCTGAGATTATCAGGTGAGAATGTGCCTCCCTCTTGATCTATGTTTCTCACCGTAGTGCAACGTCTAAATTAAATATATATTTTGTGTTTATTCATTTTGAACTTGATGGTGATAGATTAGAGCCCTTTGGCAGGGCCTGATATCTACTATTTTTCCTGAAATTATAATCAATATTCTAATAAATTATTTACATAAACTCATTTTTTGGAAAGAATAGGGTGTAGGGAGCGAGAAAGGGGGGGGGGTAATTTTAATAGAAAATAATATTTATGAAAACAGGCAAATTTCCGAAAGGGGAAAACGCCCCCCCTTCTCCCTATAGCTACGCCATTACTATGACTATATCTACAAATATTTTTAATTTTGCTTTACTTGCAACATTTAAATAATGAAAGTTATAAAAATGTACCATCAAACTAAATATTTGTAAGAGATAGAATTAAATAATTTACAGTATTTAAATCATATGGAAAATAAAGTAGAAAGATTTAGGAAAATTCCCGATCAAAAAAGGAAAAGTCGCTATTTATTATACATTTTTTCTGAAATGTCCTTATTTGGCATTTTTTAAAAATTTTTGATTATTTTTAATTTTTTTTCATGATTTTTTTAATTTTTGATTTAATCATTTTTGTCGTTTTAGTCCTATAATCTTTATTTTCACTGTCAATTCTTTTCTTCTTTCATCTTTATTTCATTAATTGCGAAAAAATTAATTCAGCCTGATCCTTTGTGAAGAAAAAAATTAAACCCGGCATTTGTAATTTTTATTTTTAAGTCAGCTCCTAATTTTTTTTATAAATCATATTTTTCGGTTAGTTCCGATTATAGCAAGTTGTTTCGATTATATATAATAATACACTTATCATTTAGTATTTTACTTGAAATTGATTTAATTTTTAAAATGATCCCATCTAAAAACCTTGGCTTGGATCTCAATGACGAGGAATCTTTGCTTTGGCTATACTTTTTAACATGAACTCGATCATGGCATACAAATGTGCTAGATGTCATAAACAGGCCGATTCAGGCCGACATTGCCTTCAATGCATCTCAGAAGCGAGAGAGTTTCCCGGTTCACCCTATGAAACTCGCTTATAAAGTGAGATCTGCTGGGATTCTATCGCGCGAGGGAACCAACCAGATTGTTTCCTGACATAAGAAACCGGATGGAATCAGTTAGATTAACCTAAAATGATGACAAGTTCCTAGCTTGGGATTTTTTTTGCATCGACCTTTGGCTTCAAACTTAAACAAAAATTTAGTATCCAGAGAACATGGATATGTCAGATGAATATTACATAGGGTCCGGTCCTCGGACTCTTGTAGCTTTTGGTTTTCAAGCCCAAGACCTAATAAAAAATACTGGGTAGACTAGTTTTGGTAAAAATAGAGGACCTGAAAGAGGGTACACACCTTTGTCAAAGACATGCAATCCAGGTTATCAAATCAAATTTCCATTGTATTAATACTTATTTTCTTCTTGATTCTTTCTTATTCTGATCTCTACCCCTTCTTTCCTTTATATATAATAAATAGTATTTATTTTTTTATCACAATTTTATACTTTCAATATTTTAGTTTTATTTGTCGATTTACACTTTATTCTTATTAATGTATACTATTATATATTGATAGTATTGCTTAATTGCTATATTTATAATGTCTCTTTATATTTTTTATTTCATATACCTTTCGAATTATATACAAATTTAGCAAATCTAAGATAGACTCTATTTATAATTAATAAAATTAAATTCTGGGTTAAGAGTTATTTAAAAATAATTAACAATTAAAATAGAGAACTGACGAAAGATGTCAGGGAAAATCATAGGTGTAGCTGGGTGAAGGGAGGGGGGGGGGGTAAGAGAAAATAGCCTGCTCTCTTAAATATTAATAGGATAATAAAAATTTTCCCCCAGGTTTAAATTTTCAAATTGTGGGAGATATTTGATTTTAAAAAAATTTTGAGGGAGAAATTCGAAAATTGCGAAAAAAAATATGCGTCGGCCTTTGACCGGGTAAAGAAAAATCGTATTTCTACTCTTTTGTAAAGTTATTTTAATTTATTTTCTAATTGTTTCTCAAAATTATTATTTTAAATTAAAAACGATATGCTGAAAATTTTAAAAGGGAGTTTTACTGATGGGAGATCTCTGAGTCCTAATTAAAAAATTGCGGGAGTCTCCCACGTTGGGGAAAGACCTAGCAACCCTACACCCCCATCCCCCCAAAAAATAATATACACAATATTACAATAAACAATAATTTGAAAAAAAATAGGTAAAATTTAATAATTTTTTTAAATAATGGCTATAAATAATTTACACTTTTAAAATAAAAATAAAATATTATATAAAAAAGTAAAAAACCAAAATTATTCTTCAAAAAACGTAAAATAGCTAAATGACTTATAGTATGTGGATTTAAAAACCTCCAATAAAATTTAAGGGGAAAAACAAATCCAATAATCCCCCCCCCAGCAAAATTCTGCCGAGTGCGGAAAAATAAAGAAAAAATTTTTTAAAGCAAAAAAGAGAATTCAGGAAAGATGGCAAAAATTGATTATTATATAAAATAAAGAGAGATCGTAAAAAAGATAGAAAAAAAATTAAGAAAATTAAAAATAACTAAAAATAGCAAGTATTTTAAGACAATACCTCCTATAACCTCCTAAGCCTATGAAACAAAATATCCCCTCGGAAAAAATACTACTAAAAAGAAGCACAATATTCGTAATATTTGTTCACCCCCCCCCCCCCCCCCCATTAATTACATAATATAAAAAGGCGGCCTTATTACACAATTTAAAATATAATTAGGAATTTTGGCTAGAAAATTCAAAAAATTTCAATTTAATATTTTATAAAAATATAAGGTTTAAGTATATTGCAAACGAATTACATTTTAAAATGGTAACAGAAAATTTAAAAAAATATATAAATATTTTGAGGAAAAAAAAGGAATGAAAAAAAAGCTAAATGAAATTAAAATCATAAGAAGCGAAATTAAATGGTTTTCTAAAACAAATATAACTAAACTAGCGTTGTTAAAGCTCGATTTGAGCCGATTTTTAAAAACGACGAACTCAATATTTTAGCCAGAAAAATATTGCCCAAGCCTGGAGATTCCGCTAATAGTCCAAGATATGAGCCATCTATGAGCTAAATCTTTAGGCTTGCGTAATATTTTTCTGGATAAAACATTGAGCTAGCCCGTTTTTAAAAATCGGCTCAAATCGGGCCATTTAACAACACTTACCTAAACTAATCATATCGATAAATTGAGGGAAGAAAGAAAATGCAAGAGTATTTTAAATTAGAAATTTAAATTTTGAAGTATAGGCTTTTTTTGTTAAATTCTTGAATTAGAAAAAGATTTTTGTTTTATCGTGCTTCGAAATGAAATTTAATCAGATTGATTCTGTTCATTATTCTTTTTAGTTAAATGCATCAATGCCCTAGACAAATTGATTCTTATTTAAAATCTTAACTTCATTCTTTCACAACTGAATGTAAACCCAGTAAAAAAAATTTTTCCAAACTAACTAATCAGATTCCACTCTCTCCTAGAAAGAAATAAAGCAAGAAAAAATAACAATAAAGGAAGGAAAGGGAGATAAGAAATACAAATAAAATTTTTTAATTAAATTTTAATTATTTTTTTGAAGGAATTTATATTTAAGATAGGGCGAAAATATATTATAATATAATTCGGGAAATAAATATAATTTTAATACCAATAAGATAGAAATGATATATCTGAATAATTTGGAAGTAAAATTATTTTAAAAAAATTAATTTAATTTTAATAGAAATTTATAATGTCAAATGATGAACACAGGAAGAAGAGAAAGAAGCAATCTGTCAAAAGCTATTTTTGATTTTAAAAATTAAAATCAATAAATAAAAAATGATATTTTATTTGGTTTGACAAATAAGAAGAAAAAAATGCATATAACTGTAATGTAATTTGTGGCTATAAAAGGGTATAATTCTCATTCATTCTGATAAATTTTAATAACACCTCTACCTCTATATGATTCTCATTCATTGGTGGTTTGGGGTTTCTTACTTTCTTTTCTGCCTTTTTATAGAAAAAATTTAAAGAATGAAAGTTCAAACTTCAAATAAACTCGCTATATTAAATACAAAGCATACTTCTTCTTAACTGACCAATGCTTAAAATCGATATTATAATATTCTTATTTAGGTATTTAATCTAATTATAAATAGGAAAGCATTTTTTAAAATCTATAAAATAATAGCATGGCAATGGTAATTGTCAATAAAAATTAGAATGTATATATTTTTTTTACTGATCAGTCCTGAATTTGAGAAATACTATCCTGACTCTCACATCATCGCTGAAATCACTAAAATTATCGGAATAACTAGAATTTATAAGGGAATTCGTGTAAAAATTCCATCTACATTTGTAAGGTTTGTTCAAGCCGTATACATCGTAATTAATCGGAAACTTGACTATACCTGTGTTATTTGTCTGCATTTCCTTTGCAGAGGAATAATGTATGTTTACGTCAGGACAACCGGCGGTATAATAAATCGTGTCATCCATTTTATTATTATCATCTGTCTTAACATGGGTGCTGTCATCTTGGCATATAATAAATTGAATGTGCGATAAAAACCATAACAAATGAATTAACATTCGCGAATTTCCATTACTTTTTTTGGTCAATAATAATTTCAATTTTATTTTTATAGCTGTATAAAATTTCGGTTTGATTCGATGATTTCGCGATAATGAAGAAAGGTACATATCTTTAGGAAGGAGGAGTTTGATTTAATTAATTAAAAAGATCTTCCTTTTTTTCGTGGCATAAACTTGGCCAATGATCTAATTCATATTTCAAATTAAAATTATATAATAATCATAATTCATAATAAATATTTTATAAATTTGGGAATAATTCATTATAAAACACTGAGATAAAAATATTGAAAAATGTCGATCTCGATATTCGCTAATTTTTTTGCGAATAGAAGAAAAAAAATTATTCAGTAGTAAGTTAGATTAGTTTTTTTTTTGTAAAAAAAATATAATTAATTATACAATAATGTTTTAAAATAAATAAAACCTATTTGAAAAATATATTTTTTAAAGATTCTTTAATGAAATAGGCCAGATTAAATCTCGAATCCATATTAGTAAAAATTCATTTATACGTAATAATTATCTGATGGCTATTAATATAAATGTTGATTAATTATGCAATCTTGATTAGATAGTATAGTTTAAAATAAATTTATCAATACAGTCTAACGTTCATAAGGTGATCGATAGATAACTCATATTCTTAGCAAAATTAAAAGTAGAAAAGCCCTGAAAATTCAATTTTTTGGCTGAGTAACGCCTGACTTGAAACAAATTAAGGCCACCGACTCAGGGGTCTAACTAGAGGAGTCAAGATAATAAGGTGGTTCCACCAAGAAGTGGTGGTGACCTTTGAAACGTGGTTGTAATATTGATAAAAAGATAAGATTATTTTCCTTATTACATTTTTGGACGAGATGACAATAAAAACTTGGTAAATAAAATCTGCAAACTTTTATAATAAAAATCAATTAATTGAAACTCATAGTGTAGTGGTATATATTCCCGAAGGAATCAAACTTTCTTTAAAATTTAAAAATGCCGCTCAGCAAATTATTTATAATTAAGCTTTAACCCTGTGCATTCCATGACCCTTTTCGACATGTATAAGAATATTCTAAGTTTTATTTTAATAAATTTAAGAATTCAAATTAAAAATCTTTGCCTGACATTTTTTTTTCTCTTTCTTATTAACTAATGATAAAGGTGATATGCCGTTCGAATAAACTAATAACGAGTTTTAAAATGTTTACTTAAACTCTTTGCATCCTTTTTTAATTTTTATATAAAAATGAAATGTTTTATTTAAAAAAATAATTAATAGGTAAAAATGTCGCTTTTTAATAAATTATAACTCTCTTATCTTATTTTTCTTTTTTGACATCATGTACGAAAAAGTTAAAGTTGAAAAATAATACTAATAATTAGGAGCCATTTTTTAGAAGATAAAGTTTTAACAAAAACAAGTTTATGCAAATAAATATGCCATACGTGTCATTATTTTCCTTGAATTCTTTCGTAACTTGTTAAACTTGAGTTTTATAATTAGAGCAATAAGCCTTTATTTCCTTCTTTAACTATATATGTCTGTTTTATCATCCATTTTAAATTAATTATCATTTTTTTAAGAAACTTCTATCAAATATATTTTATAACCCCACACTGGGCGGGCTTTTTATAAATTTTTAAAGGGCCTGACAGGCAAATAACTTAACGGCTCGTTTCCATAAAACAACCATAGAACATAAACTTGGACTATGTTTTTTAAAAGGTTAGAGGGGAATGAGGGTGGAGAAGAAAAGAGAAAAAAAAATCCCAAGATTTAGAAAGAAAAACATATGTAAATATTTTAAATAAAGATGGAAAAAGGTTATCTTAAAAAATTTTTCGTTTTTTTCACGATTTAAAAAAAAAAATTCCAAAAAAGAAGATTATACAATAAAACCTCCAGGGATTACTTACCTCCAAATCTTGGCATGGTACGATCCCAACCAAACTCCTCAATAAAAATGATATCTTATCAAAGTTGTTCTATATGTTGAACGAAAATGTAACCATCCTTAGAAAATGCTAGTTGGCTTGAAGCCCGACCCAAAATAGTGGCTCTGTCCAAAAAAATTTTTTAATAGGAACCAGCTTTAAATAAATTTTCGCTTTTTAAAAATTACATTTTCTTTGGGATTAGGATTTTTAAAAACGGCTAATATAATATTTTAGCCAAAATATTATGTAAGCCTGGGGATTTAGCTCATAGATGACCAGTGACAGAAAGGTCTGGATATTGCTTAATATGATTTTTGCTAAAATCTTAATTGAAAATTAGCGAAATCAAGCCATTTAACAACACTTGGAAGGATACCGATAATTTTTTAAAAGATTATAATGATATGAGTTGGCAGAACCTTTTAAAGCGAAATAAAATAAATAATACATCATCTATAATAAGTTTGTTGCGTGAAAACTTCCGTATATGACTATTTCATTATCTCGACCACTTTAGATTCGCTCTTAGTGGTCATCTGAGGATTTCCTAATCCTTATAAAATACGTTTCCAAGTTCACAAAATAATATAATTACTCTTCCTTTTTTTACATTCAGAATAAAATCATTTTGGTTTGGTATTTTTTTTACTAATACAAGGCGAATCAATTATATTACGTTATATTTTATATTAAAAATTGTATATTATTAAAAGCAAAAACAGCCGTATATTTTTTTACAAATAAAATACCATCAACTTACAAAAAAATAATCTTTTTTATACTGTTTTATTAGGGTTTGATCATTTTCCTTTTATATATATTAGCCACTTTTTGTCTAAAATATATATGAAATAGTTAATATCAAAAAATGAATTATTGCGATGCGAGCATTGTAAAATATCATAATACCTCATACCTCGTTTCTCGAGGACGGTTAGAGCGCTGGCCCGTAAACAATCTTTTTTGGGTCCAGGCTTGGCTCAATTTTTTAAGCCCGAACCGCCCGAAATGGCCTTTGATGGGTCTTCGATTCTATCCAAAAAATTAAAAAAATAATAATCAGAGAAGTAAGGGGCCAAATAGCAGGAATTTTCTGCTCTTTACGATAAAAAAATTCTAACCCTAGGCTAACAAATAATAATACATGTTATATTATGATAACCTTTTGATCAATTTACGAAATAAAAAACCTCCGATAATTCTGCTTATCATAATATAAGGGCTAGGTCTAAATTGTAAAATTCTCTATTTGGTAACAGTTCTGACAGGGACTTTTATTAGGGGGTATGACGCAAGATTTAATTGAAACCGGGGGGGGGGGAGAAGTTATGAAGATGTGATCGTCATTTGAATAAAATTAGAGCGGGGAGGGGCGGTATTGATTTGAATTTCTTTGTTGTTGCTAATCTTGATTTCTTTTTTGCTAATTTTAATTAGGTATGAAGGAGTAAAATTTATAGAGGTAGGGGGTAAAATCGTCATTAGTTGTGGGGAAGGGTGATGTAGAAGTCCCTGACTTAGGATAAGAGGGCAACGGCCCAATGTAAATAGCTAATAGAAATCTTGGATCAAACATGCATGCTTATATAATTACTTTTCGATAGTTTAGACTAAACAACAAAGAACTTATGAAAAATCTGAGTAAATAATTTTCATAAAAGAAAAAAATTACCAAAAAAATAATTCTTTTAATATCTCTAGAATACGAGCGCCAACTTAAAATTAAACATATGGTCAAAAATTAAATATTAAAATTCATCTTCTAAAATTTAAATATTTCGTACGAAGGGTTAAAATAATATGAACGTTTGTTTGTGTTCTTACCTCATTACCCGTTCCGATTTCCTATGTTATATTTAACCCTATCAAAGGCCTAAGGCCATTTCCAGACAGAACGTTTTTCAAAGCAGTTTTTGGGTAATGTTACTAGCAATGAATTTTTTATTTCCAAAAAAAAATGTTAACTATATAATCTAGATCCCCATTTTTTTAATCGTAAATAGAAAACAAACAGGTTTAATTTTAATAACGTTAAATGGCGTTTTGAAATGTGGCTCCGGATTGTTTTTTTTTAAATATTATTTTATATATAAAAAAAATAATAATTTAACATTTTTTTTGGAAATAAAAAAATTTTATGGTAACATTACCCAAAAACTAGTTTGAAAAAACGTTCTGTCTGAAAATGGCCTAACGTAAAACTTGCTCTCTCCCCCGCAAATTTTTTTTTTATGAGCATTCATTTTTTGAGGCCTCTTGGATACCCTGTATCTGTAAAAAATTTGGGTTAGGCCCTCCTGCACCTCGAGGATAAGTCTTCATATCATATTAAAAGATTGTATAATACTGGAATTTTTTTTTAAAATAAAACCTTATTTTTTCGATCATAAATTTATTCCATTTAGGAAATTTTCATAATATAATCATCCTTTAACAGCGTCCTCTATATTCCATTTTTATAAAATTAATAGCAAATTTAAATAAAAACCCTAAATAAAAATGTTTTTTTATATTAATATAAATGTATTAAACATAATTTTTTGTGGGTTTATGGGAAATACTATAACACTGAATACTTGTAATTCTATATTCTTAATTCAAGGGTTATAAATTTATAAAAGATTTTGTCATAAATATCTATTAAGTCACGGTCAGTTAAATCAAATACCCCCAATTAGATTTTTTTAGCTTGGCGGCGATATCTCTCACCTCCGGATCTTTATGAGCTAAGGCTATAACATTGTATCCATAATAATACAACATATCAAGTTTAACATAATTTAGAAATTGGTGCCTGAAATCGTGTTTTTCTAAAATTGAAATATCATGCCAGGAGGTATTTAATGAAACTAATTTTATAAAAAGATTAAATTCATTATAAAATAAAAACATTTTTTGGAGGGTTCAAAAATCTGCCCAAAATAGAATAATTTTAAAATTAAATTAAAACAGCATTTAAGGTGCCCTATAAAGTAAAATTATTCCAATTTTTTTTTAAATTAAACATCGACCTTAATAAAAAATAAAAACAATAAAAAATGGTAGATTCTAGAGACCCGCAACTTGTGGGTTTTAGCCCACAAACCTGTTATACCAGTAAACTTACATTTACTTAAAGAATACAATTATTTATAACATTGATCATATTTTTAGATATTTTTTTTCATCACCAAAGATAATCATTTCACTCACGATATGATTAGTTAATTTTCAGGATATCGGGTATAAGCCAATATCTTTAAATTGACCGATCTTCCATTTCTTTGTTTAAATTAAATATAGTTGGATAATTACCATTTTAGCCGAAAACTATCATTTTGGCCTCGGGGTTTTTCTTAGAAATATAGCAATTCAAACAAAGAAACGAATATAAATTTAAACACCTAAATGTTAACGGATCTCCGACACGCATCTGTAGATTGAGCCACCGACTTTAGCCATTCAATAGTTATAACCTCACTATAATTTAAAACGTGTAAAACTTTAAATCCGAAAAACGGTGTAAATATATGATTTCTGCTACATAAAATGGGCAAATAATAACTATCCTAGCTAGAATAGAGGGATATAGTTGTTAATATTTACAACTCTATGATTCCAAACACGGCTAAGACCGAGTTTTACCCTAAAACTACATCTAAAAGACGAAAAGATAATTAACTCCATTTTTTATGGCATGCGCCCGTAGACGGAGCTGAATTGAATTTGAGTCATTTACCCAATTGTAGCTTGGTGATTAGGAAATCAAGATTTTTTCGTTCTCGATCTTTTAAATCGTTTATTTGTGTATATTACAAATATTCCCAATTCGAATACTGGGAAAATTTGCAAATCTTTAAGTTATTCATATTAGAATCATTTAAAATAACTTTAAAACAAAAGAATCTTTTGAGGTTAGGGGATTAGTATAACTTGAAAGTTTTAAAAACTCATTACTACATGAAATAGATAAAAACACACAAAAAAATGTTTTTTTTTGAAATATGATAACATTTTTTTTTGTATAAAAATAAAATAAAATCAGCACCAAACCTTAAAAAGTTTACATTTTCTTTTCTTTTTTTAAAAAAAGGTGCGCTCAGCTGGTTAAAAATTTATAAAAAATATTTCTTCAAAAAATAAAACATAAAAGGGGAAAAAAAGTAAAAATTTTAAAAAATTATTTTAATGTTGTGCGGTCGCCTTTTAAAATTCTATATAATTATTTTTTTTACTTTTCTAATCTTCACATCATATTTTTAATTTTAAAAAAGATAAAAAGAAAAGAAAACGGAATCTAACGAGAAAAAATGAAGAATTATTTTGAGTACTTATTTTTTTGAGCGAATAAAAGGAGTTTTTTTGATCAACTCAAATATTTTATATTATTATATTTTTAAACTTTCTCTTTCTTTTAAGACTTAAAGAAGTTGAACTATCATTTTCATCTTGGATGGAACTAAATAAGTCCATGTGTTGGGGAGATTTTCGTGGCATTCCAAAATTTAATCGAACCAAATTTGAAGCGTAAATGACATTTGTGGGAAAATTAATTTTTATCTTCCCTCCACCCCCTCACTTGCATCTCATATCAGTCAAAATTTGTAAAAACTTACTTTTTAAAAATCTTTTCTAGAGTTCGCAGTAAAAAAGTATGCTTTAAATAAAATGATATTGACTCAGCTCAAGGAATTGAAGGAAATTTTTTTAATTGGATGAAATATATTATAAATATCTAAAGTATCAAAGGTTACAGGTAAAAGAAATATGGGTCGAGGTTATTTAAAGATTGAGAGATGTGGGTTAAGGCTTAGATTGGGTTTTAATAAAATTTAATCCTTTTTATTAATAACCTGCCAAACCTGGCAGTGATTATAACAAATATAAAATTAAATAAATCAGCTGTCATTTCTGGATCATAATCAATAAAATAGTGCTTACATTTTTCTAAAACTTTGTTGTTTAGAAAAAAAAATGAAAAACGTAAACTATTTAACGTTTTTTAACGCAAAAAAAACGCTTCAGTTTGTATAATTATTTTTTCAAAATTTAAATAACCAACTTTAAAGTGTTGTTAAACGGTTCGATTTTTAAAAACGGTAACCCACGATTTTAGCCAAAATGATTATGCAAGCCTGGAGATTTTGATCATAGATCGCAGAAAGGTTTGGACATCTAATAGCGAAATGTCGAAACTTACATAATATTGTTTTGTCTAAAATCTCAATTTAAAATAAGCTAAATTGAACCGTTTAACAACACTACAATTGTTTTCATTTAGGCGTACAAAATCTTTTATAAAGAAAAGAATAAACCATGCAAGGCATTTCGTTTTTTTACAAGTACATCAAACTATATATCTCAGAGAGAAAAAACACATTAAAAATATGAACATTTTTTTGGAAAAAAAAATTCTAAAGCCCTAAATTAAATCTACTTAAAATTAAATAAATAGCGCATATTACACCATTTGGTTATATATTCTAAATATCTTCCTCTCCCCCAAAAAATGAGTAAAGATAAAAAAAATACATATTTATTAATACCATAAATTATAATTTTTAAATTTTTCCATTTAATTTTTTAAAATGATTGTTTTCACAAATATGTATAAATCAATAAAATTTTCAATTCAAATATCCCAGCCTGGAAATTTTGGAAAGTTGTAAAAATGTCACAAATTAGCTAAAAATTAAAAATTACCCTATTTAAACTAAAATGAGTCTTTCTTAGATGAATTAGAAAAACTTGCCAAAATTAATTAATATATGATGTAATTTTGCGATATAGTTTAGGTTTCAATTCAAGTAAATATTCTATTATAAAAAAAAGAAAGATAATAGAAAGAGTTTATAAATAAATATAACAAATATTTAAGCGGTTCAGTCCCAAGTCCTTATTAATTTCCGTTTGATATTAATAAAATATATTCAATTTATAAAAATATTATTTTAATAATACCTTTATATAATTTGTATTAATTGTGCAATTACTTATATTTATTTGCAATAATTTTTAAAAAAATATCATTATAATGTACCTTTATATTGTCAATTTTGCAATTACTTTTTCTACAATGAAAAATATATTCCTAAGTAAAATGTGTTTTTTTTATTAATATAAAATAATAAAAGAGAGAAATTAAATAGGATAAGAACCCCAAAGAAAAAATTTTGGGCAGAGACGTGAAATTTATTACATTGGCTTCTTTTTATATCATTCTAATAATTTTTATGTGAAAAGGATAGAACTGATTTAAGGTTCAAACCAACCCCATTTAATTATTTTTTATGAACCCAACTTGAATCTATGATATTCGTTAAGATTTGGATTCCTGCTAGATTTACTACATGTCCATTACTAGGGGAGGGCAGGAGGCAATGGGCAAGACCATCATTGAAATTGAAGGAGTTATGAAGACGCTATCGGCATTGAAATTGGCGAAATGAGTTTGATTAAGTCTAGGGTTGAAGGGTATAAGTTAAGAATAAATCGTCTTTGACTTAGAGGGGATGTAAAAGTCCCGATCATATCAGTGTTTGTAAAAGTAATTTTTCTAATATAGATTTGACTAAATATTTTTTAAAAATTGCCTACCTCGCCAAAGTGTGCGCAAATATTTATGGTTATAGATAGTACGTAAAAGTAAAAATTATAAATGTTTTTGGTAATATGTAAAAAGTGTGAATATTGACAGCAAATAAACGCAATCTAAAAACATTCATAGAAAATGGATAAAGTAAATAAAATTTATATTATGCATTACCAAGATTAAATGATACTCAGCTCAGCAATGAAAAAAAAATATCTGATCAATTATGCATACATTACATATATAATATAATGACATTGTTGAAAGATAAATTTTATTTTAAAAATATTATCATAATATAAGAATAATTTTGATCCCCCAGCCAGTGAAATTAATATACTTAATATTTATATGAAAATTATTTTATTTAAACTCAATTTGATAATTTAAGCGAAAATTAAATTTTCTTCGTTGATCATATTAGACAGGTTTTTTTAAATATTGTATTATTTTGTTACGTACACTAATAATCAAACATATTGATATTGTTTTGTATAATAAAACTTACGTATATTAAAAGGTAAATAACACATGGCAAAAGCATTAAAATTTCCAATAGTATAGGGAAAACGAAAAAAACGAATATAAAAAATGAAGGAATGATTAAAGATTTTAAGAAGTCGGATGATGGGAAAAGCAGACTAAGTTTCGATTTTCAAATTCCAAATTAGAGATGAACCGAACGTTATTTTTTTTAAAAAGATATTTTTATTTACTTTAATATTCTTTCATAATTTTCAAGTTATGTAAATATAAATATAATTTTTTGCAAATTATTTTTGCACAATTATTTTTATTTGTTTAATTTCCTTCCGTTTGAAATGCCAATAGAAAATGTCTAAAACTAGAATTATCGATTTCGATATCCTATACTTATAAAATGCATAATATAGTCAATTAGAAATTTAAGAAAAATTTAGAATAATAGATATTCATATTTATTAATCTTTCGGTTTTATGACATTTTAAATATTTTCAATTAAAATTGATATTTTTTTATAAATTGTATGCAAGTTTATTAGGATAAATTAGGTAAAATATGAGAATAAATTATATTTTATTACCCTTTTCTTCTTTTTGATATATATTGTAAAGATTTTTTTCCTGAAGGGAATAAATAATGTAGAAATGAGTCACAATATAGAGAATTAATTTTTTTAATAATGAACCAAATTTATTTTGATTTTTGCTACAAAAAATAGAGAAAATAGTTTTTATTAATTTTTTAAAAATTTAAAAATTACCGTGGATAAATTTTTTTTGGGTATGAAATAAAATATGGTGCGAAGCTAGCACATGTAAATAATATATATTATTCGATATTTTTGTAATTTCGCCTTAATATTAATTTTCACATCAGTTTTTTTAAAAATAATGAAGTCTATGTGCTCGAAAGAGATGATGAATAAATAACTAATTGGATAATTTAATTATTAACAAATAGTCAATATGGGAATGTAAATTTATTATAAAAAAAATATGGAAAAATTGAAAGAAGGATATTAAATAGCATTACTCATCTATTTACATAATAAATAATTATATAATGATTGTCACATGAATGACGAAACAAAAATATGTATTGTAATGAATTTATTTTTAAATTTAAAAAATAAATGTATGTAAGTATTGATCAAAGGAAGTATAATGTAGAAAAAAAAATTAAGTAACAGTAATATTTAAAAAAAACTAGTAGAGCTTACATTTATATTATTACATGATAACTTAGATCGAAAATAATTATACCCTATTATTAATATTAAAATAAAACGCTTTATCATTATAAAACTAATTAATTATATAACCCTTTGGTATTCTCGTAAGGTGTATAGGACCTCAGGCATGTTACAATTAGTATTACTTAGAAATTATTTGTTAGGATCTCAAATTTTTAGTCTAGTAGCTAAATTAAATTTATCCTAGAGTATATATTGAAAGTTTTTGATTTTGGTTCAGTAATTTATTAAATATAAGCTATTTGTGACAGACTTGGATCTGTTGTCTGTCAGACCCTACAAAAGTATTTACTCAAGTTTTTTTAAACCGTAGTTACAGAGGAAACTTCCTTTTTTTTTTAATTTTCAGTTTTGAAGAATAAACACAAATTTACTAGAAAATTTTGGCATAATAAAATAAGTTATAATTAACTTCGATATTTTTATCTAAGCATATAAAAAATTAAATAAACCCCACCAGAGTGTTTCTGCTATTTTTCCCCAAGAGTACTGAAGGGTTTAATATATTAAAAAAATAAGAACAAACCATTGGAATTAACAATTTAACATCATTTTAAGTTAATTGAGCATTAAAGTAATTCATTATATAATTAAAATCAAAAATATTTTAATTAACCTTATTTAGATTTTCAACATAGTACAATTAAAGCGTTAGATGTCCATATATTTCTGAAACCTGCAACCCGGGATCAAAGTCTGACCCTTTTTGGAAATAAACCAGGGCGGGGCCAATTAAAAAATTTTTATATCAATCAGTTGGAAAATTTGGAATATTTACAAAATGCAGCTAAATTATTCAAAATAACAAACTTTTAAAAATTAAGGAACAGCAAACTTATTAAAAATATATATGGGGTGGAATAAAATAAATTCGGGTCATGCTTAAAATAATCATCAGATCTCTGATATATTTTTATTATAATACTAACGCTAAGCTAAAAATGAATAATTTGATATAAAAATAGATGGTCAGATTTTATAGTTTAATTCTTGCGAAAAATAAATTTATATTGCTTTCTGGGTACTTCAAACGAAAACTTTTAGAAAATAATATTCCATTACAATAAGAATGTTTATAGTCTTATGTTATTCTCTTATTTATCATTTAATTTGATTTTAATCACGCCCTTTGTTTTACCAATAGCCCTGACCTGAACAAATAAACATTAACAAATTTGTCCTTCCATCTATTATTGTTTCCTATCCTATTCTTTACCCTCCTACGCATATGCAATAATATAAATTGTTTTTATTTTTACATTGAAGTTTTATTTTGAAAAATTTTAATATAAATTAATATATGAAAGTTTATAATATAAATTAATATATGAAAGTTTAATAAATTTTTAAAGCAATAGATAAGAGCGCGAGGAATGATATTGGGGAAAAATTAAGTTACATTATTTAAAAAAATGGCACTTAAATAATATATTGTTGAATCAAATTTAATTCCCCGAATATAATTAATAAAATCGATATTATAATATACAGTCGATTTAATTTTGTGTCATTCATACATAGATTTTAAATTATTTTAAGAGATTCCTTTATTACATGTGAGAGCCACCTGTTAGTTTGCCCCACGTGATAAAAAAATTAATCATGAAGTAAATATTATTTGTTCAATATGGCTAAAATCACTTTTAAACAAAATAGGATGGGATTTGTTCGGATCCGTAAAAAAAAATTATAAAATGGAGCTGGACCTAAAAAAATGATAGAAGAGTTCTAATCTAGATTTAAAATAGAAAGTCCTAAAGTGGTAAGATTAGTTTTAACTACATTTTTATGGAAGCAAAAACCGTGCCTTCCCTTAGTTAGGTATTGTCTAAGGGTGCCACAAAATTCTTAGGCGACAAATAGATAAATATACTGTTCAAATAATTTAATTGAAATGGAGAAGGGTAAAATTTAAGAAACATACTCTAAATATGAAGGTACAATCTTTTTAGTGTTTTTCAACAAATCTAAAAAAAATTCCTATAGGCGGCAATTATTTTAGAAATATCGATGTAGCTTAACTAAATACATTTCCAAAGTATTTTTCCCATCTCTGGCTCCCAAGAATAAATCATCTGTTTTTCTTATTCTTCATATCTCATTAAGAATATTATTCGTAATTCCAATTTCCATCGCAAGTGCTGAAAGGATTTTTTTCGTCTTAAATTTAATCAAAACATATCCCTTTAGGCAGGCAAATTGATGAATTTAACTTTCTATTGAAAAATTACCCGGCTAAAACATTCAACATAAAAAACCTATGGCCGGGGTTAAATTAGTCATAAAGCTATAATTAGATATTCAAAGCATTTTTTCCATATATTAAACGTAATTCTATCCTTTACATATAATTAATATTTTCTAAAAAATCTTATTTAAAAAAATGAAAATTAAATAAATAAAAAAAATCTGGGACGTTCGACTTTTTCGCAGTGCTTATTTTAGCATAGCTTTAATATTTTTTTCCAGTAAAAATATTAATTCTATTAAGAGATAAAGAAACAAGATCAAATGTTTTAAAACCAGATTCAATCAATTTTTAAAATTTTCTCTTAAGAAAAAAAATCATAACCAACATTATTAGGGGGTTCTACAAAATTTTCAGAACTTGAACAGTGCCTATCTCATCCCGATGGCATCGAATTACAGTCAAAAGTCTTCATTTTAAGGAAAAATATTTCAAATCAATTGTAAGACTGGTTAAAGAAGATTTCTCCTCCTTTACAATCAACAATGGCTCTCACTATTGAGGGGTAAGGAGAGGAAAAATAAATCTAATGGTTAGGTGGGGCATAATAATCACCCCTTTACAATCAACAATGGCTCTCAGCTCTTGAGGGGTAAGGAGAGGAAATATAAATCTAATGGTTAGATGGGGCATAAGTTACCTTTAGGCCTCCTAAACAAATGGCGCGACGATATTACATACTAAAGCTATGGACAATATATAGATATAGATACAAATTAGAAGTAGGTAATAAACTATGGATAATATATAGATACAAATTAGAAGTAGGTAATAAACTATGGACAATATATAGATACAAATTAGAGGTAGGCAATGACCATGAAAATCTTATGACCCATCGGGTCACGTCAAGATAAATTTTGAATTTCGAAAGGTGATTGGACGTGATGGGCTTTTCTAAAAATTATCCGGCGTGACTAGAAATTTTGCATGAATCATTAAAAATTTTATAAAGTAATATATTTAAAAATTTGGCCTTTTTCCTAGCACATTTTACAAAAATATTCAAAACGAGATTTTTTAATTCAAGAATTTCCAAAAAATATTTAAATAAACTATTTAAAAATAGGCTTATTTCATTGTTTTTATTAAAGTTTTGGAATTTTGTCAATTTTGATTTCTTTTTTTTTCAAAAAATTAGCCAGTAAAATTTTGTCACCCCCGCTAGTTCAGTTTACAATGACGATTATTTCCTAAAGTCAATCGCTTACAAGAAAAAAGAAGAATGCAACTAAAATAAATATTTATATTGGCATTTTAAATTCTCTTAATAAAGATTTTGATTTATGGAATCTGACTTGATTAGTTAATTTGCGATGAATAAAATGATTTTATTTTATGTAAAATTAAGGAAATAAGGCAGAATTATAAAAATAATCAGTGAATTTTTCAAGCGTGATAAAAATTTTGTCTGAGTAGGCAGGTGGGGCTAAAATAAAAATCAAGCATCAGATGTGAATGGGCGTAATTTATTGCAAGCGTGAGTAAGTGGGTCATGAATAAAAAATTAGTCCCGTGTCCACCTTTAATACAAATATAAAACTTAATTATATACATTTTACATTTGTTTAGCTAATAGAAAAGTTATAAAAGTAGGCGGGTGCGCTACTTTTGAAAGTAGCGTATAACCACTATATTACTTAAGTAACTCTAAATGACCTGCAGACTAATTTTCAAAATATATGATCAATTTTTTAAAATACAATAATTGTTTATTTTATTATAGTTTTCTATAAAATTATATAAGATATCACAAAGGGTTTATTGTTATATATCATTCTTGATCTGGTTAATTCACAATTTTCACTGAGCACTTTTTATTTCACAATCTCCACCGTTTGCAATGGTTTCTTCGATATTAAGTTTGTGGATTGGAATGCTATCCCCGCTGATATCGATTAAGGATTCGTCTAAAGTGTTATCCTTATCACAAAGTTAAAAAATAGAAAAAATGTATACATATATGTATTTATTTTCTCGTTCATTTTCTTTTTTATTCATTCCTCCAATTTTTCTTCTCACCATCTTTATATAATTTTACCCCTAAGTAATTCGTGCAAAATTTCTCTATCCAACTCTCCAAAATCAAGTTTTAGAAACCTTTTAACTGATCCGCCCATTTTAAAATAGATTGTTAGCCCAATTTGCCAAGCTTGGTCGTAACTTCAATGGGCCTTCTTATGAGCTTTATACAAAAAAAATAATACTACCTCATATTATATAAAAATTAATAAGCCAAAACTAGTTCTAAGCAGAAGTTTATTTTAACTCTAACTCCCAAAAATTTTAATTTTGACCTTATAGATAGATGAAACTATAGCTTTACAATCAGCGAGTATGTATATTTTTTTATTGAGCAACATAAATCTCAAATTATGATTTTTTTTCGCTAATATACTATTTATATTCATTCCACATTTCATTCTTTCTTTTTCGACGCTTATAAAATATTACACATTTTACTTTTTATTTCGTTATTTCTTATCTCCCTTACCTTAACAAATTGCAAAATACTAGTGAATATTCTACAAGGTCTCATTTATAGTAGCTGCAAAAAGTGCGACATGCTTAAATTACAAAATAAAGAATGTTAAATAATACAGCCATGCTACTATCGTCATGCCATAAAAATCGCATAGCTTAACTATCATCGCGGTTACTGTAAATGGAGCCTTAACTTTAATATACTAAAAATATAAAATTACCTTATCATAATACTTTTGGGCATATCTAAAAGCACCATCTATAGTATTTTTTAATAACATACAAACGGTCATAGGTCCCACTCCACCAGGAACGGGTGTTATCTTTATATTTTAAAATGTTATGAGTTAATACATAATGCTATTAAAATTACATATTTTTAAGGATGAATGAAAGAATATTCTAGTCATATGCGTAGGCTGTGCAGACCGGCAAATTTTCTTTTAAAAAAAAAATGATGGACTGGTGGGTGGCGGTTTATTGAATCTCACGTCCATATAAAAATCAATAGAGGTGCCGAATATTTTTATTTTTTACTACATTTATTAATTATAGAATTCATTTTTTGTCTTTTCTAAGGTCATTCGTAGATATTGCAATTTTGAAAATGATTTTAAATTTTGTTTTAATTTATTTTTCACTTTTACAAGAACGACATGTTCGTCTAATAAATCGCTCATTAATTTCGATATATTGATATTTTAGAAAAAGATTTGATTGGATAATGATTAAAAATATCACAAATATTTTAAAAATTAAAAACAAATTTACATCCATTATCTTTATAAACTGCTATTTGCAAATATAAATTACAAATGACTTTATTACAGGAACAATAGTTGTCTTAAAAGCTATTTTTTAGAAATTTCGCGTTTTCCCTCAAATATTTCGGATATTTTTCCCTCAATTATAGTTTACCAGGAAAATTATATTAGTGATCTGCATCGGGCCTAATTTTTTCAAGCCCAGACCGAAGTTTTTGTAAAAAAACTTGTCAGGCGTGATCCTAACGAAACTTTCCTGTCCCGCTCGGCCCAAAATAAAATTAAAAATAGATTATCCTCCAGGCCAGACCCGGAATTATTTAAATATAAAAAAATTTAATTTTTTTTAATTGTAAAAAATATTCTACAAATAAAATGTATTAGTACCATGTTTCTTGCAGGAATTATTAAATATATCAATTAATTTCCCAAATTGAATATCATAATTTAAAATTTTAACCCCGACCTGGCCCGAATTTTTTCAAAAAATATCAAGCCCGCCCCAACCCGAACGGAAGTTATTTTTTAAAAATAGGCCAGGTACGGGTAGGGATCTGCAGATCTCTAATTTACATCTAAAAAATAAATTCAAATGATCTTAAGTAGTGTAAAGAGATGAAGTTCAGGGTAAGTAGTGAAGATCAACGGTCCGGTTCTATCGGTCTTAGACCGGGACGGATATATACGGGCCGATCTTTTTAAGGACCACAGTTCAGACCGGTTTTTTATTTTTTACGGTCCAGAATGTCTTTTAATAATATTTTAGTTCGCTTTATTATTCAATTAATATAATTTATTTTACCTAATTTTTTTGTATATTTTATGTTATTTTTCGATGATTTATTTTAGTTTTGTAAATTTTTAGTTCATCTTTATTTTGAGATATGAAAACCTTAAGTTAACTCATAGTCCTAAAAAACAAGAATTAAATAAGGTAAAACAAAAATATTTTTTAAATACCAAAAAAATAAAAAGAGGGGTCGTAATGGTCTGGCCCAAAACAAAGACCGTGATCTTTACTAATAGAAAGTATAAGCTTAACAAGGCTCTGGCGGAATTCGAAGAAACTTATTTTATATCAATATTATAATGAAAATATTTCCTTTGTGATTAAAACATAATACACATTGTTGATATAAATAAAATAATATGTAATGGGGGAAAAAATGTATTAATAGAATGACTATTTTTAAAGTGCAGTTTGTAGGCGTATTCAGGATTTTGCAAGAGGGAGGTTTCCCTATAAATTTTATTGATGGTCTTTAAGTTCGCTTATTATGGGCCGGCTATGTTACATTTTTTAAACAGTAATTTTTATTTTTTTTACTTATAAAAATTGATTTTTTTGCAAAATGTATATTTTAAGGTAAAAACTATCGAAATCGATTCCACAATAAAAATGCTAAAAATGAATCTTTAGTGTTTTATTAAATATTATATTATCTATATCCATCCAACTAATAGGATTGATAAAACATAACCATATGGTCATTTTATCATCAATTAAATTGGCTTAATATGTTAGGAATTATTATATATCTTAAAAAGGATATATAGACTAGAGATTTGCAAAAGTAGGCCCGGCCCGAAGTCGAACCTATTTATTCAAAAAGAAATAGGGTTCGGGCTGGGCCGAGCCTAATATTTTTTTAAAAAATTGGGGCCGAGTCGAATCGGGCTTTGGAATTTTTTTTTAATATATCTTAAATTTATCAATTTTATGTTGAATTTTTAATGTAAAATAAAAATATTTGATTTTATTTATAGAAACTAGACGCCATATAACATATATCATTTATTTTGAGTAATTATAAAAATTAATTTCTATATTTAAATAAATTTGGGCCGGTCCTGCCGATAAATTTTTTTAAAAAAATTTAAGGCCGGGCCGGGCTTGAAAAATTAGGACCGATGCAGATCACTAATACAGACCTCAAGTCAATGCTAAAAAAATTCCAGAATTTGAAAGAATTTGTTTTATCTTTAATAGATAATAATTTAAAAAACTTTTTTACATTTTAATTTTTTTAAACATTATGCTATCTTTATATTATAATGATAAAACCGAATAAATAAAATTTGAGAAATTATCTGTAAAATTTATTATTAGAGATAAATTTAAGAAAAAATGCTAATTTTACATGAATATAGAATAATAAAACATAAAAAATAAATTTAAAATTTGATTTTTTATACATTTTTATTCTATTTTCAGAACAGAAAACATTTAAGAATTTTTAGGGGTGTGTAGGGAGAAATTTTTAGTAGCTAAAACCGAGAGGATGGAAATGCCTCTATGCCTCCGCTAAGCCTATGAGTGGTAATTAATAAGTAAATGATAATTCATTTTCAAACTCATTTGAAAAAAGATCCAATATTAACGCTACCACATTTTTACGTAGGCGATAGCGTAATGAGTGCTGACACCTTTTGTCGGCGCGTGTTCAAATCCTGGTGACAGCTATAATCGGGCGAGCAGATCTGCATAGGCGAACCCAGGCAGATGTGAAATCCATTCCCATTGGCAAATTTATAAGTTTTGTATTTGAAGATAATAAAAATTAGGCCCCTACTTCCCGGAGATTAATACAATATGTCATTCAAAACAATAATGAAAACAAAAAAGTCTAAAACCAAATTTTAAAAAAAATGTTGTCTGGCCAAGGATTTTCATCAAGCGGGTCTAAATCTCTTCAGTAAAATCAATGTATACCTCACTTATAGTAAGAGAGATTCGCTAATTCATCGCTCACAATTTATAAAAACAATTAAATAATAGGTATAATTTATAATGACCGAGCGATGCAATGAAACGGGTTACATTGTTATGATGAAATTTGTTAATCATATGTTACGATGCAATTCTCTTGAGCAAATCGCGCTTACTATAAAAGAGGCATAAACGCTTTCCTCCTTGTAAATCCTGGCAATGGTATATGAATGAAATCATTTTTTTACACTCTTATTCTGCTTTTAATATTTTTCAGTAAATGGAATTTAGAAATAAAAAGATAGTAAAGATATGAGCATCATAAAAATTAAAGTTTTTATACGCTCAAATGTTTTGCATAATCAAATGATTAAGAAAAGTAAATATTTTTTTAATACCCAAGAAGCCACTTGAGCCACCTCTTCAATATCAACATCGCCAACCAGTCTGTATCCTGATTTCTTGGTATCATCTATTTTGAGATACGTCCGAATAAAAAAATTATGAGAATATTACATTATAATATTTATTTTATTATTCAGATAACTATCAAAAAAAATTAATTTCATAAATGAATATACTATTTAAATCTTTAGCTAGTAAATTTTTTTTTAGAAATAGTCCTTTCTGCAATTTTTTTGGAGAATTACTTTTTTTGTGCTAATTTTAGATAGAATTAACCCCTCTTTTTGTTAATATTAAATAATTTAAAAATGAGGCCCCCTCCCATCCCTTACGTTGAAAAGCTAGCGATGCCAGTGTTTATAGTCTATGTTATAATTTAATATTTTTAAATACACTTCATGTATGATATATAAACATCTATCCATTTATACTTATATAAACATATATGATTAATTTTGGTGGCTTTTATTTTCTTGATATAATTTATATAGAAATAAAAATAGAGAAAAAATAAAGAAAGAACGCTTTCTTTTTATTATATATTTTTTTTATTGAAACAACACATTCAAACAATCTAAATTAAATATATACTAATTATACATATATTAATAATAATTGATCAACTCAAGAGTATGAGTGACAAACAGTTTCAACTCGGTTTTTACCCAAAAATAGATTTTCCGTCCTGACAAATACATCTTTTCGCATAGTCCCCGATTCTAATATTGAAGCTGTTTTTAAAACGTACCACGGCGTTGTCCTCATTTAATATTTATCCCCTGTTTTTTGAAGTTCATTGGCTATTCCAGTAGTTTCTTCGATTAAAACATTATATAAAGTTGAAATGGATTTGCCACCTATTGAAGTTTTCCCCTTGTTACATATATAATCAAATAAATCTATATGTCTTCTTTCCTCATTGAAATATTAAAAAGTAGCTGGTAAAATTTTAGGTAGGCTGGCTGAGCTTTGAATACCATATTAAATTGACAAGCTAAAGTTGACCTGTGGTTGTTGTTCATAGATTTGAAACAATCACCGAAATCATTTCTTTCATCCCAGTTTACAAAATCTTCTTTATAAGTCCCAGATATGCAATGGAAAACTATCTGCTTAGCTTGTTTTGCAGTCATCTTGCTTACCTCCCTATATAACAGAAATCCCCCTTTTCCCATAAAATTCACGTAATTTACTAAATCTGTGTCCGAAGCTTGAACTAACTTTCGCTTATCATCGACAATAGGATTGAAGATATAGCAGAATATATTTGGCGGGAAGAACATTCTTGTTGTTTGTTCGGTAGTTACAAGTAAAGCAAACTCAGTCATGCAAAATATTAAATTTCTCACATCACTTGCACTTTTGTTTCTCAGCGGAAATGATCTTATCAATATCCGGAAAATGTGCAAAAACACTTTACTGTTTCCCATTTTAGATAAATTAGCTTCAGATCTAATATAACATAATAATGCGGTCATAAGTTCAACATTTTGAGCCTTTGAATTCCGTTTTTCTGGTAGAAAAGTTATCCCTTCTAGTAGAACATGCTGACGTCCCATTAATCCATATTTAGACTAGTATGCACCTATTTTCTGTAGCAGTTTTACCAACAGACATATTCGCATGTCATAACCTTAGTTCTTTTAACCTCAACTCAAATCCTCCTAAAAAGTCATTTATGGGTGCAATTGTTCCATACCAATTCTCTTCATCTCCCACCTTGTAATGGTATATAATGGATTCCACATTTTAGCTGCCTTAAATACCATTTCATTTATTATGAGCCTCTCCTTTGTAAAATCTCGCGCATCGTAATGTATTAAGTAAGAAGTCTTGTTCTCAGCATGCTCAGTTGCCATAGCCGTCACATTTTATGCTTGTCTATTAAAATTGTGAGAAATGTAGAAAACATTGTGGATTTGGATACCTGAGTAATGCTTTTGTAATCATAATCTTTATCTAGTACAAGGATCCCAATTTGTTTGTGGCAATAGGAAATAAATCTTATAATAGTCACCTTCTTTCCTTTATCTTGTGCCATTTTATCCTTTTTGTTATATGGTAATTCTCTATTCTCTCAGCAAATCAAGATCAACTAAATTCGTTCTTTTCTCACTAATTCCTGTTGATTTTCCTGCCCCAGTTCCATCTACGTTCATGTGATCAACATCGGGCATGTTCGTCAATTTATATTGTAATGTTAACAGTTTTTTTATCTTAATTAGAAAATAATATCTACGTGTGGTATTTTTTAAAGTAATCAAGTCTGCCTTTTCTTTGTCAAGATCTATTCTCAAACAGGAAATAAATTCAAGCTCTTTACTGACTCTAGTTTTACGAGAGTGAATCTAATTTACCCTTAGTTTTCTTTATTGAATGTTTCATGATGGAGCCACGGCCGTGCAGACGGGGAGGGGGCGAGAGCAGCATTAGGCAATTATGGGGGGGGGCATCAAATTTTGTAAAAAATAAATTTTTTATATAAACTACATACAAAGCATTACTTATCTTTTTTTATAAAAAAACCAATTATGAGTTTTGAAAAAAGGTTTGGAATGTCTAGCCAAGTACCCATAAGTATTAAAACAAAAGATTTGATTTATATTTTAGTAAAAAAATTTCATTTATTTGTTAGTTAAGAAATTTGATTTTTTTATTGAAATTTTTATTTTATAGATAATCTTTAAAAACAATTTAATTAAATTTTATTTAGCAAAGAAACAGGTAATCGGTAAGTTAAAAAAATATAATAAGTTTATTTTTTAAAAAACGACTTCTATTAAATATTATTTTGATAAATATTTGGTCTATTTTCTCGTAAAGGTCCTACTTCTATAGTTGTAATTCCTTTATGAATATTGTGATAAGTATTAAAATAAAAAGTTTACACAACATAGTCTTCATTTAATACATAAACATTTCGGTTGGGCACATTTTAACTTTATTTTAATTAAGACAGATTCGACTATAAAGATAATTAAATATATACTATATAACATGCTAGTTTCAGACCCTTATAAATATAGCAAACTTGATTAATATAAAAATACTGTTTAGTGAGTTGAATTGTTAGGAGACGCCATATAATCTTTTATTTCATAACCAAATAATTTTCAAAAAGGGAAGAGGAAAAAATTTGATTCAGGTTCTGAGAAACGAAAAAGAAAGAAGAGCGAAGACACATTTATTAATTCTCAAAAAGGGTCCATTTTAAAACCTAAAAATGTGACATCACGCGCCATAAGTGAAATGCCAGAAATACTCGATATCCATCTCGATGATGAGCACATTGTTATTCTGATGCCAATCATGAAGGCCCCAAATAAGTCGCTGGTTGGCATATTTCTCTTTATCATTATGCGGATCCAACAAAAGGCTTGCATAGGAATTGGAAATGAGTATAGAGGAGCAGTTCTTTAACATTAATTCATAGAAACAAAGTTCAAAAACAATTTTTTACGAAGGAAATGACAAGCCTATACATGATCTTCAAAAATATGAAATTAAATTTTTCAATGTATTACTAGATCAAGCGAGAAATTCATTGAAGGAACATTTCATCTATTAAAGCTAAATTTGGATTTTTATCCAATACCAGAAATAATAAATGCGCCTAGAAGAGCATAAATTTAATAAAGTATATATGTTTTTAGTTCTCATTTCGAATATCAAATAAGCTTAGGTAAATTGTGTTTTTTACTCCAAATTATTTTTGCCCTGGGCCACCAAAAGATAGGTTTTATTCATCTTCATCTGGAGAAAATGTACAATTGACAATATTTTCTTTATAAAACAAATTAAGATATTAATAAAAATATAAATTTACATACAGAGATTGATTCAAATTAGCTTAACAATCTTGACTGAAAATTTAACAACAAAATTTTAAAATAAAAATGAAAGAATTTGGTGGTTGATGTGAATTAAAAACTGGTCTTAAATTATTTATAAATTTAAAAAATACACAAAATATGTTTTTTCCATATTTTTTAAGAAAAATTTAATTATAAAACTTTTTTGTAGGGATTTAACGCTAAAACTGAATCCTTTAGATGCTTAAAAAAATTGAAATAATGGGTATATTTAAATTTTATATGTGCGGGCGTGGGTTAAAATTTTTCAGACTAATGGGTCAGTGGATAAAGAATTTTAGACTCATGGGCGGGCAGGTATATTATTTTTAAATTATAGGTGGGTTAATTTTTTTTTAAACATTGGGCGGGTTGTGGGCTAAAACCCCGGCCATTGCAGACCTCTAATATACATAACTAAAAGAGTATGAGTGAAATAATAAATTAAGTGAAAAAGTTAAAGCAGTTATTTTCAAAATTATATATAAAAACAATAAAATAGAATGGAGTAACTAATTGTAAGAAAAGGGGTTAAAAATAACAGTTAACTTATATACAATAACCCCCTTCAATAATAAATGCGTCCTGAATATAAATTTAAATCTTGACTAATTTTTTACAGTTAGATGTTAGATTTAATGATATATTTTTTTCATACCTAAAAGCCTACCAAAGGAAGAGTGATGAATGAGATACATTATACATAGAACATGTAATAGTTATTTTACCGGGTATAGGATTGATCCCACAATCTATAACAATGGCCCCTGGCTTAATCCAGTCCCCTTTAACGAATTCAGGTTTTCCTAGAGCTGCGACTAATATATCAGCTTGTCTTACCTGAAAGTATGGTTTATACACAAGAATGGATAAATTTAGAAGAAAAAAATATATCGTATGAAAATTTATGATAGGTTATATTAACTATATCGGGTATGTCACGAGTGCGTGAATGGCATACAGTGACCGTAGCATTGTTCCAGATCAAGAGCTGAGCCATTGGTCCTCCCACTATTCTGCTACGCCCTATCACAACGGCTCTTTTGCCTTCTATATCACAGCCTTAAAAAAATATAATTTAAACGATAAACATATTTCTTTTTTTATTTTGTACATTCGATTAGGTTTCACGTTGACTTGGATAATGGGTTCAAGTTCGCAAAAATTGCTCTCAGAAATAGGCAATGACGTAGAAAGGGAGGGGGGAGGTATTTTATTAAGTCTATTTCAACAAATGGAATATCATTAAAAGATTGTGGGATTGATTACCCCCATCCAACAAAATTTTAGATTGTCCAATAAAGCCGAAATAACAGCTCTAGGTTCGGTTAGAAGCCCTGGTTTCGCATGTTTTAAAATTAGCAGTAAAATTTTTGTCCTAGTTTGTAAGATATTTTTTTGTTTATATGAATATTTTTATTAAGTGTCAATCATTTTTGTGATAAAATTTTTATCGTTTTTTTAACATGAATTCATTCTTCGTTTTTTCATAAATGAATTAAATTATTATTGTTCTCTGAACTTTTAAAAATAAAATTATTCTTCGGGTTTTCAAAAAATGATTTGATTATTTTGGCTCTCTTAATTTTAAAATAAAAGAATTATTAATTTGTACCAGAGTTTATATATATTTTGAATATTTTTAGTATTAGATTTGGAAGGCTAGTTAGTAGTTTTTAATTTAGATTTTTCGAAATTAAGTTTAGATTTCTTTTTCATCTTTAACATTCTGTTTTTTGTTAATTTTAATTAACATTTTACTATTTAATCTAATAACAATATAATATTAAGCATTCATACCAGATGGCTGATTACATTTTTAAGTTCAACAGTTTTAAAAAATATTTCAACAAAAAAAACTAAAATTATAAGTAATGAAGAAAATTAAATAAAATTAACGCTACGTTAAGTTATTGGTACAAATGTAATGGGTAAAGGCTTCGTTACATTTTTAAGCTAGTGTTAAGTTAAGTAACGTCAGAAGGGGGATCACAGAGGCTCAAAACCCCAAGATTTTTTTTTAAAAAAATACCTTGAAAATGGATCATTTTGAAAAAACTTGGTTAAAAAAGATTTTGGTATAAAAAAGATGGTCATTTTTTTTAAATTTTTCAAAAAAAATTTTTTGAGCCCCCTGAGATTGTAAAGGCTAGTGACGCCACTGGTTAAGTTATGTTACGTAATTAGAGCTGTACCGATAGATCGGATCGATATTTTTCTAAAAACCGGATTTTATTATTAATTTTATGATTGTATAAGTAAGCTTAAATGCGTTTTTTCCAACTTTATATAATTTTTTGAGCGCGTTTTAAAAATCTGATTTTACCGGAAATGTATTCCACCATATGTAGAATATATATCCTTTAAATTTCAGACAATTATGCCTTACACTTTTAAGTCATTACCTATTATTTATATTTTAAAAAAAATATATAGAAAAGAATATAATTAAAAGTTATTTTAAGAAGTTCATGGAAAAATTTTATAAATATCCCAGAATAGGTATTCTACATATATTTGAAATACATTTCCGGTTCAAAATATATTTAAAACTGAAAAAAAAATAATTAATCCGTTTCTTGTCGGTAAAAAAACAATTCAATTTTTTTTATTACCATAGTACAGTCCTTATGGAAAATAAAATTTACAATATCACAATTATTTTAAATATTATCCACCAGTATTTTGTTTTATAACTTACTCATTTTGTTAAATCGAGTAAGCGTCAATTCGCGACGAATTCAATTTTAAATCTGCCAGGATTCGCGTTAGATGTGAAGCATGATAAAGGGAATCAAAATTCAATTTATTTGAAAAAAAAATCGAATAAAAGAAGGAATAATTAAACTATTAAATGCGATATTCTTCTTTTGTTATATTATAATATTTGCAATAAATAAAGAATTTTAAAAAATATTCAACGAGTCCCATTCAGCCATAAACATTGCCCATATTCTAATGGTTTATGGTCCAACTCAAGGAAATTATTTTTAATCATATGACCCCAGTAAGATTTGACAAGTTATTAATAAAAATGGTTTAAATTTAATTAAAAATCATTTCAAATATAATTTAACTAGGGCTCTGCCAATATTAAATATCGGATCGGCACCGATATTTAGCGTTTTCCAAAAATATCGGATCGGGCCGTACCTGTAAAACCCCAATCCTATCTTTTTAATTTTCTTTTTTTGTTATTTTATGTTATGTATATTTATTTTATATTATTATTATTTTTTAATCATAATATTATTTTTTTAATTTAAAGTTTTAATTATAGAAATAAAAAAAATTAAATTAAATGCATAATTTTTTGCATAAAAAATATTAAATTTCTTAATTACATTTGGCTCAAAAGGAGGGGGGGGGGGTGAAAAATCAGTATAAATATCGGATCGATTTTGAACCAATATCGCAAAATATCGGATAGGATCGGTGAAAAATATGTATATTGGCACAGGCCTAATCTTAACTCTAACCCATAACTCTCTAACCATTAAACCTACAAAAAAATTTTTAAATACATGTCCAATTAAAAGATTTCCTCGAGTTTATTTGTTATTATTGTTGTAGCAGTTAGAAAAAAGAAGAAATAAATTTAATATAATATACTAAATGTTAGTCATTTTTAGAACAAAAAGAATGAATTTTCCTTGGGGGAAGAAGGGAGATCACGTGATGCCAGCTAGTGAATAACAAAGAATGGAGGAGATTGTGAAGATTTCAGTTATTGGTTATGTGTTTACCTATTAATAGTACTGTTTATATTATCGTTTATGATACTGTTTAGATTCTGTTTTTTATGAATAAATGTGTAGTTTGGACTTTTAAATTGTTTTGGAGTGATTCGGTTTTAAAGGTAAAACAAAATTTTTGTGATATATATATATTATATGATAAATTTTGACAACGCATAAGTACTAACCACTATACAGGGGGTAAGTGAGATTAAGAGGTGAGTTTAGGGGATTATAAAATTTTGTTTTAAATGTTTAGCTTGTAAAGCACAGGATTGAAAGTAGGTAATAAGTATTAGGCCGGAATATGAAAATAAGATCAGGAATTTAAGACAATAATATTGGTTATATTATATATCTAGATGTATATGGTACATCCAATTTTGACAGTAGGTATGGTCTTATTATTTGGTAGGCCTTAAGACTCATTGAATGGTGTCATAGGTATTCCGTCATAGGAAGATTAGACCTCAAGATATACAAGACAAAAAGGATTGCTAAATATTTAAATATTGGGGATTTATGGAAATATATATAGAAGTGGATTTTGGTAATAAAGTATTTGTTATATAATTATGCTTTGTGGGTTTTTAAAGGGATGGACATGTGTGGGATAGTTTATTATTAATTAATGTTACTATTGTATATGTAATCCAGTTTCAATTAAGGTTGATATATTATTTTAATCATTTTTATGAAATATGGTGTAATGTGTATTACACATATGTTATATTTAATTATTTTTGATTTAATGTATGAATTTGATATATATTTAAATTTGGCATGGATTTATATGATATATGGGCAAAATATGAATTTGGTATATATATAAATTTGTATGGATTTATTTGATATATGGGCAAAATATGAATTTGATATATATATAAATTTGGTATGAATTTATATGATATATTGGTATAAGTTTGATATATATATATAAATTTGGTATGAATGTATATGATATATTGATATAAGTTTGATATATATATAAATTTGGTATGAATTTGTATGATATATTGGTATAAGTTTGATGATGTATATATAAATGTGACATGGATTTATATGATATATTGGTAGAAATTATGGTACTTAGTTTTTTTTTAAATTATGAAATCTTTATATTTAATGTATTTTGTTTTAAAATTATAAAATTTTATTTGCATGTATTATACTAAAAGGAAAATATTTTCATAGATAGGGTCAGCCGTGTGTTGATGGGTAGGCCTTAAGATGGAAATATTGTTTAGTTTAAATACTTGGGAAAGTTTTTTGTAAATTTATTTTGTGTATTACATTTTTGTTTATCTTTGCAATAATTTTATAGCACATCACATTTTACTATTTATATTATGAACATGTTTTTTTTAAAAAAGGAAAAAGACTCAAATTATTTTATATTGTGAATGTATGTTAAAAATTCTTTACATAGATACCATATAGCCCATTATATTTTCAATTTTTGTTACTTTGCATTCTACATTTCTGTGAATTTGTGCTAATTGTGATGGCAGAGTTAGGTAGAAATGGTATATTTTTCTTAGGACACTGAGTAATTTCTAGATGGAAAATATTGTATTTTCTACGTATTATATACTTTTCCTCCCTATAAAATATTAAATTTATTTTTATACATGTTCCTTGTAATTTTATTTAAAATCTTTATTCGGCAAATTTTCGCAATTATTTTTAATACATAAAAATGGATTTTTATATCTATTTTAGGTGATATTTATAAAAAATGTAGCTTTGATTTTTTTTACATGACAGAAGGAAAATTACATGTAATTGCATTTCACACATATACCATTTATTCACATTACAGTATTATATGTAAAATCATTATTCCCTAATTCCCATTAATCATACCCAAATAATGTATACTATTCATATTTCCAAATGTATTTAAATGAATGAGCTATTATGTTTTGCTTGTATATTATATTGTCAATATTACTGTTCCATACACGATGTAAATGTCATTATGGTGATTTTTTTTAGCGATTATATATTGAAATATAATGAAGATATTATACTCTAAATCATCATAAAAGGAGACGATTCGATAAATTCCCTGAACATTTTCAAGGCGTACCGAGAGTTGATACAATTCAAATGGACGATTCGATACAATACCACCAGGGAGAAAGAGACGCTGGGCTTAGGGTGGGCGTGTTGTAGCAGTTAGAAAAAAGAAGAAATGAATTTTATATAATATACTAAATGTCAGTCATAGGACAAAAAGAATGAATTTTCCTTGGGGGAAGAAGGGAGATCACGTGATGCCAGCTAGTGAAGAAAAAAGAATGGAAGAGATTGTGAAGATTTCAATTATTGGTTAAGTGTTTACCTATTAATAGTACTGTTTATATTATCGTTTATGATACTGTTTTTTATGAATAAATGTGTAGTTTGGACGTTTAAAATTATCTTAATAAGATAAAAAAAAATTTCGGGGAATAAAAAGACAAATTGCACATCATTCTTAACCATGAGCTACGGAAAAATTTGTGTTTCTTGCTTTGACAATAGTTTATAATTTTAGTTATTCTGGTTCAAAAATAGATGGTAAATAAAAAATTTACAAATATCGAATCGTTTTGTATAATCTTGGAAAATCATCGGATAGGGACAAAATTCGAGGATGGGTAGGCCTTTACCTATAATATAGCGCTTCTGTTTCTAACTTTCCGCTTATCAAACATTATAGCACTATTTCTTGTGTCCATTCTAACTTTTTTTATTTTAAAAAAGGAAGATATTTTTAAAATACAACTAATTTTTTTAAAGGGAATAATTACTTCTAATATTATTGAATTCAAAAAAAGTTGGTATACCTTCCAAATGTAACTAAATTATTATTTTTTTAAATTATTAAACATTGGCCATTAATTAAATTAAAACATATTTTATGAATATATCGTGTAATTAATATAATGTATTTCAACATTAAAAGTTAAGATTTTTTTTAAATAGATTTTAAAAAAAGATTTTTTGTCAATGAATATGATGAAAAAATAAAATTATCCGTAACAAAATTAAACTAGAGAAATAACGCCTATTTTAAATACATTAAGTCAAAATTTTAAATGATTTAGATTATGATGGTTTTTTAAAGAAGATAAATAACTACATAAATTATTTTCATAAAAAATTTTAACTTTTGTTTACTTTCCAAAAAGTTTAATTCAAATTGGGTATCTTTCTATAAAAAAATAGAAGCGAATACAAAATAATATAATTAAATTTGACCAGCATTTTTTTGAATTAAATAAATTTAGAGTAGATTAGATATTCTCTTTTAAAAATTTTTTTATAAATGGACTTTATTCGAATGAACGAGAAAAATATGGATATTACGAATCGGATAATGACAGATATTTAACATTTTTTATTTTTATTGTTTTGGGTTATTTTATGATTATATAATATTTTTCAATACATAAATTCGTGGTATCCAAAATTTTTTTGTAATGTTTAATAAAAATCGAATTATTTTAAAAGATAAGGCAGCTTGGTGTTATTTCTTGTTATATATTATCTGCAACAAGAAAATGTTTTAAACATATCAAACGAGTGGCATTCCGCTAATGTTGTTAAACGATTTGAATCAGCCGATTTTTTTAAACTTAACTCAAGATTTTTGCCTTTGTTTACAGATGACAGATAGATTTTAATCTATTGGCAAAATTTAAAGGCTTAGATAATATTATTTTGGCTCTTAATTTAGCAGTTTTTAATAGACGAAATCGAACCATTTAACAACACTACATTCAACTATAAACATTGCCCATATTTAAATAAAATAAATAACTCTTGGTGACCCTTTTGTGAAAATTTGTTATTTTTTATGACATTGGTTCAAGGTGGTAAAATAAAAATATAAATGTTGGATCGGTATCGGATTGAGTTTATAGAAATATCGAAAAATATAGGATCGAATCGGTGAAAAATTTATGGATCGGCATAGCCCTAGTTATTTGTATTTTTAAATCATTGTAAACATTAGACATTATAAGATAATTATTAGGTAATTGTGATATTAAATGTTTTATATTTTTTCAAACAAAATAAATAAATAATTTGATACCAGTAGATTTGATGAGATGAATACATCCATTAGGAGTGCAAGGTAGGAATACATCTTTCGTTACACCATGCGACAGTTGACCATTATTGAATGGATGCAAGCTAAAGAAAATTAAATAATAATTTAAAAAGTTGATAATAAATAATTAATTATCAACTTATAAATTATGAAGGAGTAGGGGCGTGGGAATGGTTGGCCTATTTTAGAAATTTTCCTAGCGACTTTATTTATATGGGGAGTTTTGCCCTAATCTCCCAGTTGGGAGATTGCGTCCCGCATTTGTACTGCCGGGTCCCCTTTAAGAAATATATTCTTATTCAATGGCTTTATGATATATTTCTTATATGTTTGACAAAACTTGACCAATACGATGGCAAACCAGTGTAGTATCTAAGATTTCATGTTACTCATCCAAAAACATCTGGAGAGAAAATTTCACAGACCAAGTGTGAGCCGAAACCTATTTGGCTAATAATAGTTGTTATAGAGATAGATTTCGCGCTTTTTTGGGCTTTTACTATATCTAATCTCTTCTCCTAACTGACTAGGTTTAAATAAAATTTTGATAGATAATTGCATATGATTTACACTTGGGTTAAATTAGCTTGCAACGAAACTAAATATTTGATTTTACTATAGATTACTATTTTCCTTTTCGTTGAGGATTTTTTGTAGTTACAAAAGATCTTAAACGGATGTGCTTAAATGAATGAGAGTGGCTGGGGTTAAAACTTGCTCCCATAAAAAATATGATTAGGTAAAATTTTGTGCTTTTACAATACTTTTATATGGATCTTCGCAAAAATTTGCACAATTATTTCTTTTAAATTGATAAAACATTCTCCAATATTTTTATAAAATGATCTCTCAAATTCATTCTATTTTCAAAGAAAGTAAAATCCTAAGAATCTATGAATAAACAATGGCTAGACACATTAAATTTTTTAAATCAAATTTTTATATAAAAAAAGTGTTATAAATTAAATTTCAAAACGCTATAATTCGTATGGAATCAACGTTTGGCCCTTTTTATTTTCCAAGTGAAAAAGTGCACTTACACCACTACTTAAAAGTATCAATAATTAGTATAATTGGGTAATGGCTAAATGTCGGTGATTCGGCTCAATCTTCCAGCGCCTGCTGGAGAAAATCCGTTAACATTAAGGCGTTTTAAAGTATATTATTTTCTTCCAAATTTGAGCTGATATCTTATATAGAAAAATCCCCAAGGCCTAAGTGATAGTTTTCAGCTAAAAACTTGGTTTCGCCGATTTTTTAGTTGGCTAAGAATTGACATAAATGGCTAAAAATATAATAATTACCCAACTATGGTAGTTAGGGATATCCAAGTCTAAATGTGATAAAAAGTGGATTTTTTATAATGATGAGAGTAATTTTTTATATATAATTGGTTTATTTAATTTTATTATAATTGTGTGCTCCTATATTTCATTCTATCTTGAATCTTGATACTAATTTTAGAAATTTTCTTCTTTTACTAGTAACTTTTTTATATAGATATTTTCATATTACTTTTAAAAAAAACCTAACCAATCCCTATAACGATATTGATACCAATAATAAAAATATCGATATTTTATATTTTAAAAAAATCTAACTATCTTTCACTAATGATTAAGTGTAGTTTTTTTTATACTCCAAAAGTTAATAATCTCATTTAAAATATTTGCAATATTTATACATGAATATAGTGTTGATAAAGAGCTCCATTTACCCTAATTTTTAAAAGGGTTAAATCAAGATTTAAAATATTGTTATCTTCAACTCAAGATTTCGCCAATAGAAGTTCAAACCTTTCTGTTATCTGTATATAGTTGAGTAATTACTATATTTTTCGTTTAAGACATTTTTTAGCAGGCTAAAAAATCGGCTAACCAAGTTTTTAGCCAAATATATATCACTTTGGCCTTGGGGGTTTTCTTAAAAAGATAGAGGCTCAAATTTGAAAAAAACTAATATAAATTAAAGCGCCTTAATGTTAATGGATTTTCTCTGGCATTGATTAGAACGAGCTGAATTAGCCGTCATTTTGTCATTACCACACTTTACAACTGAGGACAAAAAGTTTGAGTAATATACTTTATGCAAAATCTTGGGTTGTCCGTTTTAAAAAGTGACTAAATTGAGATATTTAACAATATTAGTTGAATGTGATGTTTATTAGATATTTTAAAATCCATTTCTTGTTGCAGATAATATAATAAAAAATGCTGAAAAATTATTAACTATTTTTTTAATGATTACATCAAATAATTTTAGTTCCTTTCATTATTTTATTATTATTAAATTATTTATAAAATCAAAAAATTATACAATTAATATACAAATCATAAAATAACTCTAAACAATAAAAATATCAAATCAGAACAGATTTTTTTAAAAAAATAACAGCCCAATCTAATATTTTTTAAAGATGCTAAATATTGGTGCCACTGATATACCAGAATGACCCTACTTTTCACCAACTAAAATGCATTTTAAATACATATTGACATAAGCTTTAGAATTAGTGTGTTCAATATACTTTGGCAAACTTCAAGTTGAAGACTGTGCCTTAATGTGGAAATCAGATTTATAACAAATTTTTAAAAATATAACTCAATCAAATTTCAAATAAGAGATTTTAACTATTTTATTTCTATATCTGTTAAATAAATTAAAAAGAAAATAAAATATCACAAAGATCCTAGAATTAATAAAAAAAATTCAATTCAGGAAAAAGAAACTTTAAGATATATCAATGTAATTAATTTAAATTGTAATTTATACAAAGACTTAATGCAAGTTTTTATTACTATATTCCGGAAAAACTGATTGATGAATTACTAAGTACTAATTAGTTACATATTGATATACCAGATATTCATGCTTTTAAAATTTTTATTCTAACATGATGCCACTCTTGGCAAATTTTTTTATTTTGCCATGCATTTTTCTTTAAACTAACTACCAAATGGGTTAAATGAATCCCTAAAAACTAAATACATGCCATAAATTTTAGAGTTAATGCTTCCATAAATTTGGCATAATGCTTATTAGGCTTATAATTAGGTTACCTTTTTAGTATACAAAATTAATTGATATATTAATAAGTAAGAAACTAAATATTAATGATTACGATATAATAAGAATTATATTCTCTGTTAAGACATGATGCCAATTTTTTTATTTATCCCCCCCCCCCCCTTTAAATCATCTACCAAACAGCAATAATAATTTAAGAAAGCTCAGTTTAAATATTATATATATTAAAAAATCATATGCATATTATATCAATATACCCATCAACATCTTTATCAATAGATATTTGAGCTAAAACATGATCTGTGTCAATGCTATTTGAAGAATCTATTGGCAATTGTAAGATTATGCCATGAATATCAGAATCATTGTTCAATTTATTGATATTTGATAAAAGCTATTAAATAAGATATATAAAAAATATAATTTCTAAAAAAACTTGGGCTTCTGTTATATTTTTTGGCAATTTCATCAATTGAGCATTTATACCAACTTCTTCTGCAGATTTCAATTTCATTCTTATATAAACATTAGAATCTTGTCTGTCACCTACCTTATTACTTAATAGGCTATATTATTTTTATGGATTAATACTTGAAGTATTGCTAAAACTGGGGTTTTATTATATAACTGCTTATATTTAAAAACTTCAACAATTAGATTTTCTTTAATCTGCCTAAATAAGAAAAAATATGCAAAAATATGTAAATAAGTTACTTTGACACAAGGTTGCCATCAATAAGTTTAGCCAAAGAATTTACATTTTTATAGTATTTAAAGGAAAGCATTTAACTTGGATTGGATAACGTTAGGTATAAAATGATTGATAAAAACACATGGAAATTACATCACTGACATATAATATGTCATTGATGTTGACGTAATTAATGACCTTATTACCTTCTATATTTAAAATATTTCCTTATAAGGTCTTTTATTTGTAAAAATAATATCTTAAAAAGAACTGAATTTACAAAATATATAACTATTATAAACTGTATTAAGAAAAATATTCAATGCCAATTTGGGTTCCTAAAAAGGTACAAACTCAATGATATATATATATATCATTGCAATAACTAGATTCAAATTTCTATTATAATTTTGACTAAAAAAAATGTCTTGTTTGTAAGGTTTTTTTCGTCTTGGGTTTGTTAAATATTTAGATGTAATAAGTAATTGGTTAAATGGACGTGTTGATGTTACAATGGAGGAGAAAAAATTGTTTAAATTTTCATATTTTCAGCCTGAATAGTGATTTTGTAATGTGAACGAACGAGGGATCTTGATGCACACGCAAGTGTAGTTCCAGATTATTGCTAGTATATCAGGAGTCAGTTGTTAAATAATATTAGAAGGATCTGGATAGTTTGGAATATGTGCCGCTATTAAGATATGCCTGATTATAATATTTATCGCAGTATGATGCAAGTATCTGCCCTAGAATTGACCGGCCCGTCACATTTGCTGCAGATATTAAGCTGAACGATGTTACATGCAAACGTTAGGCCTATTTTTATTCTCTGTTGCTCTTTGATGAAAGCATACCAAGGTTACGATCGGAAGTGCTTTAAACCATTCTTGCCCTACCCAGTCTTTTGTTTGATTTTAAAACCTATTAAATCTATGGGAGAATTGATCAATATGTTTGGTTATGAATTTTATTTATGGGTGCAAAACATTTTTTAGGACAATTTGATGGAATGTGAGAGAGGAATTTAGTAGTAAGGTAGCTTAACATAGTTTGATTAGGTCCGACAGAAGTTGATACATAAAAGCTAGTGTTTATAAATGCCTTAATTTTTTCTGGGATTCGCTAGCCTATACAGAGGTGGCTCAAAAAATATTTTTTCAAAATGACTTTTTTTAGATAACAATTTCAATATGACCTTTTTTTTTAATTATAAAAAGAATTATTTCAGAAGGCTCTCCATATCTTTCATGAGATTCGAGTCTTCGCGCGTCACCTAAATGAAGCTACTGAAATTGTAAAATAAAGGATGATCGGAGAATATTTGAAAATTAGTGATGAATCGTCCACAATCCTAAAAAATTTTAAAATAATAACAATCTTTATGCTATGTTAAAAAAATGAATACTAATCTGTAGTTTTAAGAAAAAGAAATATTCTACGTTAAAAAAAATTAATAATATTTACTACGTTTAAAATTTACTATAATTTTTACTTAAATAAAAAAAAATTTATAATACGTTAGAAATATAAATGCTAAGCAAATTTAATATTCATTTTTTAAATATATGAAAGAACTTTATATATATTATTCTTGTAATTTTTACGTTAAAAAATATAAACTTCGGGAAACCAAATATATATTACCTTATTCTTTTAATAAAAAAAGAAAAAATTATGAGAATGTATTCTGTAATTTCGCCGCCTTCGGTGTAGTTATTTCCACATTTTGATAGCGCCTACATGACAGGATTATCACTGGATACTAAACCCTTTAAAAACCTATGCCTACCTCCTTAAAGAAATTTCGCCGTATTCGGCGACGATTTTCCTACATTAATAATTAGACCTTTTTAATTATAATGGTACTTCTTTCATAAATTTTAAAAAAGATCTTTTTAATTATAATGGTACTTCTTTCATAAATTTTAAAGAATAATTTCAATTATTATGGCTTCACTACCAACTAACAAAATGTAGTGAATATAAGTTCTTATTTAAATGATGAATATAATTAAAAACCCCCTCATTTACAATTAATGTATTATTATAGTATAGTGTTTGGCATGAATATGAGCTTGCTGAAATGTCTAATCCTTTAAAACTACTTTTGAAAAGATAGTAAAAAATTATCCATAAATGTTTAATTTGAAAAATAATGACTATGAGTGTATATGAAGAATTATCGTGAATAGAAATATCATCATTGAAATCATACTTTATTAACCAATTACATTAAATAAATGAATTACATTTTTATCCCCTTTAAAAAAATGTTCTTTCTTTTTATATCTCTTTTAAAAATAAATAAATCATAAAAATAATTAATTATATAAAATAAAAATATTCGTTTAAAATTGAATTTAACTAAAGTTTAAAATAACAAAAAATATAAATTGTCAATTTTAGTGAAAATATAAAACAATAAAATAAATCATTTTCAAGTTAAGAAACAAACATAAATTGCAACGATAAAATAAAACGTTAATAAACTAAAAATAAAATCTCGCCGAAAGATATTAAATTTTGAATCGACGTATTTAATAGTAAACAATAGATAAATCATTGTTTAGAAATATCATTGTATTATTATAATAGGTCTATAATAAAAATATTTTACAATAAATTTTGCCCAGCAACCCCTCCACCCTTCCCCCTCTAAAAAATATTGAAGTAATCTGTTCCTACCCACTCCGCTCGCTCATTTAGAGGCTAGGTAAAGTAAATAAAAGCTTATTTTTTATGAAATAAAAGATAACTTTAATATACAAATATCATATGTATTTGTTATTAAATAGATTAAAAAGATTTATAAATTATATTTCAATGATATTCGACATTGTCAATTACTATTATTTAGAGTGCTTAGAACATTTAAATAAGCTAAATAGTTAACAAACAGCGTTATGGGGTCATTTTTAATATACCTAGCATAGGTCTAAAGCTTTCTAAAAAAATTTTAAAACTTTTAATTTTAACGTAGCTAGAAGTTTTCAGAGGTAAGGTGTGGAAGAAATCTCCCCTTCAATTTTTTTTATTCAGCCTTGACTTCCCCTTTAAAGATATAAACAACACCCCCCCCCCCTCTTCACAAGTATGCAAAGTTTGTTATATCACTCACCTGCTGAAGTATTATAGTAGGGTGTTAGCCAGACACTTAATCCTATTCATCCCAGATTGTTAATTTCCTTACCTAGAATCATTTTACCTATAAAATATTTATTAAAATCTGTTATCATAAATTAGTGAATATGTATTACTCATATCGTTTAGAAAATTTTAACTTACTAAGTTTTCCTTTTGTTTAAAAGTTTGTTTAGTCTTATTATTCTATATATTATTTTTTTATTATGATTTATTAATGTATAATACAGAATCATGATCAAAGTCGACGTGTAATACTTAAAAAACACCTTTCTTTACAACCTTTTATTTTAGAGGATTTATATCACATGCAGGTATTTTACAAATGTTCAAAAATATAATAGAGAATACCAGGCGTGGTATTATTGGGGAAGATGATGAAAGAAGCATATTAGATGATGTATTGTATATATTTGACATAAATTTTTGTTAATGTTAAATAGATAACTCAAAATACTTCATTTAGTTGGTCAACAAGAATACAAGGATTTATAGTGTGTTTTTTAATTGGCACAGTATTTAGTCTATTGGTATGAAAATATTATGTCATATTTTCTATCTTTATGCAGGGGACCTTTTTCTTCTGGGGGCCCAAAGGCTTGGTATTATTTGCTGTATTTTATACATTAGGAAATATTATGTCTTTGTCAAGGTATAATATAAACAAAATTTATTCATATATAAATTTAAAAAGCACTTTGTTTTTAATGGGGCCTTGCAAACAATTACAAAATATGTTTAAGGAAACAAGATTGATAACAACAATAATTTATATAGTATTGATAAATAATTTCAAAATCTAATCATATAAATTAGGTATGTATGATATTCACACTTTTAGCAGCATTTTTGGTAATATAAAATAAATTTTAATAATTATGATTTTAAAATAGTGGAAGAAGAAAATATTGGTGCTAATATTTTGTATCATGCAATTTTTGGCTTTAATATGGTATTCTTTATCTTACATCCCTTATGCTAGGTAGAATTTTTTAATATATTTATAATAAAAAATTTTTATATATAGAAATGTTGTTAGGTCAAGCTTCTTATCCTGTGTATAAAAAAATTTTTTACACTATTTTATACACATTTATTTATATTACTATTTACATTCATGTGATAATAAATATTTATCAACAAATTGTATGCATTTTAATAGTATTTTTCTTTCTTCCCTTATTTCTGGTGCTAGAAGCTATAATTAATATTAAAAATGGATGATTATTTATATTTAAAATAATATAACATTTATTTAATAAAATTTTAAATGAAAAAATTTGCTTGTAATGAATTAAATTTCATATAAAATATTTAAAAAAGGAATATTAGAAAATGAAGGGTAAGGCCTCACTTTAATAACTAAATAATAATGATGGCATAACCATATTTTAACATGTACAGATGTGACACAAGGTTGCTGCACTATATTTATGGCTACTAAAAACAAGGCCTGCATTTTTTAAATTAGCACAATATTTAAAATTTATTTTAAAACAATATTTATTGAATAGGGTTGTTAAAAAGCATGATTTGGCTTAATTAAGAATTTAGCCAATATAATATTGTGTAAACCTAAAGATTTGGCAAATAGAAGCCAATTTCTGCCATCTATAAGCAAAAGCAGACAAAATTATTTTGGTTATAATAGTAATCATGCTGTTTTAAAAATCGATGCCGATTGGGCCTTTAAATAAAACTATCATCAAATTTCCATATAATTGCATTAATTGGTAATTTATATTAACAGTGTGAATTAGATGAAATGAAAACATTTTGGTTGACCCATTTCAATTTAGATAAAAATTTGTAGGCATTAAATATGTTGTAGCAATATCTGAAACAAAATTTTAGTCCATTAGTTAGAAATGTTCTAACAGGTTATTTGATCCGGCTATTATATTTATCTAGCTCATAAAATATATATTTGTAAAAGTTGGATGCCCATAATTGAAGCTAATAACAAAAATTGATGAAAATAATAGTGAGGATAGGGAAATTTAAGTAAAGAATATATAAGGATAATAATTATTATTATGCAGACAAAGGAATGAAATATGTTGAGGAAGAAATCCATGTTATAAAGAGATTAAATGTCAATATATTCATAATAATAATCAAGTCTGGAATATAAGGTAGAAATATCAGCATCTAGTTGAGAGTAAAAATAATACAAGATATTCTGATTATAATAAAATATGGTAAATAATCAGAGATTATATAACCATAGTAATAATTTGGAATATAGAGATAACACAAATAAAAGTAGAGGACAAAGGGGGAATATTTTAAAGGAGGTATATTGAGGGGTAATAAAAAAATGTGCTCATTTATAAGATGTGCAATGTTTTGTATGCATTGAATACGGCCACATAAGTAGATGGTTTAATGAGAGGTTTACACTAAATAATTCATAATCATGCAATGTGGAAGGATAGATCATAGCAGTGAGAAATGTTATGTGCCAGCATATAAAATTAAAGAAGATATGTGTAAAGAATTGCAAGCAAAAAATGTGAGGAAATAGTTACTTTTATAACAAGTTATTTACAGCACTATAAAAGTAAGTTACAATTTAATATTTGAATATGACATTTTATCTTGAATTTATATATGGTGAACTCCATGCTAATATGGATTTCGCCTCATTAATTAAACTTGTAGTTGCAAGTTATTTTATGGTATGTTTCATATTATTTCCCCCAAAAAATTTTTAAAGTAAAAACAGGCCTACAGACAGAGAGGTATCTTTCATGGCCCTGTCTGACAATTTTGACCTGGCCTTAGTATTTTTTAAAAAAAAATTTATAGCCCAACCCAGATATATTTTAAAAAATTACAACATGACAGGCCAGACTTAGAGCTAGTCCTATAGATCTCTGAGTAAAAAGAAATAAGACAAAAATAACATTCTTTTTCCATATCTGCTTAAAAATTTCTATATCAATTTTTTCCCCCTTTCAATTCATGATTTAGTGTATGCCTGTTCTAATTATTATAGTGTCAGCCAATACCAAATTATCTATTTCAGGGCATTCTAACATTAAAATGATTACATGATTTCATTTATTAAAATATTTTCTATGAATTCAGTGTTTGGTCAAACTCAAAATAAAAACAGAATATATAGAAAGATATATATGCTTTACTCGCTCCAGAAGTGAATATTTTTTCCTCCATTTTGTAATATCACTTCCCAGTGGCAGTTTATTATGAGCAGCTCTACTTAAAAACCATAATGACCTTTTTCTATGAAGGTAATCTTTTTTTAGATGATTATTAGAATCAGTAAATTTATTTTGATGTGTATTGTCTTTGATTTTTTTTATTTATTAACATACAAAAAAAAATGTTTACTCAATTCAAATGTATTTTTCTTGGCAACTAACTGCTGATTTAAATTTTTGCTGTTAATATTCAATGATTGATTTGAAACATCTTTTAATGGTTGCTTTAAATAATTATTTTTAAAATTTGATTTTCCATCAAGTCTATTTGGCATATTAATGCTTTTAATTAAATCATATCTAATCAAGATATTAAAACTATTAGTACCTTATATATTGTGGCCTTTTTTGAATTATATATTTATTTCTTAGTGCTTTTTTTTGAAGTGTTGGATAATTTCTAAAACATTATGATATTTTTGTTATAATAATATAATAAACTTTTTCCTATCATTTACCCATTGAGATATTTCTTCAGGTGTTTTTCCCCAACACTTATCTGCTAACCCTGTAACATGTTGCCATTGAAAATGAAATTCAATCAAATTTTCACAAGCTGAAAATTCACATTTTTCAGCTGGACACTAAAACAACTAGATTATTATCTATATTGAAAATATACCTTGACATGCTGGGCAACATGCTCTTTGTATTTAAATTCTGTTCGATAGCTTCTATCACATGATTTACAGTGATATTTTAATTCTTGACTAACATGGTTGCTATTATGTAACTATAAATAATATAATTTCAATATTAAATATATATATATAACGTTTGAAGGTGTATTGAGATAATGTAAATGAGCAAAATCTGGATATGGTTGAACTGGTGTTGGCAGAGGTATATATGGCATTGTATTGTAATAAGGGAGATAGGGATAAGAATATGGATACGGAGGTATAAAATAAAAATATGGTATAGGTGGAGGAACATTATAATTTATAGTTGTTAGAGAAACGGGAACATATGAAGTATTCGGAATAGTTGGAGTGGTCATTGCTAGGAACGAAGAAACTAAGTAAATGTCAATATACTGAACTTATAAAAAAATAAATAACATGTTACCTGTCGCCTGACTATGTGATATGAAAGAAGCCATTTGACATGTAATAATAATTATATTGAAAAGTTTTAGTCTAAATTTAACAGTCGTCAAGATCATGTGGGTTATTACACGAACATTTGGAAAATTGTCATATGCAAATTTGAATCATATTTACCAGAGTTGTTAACGCTCCTTTTTAAAAGTAGCTAGCTCACGCTCCCACTATTACATTTTTAAAAGGAGCTAGTTCCCGCTCCGAGTAATGGAGTGCCACTCAATAACCGCTCCGATTTCCATTTTTTTAGAAGGTATACGAAACAAAATAGTTTTTTTTAATCAAAAAGCTTTATTTATATTAAATGATCTATCAAAATATTTATAATTATTTATTGACGTTAAGGGCGAGACCCAAGTCAATATTAGGATTGGATCACAGACAAGGACCCTATCAGTGGTAATAATGAATACAACTGGGGTGCCTCTTTTCGGATAACCATGGATTATAGCATTCAATTTAGAAATGCCTCGCCAGGTTATGATTAAAAATGTACGCAATTTGGTCAACAATATTGAAAAGAAATGTTGCATAACACTAGATTCTAGAATTAGAGATTTGATTAATAAACACTAAGAAATTTCGGAAGAGAATCAAGATTCTAAACATGCTTTGGATATTCGAAGTATTAATTTGGACGATATGCAATTGTCAGAAAATATTATACGAAAAGTCGAAGCAAGATTTAATATTAAAAAAGTAGCAATACATCATAAAGATAAACAAATAGTTAATTTTTATAATTAACGGGAAGAGCTTTCTGTCTATCGTGATATTATAGAATGGAATGGGAGATTGGTTATTCCTAATAAATTAAGAAATGCAGTGTTAGGAATGATTCACCGGGGACATCTTGGGGAAAATGTAATGAAATCTATTTTTAGATTGTATTGTTGGTGGCCCAGATGAGATGTTGATATAGAAAATTTTATCAAAATATGCTCTGGATGCCAGAAAAATAAACCAAGTATTCAAGAAGTACCTCTATATTCTTTGACTGTTGGTAAGGAATCTTGGGAGCGAATCCATATTGATTTTGCTGGATCAGTAGATTCGCGATATTGGCTATGGTGGCGATTCCTACTCCAAATGGTTAGAAGTTGATCTAATGCAGAATACCTCTGCTGATGCTATGATAAAACTACTAAAAAATGGTTTTCTAGGTTTGGAATACCCAAGTACATTGTGTCAGACAATGGACCACAATTCTTATCTGGGGAATTCCATAGGTATTGTGATTTAAATAACATATGTCATATACGTTCGGCACCCTATCATCCAAAAACTAATGGATTAGCTGAACATACAGTACGAACTTTGAAAGGTGGGTATTATGCGATCAGAGATTCAATTAGCGATCCCGAAGAAGCTAAAACACAGGTTTTAACAACCTACCGATTGGGAGAGCATAGCTCCATAGGGGGCAATCGAAAACAAGTCTGGATTGGATTCGACAAAATGCCAAACACGAAATAGTAAAGGCCAATGATAGACAAAGCTTTCATCATGATTTACATTCAAAGGAAAGTGAATTTGAAATCTCACAACTTGTATGGTTAAATAATGAAAATACCAATGGTTGGAGAGAGGGAGTAATTAAAGAAAGAATAGTATTCCGGGGAAACATTACGGAAGCATGCAGATCAGTTAAGAAATCGTTTAGTTATCCCAAATCATGAAAGTTCTTTGGAAGTTACAGAAATGGTTGTGCTAGTGAATGAAGCAAGTACAAACACAAATACAAATACCACATTACGTTGTTCATCAAGAAACCGTAAACCTACAAAGAGGTTTATTCAAGAAATCTAACTTTAAAATGTTTGAAGGAAATGTAATAAATTGATAAAATATTATTTATAGATGTTATATATAAAAATAGAATAGAATATTCGAAAATTAATTAATATAAATTTGATGTTGAAAAAATTAAAATATAAATTAGTAGTCTTATTGTTCATAAATCATGGAATCCAAAAAAATCTTCTAAATCATTTTGTATTTAAAAGAATGATTTTTTACTTTTAGATGCTTTTTTAGATTGAAGCTGCTAACTTTTGAAAATTAAATAGTTTTATTATAACAGAAAAGGCATTTTGACCTTAAATTTGTTTGATCATTTGGATTAACATTTTTAGAAGTTTAAATAATATTTTGTATGATGGAAATGGAAATTCGATTTCTTCATCTATGATCTCTAAATCCATAATATCTAAAACTATTTTTTGTAATATATCTATAAAATGAATATTAATATGGCTTACAAGATTTTCCAAAAAATTTTCAATATAAAAAAGGAAAAACTTGATGTTTAATATTTAAAATGATTAGATGAAAGACCAATATAAAACTCGGCTAAATATTTAATAATGGATAAATTTAAATAAAATAAAATTTCATTTTTAATGAATTTTAATTAACAAATATTAATAATATTTATAAAATAATTTAATTTATACATTAAATTTAAAGGAGCGGTGGAGAGGAGCTCCTCCACTCCAGCCCTAAAAGGAGCTAGCTCCCGCTCCCACTCCTCAATTTTAAAAAGGAGGGGCGCTCCAGGTGTTTTTGAAAAAATATAGCTGCGCTCCAGGAGCGCCGCTCCTTAACAACTCTGATATTTACATTTATAAGATTTTTTATTTGTATGCTTCCACAACCTCACAAAATAATAATATTTATTTATAAATATACTTACATTTTATTTCAATAGCATTAAAAAATTTTAATGCCAAAAACCCAGAGTATTTTTTTATAATTGAAAACTATTTCAAAAGGGCAAATTTATTTCATTTTTTATCACGTAGAAATTGCAAATATGCTATATGGTGTTGCTAGCCAGTAACTAGTTATATTTTTGCTAAAAAATAACTGTAACTAGTTATATTTTAAAAATTGTAACTAGTAACTGTAACTAGTTATATTTTTTAGAATGTAACTGCCAAAAGTAACTAATTACTTTTAAAAAAATATATGTATAAATCGAAATAATATATTCTAGTAATTAATTTTATTTTTAATATGTTTTTTAAAAATAATATAACTATTTATTAAAATTATAATACTATATCTATATTCTATGTAAAAATATATAATTAAAAGAAGAGAAATGAAATGAAATAAAATAATGTATTTAGGTTTGGTAGGCGGGGCTTAATGACCCATGTATAGATATACATTTGGATCAACAAATTTTGATTGATATTCTTTGTCGTAGGTAGTCTTTTTTGGATCACCTGTGATTAACATAACCTTTGCACATTGTTTTGAATAATTTTAGGACTTGGGGTCCAAATGATCCACAGGTGTCTTAGATTACCAGAACAAACAAAAGATTATTAAGGTGGCTATATTTATTTGTTTCTGTATTTTCAGCTTTCGTGATAGAGTTGAAATAAAAAGATCTGGCAAAACGATCTACATATGTATAATTCTAAGCGATGGGTATACTTTGGTTCCAAGGGACTAGCTTTGTGCTAATTAGAAATTAAATTTAAAATTTTGTTTAAATGTCTGATTGTGTTCCCAAAGGATATGTCCAAATAGATTTTCTTTTCTCAAATTGTTACATTGCTGGGCTTTATAATTTTGTAACAAAATTCAAGTAATAAACCTATTTTTTAATATTATATTTCTTTACAAATTTAGCACAAAATTTTCAATATTTTTTGCCCTCAAGTTGCTGGCAATATTTATACTCTGGAATTTCATAAGTTATAAATGTATTTTTTTTAAATTTTACTAAATTAGAGCATAAAACTTAGTATAAGGAAAGACAAAGATTTAGATTATTTTAGAAGTAAATAATTTTTGTATAAAATGCTAAATTAGTCATCATTACTTACTAATAAGAAAAGACAAAGAAACAAAATATTATAATGCAGATATCAAATATCATTTCCTTCAACAAAATATTAATCAAATAACCATAATTCTATAGGCTAATTTAATTTCTTTGAAAATTGGGGAATTATCTAGGGTATTTTTGTTATGGTCCTCTTGTTCAGGATTTTTTTGCCTTCTATAAAAATAGGTAAATTTTATGATCTAAGGTAATGCATATTAGTGATCTACATCGGGCCTAATTTTTCAAGCCCAGCCCGGCCCGAAATTTTTTTTATAAAAGTTTTGCCGGCCCAGCCCGAACCCGAAATTTTTTTATAAAAAATTTATCGGCCCGGTCCGAATTTATTTAAATATAGAAATTAATTTTTATAATTACTCAAAATAAAAGACATATGTTATATGTCGTTTAGTTTCAATAAATAAAATCAAATATTTTTATTTTACATAAAAAATTCAATATAAAATTGATAAATTTAAATATATTTTAAAAAATTTCCAAAGTTCGACCCGACCCGGCCCGATTTTTTTAAAAAAATATTAGGCCCTGCCCGAACCCGAATATTTTAAATAAAATTAGGCCCGAGCCTGACCCGAAGCCCGTTTGGGCCGGGCCTAACTTTGCAGATCTCTAATGCATATATAATTAAATAAAAAATAAATTATCGAATACCCTTCCCTTATTATTCTTATTATCACAATTTTCTTGGCAAAAAAATCTCCAATATTATAGTTCTATTAGAATTAACATTAAAATTATATATATTTGCAATAAGTTTGAAATAAATATTTGCAACAACTGTATATATAAATATCATATTTGCAAATATTTGAGTGAAAAAATTCTTAATTCTTAATACATAACCTGAAACCCATGTTTAGAATTAATAGACCATTTTAAAATTTATAAGAACCAGAAAGTAACTTATAATGTAACTGTAATTGATAACTAGTTATATTTTTACCAATGTAACTAGTTATGTTTCAAAAGTAACTTTAACAACACTAATACTATATTATATTATCTATAATGGCAATATGTAAAATCAAACTTGCTAAATTTGTCAATTTATCTGGAACTAAAGTCAATTTCTATAAAAAAAA